CCCATAGGATTTAATTCTTAGGAATAAATTCATAGGCCAAATCCATAGGACTAAATCCATATGTCCAATCCATAGGACTAAATTCATGCAACAGAACCCATGGGATTTAATTCTTAGGACTAAATCCATAGGACCAAATCCATGCGACAGAACTCATAAGACTAAATCCATAGGACAAAACTCATGCGACAGAACCCATAGGATTTAATTCTTAGGAATAAATTCATAGGCCAAATCCATAGGACTAAATCCATAAGTCCCACAAAAAAGAGGTGTGTGGGGGCCAAAATATGGTTTTGGCGGCTTCATCCGGCGTCGCGGTCCTTTCTCCTTGTCTTTACTGTCTAGATCCTTTTAGTCACAAAAGAGAAAGAAACGCAAGTAAAAAATACGTCTCGTCTGTTATAGATGCACTTTAAAACCCAAACAGACGGTCCATCTATTCTCGTGGGCCGGTGGTGCCCAAACCGAATATCCCGTACAGCCATACTCAATATTCGCACAGTGTTATTAGCCTCCATGAGTGCCTGGGTCTGCGACTGGACTTGTCACACTTCATCAATTTCGGAACCAGGTGAATTAGGCTCGCCTAATGCGTGATATAAGGACTGCCGGAATCACATGGCCCTGCTTTCATGAGATTCCAGCATTGTTTTCTGTTGCTTCCTCTTCCTCCTTCCTTCTCTTCCTCCCCCTTCTCTTCCTTCTTTCTTATCTTCTGTCCTCTATTTTCCTCTCCCTTTTTTGTCGTCCGTGCCCATACTAACTTGTCCTCAAAATTTCTCGACTCTGATACTGAAGGAGATTCTGCCTGGCCCTTCTCTGGTGTCTGTGAGACGTAATTAAAGATCCGATCGGCATTGAGCAATTTCTGGCCCCAATAAGACACCCGCGCTGTTTTTCGCAGTCAACCCAGATCTCATCGCAACAGAGTGTCCAGTAATAAGGCACAGAAAACACAAACAGCAAGAGAGACACACAAAGAAAACGCACATCGGCGCCCAGAAACACATCCAGAAACACGCCCTGGTGAACTTCCCACCAGCGATACCGCCCCGCAAGGCTCTGTCCAAACATTTCAGCGAATGCCGTCGCCAGGGCACGTGACCACCTGCATCTCGGCCCTGGATGCCTGCAGCAGCAATGACCAGATCTTCCATGCATCATCAAATGGAGACTAGTGTTCACGTTGGCTTGGTTTCAGGCCCTCACACCTCTTCTTCCCCCCCCTTGTTTTTCTGCCTAGTCGATTCTGGCGTCTTTGGACTTTTCTAACCACGTTGCATCCGCCATACTAGACCTCGACGGGCCATGGCTGCCTCGCCTGAAAGAAGCCTTCCAGAGTATACGCTCGCCGAAGTCAAGCAGCATGGAAGCCCCGATGATTTGTGGATGATTCTTTATAACAGGGTGTACGACTTCACTGCGTTTTCCGCCCAGCATCCAGGTGGTGCAGAGGTGCTTTTTGATTGCGGCGGCGTGGATGCCACCGAGGCTTTTGAAGACGTGGGCCATTCCAAAAACGCCTGCGAGATGCTCGCCCCGTTTCTCTTGGGCAGAGTCCCCAAGAATGACGAGAAGATCCACACGCTGGCCATGGCGGGGTTTGTGGCCCCAGCCGCGGGCGAAGACGGCCCGCCAAAAAAAAGCCGACCGGACTGCAAGCCCAGCCGGCGGGCGAAACGAGACAATTCCATCGGCATCTTGGCTGCCCTTGCATTTCTAGCGTGCGTGGCGTTCTTGGCTCTTCAGCGACTCAAGTGGGCAAGCATCGTATCCTAGGAATGACCTTATTTATTCACTTGGCGACGGCGCACTTTTCTCCAGAACGGGCCGTCGCCAGGTCAGATCAGGACACCCAAAGCGCACTGGGTGTGTTTTGCGTGGTCTGGCGCCCTCAATAGTCTAGGCCCGGAATCCAAGCCTTGAAGTTTTCAGCGACATGTAGTGCGCCCAGGCTCACATTGGCCATAGTAGCGATACGAAACTCCCGCTCGAGCAGATGTATAGTCCCTATCCAAGAAACAAATGAGAGGGCTCGAAACGGTACGAGAAAAAAAGGGAAGTTGTTGACTGGGCACCAGCAGGACTGGGCTCTATTCTACCTCCATCTGCGAAATTGACCAGAGAGGTACTGGCAATCTCCGGCCACAGGCCCTCGTGACAGTTTGTGGAAGCAGCAATCTCGGAATTTCTGCGAGCTTTGTCTGAACAACGTCGTTTTACGGCACTTCCCGTCTGGGATGTCTGCATTGCATTGCTCCTAGGCTTGCAGAAGTGCAATGGGACAGGTGCCTGTTCTGTCATTACAGACCACATTCCACACTAGTGTATGCCAAAATGTTTGAGTTTATAATTCTGTTAAGCAAGAAAAAAAAAGAAAACTTTACTTTCCAGGGCCAGGGAATCATTTCCGAAGCTAACTTCAGACGCGTGAGTGCTTACATGGAACATTTAGCGGTGAGCCAGACCCGCCGTCATTGTACCTCACCCAACGCCTACAGATGGCTGGATTTAGACGCAAGCTTTTTTCAGGAAGCTGGGGCCCATTTGTGTTTCCTATGTATTTTCTAAAGCTCGGCCTTGGCTACGGCATATTGGTGGGGGCTCATGCACCAGAGGGCGAGGTTGAGCAGCCGACTCGAGATGCACCCAGAAACCTTGGGAGTTTCTGCTGCTCCCTCATATTGCTTGCCTTAGATGCCTATAAAACTGCCTTGTTTCAAACCATTCCAGACCCCGGAATTGCAAGGCGAGCCGCACCATATCCGTCGTTGCATAGTTACGGGCCTGCCGCGTCTCGAAGGCTTCTGCCATCTGCGTCTTCGCGGTGTCATTAGGGCCAGCCCCATTATTACGTTCAGAGGGTCCACCCAAAAACCACACCCCACCAACATTTTCCTGCTGCAACATGCTTAGACTATTTTGCTGACGCCCTGAAATCAAGCTCGGGCTTTGTTTTTTTCTTTGGCTGGTCGGAATCAAAGAAACACAGGATCTCCCCCGGGTCCCATCCTGCACCAGCGCCGTTCTGAGCCTCTGCCAGTAGGGCCCTGTGCACAGGCCATGCCGGAGCCCCAGTAGGAACCGTGCGCAGATCTACGAGCGGATCTAGCGAATCCCTACTGTTCTTGGGCTTTTACTCACGTCGCCCAGCTCCATATCTCACAGGTGTCCGACAGCCGCATTTTTTCAAGTTTGAACTTTTTCTTTCTAGAGCCACCCTGGTACACCGCAGAGACGAGCTTGCTTGTTGTGTGTTCTAATCTACTTCCCGATCATGTCGTCGTTCTGCCCATCAAAAGATGAGCTTTCCTGGAGAAACCCTGAGTTTTGCGGCATGGCTGCACCCGAGCCCGATGACAGACAGAATACGGCCACATACAGCCATGTTTCCGGCCTCGGCCGCGAGCAGAACCACGGGGATTGTCTGCTCCCAGACTATAGCCCAGCAGCATTTTCCCAGCCCGAAGGGTCCAGCACGTTGCCGTGGCTGTCGCCTATGCAAGAGGCATTCATGAGCGGCAAACGCGTGGATACGCCGGATCCGCAGCCGTTCTGCCCGCGTGCTTTCGACCCGTCTTTGCAGGGCCCCGGAAACACCCCCAATACAGCGGGCTTCCAGGCCCCGCCCCATTTCCGGGACTCGGCGAACTTGCCAAACTCGGCGGGCTTGCATGGCCGGTCAGACTTGGACAATTCTTCGAATCCATCAAATCTGCACATCCTGTTGAATCTGCACATCCCGTTGAATTTGCACCACCCGTTGAATTTGCACGACTCCCCCAACCTGCACGACTCGCCAAACTCGCTCAGTGTCTCCCGGCCCGAGACCGACTCGGCATCCTCGGCATCCCTGGCTCATATGCACCAGGCAAATATGCCCCTGCACCCGCCGCCGCTGACATCGTCGGAAAAAGAAAAGCAAAACACCCGCAGGCAGAGGCGCAAGATGACCAACGACCTAGAGGCCGAGCTCTTGGAGAAAGACGACGCGCTCTTGACCGAGGAGCAGCTCGTGATCAAACGCAAGGCCCAGAACCGGCTAGCCCAGCGCGCCTTCAGAGAGCGCAAGGAGTCCAAGTTGAAGGAGCTCGAGTCCAGGCTCCTCGCAAGCGAGGGCGAACGGCAGAGGTTGCTCGAGGCGCTCGACGAAGTCAGGCTGCAGTTCATCTCCGTCAAGACCGAAAACCAGGTCTTGCGCTCGAACGCCTCCAGCCACACGGGCGACATGCAGCAGAGCTCGAGGTTCACGTTCCCGCAGTCGCAAAAGGCGTTTGTCCAGCAGATGATGGATGGACAGGAACACCACGTGGTCAATGCCGATACCGTCAGCAAGATCTACGACGAGCCCCAGCACCCAGGCCAGAAAGTGCTTGCTGTGGGCGCGGTCTGGGACTACTTGCTGATGAAGATCGAGGAGGAGGAGTACGAGAACATCGACATGGCGGAGGTCATGCAGGCCTTGAAGGGGAACGAGATGTGCCACGGCTATGGGCCGGCGTATTCGCTACTGGTGGTGGACGCGGCGCTCCAGAGCGTGGCCGACCGGTACAATCAGTAGACATCCGGACTTGGCCTCTCACCTGATCATTTGTGGGATGAAGCGGGGTTTCTGGTTCTGGGAGTGCAAGCTTTCCCTTACCCTCGAATAACGAGACTATGACGAGCTACTATCTGAGATCCCGGCTTGGAGGGTGCGGCCCGTTCTACGTCAATGACTAGAGCACATGCTCGTCCCGACTCCACACCCAGACAATGATGCGCAAGCGATGTTTTCGGAGCCCGGAACTCTCCAGCCTAGTAGAATTCGTGCGCCCTGGAGAAGCCATACACTTTGTATGGGCACCGTCTTGTTTGGTACTACACTGCTGGGTTTTTAGTTTGTTACTGTGGACGCGACAGTGTACAAGAACAAGAGTTTGTTACTGTGGAGCTTTTCACACACATCTAGCAATTAAAGAAAATATAGATTTTGCGCTATGGTAGAAAGGCGTGGAGAATGTAGCTTCACACGTGGGCCAGGCACATGTTTGTGCCGGGTTTCCGATGCCTATATCATTTCCTTATGGGAAAGAAGATCCGTCACTGTTATGTTTCGTCGGCCGTGGGATCCTAGTGTTTGAGGCTGCGGTACACGTGCTTGCACACATCATCCGGGCCGACTTCGAAGTTACTTCGAAGTCTCATTGGTCGTCGGCAGTTTGATCTGACGCAGCATTATACTACACTCGACTCGGTGCTAAGATGTTCCAGTCGGTGGTATGGCGAGCTTGCATGGGCGATGGCGGGATTAAAAATCGACACAACCAGCCCTATGACTTGGCCAGCCAAATGCTCTCTTCAACACCTGTTCGTTTTCCGGGTCTTTTAAATATAGAAATATCCTATACTCGGTATACAATATGACGCTATCGAGGACTAGTTCACAGCTCGACAGGTATTAAGTTTCAGCTTTTACTTGAGAAGGCCTTCTCTTGATTTTCGAGCTTAAACAAAGCACTTTGACCAATAGACCAAAATGAGCAAACATGACCCTTCTGGCACTCAGCGTTGAGTACTCCGCAACAACTCTAGTGGACGCAATTATCGCTTTTTTAATAGAATTACGAGGTCTTGCAGTTTGGGGATGAAGGAAAAACAAAGTACGAGTCATACGAATCCAAAAGATCATTTTGTGGTCGTGGACGCAAAACGATGTCCTAATTTAATTATCATACTCGGGAAGCAGCGCACATCATCATGACGGTCCTGCGATCTACGTGTTGGCCATTTTTGTGAATGAAATTAGCCCCGTATTTCAAAGCATCAACTACAAAGACGGCAAGCTAAAGAATAATTTCCCTCAGCTTGCTTGTTGGAATTCAGGTCAACGATAACTATGGAGATGTGACTGAAAGCGAGCACGCACAGACAGACCACGTAGGCTTTCCGTAAAGCACAGCGGATTTCCAGCCAGGCGGCTTTGTTACATGTCCGTTAGCATTGTCCAAATAATCAGATTGCTGACGTAGGTAACCAAAACTGCACGTCCCGAACTGTATTACCCCAGACACCATACGCCAATCGGTGGCCACCAGGGCAATAAATCCCAGGCTTTTTATTCTACCCCCCAAGCTATTCCACCTCCTATATTCTAGCTTCTACATCCCCAGGCTTCTACTCAAAAACACCCAAATAATTACCAGAATACCATCCAAAAAAAGGAAGTTCGTACCTGCCCGCCCCAGGCCTTCGCACCGAACTTTCTAGAAGTGCGCGGGCCCAGCGCTGCCCCGAGCACACCCAGCACATATATCTGGCCCCACCAAGGCCTTCCGTACACCACCAATTTTGAACCAACTCTTCCACCACAAATCACACCCCACAATGTCTGCTGAAGAATACAAGGCCCAGGGTAACAAGCACTTTGCCGCCAAGCAATTCGACCAGGCCATCGAGCAGTTCTCCAAGGCCATCGACGTCTCCGAGACGCCTAATCACGTGTTGTACCTGAACAGATCCGCGTGCCATGCCTCGTTAAAAAACTTCGACAAGGCGTTGGAAGACGCACAAAAGTGCGCCGAAATCAACCCCACGTGGGCCAAAGGCTACAGCCGCGTGGGTGCTGCCCACTACGGCTTGGGAAACCTCGACGACGCGAAAAGCGCATACTCCAAGGCGTTGGAATTGGAGCCCTCGAATGCCATGGCCAAGTCGGGATTGGACGCCGTGGAGCAGGCGGAAAACGCCCGCAACTCCGCGCCCGACATGGGCATGGGCAAGATTTTTCTGGACCCCAACTTGATCAGCAAGTTGCGCGCCAACCCCAAGACCTCGGCGTTGATGAATGACCCAGACTTGGTCACCAAGGTCTTGCAGATGCAGGCCAACCCCCAGGCGGGCATGGCCACCATGTTGAGCGACCCAAGGATGATGACCATCATGGCTGCGTTGATGGGCATTGACCTCAACATGGCCGACCCCATGTCTGCGGATCTGGCCGAGCAGGCCCAGGAACCAGAGCAGTCTAAGCCTGCGGAGTCTGCTCCTAGACAAGAGCCAAAGCCCGAGGAAAAAGCCGACGCCAAGCCTGCGGAGGAGGCTAGCGAGGACGTGGACATGGAGGACGCGTCCAAGGCCGAGGCCGACGCGCTCAAGGCAAAAGCCAACGCGCTTTACAAGCTGCGCCAGTTCGACGAGGCCATCGAGCAGTACAACAAGGCGTGGGAGTTGCACAAGGACATCACGTACTTGAACAACAGGGCCGCTGCCGAGTACGAGAAGGGCGATTTCGACGCGGCCATTGCCACGTGCGAGTTGGCGGTGGACGAGGGCAGAGCCCTTCGTGCCGACTACAAGATCATCGCCAAGTCCTTTGCCAGAATCGGAAACTCATACTTGAAGAAGGACGAGTTGGACGCTGCCGCCAAGTACTTCGACAAGTCTTTGACCGAGCACAGAACGCCAGATGTGTTGACCAAGTTGAGACAGACCCAGAGAGACATCAAGATCAAGGAGGCCAACCTGTACATCGACCCTGCCAAGGCCGAGGAGGCCAGGTTGGAGGGCAAGGAGTACTTCACCAAGGGCGACTGGCCAAAGGCCGTGCAAGCATACACCGAGATGGTCAAGAGAGCCCCAGAGGACGCCAGAGGCTACTCCAACAGGGCTGCTGCCTTGGCCAAGCTAATGTCGTTCCCCGACGCCGTCGCGGACTGCAACAAGGCTATTGAGCGCGACCCCACTTTCATCCGGGCCTACATCAGAAAGGCCAATGCCCAGTTAGCCATGCGCGAGTACTCCTCGGTCCTTGATACCTTGACCACGGCCAGAGAGAAGGACCAAGAGTTGAACTCGGGCAAGAACTTGCAGGAAATCGACCAGTTGTACAACAAGGCTTTGTCCCAGAGGTTCCTGGCCATCGAGGGAGAGACTCCCGAGCAAACCATGGAGAGAGTCTCGAGGGACCCTGAGATCGTCGCCATCTTGCAAGACCCCGTCATGCAAGGTATCTTGGGCCAAGCAAGAGAGAACCCTGCCGCGTTGCAAGACCACATGAAGAACCCAAGCGTCAGCAAGAAAATCAACACTTTGATTGCGGCTGGTGTTATCCGCACTCGCTAGGGTATATCTGAACGCCTTAGTTTCCCAGAACCTGCTAAGTACATATGTTGTAAGCACGAATTCGAATACACAAAATCCGTGAATTTCGGCCACGTCGCACTAGATTCCATTGTCGAAGAAGAAGTTTGGCAAGTTGAGATAGTCTTGGTTTGTTCCGTCGCCGAAGCCATTTTCGTGCGGAAGGTTTCCGAGCTTATCGCCAAACTCAAGGAAATCGATCACCTCTAGCGCACCCAAGCTAGGCGAGAAACTGGCTGCAGAAGGCTTCATGTCTGCAATCGGAACATCAGCAGAAAGGCCGGCTTTGAACAGCGGAACTTCATTATCACTAGTAGCTGAGGATGCCATGGGAGCAGGCGTGCTGGGGCTGGCATGACTGGTGACATGTGCCAGATTGGCATCCAGCTCCACCGTGGAAGACTTCGCCAACGGTTTGCAGAACCTCGGATATCTTCTTTCCACCATCAGCAAATGCTCCAAGAGACCAGGGTTGGCGCCAAGGATGTCCGTGCTGCATGTCTGGTCCACTATGGTGATGACAACCCTCATGATGACTCTGATAAGAATGTCTGCCATTCTGACTCGAATGTACAACAAGCGCGTGGCTTCCTCCTCTTCTGCCCTAGCACCAATCCGGCCGAACGTGTTCAACGAGACGTCGATGAGCAAGCTCAAGTCCTTCAAGACATCGGGGTCATCGGGGTAATTGAGGCAGTTCGATAAAAGGTTGGTCACTGCCAGAAAGGGGTATGTGACGAGCCAGTTGAACAGAAGAATGGACGAGCTTATATGGCTCAAGGTCCGAGTGATGTGCAAGATTGTCCGGGCGCTGTCGAGGGAGAGCTTTCGGAACTTCGAGTTTTCCTTGGCAGAGGGGTCCTTCACGTCGGAAACAACGGCCCAGGGCACCCTGTTGATGGTCATCACGTGATTGAAGAAGGTGAGGTGGAAGCCTATGAGCATCTCGAGATGTGCTGGCGGGTACCTGTTGTCCGTGAAGCTGGTGACAAGGGCTTCGAAACCCTGCTCGTTGTAAAGACGTGGACGAGAGCCAGACCGGACGTCCTCGGCTAGACGGAACATGTCGTTGTTGATGACCATTACCACGTCCTGGATGTTCTTCAAGCTGTCGTACTTCACCTGGGCACTGAAGAGCCTCATGTACGTGTAGCACCGGATGTAGCATAGCTTGTCGTAGTCGATCTCGAGGGCACCCTTGTCGGACCCGCCATCTGGAGGCGGCCCTTGGAAGAACAAGTCATCGAGAGACACGTCGAGCAAGTTGACCGAGGGCGGTTTTCCCAGGCGGTAGCACACCTCGATGTCGAAGTGCTGGCACGTCCTCCATACGCGGGCGCGTTTTTCTCGCTCCTCGGGCCGGAGATGTGCTGCCGAGTCGAGCCGGTGGAGACCCATGTCCTGGGCGTAGCGCACTGCCATGGACGTGAGCGAAAAGTTGAGGTCCGAAATGACCCACGAGGTCTCGAGGTGCACGGCCATGAGGAGAAGAGCCTGGATGGTGGCGATGCCTTCGCTGACCGTGCACACGCGGTGGTAGTAGTAGACCGCGGCCTTGAATTTGGACTCCTGGAACGCCACGAGCTCCGCAAGCGAGAACTTGGACATCCGGGGGAACTGCGGGCCAGCCGGCTGCGGCATGTTCTTGGCGTCCACGTACGCGGACACACAGATGATCATCACCAACGACATGATCATGAGCTCCGAGTAGGAGAGCACCTTCGGGTCCGGGCTGCGCGCCTTCTTGTTGGAGTGGAAGACCTCAAAAAGACCGCGGACGTACTCCACGCTGCAGATGAAGTTGGCGAAATGGATCTTCTCGAAGATGCAGAGCACCTCGTCGATGAACTGCGCGTCCGGAAAACAGCCCATCCGCAAGCTGGCTATGCTGTCTGTGGTCTGCACCTGCGGCTCCAGCCAGATGCTGTGGAACGCCTTCTTGCTGGCGATCATGTACACGGGCATGGTTTGCATGGGCACCACCAAGTAGTGGTCTTTGGGCGCTAGTTTCAGCTTGACGTAGTTTATGCTCTGCTCGGAAAGCAAGATGCTGAAGCCGAGCTGCGGGCCTTTGTACTGCGACCCCACGACAAACCTGCGGCCGCAGCTCACGACCTTGGCGTGGGTGTCCTGCGCCACGTCGAAAAGAGACTTGTACTCGTCGAAGATGGAGTTTCTGGCAGTTTTTTTCACGATTTCACGCGGCCCGCTGGAGCCGCCTGCGCCTTTCACGCCGTCCGAGGCCTCAGAACACGAATCCAGATAAGAGTCCTCGTCGGCAGCCGAGTCCTGCGTATTTCGAAAGACCGCCTGGTGTGCTTTTAGACTGTCTTCGGGCGACCCCGAAGACGAGCGTAGACGGCCCGCAAGCGGCTCTAGTTTCCCCACTAGCTGCGCAACCATATTTTCGAGATTCAGTAGGCGGTCGGCCATGGAGCTGCTCGAAACGGTCCGTTTGCGCCGGGTCTTATTGCCCTCATATAAGCACTCCAAGGTCTGGGCAGCGCAGTGAGAACAGGGCCTCTGGCCATTGCACTTGGTTTTTTTGCGGCGGCACTGGGCACACGCTTTGGCAATCCGGTCTCTTTTTTTGTGCTCCATGGCTTGCAAAAACACACTAGTGTATTTTCCACTATTAGTATGGGGTCAGTACTTGCCTTGTTGGTACATCAACAGTGAGCGCACCTACGCGACCCCGCAAAGTACAGGTTTGGCTGGGTCACGATAACCATTGTTCACTATGGCACATGATGTCAAATGGCGGGGATTTTTCTTTCTTTTTTTTTTAATGGAGGACGAAGACGACGAGCAATGCATTCATCAAGCACACTAATAAATTCATTACATTTCTTGGGGGAACCCATGGACCCAGATGTCATGGGAGCACATTTCGACTAGGCGCAGCAGATAAGCGCAGGCCGCTTCAGTTAAATTGCAAAACTTGCCCCCAACAGAAACCGTTGAATTCTTCGCATGGTTCTTGGAGGCTTAGGTGAGAAATTAGCTATGTTCCCGCTGCAATACAAGTCGCATTGTATGGCGCAATCTAAGCTACAATGAGCTGAAAAGGAAGCTTGGCCTTTCGCAACCAATAGATCGTGGCACCTCCTCCATCAGGCCTGATGGCCTCTATAGTCCTCCTCCAACACCATCGAAAAAGAAGTTGGGGAACTGGTCAAGCTGGTCAAACAAGAGATTCTCGAGCCCATCAAGGCCAATCCCAAAGTCCAGGGAGCCGTATCCTGCACCGCCATTTGGTGGCATGTTTTCCTCAAACGCGCCCTCAGACAAGTTCCCATGTATCTGCTCATTGTCAATCAAACTAGAAATCGATAAAGGCGATTCTTGCGACGTCGGTGTCCCGTCGCCCGGGAAGGGCGACTTTGACTCGAATATATATGGAATGAGTTTCTTCAAGTGCTCGGCATTTCCAAAAAGCTCCGGGAAGAGTTTGCGCGGGGCCTCAAACGAGTCTCTGATCTTCTCATTGTTGGCGAGAATCGCTATCCCCGTGTTCATTTCAAATATGCTGATAGCAATGTTCGCCACGGATTTCACAAACACCTGGAGAAGGAGAGACATGTCCAACTTGAACGAGCAGAAGCTATCGGCAGACAACTTCCTGTTGAACCAAGTCTCGCACATTTGAATAATGAGTAGAATGTCGCTGTGGGCATCCAAGGACTTTGGATCTGACATGCAGGCGGCCAGGAGATGAAGCACCGAAATGAGCGGAAAGAACGCGATCCATAGCGACGGGGCCTTTCCGGGGCCATAGGAATGGAAGTTTTTGAGCATGTGCATGATTGTTCTTGCGCTGTTTAGCGACAAGTTCTTGTAAATGTGCGTTTGCTCAGTGGTCACACCGGGGAAGGCAAACATGGTGGGGAGCCGGTTTATGATCATCATATTGAGGAAAAAGGTCAACCTGGCCGTTAACCGGTGTTCTTCGTCGATATTATATATTGCTCTCACTTCCTCAAAGCCTGGCTGGTTGAAGAAGTAGGGCCTGTGATCGGGCGTCATTTGAGCCAACAAGTTGAACATTTTCTGATTGAGAATGTCCACGTTGGCCTGAAGCGCCTGGAACGTTTTCGTGTCTGCCGAAGCTGAGAATAGACGGTTGTAGGTGTCCAATCTCACCTCGAAAATCATGTCGTAATACCTCAAGAACGGAAGCGGGTATGACTTGTTGACAATCTCATACACCGAAAAGCTATTCCGTAGCTCTTCGCTCATATCACTGTAATTGATTATTGGTGGCTTGCCGCTGCGGAAGCAAATCTCCATGTCGAAGTAGCAGGCAATTTTCCAAACAAGGAGCCTTGATTCGAACCCCTCGCGCGAACAATTTCTATAAGTTTCAATCCGGTGGAGCCCGGTATCAAGGGCTTTTCTGATTGCCAGCGTGAAAACAATATGTATAATCTCGGGCGGCTCATAGCACTTGGTGAGAAAGACCCCCAAGAAGAGCATGGCCTTGACAGTCTCGATGCCTTGTGACCGTATACCCAATTGGTAGAAGTAACACATGCAGACATGGATGAGCCCGTCTCTCAAGTTGCTGATTTCTTTCGGAGTGAGATCTTTGATCGGTATTTTGTTTGGGCCATAGGCTGGATCATCACAAGCTCGATCAAACAAAGTCTCCATTGCATCACTGAGGCATATTAGAATTGCCAGTGAGAGCTTGAATAGATCTATGAGCAGAAGGTTCCGTTTGTTCGGATTAGTCGTGCTGTAGTATTTTGTTAGGAACGTTTCGATTTCTTCGATCAGACACAATGCTTGGACGGCATTGAACGAGTTCTTGTACTTTTCGAACAAATCGAAAATAGCCTCTTTCTTGTTCGGTAGTGGGGATCGGATGAGCTCCATGTTTTTGCAATGGTTGCTGTTGTTTGGGTCGAGCCACATCCGAGCAAAGGACCTGGTCTTGTTCTCAAAAACGTATGGTAGATTGATCAAGGGCACGATCAAGTGCTCATTCTTTTCCGAAAGCTGGCCCTTCATCCAGGTCAAACTACTTTTGGAGATAATGGAGAAGAAAGAGTGGTTTCCAAGATATAGCTCGTTGGGCTTCCCCGTACAGCCAATGATATCGGAGGGGGATGCGACTTTGTCTTCGTCTTGAGTCGCATCGGAACTCTCACCATCCTCGTTACCAAACCCAAATGCTTGCGGCTCGGCTTTGACTGGGATCTCAGGCTGTGTGGCATTGTTGCCAGGGATGCTAGATGCAACAGACTGGATCAACGCCTCTAGTCGATCGAGCCGAGAGTTCAAATACGTGAGAACTTCGTCCAGCTTCAGCGTCCGTTGTTTTTTACGAGGGGGCCTCGACAACTTCTCGTCATAGATGCATTCTGGCTCTTGAGTGACTTGACAGTTGGTGCATACTGTGGCACCGTCACATTTTATTTTCTTCTTTCGGCAGTTGTTACAGGCAACTTTAATTCTCTTCTTTTGCAGGTCATCAGACAGCCTCTCCGTGGCATGTTCGTACTCGGACATACGGTGGGCGTTATATGAACAGATGATAAAGATAAGCAGGAGCCGCAGATCGGGCCGTTTGTTTTATATAGCACAGTGCTTCTTCTGCTGATATCTGCGTCATCCAGATTTCGATGCGTATTGAGCCCATTAGTCATGTCGCCTTCTGTACTGCAGGAGAGGAGCCACGCTTGGTAAGTCACTTGTTCTCGTATTTTCGCCCTGCTCTTGACATTTCAAATAAAACAAGGGATGGTTTCTGTTCCACCGGGCTTCTGTGCCACTTGGCGTGTGTATATAATGGTGGTATTTAAATGAAAAATTGAAACGTCTAAACACATTTTTGTTGTGCTACCTCGCGTTCATTTTAGGAAGCCCGTGTCATTAGCATGCGCGGGTCCAGGAACAAAGAGGTTTCCGGGAGCCGAGACATGGGGCACGGGTATGCATCCGGCAGCTGAACATAAATGTAATTTCGTTCCTTTTCGTTTTCGGGACTTCTCATGCACAATATCTGGAGGTCAGAACTGGTTCATAGTGCCGTGCGCCGCTAGGAGACTTGGGGCCCCAGCCTATCCCCGGACCAATTTCCGCAATGAGGCTTAATTTTATATCTCCCGAAAAGCTGGAATATAGAGGTTTATTACTGAGCACGCCAGCTGGGCCTGTGTCAACGTGTGCCGCTATCTGGAAACTCAGCAGTAGGCAAAAGTCCCGACGTCTGATAGGTGCGCCTGCATGCGAGCGCGAATCATCATGAGCACCGAAAGGCCTACATTTCCAACGTTCTTTCTTGCACGGCCTCGGAATTAACCTAATCTTCAATTGGGCTCTCTTCTGTCGCTATAAGATGGTTGCACGCAAGCCGATTTTCGCAAATAAGGAGGACGCCAACGCGCGTGAGGCGTTGGTGTTGTACGAAGCCAAGCAGTACAAGAAAGCGTTGAAATTGGTCGACCAGAACTTGAAAAAAAACTCTTCTCATGCCGAGTCGTTGGCTTTGAAAGGATGCTCCAACTACCAGTTGGGCCACAAGGCGGACGCAGAGTCGTACATTGCAAAGGCGTTAAAAAAAGACCCCTCGAACTACTTGGTGGACCATTTGGCCGGGATTTACTATAGGAACGTAGAAAACTACGCCGAGGCTGCCAAGTGGTACAAAGCTGCGTTGGACAACGGCTCGCAGAACACGCCGATCTTGCGAGACTTGGCGCTTCTCCAGGCACAACTTAGGGACTTCAAAGGCTTAAGAGAATCGCGGGTGAAGTTCTTGGAAACCCAGCCGGGGTACAGGGCCAACTGGACGGCCGTTGCCGTGGCCCACCATCTAAACAAAGACTACGATTCGGCGGTGACCACTTTGGCCAAGATCGAGGGCATTATCAAGGAGCATTTACAAGAACAGGACAGGTACGAGCAGAGCGAGTGTGTGCTATACAAGAACCTGATTATTGCCGAATCGGGCAATTTCGGCCGGGCTTTGCAGGAGCTCGAGGCGGACGTGGGCGAGATCCGTGACCGCGTTTCCTTTTTGGAATACAAGGCCAAGTACTTGTTGCTCTTGGGGAAGCATAAGGACGCCTCGGTCGTGTACCGGCAGTTGATCCAGATCAACCCAGATAACATGTCTTACTACTATCTTCTTGAGACCGCGTTGCTGACGCCAAGCGAATCTGAGGAGCTCCGTTTGAAATTGTACGACAAGCTCGCGACCTTCTACCCCCGCTCGGACCCGCCGCAATTCATCCCACTCACTTTCTTGCCAGCTGCGCACCCGGAGTTCCGGTCCAGGGTCAAAGCATACATTGTGTCCCAATTGAAGAGGGGAGTTCCCGCCACGTTCGTGAATGTCAAGCCCTTGTACAAAAACAGCAAGAAGATCGAGGTCATTGCTTCTGTTCTCGAGGACTTTGCTGCGACCGAAGTGCCCCAGTTGCCTCCGCCAGTCTCTGTATGGACATCGTACTTTTTGGCCCAGCATCATCTTTATCTCGGCGACTTGCCTGCGGCTACGCGTCACATCGATGCGGCCTTGGTTCACTCTCCTACGCTTGTCGAGCTCTACATTCTCAAGGCACGAATCGTGAAACACACCGGAGATGCGCAAAAAGCCAGCGACATCATGCAAGAGGGCCGCGGCCTCGACTTGCAGGACCGATTCATCAACTCCAAAACCACCAAGTACTTGATGAGAGCCAATAGGGTGGAAGAGGCCATCGACTGTGTGTCTCTTTTCACGAAATTGGAAGACGGTGCCATCAACGGCCTCAAAGATGCCCACGTCATGCAAGCAAACTGGGTGTTGATCGAGAGTGCCGAGGCCTACTACAGACTCTACCAAGAAAAGACAAAGGAAGTTGCGGCCTTGGGAGGAAGTCCAGAGGAGGCCGCGAGGGAAAGCGAGATTGCTTCGTTCTACCGAGGCTTGGCATTGAAGAGATTCTTGGCAGTGATCAAGGTATTCAAAGTCTTTGTGGCCGACCAATTTGACTACCATTCCTACTGCATGAGAAGAGGAACCCCGCGTGGCTATGTGGACATGTTGCAATGGGAAGACCGCATCCACTCTACGCCCATTTATGTCAGAGCCGTGAAGGGTTTGATGGCATTGTATCTGGATATCGTAGACGAAGAGCCCGAGGCGGACGATGAGAAGTCCAAGAAAAAGAAGTCCAAAAAGGGGAAGCCCTTGAACAAGAAGTTGAATGAATGGGCTTGCAAGGTCGAGTCCGAGAAGAACGACGAGGATGTGTTCGGTCAAAAAGCGTTGGCTGATTTGAAAGACAACAACACCATCGATGCCGCCATGGAATCGTACGTGAAGGAGTTGACATCCGAGGCCGACCAGTACAAGATCACTTGGGAGTTGGCATACGGTCTTTACAAAAGAGAGCTGAAATACGTCTTGACTTTGCAAGCTTTGAGAAACTGGGCCAAGATCGTGGACCCAAACAACTTGAAGCTCAGGTCTGTTGGCGAAAAGGTGCTTGACTTCAAGGCCGCGTTGGCGAGCGACACGACGGCCAATCCAGCAATTGTGAAGGTTGCTCAAAAAGGTATCGAGGGCGCCTTCCCACAGTTGAGCGAGGGCGAGGACAAGTTCAGAGAAGTTTACTCGAACTAAGTGGGTCTGTTTATGTATTGGTATAGACGTACGCCAGGCTAAGAATTAATCCAAGTCTCGACCTGAGACCGTGCTACTCCAGATGCTAGATTGAGTGTCTGTTGGCCCATGGGGAAGTAGCTGACAGTGTACCAGATGGCACTTATTAGCTGGATGATGGCAAACACGATGGAAAGAAGCGTGGACTTCAAGGACAAGCTGGAGACCAAAGTCATGATGATGCTCGTGACGAAGGTGATGGTGAAAGGGATTCGCGTGGAGGACATCAAGTGGAGCATGTACGCCTGGAAACCTTGCAAGACGCCGAAGCTGACCAAGAAAAAGATCGAGCCCAACGACCAGAGCAAGGCAAATTTGCGAGGCTTCAACAGCAACACGGGGAACAAAAATATGCAGATGAGGTAGCACGACACGGACCCTGCAAACGTGAGCCCGAAAATGAGCATGCGGTCCCAGCGAGAAAGCTCCAAGAACCCGGGTTCTGGCGTCACGTAGTTTTCCTCGTCCTGAAGATAGATGTTTTGGGACCTGAAAGGGTTCAAGTTTTGGAGTCTTGTTTTGAGCAGGTTATCGTCTCTTTCCTGAGTCACGGGTGGGGGCAATGGCGCCCCGTCTCTGTGGGCGCTCTTGGACTTGAACGGCTTAAAGAAACTCATGCTTAGCGTGCTGAGTTTGTGCTTTGGCAGGGAGAGAAGCTCGGGATTTGCGGGGTGGCTCGCGTCTGTGGGCAGCCTTGGTGTTGTGTTTGTGTGATAGGAGTGTGTGTGTGATAGGAGTGTTTGTGCAATAGGAGTGTTTGTGTGTTTGCAGAAGCTGCTGAACGTTGATGGATGGCACCGATGTATACACTCGTACTTTGTAGAGCGAGGTTGGAGATTTAGTGATAGGCCCACGAAGGCGAATGTTCGCGGGTGCGGGGCCTCAGGCCCAGTGCTCATAAGAGGGCAATACAAGCATTGGGACACCGCCACAACATGCAAAGCGGAGCCAAATTCCTATTTTTTTTTGTGTGTTTTGAATTGCGCTCGAGGTAATAAGAAGCACAGGCTATTTTTTAGTACCAAACAGACCGACCTTATGCAGAACTCCCTGGCCGCTGTCCATTCTATCTTCTCCAGTGGCTCTACGGACAGGGCCGCTGGCGCCGCGACTTTTAGGGCCAGTCTCAGACCAGGCCCCAGAACGGCTCCACCATCGCTCGCCAGCAAAAACAGAGATCTAGGGATTGTCGGCCACAAACAAGCACAGCCCACCACAATCTGCCCACAGCGCTGCCATCTCGCATTGCCCGCCCCCACCTCGCCACTCGCCCGCAATGTCCGTTGAATTCTGCAAGACCTACTCGCAACTTATCGGGTTATCTCCGGACGCCCCAGCTTCTGCGTTCCACTCCACCGAAAACTACAACCAGTTGGGCTCGTTGGGCCCGAGCTTGCCCAAAGTGGAGCACGCGTTCCCAAAGACCCGCACGCCGGCCCTGCAAGACGCGGCCGTCGACATCCACTTGCGGTCGATCCGCCCCCCATACAAGTTCTCTACAACGTTGCAAAGCGTGCACTCTTCCCAGTCCGTATACAAGGTCAAAAGTCTTTTGGTGTCTGCCGTGGACGCGTTGCAGCAGGCAGGCGTCACGCCGTCCAACTTGAAGTTCATGATCAAGTCGAAAGTGCTCACGGACTCCACCTCTATTTCCTCTTTGGTGCCGGACGGCACGGAACTCTCCATCACCGTCATGGTTTCTGCGCCCTCGGCCGACAAGTCGCCAGAACCCGCCGCTGGTTCCGACGCTGACCCCCCTGCCATATCTGCCGGAACATGGGGCAAGATCCACGACCTCTTGGTGGCCGAAGTGGGCGCCGAGAACGGCCAGCGGATCCTTGGCAAGTTCCGTTCCGTGGCCTAGGCTGCCCCTAACTCAAGCTACATACATAACAGTAAAAACCCCAGCTCCTTCCACTAAGTTTCCCGGTCTTTTTGCTCGCTCCGCCGGGCCCACCTCTTCGACACGAGTTCATTGAGGGTATGGCCCTCCCTTCTTCCTACGCGTGCTTCGAACATATAGTATGCGGCCACGCCAATGGACACTGCAATCACAGGGTCGGCCACGCGGGATATGAGATACTTGTACTGCATTGGTTTAGTTGCGTGGTGTGCTTTGACAGATGGTGCCCGACTTGATCATTCAGAACATTCGCGGAGCGCGCGGCGAAAAATACCAAAGGCTCGAATCAGGGCACCCGAAACCGGCGCATGGGCCCCGAACCGGATCTGGGCTTCCGCAAGCTCGTCTGTCCTGGCGACGAGCCGAATCTGGCCTGTTGTGTTCACCTTGCTCTTTCATGCGTGCATTTTCTCTAATTTGGCGCTTGCTCATCTACTCGTACTTACCCTTCTACTCGTACTTACCCTCATACTCGTACTTGCCCTTCTACTCGTACTTGCCCTTCTTCGCAAACTTCTTCTTCATCATACCGCTCATGTGCCTGTTCCACGCAACGCCACTCATAATTGACTTGTTGAATCCGTAGACGTCATGGATACTCTCTTCGGCCATCGTGCCAGAGCCCGCAAGCGCATCGCGCTCCGACTCGCTCATTTCTGCTCCCAAGACTGCCTTTTTCGTTTGGAGCTTGTTTCTTTGGTACGCCACGAACTCCCGGCACTTGTTGATCTCGTTCTGCGACAAGAATCCGTACCCGTACCCCCCAATTTTCTTGAAGCACAAGTCGATCAACATGCTGGGATCTGTGATCTGCTTGGGGTAGTTCTGCATGAACTGGAACAACTCGATCTGCTCCGCTTCAAAATTGGAGTCTGGGCCCTTTGCATCCCTGCTCAATTGGAAACTCGGGTCGTCAAAGCATAAGCGACACAACGTTAGGGATACACGGAAGATGGTCTTCGAGCCCTCGTACCAGATGATATCCCAGATTCTCAAGACACTCTCGATGGGCAAAACGCCTATGAAAACAGACATGAACCACGAGGAAGTGACAAGCGTAAGGGGCGGGAGTCTGGTGAGAATCTTGTCTTCCTTCAAGATGGACCCGTCGTAGTTTCTGCCTATAATGGCCCAGAGCTTGGGGATGTACTCCTTGATGCACATCATCAATACGCCTTGGTCTGTATGGACCCCTTCGAGATCTGCTGAGTGCACCTTGGGAATGATGCGTTCCGTCATGATGACAAGCATCCAAAACGCATGCTCTTCCGACATGAACAAAAGAAGGAGGCCCGAGATGAAATTAAGCGATTGGCAGTACCCGATTTGCGGCTGGTAGTGTGCAAACGCCGTAAGCACCCTCCTGAGGCTGGAAATCATCGCCGTTTCTGGCGGCTCGCCGCCGGTTTTGGGCTCCAGCAGGCCGCTTGCCTTGAAGTGTATGTTATCCGGGAATGTGCGATGCAAGTCACGCTCAATGACCTCTGTATCTTTATTATGCGTGCCCTCTGTGTCTGTCACAATTTTGTGGTACACGCCCACGTTCTTGTTAAGCCGCTCGTTGCCTCCAGCGTAGAAAAACCATGCACTTCCACGCCACTCTGGAGGAATGCCTCGTCTGACAAGCTTCTTGATCTTATCGGATTTGGGTGGGAAGCTGTCCGGACACGGAGCGTGCAACTGGCTGGATAAACCATTTGATTTCATTTGAAGCTCCCATTTTCTCTTCTGGGCTAGCACGTGCAGCAGGTATCTCTTAAACCATTTATTGTACGACGCCAGCGTGGATGCAAACAACAGCGAGTTCTTGTGGAACCCGTACAAATCAGTGTCACTGGTCAAGATCTGCTTGCTGCGCTTTTCATCCAAAGGAAGAATCACGGGGCCTGCCCGAGATTCAGCCAGATTGGCTGATGCTTTGCTATTTCGAACTGATGTCAACGTATGGTTGGGCGTGTCGTCTGCGCTAATTCTGACGGGCAGAAGCAGAACATGGGATGCAGTGACACCAGAGTTGTTTTCGCATATGGACGTCATTTCGTTGGCGGTTTCCACATCGTAAAAATCAAGAAAAGAGTAGTTATGAGAGTTGTAAGACTCCGACCGCCCGTGCGTTTTGGGCGAGAGTAGAGCCTCGTGGTTCTGCAGCTCTGCAGCCATGTTTTATGGAGATGAAGGTGTAGTAAACAAAAAGGACTATTCCAATAGCATGGAGGCTCTTTCTGGTGTGAGCTGTATGCAAAATGACAGGATCTAGTGACCTGATCCTGGAGCTGTGACTCAGTGCTTGTATTCAAAAGACCGGGAAATTCCGAGACAGAAAAAAATCAAAGACTGACAAAAGCTTAGGGTATGCTGGTTTTGGAGCTGGCGAATAGATGAGGCCTGATTTGCGATTCCGTGGGAATCGAAACGATGTAGAGAAAGATTCTCTGTTCGGCTGGACAGGCACCTCACTGAAGACAATCTGCATGCCTGCTGATTGGAGACGTGCGGGTGCAAAACAACCAACGTTGCCATTATCTACTACGACCACCGGAAATATAAACTAGGTAAAAGTAATGATTTATTTGACGGAGAAACGAAACGACAAAAACACAGAATACAAGGTTCTTATCTGGTATTTTCCAAGAGACTGTTGGTTAGCACAGCAGCCAATAAGTGGCTACTATGAGTATGACCAAGCCATGCACCATACTTACAAGAACAAGGTTTATTCATCCCGGTTTTTAGTATGAGACACGATGTTTGAAGACATTTTTTTCAAAAAAGTGAATAGGAATTATGGCGCTATTGAAGAGCCTGGATTCTTGGGGGAAGCTTGACATTCGTATCTACATTCATCTTTCTGTATTTATATCTCCTCCCAATCATGGTGAATTTTTAAAAGCGCGCCACGATATAATAAAATTACGCCAACTCAGAAGAGAGAGACAAGATGATTTCAAATCAAAACCAAAAAAGAAGCTATATCAGCCTTTCAAAGCTTAGGTCACTTTTTTCTGATTCTTTAAGATTAATTCTGCGCTGCTACATTCCTAGGCTAAACAGATTTGACTCTGCTGTCAATATTCTCTAAGCGCAGCACGAACAGGCCGAGGTTCTGGGCTCGTCTTTCGCACCCAGCCTCCATTTAAGCCTGTCGCCTCGTGACCCTAATTAATGCCAATACACCAGGCCTTTTCTCCAGCACGCTTTCACATCTATTTATCGGCATAGTTTTCGGCAAACCACCACCATGCTATGGCGAGACTTCTCTCCACTGAAGGTGTACGAGCTGTGCAAGCCGATGACCTTGCCCGAAGGCGTTCTCATCTCACACGATTTTGCTGAACCAGTGAGATACGTGCAACAAGCAGTATACCACCAGAACTGCCACCACGGCGCAACGCCGCTAATGAATACCAACACCAACTTGGTGATCAACACGTTTCTGGAAAACCTCCCTATTGTGGTGGCGCTGTGGCAAGAGTACACAAGAGGCTCCGGCTCCGGAGGCAGCTTTCTCTTTAGTGTAGCGCCGATAGTATACTCGATGGCGACGCTGGCGGTGATCACGTGGTTCCTTACCATTTTCGTCATGACCAACTATATGATCAAGCCGTCTTTGCTCCTCAAGACGTCGGTGGTCATGGCCTCGGTATACATGCTAATAGTGGTGGTCAAGTCCATTGTGGTCCTTCACAACCAGCAGCGAAATGGCTATTTGCACGGCCAGGTGCTTCTCGAAGTGATCAACCTGAAAACCTACTTGAAGGTGATCGACTTGTTTGTCACGTTTTTCCTCCAGATCAACCAGGTGCAGATCATCATGCGGCTATTCTCGCGGCAGAGCGATAAGAGACTCATTTTCTTGGTGGGGCTCACCACGTCCATCGCCTCACAAACACTATGGAGCGTGAGCAAGTTCCACTCTTTCGCCGACTCCGCCGAAGCAGGAAAAATTCTTCCGGCATTCACGTACTTGATCCGCATTGCAATGAGCATCAGCTACGCGGCCATCTTCACCGCATTTCTCATCACCAAGATCAAGACCATTATGCTCTACCCGAACATATGGCCGATTTCGGTGCTATCTCTCATTCTCATATACACCCCGGTGGCGTTCTTCATCTCCGATGTCTCGAGCGCATGGGTGTATGACCTCGCCGAAATCTTCTCCATTGCCTCCTATGTAGTCTGCGTGGTCATACCTTGGGAATGGTGCAACAAGTACAACGTCATTCGCAAGATACAGGAGAAGGAGGGCGTTCTCGGACGGAAATTCTATGAAGATGAGATATATGAGCTAGATAAGCTCGAACTATTTGTGGAGGAAGACTCGGCGGACGAGTCGTACAATGGCCGGTCCATGAACAGAAGCTTACTTTCCCGCAGGTCGCTACAAAGTCTGAGAACGGCCCCTTCTCTGTCTTCGACTTGCCATGAAAACCCTGTGAAACCGCGCGTGCAAGCGGTCACCGAGAACTTGGGGCATGGCTTCTTCTTCATACGAGACGGTTTTGTCAAGGTGACCGACTTTATCATTGCCACAGGAATGGCCATCCCGAGGTCCGTGAGCGCAGGTAGCTCAGTGGCCGCGGGTTCCTCTCGCTTGCAAGAAGACAGAAACTACTACACTACAGATCATTCGGCGAGACAGGCTTCTTCGAGAAGTGATCCACTGGCCCGCAACGCCGACAGGCAAGGCGGCGAAGTCTACATTTACGGCACCAAAGGCATTAAGATAAGCTTTGACGAAGAATAAGCTTTCCAAAGTAGATCAAATACATCACATATTCACTAAGCAGCACCGGGCGTGTCATCTCCCTTCTCGCCACTTTCGATCTTTTCATGTCCCAACTTCGCCACACGCAAGCACTCCTCCTCGTATCCTGGTATATGGATGTACTCCACGCCTGAGTCTGAGAGCTTCTTCCTCCCCGTGTTTTCCTTCACGAACGTGTCTGGCTCGACAACACCAACAAAACACGTCTTAATTCTCGTAGATAAAACTCGCTCGACGCATGGAACGTTCCCACTCAAGCGCAATGAACACGGCTCCATAGTCGTGTATAGCTCCGTACCTTCGGGTACATCTGTCAGCCCGGTTCGGGCGAAATATTTCTCCAAAGCGCACTGTTCCGCGTGCGTGTTTCCCGGCAATTCTCTGGAATGGCCTGTTTCCAAAACCTCCCCGTCAAGCACCAAGACGGCACCAACATTGAACTGCGTCTGCGTCTCCCCGCACTTCTTAGCATTTTCAAGAGCCAATTCCATGAAAGGACGGTGAGGACTCAAAGCCCACTCAGGATAGTCTGCCTTATACGACCACAGCTTGTCCTCGGCCTCGTATTTGTACGCATGAAGCCAGAGATCTAGGTCATTAGGACCCGGATCCGTGTACAACGGCGCCTGGCATTCGGGGCACGTGTCTTCACTGAGTACCTCGCCATCTTCTTGTGGATGTATCCACGTAGAACAAGCTCTGGATTTCCCGATGGTGTCCAAACGAGCAATGAGAGCCGGATCCGGAACCCCGCTGCAGCCCTTACCCAAGTCTGGGTTACCCCACACGTATTCACTGGCATAAATTGGGTCGTTTGCGATCGGGTGGCCCATGTACTGTAGATGCACTCTAATTTGATGGGTTCTACCAGTTAGTGGGTGGCATTTCACGATGGACGTGTTTGACTTTGGGTCGTACGAGATGCGGAAGAACTCTGTCTCGGCAGGCTTGCCATTTTCATGGTCCACCACGTTGAGCGCATGTTTGGGAGACGCAGTACTCAAAGGCAGGTCTACCTTATGCATGCCCAAGGGAAATTGGCCCTTTACCCGGGCTATGTATTCTTTTCTCACGCTTCTTTCGCGGATTTGCTTCACCAATGAATCGGCGCCCTTGGCATTTTTTCCAAGAAACATAAGGCCCAGCGTGAGTCTATCGAGCCTGTTGCATGGGTGAACAGTGATGCCGTGCTCATGTTGCATGATTTTCGTGATGGTGTTGTAGCGGTATCTTCCTGCTGGGTGCACCGGCAATCCTGAAGGCTTATCAATGGCGATGATGTTGTCGTTCTCGAAAATGATTTTGATTGGGCGAGACGTCACGGCGGGCTCGTGGCGATGCAACCGGTGGCTGATGAGATCCCCATTCTTCACGACCGAGTCGATGCTGGAGGGCGATTTGTTGAGCAAGACCCGCCCTTCGGCAATGGCCTTGCGATAGAACTTGGGCTCCTTGTCCCTAAATTCGTCAGTGAAGATGTCTATGAGTTTTCGGTCTCTCCAGCGGAGTTTGCAATAGGTAAGATACGTGAAGAAGTACGGCGTGACTCTGCGCAAGGGCCCGTCGATTTCGTAGTGTGCACCTTCGGTTTCCTCCTCGTGGATTGTTTTGCTGTTTTCGCCGGTTGAGTGCAAAAGGTTCTTGTCCACCGACTGCTGCTTGAGTCTGAAGCCGAGCTCATCTCTCTGCTTTTTCAGCTCTTTGAACGGCCGCGCAGGCCTTTGTTTTTTCACAGAGGACAAGGCCTCGTTTCCAGAGCCAGCCGCGGGCTCGGCATTCACAGCCGCCATTTCGTCCCGAGAAGCCATGTTGAAAAAAGCTTGGAATTGACGCTTCAAGATCGGTCTCATGAGAAGTGAGCCAATCGAATGGTGATTTTGATGCGCATTCTGCCTGACCGCCTGCACGCCAGTTCTCGGGCAGTGTGCCAATATGGATCCATGTAGAAAAAGCAGGAAGCTCTGGGAAGAAATCGCTGGGGCCGGGTTCAGAGGCGGGCCTGGGCGTGGGATTCTGCAGTCTTTCCCCATAACCACTTTTTTTTTGTATTGTGCTGCCAATGGTGGCCGGTGCGCTTTATTAGGCCATCGACAGTCCCAAGACGAAGGTAGATCTGCCCATTGGAAAGTAGAGCAGTTCTGCCCGTTGGAAAGAAGTCTTGCCGCTGGCCTGCTGTCTATGGGAAAGGGCTGCAAAAAACACCCAGCAGGCAGTCCTCGTCGTCTATATCAAGCCTTGTCTCTTCAACTCCTCGTAGTCCTTGCGTGACATGACGTTCCCGTCATCGTCCTCCACCTCGATAGCATTGTCGTCGTTTTCCTGCTGTGCCAACTCGCCCAGCTTGAGCTTTGCCCACAATTCTTGCACTTCTGCAATGGTGGAGATGTTGGCGAAAAGCGAGGTGTGTTGCTCCAGGACCCCGAGGCACATGAGCCCATGCACGTGTTTGGGCTGGCCAAAGTGCTTGTTGAACTGCTGCCTTCCTTTGTACGCAATGTTTCCACACACTTCACACAGATACGAGCGGTGGAGGCCCTGCAATCTGTAGAGCCAGAGCGGAATCGGGATTCCGTCCGAGCCCAAGGGCAAGTCTTTGGAGAAGGCGGCATCGAAGTCGTCCTCGTCCTCGGACGCCTCGCCGGCCGAGTCCGAGTCTAGGGCCGTGTATTCCGAAAGCTCGCCTTCCAAGGCAACTCGCTCAAGTTGCTGCTCACGCTCGGAGAAGCGGGCCTGTCGTTGGTGGTCGGTGATGGTGATGTCGATGATGGGCTTGAGGCTCGTGGCAAGAGCCCGGATCTGCGCCTCCAAGTGGCTCGGCTGGAGGGCGGACGTCTCATTCTTTGCACCGGCCTGCTTCCTGTCTTTGTTTTTCTTGTGCCTCTTGCCCGAAAGGTGGCCCTGGTACACCGACTCCTTGGCAAAGAGCTTGTCGCAGGCGCAGCAAAAGACCTCGCCGTTGGCATTGGGCTTCCCGAGTTCCTCCGCGGATGGCGGCCTGGCCTCCAGAGAGGAACCAGCAGCGATTTTCTCCAGAGAAGCACCAGCAGCGGTTTCCGGCGACAACGGAAAGACGTTGGCATGGAAGTTGCGCAAGTACTTGAGGAGAGTGTCGAGATAGCTGCTGTACGCCGGGGCCTTGCTTCTGCATCCAAACTCAAGAAACGCCCGGAGGTAGTCCACGTAGCTTTGCGGCGAGCCCAGCAAGGACTTGGCCATTTCATACGGGAGGCTCAAGTCCACGTACTTGCCGTATGACTCCGACTCGGAAAACGCCAGTTTGAGCTGCGCATCAATGTGCACAGTGGCCGAAGAAAGAAGATACTTCCGCTTCACTTTGGCCGACTTCTTGGGGTCCTCTGCCTTTGGCGCACTCAGGTACATTGCATAGGAGTCTGCGACGGAGCCGGCGCTGCCAGGCGCGGCGCCATGGTACTTGTCATCGATGTTGCGAATGGTGGCTAGAATATGCTGGAACTTGAGGTCGGGGTCTTTGAAGGCCGAGATTTCGCTGGCGAGGGCGTCGCCCGCAAACACGTTGGTGCACCGTTCGCCGTCCATAGCATACTGGCTATGGAAAAACGCTAGTTCGTGCTGGTGCATGATGTTTTCCAAATGTGGTCGTTTGGGCTTGGATTCAAGCACCTCATCGGCCAGCAGTATACGGGCTGCGGCTCGTAGGGCCGGGTTTTTCCGGAACCGCTGGGCCGCAGCCGCCTCGAGCACATTGAGCTCCTCGAGAAGCTGTCTCTGGGCTTCAAGGGACATTTTGGTTTTCCGAACGTACGTGGTTTTTAGAAGAGGCAAACTATCGAGAAGAGCCAAGACCGAGGCCTGCCCGAAGCTCAGCTGTCTAGATATGCACTGAGCGCGCATACACTAGTATTGGCACAGGTGATATATGGCCCTGGTAGAGCCAGTCCAACAAGGCCACTTCCTTTAGGCGTTTTGCATTTTTCTTTTAGGGAAACCCGCGTCTTCAAACTCCGTTTCTGGTATGCTTGCAAAATCGCCAACTCGGGAAAAAGACAAGTACTCTCGCAGTGCTGGCGTGCCCACTATGTACCTGAGTGGTGCACATGGTGGTTCGTTATCTTGTAGCGTGAATGCTTACTCCGAGGCAGGTCCTAACCACACCTTCCACACAAAGCTCTGACCTGACGCATCTGAAACGTCATAACCATCCAAAAGCAAACAGAATCCTGCTCCGCACTCTGCCCTGAGCCATCGATTGCTAGTATCGATCTGCTATACCATCCCCTCACTATATACACCGGGAGGGATGTCGATTCCCTTATACCTCCTCACATTGAACTGTGGGAAACTCCAAATCAACACGGCTGATTTTGCCGACAACCTCCAGCAGTCGCTACCGGATGCGCCATCCGACTTGTTCGTGTTTGGCTTCCAGGAGATATGCTCGATTATGGATGGCACTTTCGCCCCTTCTGCCCGAAAACACATGTTCGATATCAACCGAATCGTTTTGCATGCCTTGAACACAAAGTACAATGGCCCGGCAGATGCCGATCTCGCGTTCACGACTCTCGGGGTCCATCACGTGGGCGTCATCGGCATGATATTGGTGACCCCATTTGCGCTGAAGTTTGGCACCTGCAGATTTGCCGACGCCAGCTGCGGCAATGCCAAATCACTGTTGAAAGGTGCAGTGGGTATCCGAGTGAGTTACTCTGCTGCCGACTCGCTGCTGACCGAATTGACCTTTGCCACGGCCCACCTCTCAGCTTTCGAAGGTTCGTTTTACTACGAGCGACGCATCCAGAATATCCAGACATTGATGCGGGCGCTAGATTTCGGCGACGGATTCAGCTTCCTAAAGCCGGGCTCACACGCATTTTTCATGGGCGACTTGAACTTTCGGACGACGCAAGACCCGAAGAACTACGAGGCCGCATTGGGAGAGCTCGTACAGCTACAGGACAACACAAAACAGCTCGAGCCAAACATTGTGCCGAGTCTCGTGGCGAAGTATGACGAGCTTACCCGAGGCCGAACGGAAGGCGAGCTTTTCTCTGGTTTTGATGAGCCTTGTATCACCTTCCATCCCACATACAAGTTTCACTTGAACACGGCGATATACAATTCCAAACGCTGTCCGCTGTGGTGCGATCGAATCCTCTATCAGTCCACATACAAGAAAGGGAAAGTGCCCGTGATACACGAGTACAACAGTGCATCGACATACCTCCGCTCTGACCACCGGCCCGTGTACTTGAAAATCACTGTTCCTCTAGAAGCACCCGAGTCGATTATCGCAGAAAACGGGTATTTTGTTGTTCTACCTGCTGCTTCCCATCTTGCACACAACAGCCAACTTGAAGGTTTCGATCCCAACACTGCCGTTAGCGGACCCACACAGGTGTACATGAAATTCACCGCGCTCGACCGATTGCACCAGTATGCTTTCCGAAGAATTGCCGATTTGGGAATTGGATATGGGTTGTGGCTTGCGACCACCACGAGGGGAAGACTTGTCGTCTTCGTTCTTGCGCTCATGGCCTGGCTATTGTATGCAATGTAGTTAAATAGGCTCGGGCGGATCCCGTGGAACCATCATGCACCTACCTTTTCAAAGACAAAGCCTATGTAAAATGCCACGGCCTCCTTCTCATCGCCTTCAACGCCATATTTTCCGTCGGCCCTTTTCATTCCCTCGATCAAATTCTTGTTCAACTTGCTGAAGTATTTTGGGATTTCCAGGCTGAAGATCTCCGAGAAGTTCTTCCTGTACTTGAGAATAAGACCGTAGTCCTCACACAACAGCCGGAGCGTTTCAAAGGGAACCACGTACTCCGGAACATCGTCCACCGCGTCTTTCAAAAAATAGTCATAGCGGTTTCCATAAGGAGACCTGAACACACCGTCTTCCGGTGGCTCTTGCTCGAACTTGACATGATATAGATCATTGCCAAAGGTCCGATCGGCGATCCACTTCTTCTCGATGATCTTGTTGCGGATGAAGTCTGATGACGGGATTGTACCAATGAACGTGCCTCCCGGGCGCAAGGACCTCGTGATGTTCGTAAGGACCTGGCGCACTTTCGACTCACTTTCCCAAGCGTAATGAAACGAGAATTGCATGGATACTGCGTCCACAGGAAACAAGCCTTCGATGATTCCCGGAAAGTTCTTCTCCAAGATCTCAGGCACGGAGTACGTGAACAAGTCACCCGTAGCAAAGCACGCCTCGAAGTTGTAGCGGCGAGAGTCTCTGGAGCGCTTTGACTGAGGATTCTGAGGAATGAATCTTGCTTTGTTCTGCGAGTATCTGGAATAGGCCTCTCGCACCGAAGCATCACTGATATCAATGCCCACATAGTGGTCCACACTGGCAAACTCACACTTGTTTAGATCCCCGCCTTTTCCACAGCACATGTCCAAGATCACGAGCGGGGCTTGTGGTGCCCTGCGCTTGACCCAGTTGCCTATGAGCATATACTTGATGGCATTGTTGAAGTTGCGCATCTTGTAAATGGGCGATTTAGTCCGCGATCCTTGGAGCTTTGACTGATATGTCCGCTGGTTGTAGTGCTGGCGTACAATGCTATTGATATCCTTGTTTTCTTTGTGGGCAATGTTACTCTGGAACGTGCGGTAGTCAGCATTCATCCCGGGCCCAGACACGCTAGGAACTGAGGTGTAGGCTGCAACTTCCACGCCCGGATCTGCCACCTCGTCAGCAGGCAAAATGTCCTTGCGTTTGATTTCAGGCTCGGGCTCGCGTCTGATGACTCTGGTATCCGTGGCAGGCCTAGCAGGCGCCCCGTACTTGGCATAACGGTCCTGATTCGACAGCTGTGGTTTTGGCGCATCCGCCGCCAGGGTATGCTTGCTATATTTGGCGTACGGGTCATCGTGGGTTGCCCGCTGGCCATATTTGTCGTATTTGTGAGCACCGTCATTCTGGAGCTTACTCTTCATCCATGCCGGGACCTCCAGGGCAGTTTCTTTGTACACCGACGACGGGTTTTTCACGTATTTCGAGGATTTGATTGCATGTGACAGGTCTTTGCGCCGGGAGAGCGAACTGCTGAGATCATCATCGTCCAAACGGGCTGTTTTATTGCCCTCGCCGTTTGCTTCACCGGGCGAAATCGGTCTTTTCACTCTCAGATTGGGGGTATCTGAAGAGGAGGTACCGGTATGGCTTTTTGAAGATTCTGCCGCTGGCAAACTGCTCGTTTTTTGAAGGTCGCTTGGGGGCAGTACTTCTTTGGCGTGGCCCGGAATATCAGATTCGACGGCAGAGCTCATTCTTTGGATGAACGTTCACAAAAAATGGGTTTCAACTGCAGAACCGAGTGTCCTTTTTTTAGATTTATGCAACTGAAAGCGGGGGAATGAAAACAATGCAATGAACGACGGGTATGGGCACTGATACGGCTTTGTCGAAGAAAAAAGATAGAGGCATGGTCAGTGCAATAATAAGCCGCGCAAAAAAAGGCACCACAGTAGTGCGTTGCTATAAAGCATCCAAATAATTGGCCTGGATTGATACTCACTCGGAAAGAATTACAGATGTCATTCCAAATTCATGACTCGAAGACCAATCATACGTTCCGCTCAAAAAACATATTTGATGGGAAGTTGCTTTATGGAGATAGCATTTGGACATTGAATGGCGCGACAGACTGATGGTACATTTCCTATAAATCGCCTGGGTTCAGGCATCCCGTGGATTGACCCGTATTTTCACTTCAAAGCGCGGGTGTACTCTCGCAAGCCTTCTTGAACAGCTCCACAATCGGATCGAGAAACAGTTTTTTATTGGGCATATAATGGCCGCCGTCGTGCTTCATGATGTCGATCTGTGCATAGAGAGAACACAAATACTCGGTTCTTACGGGTGGCACAACCGTATCTACCATCCCATATACAGCCACTGTTTTGGTCCCAGACAGCTGCTGGGTGAAATACTCACGATATAGAGGATTGAGCGAAACTAGGTTCGCGTATTCTCTCACATCGGTCACTTCGGAATTAAGACGGGCCATAACGTCACGAGACTTCCTGGGAACGGTGAAGGCAAAAGGTGAAAACATGACTGCTATTGCAAGCGGGCCATTTTGAGGCACCGATTTTTCAATCGAATTGGCAATAACGGCCGCCATGGCTGCGCCCTGAGAAAACCCAATGATGCCGTCGTAGGGCCCGTTCTGTCTGATGTACGCAGTAACGAATTTCATTGCTTCATCGAAACCTTCGTACTCACCATCAGAGGTATGGAGCCACCAGCACCGGTTGAGCCCCTTTTCTAAAATCCTGGCCCATTTTTCGCTTTCTTCCAGTGGATCTTCGGACAATTTGAAAGGGAGTTGTTCCTTGCTAGAGATCACGACTGGAGGGTCAATATAGTCCAAGTCATATCTCAATTTTTTTGTGAGCAATTTTCGAAGTCCCGACGATTTCTCTGCAAACACAGCGCCACTCTGAAGGAAACCTGGAAGACATAGGATTTTGGTCATGGTGCCTCAATACACTCTGATAACTACTAGAAACTTTCCGTCGTTAGGACTTATATTGGAGTGATTAATGTGCGATTCATGCGCAGGAGCCGTGCTTGTAATATCTATGCGGACCCGCTATTGGACATGTAAGCGCATCTGCAATATGCGCTTAAGAAAACACAATCGATTTTCGAAAATCAGTATCTGAGTGGAAGAGGAGGAGGAACATTTTCAACAATATGTTGAGAAATTCAAGCATTCAGTTTGCGATAATTATGATTGCAAAGAAATGTTTGCTGTTGCTTCTCGGTAATGAAGTCATCTCGTAGAAATTTGATCCATTCATCGGATACAAAGAGACAAATGCATCATTCATGTGCTTGTATTTCACCAAAAAAGAAATAGATTTGATTGATAGCGTTATCAGAAGAAAATGCTTGTATATCACAAACCGAAGCGCTTCGAAAATGTTATGATCTTCAATGAGCAGATGTTTGGAAAACAAAGCTGATGGCAAGGATTGTCTGTTTATATGATACTCTAGGTGCTGATATTTTACTTCTTACATGGCTCGTTTCTCAATAATTTGGTCGGTCGTATATTTATTTAGCAGTTCCCTGAATTATAGGCTGGGTCTACTCAACGAGAATGAAATTGGTACTGCCCACCGTACTCGCACCTGTTGCTTAGTTCATTTCAAGCGTATGTGCTCTGTATCGAAAAACACAAATTTTCCATGATGTATTAGGTAGTTTCATGCTTTATAGTACCGTGTTTTGTAAACATATTGTGGTAGCCGTTATAAATCACGAACAAATCGTGATGGAATCAAAAACTGGAGGTGGAGTTACAGCTCAAGTATTGTCTGTCCGAGAATTGAATCGATGAAATGTTGTCAGCCAGTGAATTGTATTTTGACTTTTTCTAGGTTTCAGTTCTTGCTTTGGAGGAGTTTCTTGACACTTTTATTCTTGACAGTTTGTTGGCAAGATTACCGTTCGAAGGAAACACCTTTAACCTCGGTATCGTGAATGAATGTCTAAAACCGATGTCATACAAAAGGTTGTTGGATTTTATTTTCAGTAGTGAATATTGCTGTAATGTTCAGCACATACATCAAATCGAAGAGCAGATGCTTTGGCTTAGATTTGATCTTGTGAAAAAATCAAGCTCATCAGCGAAGTAGTACTACATGAGAATCGTGTTCACACTTTGAAGTGTGTTTCTGCTGGGGTTCACTTGTCGACAGCTCAGCACCATACAGAGGTGTTGTTTGATCACGTCTTTGTTCACATGTGGCAGGGAAGATACCAGATTCCAATCCCTATCAAAATACTTTGCTAGAATAGCCAATGCGAGACCCACACACAAGTCTTTACCCGAGTCACAAAGTATAATTACTTGATCTTGCATACTGACGGTCGATATGGTTTCGAATATTTTCGGAAGAATCTCGCGTAATTGTTTGGAACCCTTTTTCGAGCTCTCCACCCGATGCAATATTATCTTGACTGAAGAGTCTTTGGGCACATTCGTGACAGCAAATTCTGAAGAAAGGACAACTATGTGTGAAATCAGGTCATTGATCTTTGTGATCTCAGAGAAAGATAAGTCTTGGGTGATGGCACCGATCGAAATGCCCGTGTTCTTCAAAGGCGATACATCCATGGCGGACGTATCTTTACACGACTTTGAGTTGGTATAAATTTTTTCAATCCTGGAGAGAAACTCGTCCTCGCCCAACCATAGGCAGATATCCCCTGTAGCCATATCAACTACTCGCAAATCATCCGCAGGCTCATAATAGATCTCATTCCAAAGAAGATTATGGTCGAGTTTCCCCTCGCATATTTCTGGTGATGCCCATAGCTCATGGTCATCAGCAGCTCCTTGTACGTAAGGTTGAGTATAGTGCCAGCCAGGCACGTTTGTCCCAGAAGAAGTTTTGCGTGATGCTGTAAGGCAGCATATGGAGAACTGGTTGTCAGAAGCGCTAACGCGTGACTTTTTGCCCGGATACAACCAATGGGGAACAAGAGGTTTGTGGGCGCCTAACTTCTGTATGAGCTCCTGTTTGACCACAAGCCCGAGTTTTTGGACTTCTCTCGCATGCTCAGGTATGAGTTTCACCATGGCTGAGTGCTCACTTGCTGAGACCATTTCCGGTGGAGTACAAAGCCAGTTATCTTTTGCTAGTTCATCCCATTGATCCACGTCTTCCTTTTCAAACATGATGTAGTTAAGTACGGCACACCACATAGGTACTGTTTTCAGAAGCGCATCGGGCATGATCTTGCCTTTTCTCGTGGAGTCAACCAACACAATTGTTTGGGAAAGCTGGAATAAATCCAACATGTGGAAGTTGAGTCTACGCAAGGAAAACTTCCATTGTCCGGTGTGGCCGTCTGTGGATTTGAAATAGACACTGGCAGCAGTGTTTTTAGGCTCTACGTACCAGAGGCCGCATCGCTCGTTGGCCACTATGGGAAACTCAGAAAACTGGGCCACATACTTGGCATCGAAAATAATGGACTGGATGCGATTCCTGACTGTTGCACTTTCTCGCCGAAGATCTTTGAGAATCTGCGAATATTCCATTGTGCTGCTTCCCTTCAATAGGGTTCATTGTATCACTCAAACATTGTCTGGGTGCGATGCGCACAGCAGCCCGGGCCCGGAATACAAAACAGACATCCAGGAAGTCGTCTCTTCGTTTCAGGTTCAATATTACCAGGCGAGCAAGACGTCGATTTCTGATAAAATTAAAATTGTCTTTATCAGACTTCAGACTTGTAGTAGTCTGTTACTGGAACTATGTCAACTATTCAAATCAGATTTTCGTTTAATCAAAACGTATAAAAATCAGGACATACCACTATAGATCTAACCCCTTGCCATGTCTGCTAAATGACATATCATCGCTAACGCCACTTTCTTCCTTTTTTCTAATTAAGAAATATATACAATCAATGATATTTCGGCAATAGGGCAGCTCGTGCTGAAAAGCAATGTATTGTGCCAAATAACAATACGCGCGCTAAACAAAGCATATATTATTGAGAGAGACAGATCAAGAGATTTGTGCTATTGATTTTCCCCCTTTTGCTACTGTCAGTAACAGTTCACGCTTGGAGAACCCATTTCTAAGAAAAAAGTCAGTAGCATTCCGATAAAAACTGAAGCTAAGCAAAAAATTTATGACGCCATGAAAGAACTCGACCTCATATTTTCCAGGCTTTCAAAAACCTCAGCCTCAAATAATGCGAGTTCATGTAACCCTGCTGGCTTCGAGAACGATATATATGTTTCTCCTTAATTCAGACTTGTCGTGAGTCACTGGCTGTTTAAGCGTCTAGGGGGTCATTCATTATGATGTGAGAATCCGTGAGATATTTGTGCTATTGTCTCCTCTTCCCATAGCTCAGGACCTACATTTTTCTTGTATATATTTGTCACTTTTTCATGTGAAAAATTATTCAACAGTTGATTTTAAGATTTTTTTGACCGATTGCCTCATAGGACATGAAAAAAAGACTCATACAATTCTTCCTCTAGATTCTTGCGCTTCAAACCTTACGATAGCAAATCCAACAGAAATACCAGCCACGAATCGTAATAGCTGATTTAAAGCTAGTAGAGCAGAGATGAATTCCATATGTGAGTACCAGAATCACTTGGCCCATGTGTTGTATCTTGAAGAAAAATCATGGCTTTCTGATGATGCCATTCACCTTATAAAATTGGATGACTACATGTTCAAGTGGGAAAAAAGACATGAGAATGCATTCACATATGAAGGGTTTCGTGTTAAAATACCGATGTCAAGTAGCTTTTTCACAAAGTATCTCAAGAAAAAGCTGCAAGAACTTGGCAAAACCTCATTCACCAAAGACCAGGCATTCTTCTTGATATATGGCAATGAAGTGCCCTGGTATGGATATGTAAAGAGTATTTTTATTCAAAAGAGAAGTTTTTCTGGAGAAGGTGCCACTTTTAAAGTCTTGAATATGTTTCTTAGTCCATACTCATGGAACAAAAAGAGGCAATACAATCAGTTGGCCTCGAAAATGGTAACACTATTGCCTGCTTCAAAAGCCACTAGCCGGTCGTTGAATGCAATGCACAATATCCTGAATAATGTGGTGGAAAGCTTGCTTTTGAACAAAAATATTGAGTTCGAAAGTTCGCAAATACTCTCAGGTGAGTTACTGAATGTCAAACTCAATGAGTCTCAGAGATCAGCGGTCCGTTATGCAATGGCTAATCCGATTACAATCATTGAAAGTCCATCCGGCACCGGATCGACCTATGTGATTGCTGAGATGGTTTCCCAATTTTTGCGAAGAGACGTATTCCCAATTCTTGTGATATCTGAGTCAAATGCTAAATTGGATCAAATTGCCAATTTGTTACTCCCTGAGCTCGAACTGACTATTTTGAGAGTAGTACCCGGGAGCCGAGAAGCAGAGTACAGTAGGTCTGAAACAATTGGTCCAATTTGCTTGCATCATAAGTCTTATGAAGCCATGCTGCCAAACGTACAACTGCTTTTGGACAAATTGAGCGATCGGTCAGCGCTGGTCAGTCACAAGGAGTACACTTGGATCTTGAAAGCTCGCAATCCAGTCTCAGAAAACATAGTCAAGCAAAGTAGGGTCTTTCTCACCACATCAGTTATGGCAGGCAGCTCTCAGCTCCGAGTAATACCTAAGGTGCCAGTGGTCATTATAAACGAGGTCAGCCAATGCCGTGAGTCATTGAGTTTGATCCCTTTATCATTTCCCGGTATCGCCAAAATTATACTTATTGGTGATAAAAATAAATTGACAGGGAAGAAAGTGACGTCTGGTCTAGCCGCCTCTTTGTTTGAAAAAGTGATTGCAAACGGGATGTACAAACCTCATCATTTGCTAGATACACAATACCGCATGAGTCCAGGAATAAGTAAATTTCTGACGAAGCTTTTCTGTCCCCTCCTTCAGAACGGAATCAATGAAAGAGGTCGTACTATAAAAGACTGCTTATCTAGACCAGTTGTATTTTGGGACACTAACAGTCAGATCCTGCCTTGTTTTTCTAGTCAAGCCGAGGGTAATCTGAATCTTTCTTTTTTTAATGAAGGCGAGGTTGGTCTCGTTCGGAAAGTCTTAGTCCAATTGATATACGAAAAAAGCATCCCCAGAGCAAAAATTGGAGTGCTTTCTCCATATAACTACCAGCTGTGCTTGATAGCCTCCGCACTTGCCGAAGATCCTCAAATTAACCCGAATGCAGAGAAAGTCACGACCGAGTACGATTTTGACAAACTCAATTGGGCAAGCTCGCTCCCTATTCTCACATTATCGGAGATTGTCATCTCAACCATCGACGCATTCGCAAGCAGAAACAAGGATTATATCGTTATTTCTTGTGTCGATTCAACTGAAGACGGCATAATGAGAAATTGGGGAGATGAAAGGCAATGTTATGTCGCATTTACGAGAGCAAATGTTGGACTCATCATCATTGGTAACGAGTCATGCTTGAGTTCAGGGAGTAATATTTGGAAGAAGTACCTCGAGCTCTTGCAAACGAAAGATTCAGTTGAACGAAACGACGTCCTTTGTTTGTGATTGGCCTTGCGACTCAGTTCCAGTTTTAGGACTTTTGAAACTGGTGGGGTTATGGAATCTTCTTGAGAGCACTTAGTAAAAAGCTTATGTATATTGAATTGTCCATTTACGTGTGCTGCACTGTAAGATTGTTGCTACAGATAGCTCATGTAGACAAGTGTACTTCTTGTTTTATTTAAAGGAGCCTATCTGGGTATTTTGCAAGCTAAACAGAGCATTTATCACTTGGAATGTCACGATGAGATGAGAGAAATTCCTAAATCTTGAAAGTAGCAAACGGTGTGGTGATGTATGCCGACTAAGGCAAATATTGTTATCTTGGAAGTCAAAATCCCCCGAAACTTTTTGGTTTTTGTTACTTGTGTCCCGACAATCGGTGTACAATAAAAAAACCAAGGGCTAATGAGGGAAATGAAATTAGAAGCCCTGTACCCATCTTTACATGTTTAATAGGCTTCTAATTTTCACTTTAATTCTTTCGACACAGTCGGCGTTTCATTTTGAAGGTTCAGAATTGAGAGAATGTTTCGACCCGCTGTTAATCTCACAACATTTTCAACATCAGTATGATCACAATCAAGCGAATCCGAGCAATTATGAATAAACAGCACAAGTTGATTATTGCAACCGCAGTGCGCAATGGTTTATGTTTGTTACTCTTCTGGAAAGCTAATATGTATGAAGACAGTGGTCATGGCACGCAGTGAAAACTGGAACAGGTGCTGAAAAGCACAAATGACTCGCAGTCTAGGACGCTTTTCGACATGAAGCTATATACATAGACATACATTCGGGATAATGCCGAATTCAAGAACATACATTCAATGTATCTCCCCTTGAGTTAAGCGGAGGAAAAGTGATGTAATTATGGTTTATGGTGTGATAGGGTTTGTGTTGGAATATGCTTTGACATTTCGGCATACCTCTAATATGTTGAAGCAGTTGAGGTGCAATAAGGGGATGGTTCATCCCAGTAGACTCTTTGAGGCTTCGGCCAAGAGTGAAAGCGTTGGAAATCCACAGAAAATCAACTCTAGATTTTGCCAACAGGAGTATCGGCATTCGAAGCAGCCACAATTTCCTAGCCTCATAGCATCAGGAGCTATAGTCAATTCTCCCGGGCACTTATCCTGCCAGTCATTGCAGAGGTTCTGTGCAAGCAATATGGACCCCTGTCGATATGGACCCCTTTCGATCATCGCCGGATGCCGGATTTCCTTGCTCGCTTCAAAGCCGCCAACTTGGCCTCCTTTTCCATCTCTCTCTTATCCTCGAGGAGCGCATTTCTTTTCGACTGCGACTCTTCCTCCAAGATCTCGGCACCTGTTGCCTCCATATCGTCAGAGTCATAGTCGTCGTATGAATAGTGGCTTCGCTTCTTTCCACGGTTTAATATGGACCAAATCTCGTCTCTGTCATACTCGGGTTCATCCTGTTCCATCTCCTCATCTTCAGAAGCAATGAACGAGTCCATGTCGGACTCGTCGGACTCGTCGTCGTGCACTTCTGCCCGGTGACCCAGCATTTGAGATTTGCCTCTTGGTTTCTGCTTGAGCTTTTCTGCAAGTGCCGACGAGGGCTTTCGTGTCGGGTGCGGCGCCCTTGTTTGTGACGAGTTTTGAGTCTCGTGCGGAGCTCTTGGTGCTCCAGCGGCTTTTGCCAGATTGCCAGACCTGGCTCTTGCGGACAGAGACGGTATTCTGCCACTTTCTTGAGACAGGTTTCTGAGACTTCCCGCCAGCCCCTGCAGTTTTCGTGATGCCGGATCGGGTCTTGAGTCGTGTTCTGGCGTCCTGCGTTTTGGAGCTCCGGCAACCTCAGACGACTTGGCTTTCTGCTTGAGAGCAATGGACATTTTGCTCTGGTCGATTCCTGAAGCCTTGGCCATGAGCTGACTAAACGACATCTTGGGTTTCTTCTCGTTTTGTGTGTTTTGGGCCTGTAACGGAGGGGCCGATGCCAGGCGGTTTGAGGTTGTATGAAGAGTCCGCGATTTGTTGTTTGGCGTCGTTCTTTGGGCAAGAGAGCGGGCAGGCTGCCGGGGCCCGATTCTGGGCTTGGTGCTGGTGGCTTTTTTGGCCGGCAAGCCTTTCTTTTCTCGTAGTTCCCGCTCCTTCTGCTCACGCTCGGCTTTTCTTGCTGCTTTAAGCCGAGCCACCACCGGATCTACCGGCCGCTCACTTGGAGGGGTCGCCAGATTTGCCAGAAACTTGGGGCGTGGTGGTTTTGTGGACTGCTGGTCATTTGTATGGCCTGCGGAATTATTGGCCAGGGCCACCGGCGTGATCTTGCCTTTCCTCAGAATTTGTTCTAGAATCTTGGAAGCGCTCATGGGTATTGCCAAAAGAGTTTCAGACTGACTAGAAAATAAAGTACGCCGTGTAGGGCGACAGGTCTATGCGAAGTGTTTGCGCTATTGCCCTTTCAGTGGGACCTATTGCTTTGTTAACAAATACACAGTGGATCAGTTTCCAGTGAAGGTCGCGCATCGGGAATGTTCGCGGTGTGGCCAAGTGACGGAACAGCGCGGACCATCATCGAAAAGAATTTGAGTTCTTCCTTCCAAACCTGAGTCTGAGATCCATGACGTCGAGAGAAAAGCAAAACAATGCCTCTGGAGATAACGTTTTCGGAACAAAGCTCAGAACACCACCTTGACCGTGCAGGTCCTAGTAACACCACAACAAATACTCCTCTCCTCTGTCCAGCAATCTTTGAGCCACTCTGTAGAAGGCATGGGGTTCATTACTCGTCGTCGTCTTCCCGGTCACCGCTTTTGAACATGGAGATGAACTCGTCTAATCCCCGCTCCACTTCATCTTCCTTTCCTAAATCTGCCATTAGCTTTCTCGCCCTTCTGATTGAAAAATCCTCACACTTGCGGATCGTTCCGCTCACATGCACGGAGCGGACAACCACCCTGTGTGTTTCTATTTTGTCAATCAATGCCAACGCGGCCACCACGATATGAAAATCGTTTCTGCTGCATCGCAAAATGCCCGTAGACGTTCTGTTGCTGAAATACTTCACGATGATCAGCGATCCAACAGTACCTGACGCAAACTCGCCGTAGTGGTCAACTATAACTCGCTTTAGTAGCAGCAGTATTGACCGTGGGCTGACAGCCGAAGGCGACGGCGAGTGCATGTGTAGTAGGGCATCCTTAGGAGTCTGGCTGAACTCCGAGAATTTCTCTTTTTGCTCCCGCGAGGTTCCATACGCCGATGGGGGGTAGAGAATCTCAAACAATATGTATCTGTGTTTCAAACGAACCATCGTGAGCGTTATGTTTTTTCGTGGCCTCAGATGACTTGCGAGTCTTCAAACGGCAAGGAAATGCCGATGTCCTGCATGCACTAAACCGTGAGGTATCTGTCGGTGATTTCTTTGGCCAACATGGAGTTCCCACTGATTATGTATATCAAAGAAAGGTTGTAAGCGGCCTCCATCAGCAAGTCGTAATCCAAGTCATTGCGTAGTTGCTCGTGATAAGAAAGTACTTTTTCGTAATGCCGCACGGCAAGAGTGGGAAGTCCGATCATGTGGAACAATCTACCGAAATTGTACTCGATTTCTTGTTTCTCGTAGACAGTTGCACCTTGTTCCCTCGCGCTCTTGTACTCCAAGAGGTAGCTGATGCCTTGGAGAAGCTGTATGTGGCGGTTGCCACTGTTCCGCTGCATGGACCTATGAACGTGGGCCAAGCCAAGCACGAAACATATGGTGGGGTCGTTGTAATATTGTCTGTAGGCCCGAGTCAAGTATACGATCGGTGACGAGAACGTGCGGTTGCTTCCGAGCAAGCAAGCGTAGATGTAGAGTAGGTGTGGGTGCTCGCGGTTGGTTTTGAAGCTGTCGACATCGATGGTGAGCTGTGCAGAGCCCGACACTTTGCTGGAGAAAAGCATGGAGTCATATGCCTTGATTTGCCGGAGGAAGAACTTCTGGTGGTTGTAGTTGGAGAACACGGCCCAAGCACCGACGCCAGAGCCAAAGCAGCACATGAAGAAGTCGTATGAGCTGGGCGAGAACTGGCTGGACGTGAGGAAATACCGGATGTTGTTTGCGACGGAGATCGCATAGTCCTGCTGACGAATTCCGAGGGCGAGGCGAGCGATGCGGAGAAGCATGCTGCGGGTCTTGTCCTGTTTGAACACACTGACGTTAGAGGCTAGGTCGATCGTCTCGGTGGCTTCCTTCAAGTCGTTCTTGAAGTGGCGCAACAAGTATGCGTACTGGACGAAGACCCACAACCAGGTGTCGTAATCGAGGCCGCGGAACTCCGTGCGGGAGGTCATGACAATCCTGGAGTTTTCCGCGTCGGCGTAGCCCTCGAAAAGGTCGCGGATGCGATGGAGCTTGTCGTCGAAGGCCAAGGACTTCTTGCGCTTGTAGATGGCGATGCCCTTGAAGACGGTCTTGCGGTTCTTGGGGAAGAAGGTGCGGACCTCCACGAACATCTCGATGAGCTGAGACGCGAGCTTGAGCCACGCCGAGACCGCGGCGTCGTGGCGCTGGTCAATGGCCTGCTGCAAGCGGGACATGCGGGTGAACTTGTCCCTGACGACGCGGGTGGCGTTCTCCTCGATGGCCTGGCGGTCGCTGGCGTCCAAGTCGTTCTTTCTGATTTTCTTGTAGTAGGACGAGTTCTTGATGAGCGCGAGGTTGTCGTGCGGGTCTGCGTCGGCGGCGTCGGCGGCATCGGCGGCGTGCGGCGTCTCCAGCAGGCGCTCGGGGAGGCGCGGGACGTGGCTCTTGGCCACGTCCTCCATGAGCTCGGTGGCCAAGTCCATCTCGTTAGTGTGGTACAAGGCCTCGATGAGCGTCAACTTGGCGTCGACGTTGGCGGGGTCGCGCTTGAGGGTCTTCATCAACACGGTCTTGGCGTCGCGGAAGCTGTCGGTCTCGAGCAAGCACTTGCCGAGAAGAAGGTCCAGCTCCGTGTTGGCGTCGTTGTCGAAGAGGTACTTCAAGAACCACACGGCCTCGGCGTAGTGGCCGTGGGCCTCGAGGCCGGCGCCCGCTTCGTAGAAGAGGTCGAGCACCTCGCTCTTGTCCTCCTGCTGGAACAAGTAGCCGAAGTGCTCCACGGCCTCGTTCTTCTGGCCGAGCTCGAGGCGGAAGCAGCCGAGCTTGAAGCGGATGTCGATGGGCAACGAGTAGTCGCGCGCCATGAGCAGGGCGCAGGCCGTGGGCCTCTTGGCGCGCACGTACGCGAGGCGCCGCGGCTTGGCGAACTCCGCGTCGTCGTGCTCGTCCCACCAGGCCTCGTCGGATCTGTTCTGCTTCCAGCGCGCGACGAGCCGGATGAGGCGGGCGCCCGAGGCCCACGCCTCCTGCGCCGCGAGCAACTCGCACGTGATGTGGAGCTCCGTCCAGTCGAACACCACGTACTCGCGGCCCGGCGGCGGGTGCAAGTTGCTGTCGAGCACGCGCATGTAGAGGCCGACCGCGTCGTTGTACCGCTTCTGCTCCACGTACACACTGGCCAAGTGGCGCACGGCCGCGGCCTCCAGCGGGTACGCCGCGAGCAACTTCTGGAAGCCCTCCAACGCACGCACGTAGTGCTTCTTCTCCTTGTAGAGGAGCGCGCGCTCGCACACGTAGTGCCACGGCACGCCGTCGGACTTGGCGATGGCCTGGGTGTAGCAGTGCACGGCCTGGTCCACGTGCCCCAATTGCGCGCTCATGTCGGCCACGAGGCCCCAGAAGTCCGCGTCCGCCTCGCCGCTCTCCGCAGCAAGGAGCCAGAAGAAGCAGCACTTGTGCGTGTTGCCGCGGATCTGGCAGATCTCGCCGAGCGTCTTGTACGCGTTGAAGTTGCGCGAGTCGCGCTGGATCACCTCCGAGTAGTGGCGCCACGCGCCCGAGAGGTCGCCGCGCACAAACGCCTCGTTGGCCCGCGACATGTGGTCGCGGATCTCCGGGTCGTTGGCCCTGCTGGCGTGCCGCATGGCCCGCCGCCTGAAGCCCTGCGCGGAAATGCGCTTTTTGCGCACGCGGAACCCGGACGCGGCCTTGAGGTTGTCCCGGAGCGTGTACCCGTCGTCCAAGTCGTCGTGCCCGCCGTCCGAGCCGTCGTCGTCGGTCCAGGGAATGGGCAACGGAAAGTCCGCGTCGTCCAAGTCCAGCGCGTTCCAGCGGCTGGGGGCCGCCGCCGTGCTGCCGCCAGGGGGCGCGCCGTGGGTCAACGCGGGGTCAATGTCGGCGTCGCTGCTGTAGCGGTACTCCTCGTCGGAGAAGTCCAGGGCACCGTCGTCCGAGGTGTCGGTGGCCATGGCTGAGGAAGAGGGGGCATGGGTGTGTTTTGGCTGGAGGTGAACAGGTGCGCGCGGCGCCAGGCCGGGGGGCCAGGGTGCGCGCTGGCTTGGGGCCGGCATGGCAGCAAACGGGGCAGGCATGGCGCGCGCGGGGCCGGACGGCTGGGCCGTTTGGGGCCGCTGAAGCAGGGCCAGATATGTATAGATAGAGAGAGATATATTTATAGATATATAGTTATAGATCTATATACAGATGTATATATTTAGATTCATAGATATATATTTAAAGATATATATATTTATATATATGTATATATATATTTTTTGTAGGAACCATCAGGGACTGCTGGAATGGAGCCGTCTGGATGGATTGTCTGGATGGATTGGCTGGATGGATTGTCTGGAGGAGATGTGCGCGGGGCTGTCTGAGCAGGGCTGGTGAACAATCGGGGCCGCGCTTGAATATAAGAAAAGGAGAAACAAAATATGATAAACATGGCTGCTCATCTTCCTGTTTCCATAGCATACCTCAATATCAATAAGGCTAGATTGGTTTGATGGATCAAGTAAACATGAATGATATAGTAGATTTCCTATCGTCTTTGATCTGAAACAGTTTTGCTCTGCTATATTCAATTCTATACTTGACGGTCTAAAGATTATGGCATGGGTGATGTATCACATTGCAGGAATTATTCATATCATATCGTATCATGACTATCTCACAAAAGAAAAGCGTATTGCTAAACTATATAATGTTACACATAAACAACCTTGTGAAGGTGTTGAAAGGTGGTGTAGTGATTGAATTTATTGAATCATTTTTATATCATGAATAAGAACATAGAGGTAAGATTAAATGTCCAATATCTTATGGATGTGGTACAAGTTCTAACTATTACAAAAAGACATATCCCTTCCCTTAGCGTGGATAGAATGTAATTCTTCTTACATGTCAATATATATATCATCAATGTGAAGATATAGGACTAGATATAAATATAAATATTCTACACACATTTCATATCCACTCAAATTAAATTCCCTTTTTACTTCCACAGGAAAATATGATGGATAACATTATATTTTACGACCTTCATACATGGATAAATCGTATTATAACACATATTATGAAAAAGACCATAAATATATAAAGAAATATACATCTTGTTATTTTAAGAGGCATATAAACTGTAGTTACGATTGAAGTATTAAAGATTGAAGCCGAAGGGAAAGGGCTGGTATGGGTATAAATGATGATATGTACGTATGGTTACATTGGGTATAGGTATCAATCATAAAGGACAAAAAGTATAATGATAAGTATGAAGAGAGGGATAAATGAGAAAGTATAAAATGTCATGGCTGCCCTAGCAAGGGGTTATGAGACCCGAATTAAATAGGGAAGCGTACAGAGAATAATAAATGAATAGATATATAAGATGTTGAAATATAAAATAAAATAAGAATTATAGAATTGCAAAAGAATAATAAAAAAAATTGAAATAGCCAGACCAAATAAAATAGGGAAGAAATAAATATGTATCATGTCTATTTTAGGGAAAGTAGCTCCAACTCAGACACAAGTGAAGCGAAAAATTAGCCTTAATAAAAACCAGAATCACCACCGAAGAATAAAATAGCAGTTAAAGTAGAAAAATAAAATAGAAGCATATCCAGGTATAAAAATCAAAACAAAAATAGATGATGCATATTCAGTCATATGGCCCGAAACTAGTTCTGATTTAGCTTCAACATTATCAAAAGGAGGTCTAGCACATTCAGCTATACAACCAAAACCAAATAATAAATAAAGGCAATAAAAGTAAAAAACATCATACAGATTTCTGTAAATAAATATAACGAGATAAATTCATGGAACCAGAAAATAAAATACATAATGAAATAATCGGAGTAAAAACTAATTCATAACTTATTAATTGAGCAGCTGAACGTAAAGAACCATTAATTCGTGAAACCTTATCCAGGCATGACAAAGTCAACTTTTCTCCAACATGAACATATACTGGCTGATCTCTTATAATCTTTCTATTACGACTATGTTTAGCCGTATGTTTAGCATTACCGAAAGCATTTGCTTTTTTGCTTATCTGTTTATGATTCCAGAATATATACCTTCATTTATATTCTTTACAGATAATTGGTCTCCGAGTCCATTTTTATAAATATTGGATGACTTAGTTATAGCCAAACCGACTTTATAATGGAGATCACTTTCGTTATACTTAACACAACTACTAAAGCTAAGCCCGAAGAGAGCTCCTTATCCTATTAGGGGTTTCTGGATATGTGTCATTTAAAACCAGTCATTTAAAATTAATACGCTAATGGAATTAAATAGGACTTATCATATTTATTTATAAACGAAGTCCGGAACATGAAATTGAATGTAATTCAATGTAGAATATAAAGAGTCCATAAATGAAAATCATGTCCTACCTTTTTCCGGGTGCTTTCGGGTGCTTGTTTGGCGAGGCAGATGTATTTGTTGTACACTTTCGAAAAGAATATTACTTACGTACTTGTGTGATATTTTCCGTTATTTTTTTTTTTTGTTTTTTTTGGAAGAGTTGACCCATGTGGCTGCCTTCCTGAATGTCGTATATACTTGTCTCATCTACCTGGGTCATACTACGGTTTATTCTACCAGGGTCATACTACGGTCTCATCAGTTCCCTTGGATCCGCCTCAAAGATTCATCTCAGATCTGTCAATAAAAATACTGTACGCCCACCTAATGAGCTGGCTTCTGTATGTCCTACGCCTGCTTTCAAAGCTCTTCACGTAAGGACACATATTATGTCCGATCCACCCGTCTCATACGCTCATCTCATAGATGTATACACCGTCTGGAATGTCTGGTCGTTCTCCTTTTTTTTACACCTGTCTGACCCACCTGTCTGATGAGCGAGCGTTGTCTGCTTGTCCCTTTTTTCCCGATTGTCCCATATCCTGCTCTCATACAACTGTCTCGTATCCTTGTTTATTGCGCATGTCTAATATACATGTCCTATACCCATCTAAATGGCTCTTCGGATCCCGCCCATCTGCTCAGAATTTACCTGTCTCATCCGAAATTTCTCTCATGTATGATTAAACCTTCATCAACCAACTGTATTTACCTTGTCGTACATACTCACCCCAATCAATTGTACCTTCCTTCATGTCTCATTATACCCCTCTCACTGAACTTTCTTCTCACCTCCATATACCTCCCTCATAGAGTTGTGATAAATTTTTATATATGTAGTTCTTGTCTGAACAGAATCTCTTACAAGATTCACGATACATAGATTGCTCGATGGAACTGTTTTTATATCTACTCGCCACCGACATGGCCCATGCAATCAGTCAAGGCACAAATATCATTGTCTTGAGAAATTCAAAGGCCAGAGACAGGGCAGCTCAATCTAATCACACCCAAAAATTACAAGCGCTTATGTGAAATGAGTGAAAGTTGCTGAATTCCTTCATGTATTTACTTGTACGAGATGAACATGAAATAATCTGAAATCGTTGCATTGGTGACAACCTCAGACATGGTACACCAAACACTGTGCCCTAAAGATTTGTAAAGAAAGGTTACCAACTTCTCAGTCCATACTTAAAGCAAATGGAGTTGTCAGTAACCTTGGTCCGCATTTACAAATGTTGGGGGGCTCATTCGGAGGCTGCCCCCTGTATGAGAATACACCACCTTTCATATCCAACAAGCGCTCATCATATCCTTTACCAATGTCGAAAGTAACTCTGTGGATACCTCCAATGTAAACCATCACCTTACCCGTTGTCGCAGAATAGTCATATCCGGTGACGTAACTATATATAAGAAGCCGGATGTGATTCCTATCTCCAAAACCTGCGACTTTAATGACCGGAGCCGCACCAGCACGAAACTCCAATCCAACAATTCTCAATAATGAGTATATGGACTCTAAGTAAATAGTCTGTGTTTCCGAAATGTGGTACGTGCTTTTTGAAAACAGTAAGTCTATCTGCCCATACATGCCAACAGCGATACAGCCGTTTCCCTCGATATTTGTATGCACTGGCCAGAGAGTGTTGTTCAAGCAAATTGTGCCATTGTTTGATATCGAATTAGTCACATCATCCGCAACATAGCGCCGGATCCGTAACCTGGCTTTCTCGCCATGGGCTGCATGAAAAATCATCTTGCCAGTGTTAGACCAAGAATTCACAGATGTCACAGAAAACGGCAGAGATCCTGAAATGCTGCCATTAATACCAAAGTACATGTTTCCTGTATTCAAGAACGATCCAGACAGATTAAAGCAAAAGTTGGAAATCGCATTGCTTCTCAGCGCGTTGATTGCGACAATTCCAGAGTTTTCAAATTCCTCTCCTGTCATCCTCACCCATATTTGTTCACCGTCAAGGCTTATGACATGTATGTTTCCTGCATTACTAACACAGCCCGAGACATTAATTAAGGAACAGTTCACGATGGAGTAGTATACTTCTTGGTTGACGGTGAGATTTGCAAGGCGTATTTCGCTAGAAGTATTTCTAATCGTATTGCGGTCAATCACAACTGCAAAAACAAGGCTTAACATACCAAGAATGGCCGCCATGTGAATTGTTGGTCTCATATCAAACAAAATTGAATCAAAAAGCTTACATTTATTTGGTCTCCAAGTCTATTTTTTATATTGGAAAACCTAGTAGTCTACCAAATATTCAGTAACTCAAAAAGCGTCGGGATACAGTCTCCTCCTGCGAGGGTCGTTTAACTATAAGTAGTATATTCCGAAAATTACCTCTTTGATCGGAAAAACCTTTTTTCCACCAACTTTATACACCTTGTACCTTAAAAGGTAATTGGCTGAATGACTGCGGTTTTGCCGGATTCATACATGGGCAACCACGACGACATGCGGCGGTATGTTTCCTGCTCTTACCAAATACTGGTCATTCTTTATACTCTAATATATACATTTCTTGAAAGAACTTTTTGAACGCGTAAGACATAGTTGCAAAGCTAATACTTGGCTTTATTTTAATTTTCCACGCCCGAATTTGATTGTGGTTTGAAAACTTGCTGATGTATATTCATGATGAAAAACGGTGGCTCACCAATTAGGGCTCAAGAATTGGAAGATTTCCTGTCACATGAACGTAGAAGTATTCCACCTTCACTATCTTTTTCTTGCGGAACCTTAATATTGTTTAAATATTAAACTTCGACGTTTGCGCCCAAAATTTAACCCTGTCGGGACCTGGAATGTACGCAGGCCAATTGTTTCCCCGCTTCCAGTTTATTTTCTTGCACTGCTCAATTCAAAGTATTTAATGAAAGAATGATAACGCCCTTTGGGCAAATATTCATGCTTTTCTGGATGTCAGACGTCGAGGGTGGTTGTCCACGCTTTCATACGCACTTCTATGATCAATAAGGAACAATGCATATTATTTTTGAGATTTTATTCAAGGAATAGCTTGCTAGTTTTTGTATATATACGGCGGAACACGTTCTTCGACGTGTATGCAGATCAAAACAATAGACTAGAGCCTTGGTATATTTTGTAGACAGTCCTAAAATGCATTCACGGGCTTAAGCTACTCTAGAATCTAGAGATGATGAAAACATGTAAGCTAGCTCTAAGTTAGAAAAGCACGATGATTAAAGAAGAGTCAGCTGCTATCTATTCTAATGCACCTTTCATCGGAGCATCGGAGTCTTTCGCGTTGTAGGTGGAAGTTTCATTGACAAGTTTATCATATTGTACTGTTTTAGAAACAATATAGGTTGAAGTGTGAACAGAAAGTTTTGCTGAAATAAGATAAAAAAAGCCAATTACTGCCAGGGTGGCTTTGCTGTAGATTAAAATCGCAGCTAATATCTCCTTTATTATCGCATATTTGACAAAACAAGAGATAGGCTCAGGAAGCGTGGTTTTCTTAAGCAAATGGTTCCATCAATATGAGCATACCTCTAAAGGAGATCAACTTGGCATATCTCAAGCATGTTTAGCTGTGACACGAAATAATGTTACCGTCTTGTATTTTTAAGACGCGTTCAATTAGCGATACCAGCGGGTGAGAATCTTTGACTTCTTACAAAAAACAATATTAAGCAGGATTTACAGAGAGTAGCAATCTAGCTTGGCCTAGAAAAATTAAAAACTTGACCCAATACCGAGCCACATTCGATCATATTCCTTGAATAGCAAATATCAGCTTGCGCACTTGTCAGGAATGAAGCATGCTTTTCAGCCATCTTTCTTTTTTTAGTGAACCATCTTTCTTCTTCAAAGTTCTGTAATTTTTCTTAGCATTCATAACTCAATCCTTGAATACAGTCAGAAAATACTTATCAAAGTATTAAACTACTACTCTATGATAGACGATTACATTTTTTTAGCCTTAGGTCATCAAAAATATTTCAATGGTATACAATACATAAATGTATCTGAATGTAGAATCCAGCCTATACGTCTTTAAAAAGACAATATTGCAAATATATGAATACACAGGAACAAACTAAAGTAAACAGTTCTGTGGGTTTACTTTCGAACATAGAGCACTTGAAGACGACTATTTCAGGTTCAAAACGAAAAAAGTCTGACTATTGAAACAAGGATTGCTCAACACTGATTCAGAAGACTTTATATAGATGTGCATAGCTTCATCCATGAGCCCACTATCCGTGAAATCAATTTTGAATTTGAAGCCAGCACCCATAATAGTACAACCACTCAATATGATACCAAGTTATAAATTTCAGTTACTGCCAACTAAAGGGACTTGTGGTTGTAAAAGGCCAAGAAGTTGCCGAGTATTAAAATACCACGAAGAGATCTGTAGCTCAATGATCTTTTTGGTAAGACTCACCTTCACTCTGTTGTACCATAACCCATAGAAAGTGAAATCGAATGATGCTTTTCGGTGATCAGCTCCGCGTATATTGAAGAACATAGCGCCATTGCTCTCAGTATAGGTTTTCCACTATAGCTTCTGCTTGCATAGATCATTGTGACGAAAAGTGACAACAACACAAATAAATATAGCCACAGTCAAAAGCATGTGGTGTTACTTTCAAAAAGGTCCAGGGCTATATAAGACGCTTTTCAAAATTCAGACTATGTCTACTCTATTATTGTATTTGTGCGTTAGAATAGATATAACAATGATCCTGACCACCTCATTGTGATTCTACTATGACTATTCTGACATGAATTAAAGCGCTGGTCTATTTTGCCAATACTATCAGTATAAGAAAAAAATCCTAAATTTGGTCTCCAGATTCTGTGCCATCTGAAGGTTTCCTCTTCAAAGAAGTTGCATATTTTGAAATCTTTGAATGTCCATCCCAAGATTTTGTCAGGCAAACTTAATTGAGTTCAGCATTGCATTATTGTGACGGGTAATATGATTATTATGGGCATCGCAAATATATAAACAGACTGACTGGGTATGCCTTGAAGATACTCAGAGCAAGAATTTACACTTTCGAAATATACAATTTTTCGTTTCTCCAAATCTCAAGAATGAAGTTCAAGTCATTTCCTAAAATCAGCAAACTAGTGCCAATGATTGACACGAATATGGCTGTATTACATGACTTACACCAGTAAGACGTCTATTAATTTTTTTTTATAATTTTAGTATTAGAGCTGCATCCAGTCAGCGGGCGTGTGTCAAAGTGTACACACTGACAAGATTCGAGTAGCACAGCTCAGAGTGGCTCTTTCAGAATGCCCTCAAATCTTTCGCCACTATTCCGTGCATATATTTTCTAAGGTATGCCTACTTGTTGCTCCAAATGCTCAGCTGTCTTGTACTGGAACTGTGTTACGGACAGTATTTAAGTTTGCTGTTCTCAAAGTTCTCGTCTCGCAATATACGGATACAGCTCTATAATACTTCATTCAAACAATACGACTTCATCTTCTTGCAAATAGTAATTCTCTGTAGCTAGGGAACTTGAAAAGCAAAGGCCCTTGGTTCTCCAAAATATTTTTAGTAATCTCGTTTATTTCAGAATTTTTAAGATTACCTTAAAATGTGATGAAATTACTTTCAACATCATCAATCTTTATTCCAGACCACACATAGTCTTGATAAGTATAAATTGCAGTGCTATAAAATTTGTGGTTAACGGATGGCCAAGCGTCTCCTCGTTGTAATTTATCTCTAGATCAAAATTGTTTTATTGGCCAATTAAGACCCTTCGTAGATGTGCTTGAATATCTGATTACATTACGTTTACAACGACCACTTAAACATCTTGAATATGAGAAGTTTATCTTACTTTGCTCATTGTTTAGCATTATTTGTTATCAACTTAAAGAGTATAGCTGAAAAATACTTTAAAAGCGAAGCATCTTCCGAGGATGTCTATAACTTCTACACCGTTGCATTCTTTACTTTTCGAAGTTGAGCCAGAATTCAAGAAGAAGAATTTTAACATCGTGGGAAAGCTTTATTTTCTGTCAGTCTCTTGAGCTTTGAAACAAAGACTTCGCTAACTCTACGAGGAGAAAATGTTTTGAAGTTCAGCCATTGTTTGCATTTTTTTATCACAATTGAGAGAGCTGTATTTCATCTTCACAATAAACGAAAAAGCTGTGGCAGGGGGTGGGGATAAATTTTGCAAATTGATAAGGCTCATACCGAAGATAAAACAACACTAATCTTGGTCGAAACACTTCAAGAAAAAAAAAAAAAAAACTCGCAAGTATCTTCTCGCACGTGTATACTGAAAGACATCTTTTTAGCACTTTAAGTGAGATAAGCTTTAAAATGGGACTTGCGCTAGATGTCTGAGACCAAAAGTACAATCATTTCCGAAAACGAAACTACTCTGGTTGTGATTGAAAACATTCAGACTCTAGTCCGACACTAGGCATATGTGTTTGATTTAGTTGAATTAATACATATAGCCGTTCTACAGATCTACACTTAAATTTAATTTAGCTACCAAGAAAAAAAACAACCTTAGACCTCAATGATCCGATACCATAGATCTTTGTTCACATGAAGTCCTCTTCTGTTATCACCTGAAGCCAAAAAACGCGGAGCTTTTGAGAGGCAACCAATACAAAATCCTGCCCTTTTGGACGCTGCAGTCATATTTAAGCAAAGGCTGCGCCTGAATGTCTCCAGCTAATTATAGTATTGTGAGATGCTTTCATGTACAGTGCTCGGGAAACAGGTGGTAGTCAATATACTGACCATCTTCCTAGAATCATAGAACATAATTCACCATGTGACCAAGGCCACTTTTGATTTCGATAATGAATATTGTACAAAATGGTTTGCCCTATTTTTCTGACAGTGGTAGAGCTTCGTTATATTGGTAGCTCAGGATCAATACTTTGAATTCACGAATTTAATCTTGACAGCTTTGCTCAGAGTTCTCTCCCCAAACATGACAGTGAAATTCATGCCATTCCGATTTCCATGTTTTTTTCACATTCACTGCCGGTTAAATTTATTGCTTTTAAAACCGTTTTATAAAAAAGAAAGCTTCTAATTGGTCGAAAAAAAATCACTGTTCACATTTATTCACACAAATCACAAAAAAACTAAAAATGGAAAGTAAGGATAACGAAAAGAAATTTGAACAAGACTTTTTTTTGGAGCTACTTAGACTGGTCGACTCACCAATATACTCCCGTCGTTCAAAACCAAGAAAAATGCCAAACTGGACTTAGAATGAATCAAATTCTAGCTGTATATTTTGTCCCTAATCATGGAGAATATGTGAGGGACTTCGCGGGACAAATACGTGCCTCTACTACTATGTATCAATGACTCCCTAGAATAACATATATAATCATGCCGTATGTATCCTATCGTGTGGGTGTAACGGGAAAGACCCTGGAGATAGGAAGGACATGCTATGGGGGGTATGACTTGATGGCAGACGAAACTCATGGTGGAAGTGCATATATATAAATACGCGCTTACATGGACCATCAGTCTTAGGCTGCTAGTTGGGACCTTAGAGAAAGGCAAAACAGGCTTCATCCAAAACCATTAATATATTGTTTTTCTTGTATGTTCCTTCCCAAAATAGATCTCAGAAAAAAAAAATAGCCGAAACAACACATTGAAAAAAGAAAAATGATTGACAACACACTGCACCTTTGAAATAGAAAGCAGCTCGAAATTATACGAAGAACGATTCGCGAGGCTCAAAACACCCTAAGCCTCAGGTTAAATTGTTACATATAAATCAACATCATTTCTGAGACAGATAGTGAGACCTGATCTCTGAGAAAAAAAGAAAAAAAGGGGTATTTCAAAATACAACACGGGCGCCCAACATTCAGCATTTTCGTATATTGGTCATTTCTCGATTTCCCCACGCGGCGGGTCTCCCCGCTGTTTTGCCGGTGCACTTCTAGAATCGCGTGATACATACAGGACATTCTAGCATGCAACGCTCCAATTACTCTCCGTTTCTCCTTCTTTCCACCACTCTCTTCTTTCAATATATAGTGCTATACGTATAAATATGTCGGCCAACGAATTTTACAGTTCTGGAAAACAGGGCGAAAGACAGGACGTGAGTAGCGAGCAGCTTCAGAGTACCGGCTCTCAAGCCAATGTGCAAGACGACCAGCAACAAGATGGCGATAGGGGGCTTCTTTCTTCAGCGATTGGGGCTGCTTTCAAAAGCAGCAGCGGCTCAAGCAGCCACAAAAATAGTGGGGGATTCAGTGGCATGATTGAGAATGCCATCGTAGGAAAATTGACTGGCAGCGGCAAGCATGGAAGCAGCCATGGAAGCCTGAGTAGCACGTCGGATATGTTGGGCAGTATTGTTGGGGCTGTCACTGGGAGCAGCGGAAGTGGCCATAACAGTCACGGAAATCAGGGCCACAGCTCGAACTATGGAAACCAGGGCCAAAGCTCAAATCACGGAAACCAGACATACAACTCGAGCCATGGTAGCAGCGGATCCAGTGCCAGTGGTCTAGTGAGTGGTATCATGGGTGCTGTCACTGGCAAGCCCGACAATAAGCATGACAGCTACGGAAGCCAAGGAAACCAAGGGGGCTACGGAAGCCAAGGAAACTATGGAAACCAAGGAAACTATGGCAACCAAGGAAACTATGGAAACCAAGGAAACCACGGAAGCCACGGAAGCCACGGAAGCCAAGGAAACCACGGAAGTAACGGCAACCAAAGTGGTAGCTCTGGTGCCGGCGGTATGATGGATAGTCTTCTTGGAGGCTTAACTGGCAGCGGAAACCACTCCAGCGGAAACCAAGCCAGCTACAATAACAACAATAGTGGCTACAGCGGCAACAATGGAGGCCATTATAATAACGCTGGGAACCATGGCGGCTATGGCGGTAGAAACGATGGCCAAGGCAGTGGCAGCGGCAGATACGGCGGCGACAACGACAACTCCTGGGGCTACGGCGAGCAGAAACCCCTGCACGGAAGTAACTACGGGAGCGGGGGATACAGTGGATCCAACCAGGGAGGCAACAGCGGCAGATGGTGAGATTGTTGAACTGTGTGCAAGGTCTTGGCGCCCATGACTATTTGGGTGGGTTGCAACGTTGCGCTCCTACACTGCAACCAAAAACAACGGTTTTCTCTTTTGCGGAGGCTGAAGTCTGGACTGGAAATTAACAGTCCCGTATGAATCGCTGCTTTTGCCCTGTCTTAGTTGTTCAGCACCTGGACCATTAGATATCCAGTAGACGCGCGCAATACAGCGCTATGGAACCACACTACTTTTCCGGTTGACCCATCCTTGCTTGCTTTTTTTGCGTATTAGACAGTTTCGTTTTACTGTTTCAGAAGAGCTCAAAATAATGATTCCCGTTCACTCTATTTTTTCCCTTCATTCGGCATGGTCCATATGGCCAGAAAACCCCGCCTCAAATTAGACGAGCCATTGCGCGTGCAGGCACTATTCCCAGCCGCGCCATCTACATGGATCGTGGCAATGCAATTAGACGTGTTCCAGATCTCTAAAACCACAGTACTCCTCATGCGTCTTTCCGTAGTCTTACCAGCTGCATTGTGTGGTCACGTGTTTGCTGCCTCTGTGGCAGTAAACTTGCGTGCTAACTGGACTGATTCTCCATTCCAAGTGCAATTGGTGGAGGCGTTGGCTTCGCACAATGAGTCCCTTTATGTCCCTGCAATCAAGTCTCTATTCTGTGATACACTCGCTGAGTCGGACTGGGGTGATTCCGACGAAGAAGGCGAAAGTTTTGATGCAGGTTTTGTCGATGTCTCGCCACAGAGATACGACTCAGAGACGGACTCAAGTACTGACGAAGGACTCTACAAGAGCCTCATTCGGCAGTTGACAGAAACGCAAATTGGCTTTCTCAACCTCAATTTGGTCCATAGCATCTTCTCTCCCCGGATCCAGGCACACATCGACCACTACCACACGGAAGTTCGGCCCTATACTGAGGCCCTTGTGCTTAAGCAGTGTGCCACCGACTCTTTCGGCGAGAAAATCGACGATCCTTTGGGGGCATGGGTGAAATACGGTGCCAAAGTGTATTGCTCCGAGCTGGACTTGTTTGCCCTCCAATTGGATAAGCAATCAGAGCCCAAACTCGCTTTTGATCGACCCGTGGGCTCGAATCCTGATGCTCCATTGCTCACATTATATGGGTCTCCGGATAGTCAGCGGTTTTCCGGCATGATTTCCACTCTTCTTCTGTTGGCGGAAACAGGAAACTTGCAGTTTGTATGGAGATATGTTCCCACTGAGCCACTGCTTCCGCTTTTGCTCTCTGGATACGGGAAGACGCTCACTGTCAAAAGCAAGCAGCCAGGTGTCCACAAAGAACCAGAAGAAACCGGCTCTCTTTCTGAGTTTTTGAAAAGGCATAAAAATGCCGAAGTCTCCGAGATTGCTGCCAGCCAGCTCCCACAGGTTTCTGAAATGCTCACAGCACTTGTTCTTGATGCAAAGCCAGCAGAGAGATTCGAGAAGCTATCTTTGCTTTTGAAAAACCTCCCCAAGTATGCACCGCATCTAGCAAATGTCAAAAGGCCTGCCAATTTCAAGTCTGTTTTGGAAAACTCAAAGGCGAACGAAAATAAGGGCGCGTCTCGTGATCTTATTGGAATGTTCATCAATGGTGCCATGGTGCACAGGCTTGAGACAGACATGCCATACATTATTGAAAAACTCAATGATGAGATCAAGCTTGTTGAACTGATGGAAAATCTCGGCTTTTCCAAACGACAAGCCAAAAAATTGTTCACCAAATTCGCCCTCTTGAGCGCTTATAAGGAAAATGAATATAGAGCAGGCTCATCACACAACAGATATTCCTTGTACAGAAACACTTTCCGAGCCGACGACCCTGCGTCTGGTGGCGTGGTGTTCTTTAACAATTTGTTACAAGATGATAACTACAACCTTTACTCTTCTGATCGTGTCAAAGTTTACATCCAAGAGGCAGCGCAGTACAAACAAGGCCAAATTCCGCCCTTGAAGGAAAATGTCCACGATATCATTTTTGTTCTCAACTTTTCCAACAAAAGTCAACTCAAGGTGTTTTTTGCCATGTCCAAGATAATTTTAGACAAGGGAATCCCGCAACAACTTGGTATTCTCCCGTTGGTGGAAAGCGACAAAGATGACATGATCACGCAAATGTTCTACCACATCTTGGAAGTAGGTGAGCTCACAGAGGGACTTGCATTTCTTTACAAATATTTCGAAGCAAGTCCAGAAGACGAAGAAAGTCTTTTTGGCTTGGTTGCCAACTCCAGTGGAAAATCGCACACGCAATATAAAGACACGCTCCGTAAGTTCTCCATCACTGAACCTTCAGTGGTGATAAACGGCGTCATTGTCAACATGCGCTCAACAAAATGGCAAGCACAAATGGGCCAGCAGATAACTCATGATGTGAAGGTTCTTCAAAACTCAATTCGACAAGGTGATGACAAAGGAAAACCGCTCAAAGAAGTCTTGTATTCCGGCTCAAAATCCTCTCGCAATTTGAGAGTCACCCCCAAGGATCCTGGTAACATCCGGTATAAACGCGTCACTCCCGAACTCCTTGAAGCATCTATGGTTTTCAAGAAAATCGTTGACCCAAGCCAGACGTCAGTCACTCTCTGGCTTATTGGTGACTTTAACTCGAATATCGTACTCGATCAATTCATACAGGTTCTCAAGTTCATGAGGCAATACAACGGTAGGTCGACACAAGTGAGAGTGATAAATACCGCCAGGGAATCTCAAATTCTTGACGCGTTGATTTCCAAGTTTTCTGGTCAACTGCTCACTTCCCCCATGCTCAGAAGCATGGTTGACTCCATAGGCGATATGCGGGTTCAGACATTCTCCAAGCCAGATCCAGCCAAATTGGCCGTTCTCGAAGCTAACAGCATTCAACTGCATCAGTCATCTCTTCTTTTCAACTCCAGGCAATTCCGCTTGGACTCTGTGCTCGACGTACGCGAGCTACAGCAGATCCTCGCATATGAATTTCCACAACGATTGGACACAATAGACGAAGTGCTCAATGCATACCCAGAAGATTTCGAATATCAGACGATCATCGATTTCAAGCCTGAGAATATTGATGATATGGACTGGTACGACTTAGTTACGTCTGTCATCACCGAATCTTTCAATTTGGAGGATTCTATTGTGCGCACAGACGTGGCGAGATTTGACTTTTCCTCGTTGAATTTCCAGAACTCGGTCGAGCTCACTGACTACAACGATGAAAAGCCATTGGATATCTTGATAACCCTCGACCCTGTCGACGAGTTTTCACAAAGATTGATCGCCACAGTGGAGTCGTTGCAAGATTTACCTTTCCTCAACATCATTGTCCTCTTGCAGCCTCTCTCACAGACTGACGGGCCTTCGACACTCGACAGATTTTATGCGTCTGGATTTTCAGGACTGACGCCCAGCTTCACTGCTGATGGACATTTTCTCAGAGCTGGAACGGAGAGCTTTGAGGCTTTACCTGATTCAAACTACAGAGTTGGTGTCGACATACCTAACAGGTGGTACGTTGCGAAGAACGAATCATCTGCGGATCTCGATCTCAACGACTTGAGTGTTTCTGATGAGAACGTTGCCGCAGACTTTGTTTTGAGCAAAATCGCGGTGGAGGCATTCGTCAGAAACGTCAAAACCGGTGCGCCTGTCCCCGGCTTGATATTGCAAGCAACCAACAGACACGGGCCCCGTGAAGGATTCACGATGGAAACCATGGGGTATAACCAGTTGCGGCTTGAGCCAGGCACTTGGCAGCTTGAGATCAAGAATATACTTGAAAAGGACAAGCAATACGATTTGCTCTCGGCCCACCGCAATAGGTATCTTGCAAATGATGAAGCCTTGGACTCAACTTCTCTCTCGGTTTTCTCACTCTCTGGAAACCTCATCCACGTGCGTACCCGAGAATCACAGGCGTTGCCAAACGATAGTTTGAGAGCCGGTGCTAGTTCAGCGGAAGTGAACGTTTTCAGCATTGCAAGCGGGCTCAACTACGAGAAACTAATGGCTATCATGATGCTCTCTGTTAAGACGCATACGAAAAAGACGTTGAAATTCTGGCTTCTTGAGGACTTTTTGAGTCTGCACTTCAAGGCGCAGTTGCCTATGTTGGCGGCCAAATATGACTTTCAATACGAGCTCATCTCTTACAAGTGGCCGATCTGGTTGAGACAGCAGACCGAAATTCGCCGAACTGTGTGGGCGTACAAAATTCTATTTCTCGACGTGTTGTTCCCTGCGGACTTGGACAGGGTCATTTTCGTTGACGCGGATCAAATTGCCCGGACCGACCTTTCTGAGTTGATGCATCAAGACTTGCAGGGCGCGCCATATGGATTCACGCCCATGTGCGAGTCTCGTGAGGATATGAAAGGGTTCCGGTTTTGGGAACAAGGGTACTGGAAGACGGTTTTGAAAGATGATCTCAAGTACCATATCAGTGCACTCTTCGTGGTGGACTTGAAGACATTTAGGCAAAACGCCATAGGCGACAAATTACGCTCGCACTATCAAAGGCTTTCCTCTGATCCCAGCTCGCTCTCCAATCTCGACCAGGATTTGCCCAACAATCTTCAGAGAACGGTGCCGATTTTCTCCTTGCCGCAAGAATGGCTCTGGTGTGAGACGTGGTGCTCGCAGGCACTGAAGGAACATGCTAAGATGATTGATTTATGTGACGACCCCACGTCACTGGAGCCCAAAATCGCCAAGGCTCTTCGCCTGATTCCCGAGTGGCAGAAATACAACGAGCAGCTCCAAAGCTTGGGCGACGGCTCACTTGAAATCATTCATGATGAGCTCTAACTATTCATTGAGCTCTAATTATTCATGATGAGCTTATTCATTGAGCTCTAACTATTCATGATGATCTCTAACTATTCATGATGAGCTCCAATTGTTCATGATGAGCTACAATTGTTCATGATGAGCTCTACTTACTCATTCGCGTGCTGCTACCCCAGAATTGCACCCAATTCGCGCACTGTGTGCAATCCGTGCGATAACGGCGCCTTGCATGAGATACGGCCTGCACAGGGACGTAGGTGTCAGTGCACGTGAAAGTTCATCAATTGCTCGTTGGGTCAATGAGCCTCGTCTGGGAAGAACCTGCAACCCACCCCAGCAGATTTTGAAAAAAGCAATCCAAAACTGCTGGATTCATTTTACTTGGTGATTCTGTCCACCGCACCCAGCTGCTCTTCTCCGGGAAAAAATACGAATGGCTATACGACCGGTCCACTGTGTGCCCGTGACTCACTTGCACACTGCGTCGTGTGTGCAGGACCTCTCGTGCTCGAACAATACCGATCTGAAAAAAAGCAGGCAATCACGTTGAGGAAACGAGTGTTTTTCCTGTCCAAAACTCTTGATCAACTTCCCACACCACTTGCTTGGCCATGAAAATCACGGAAAAATTGACACAGGCCCACAGCGGTGCCAATCCGCCTCCCGCTACCTTTTCTTTCGAGTTCTTTGTTCCCAAGACGTCGCAAGGTGTGCAAAATCTTTACGACAGAATGGACAGAATGTACGACTTGAACCCGATTTTTGTTGACATCACGTGGAACGCTGGTGGGCGCTCTTCTTCGTTGACCAATGAAATGGTGTACACTGCCCAATCGACATTGGGGCTCGAGACGTGTATGCACTTGACATGCACGAATATGGCCGTGTCTTACATTGACGAAGCCTTGGAAAAGGCTTTCAAAGCCGGATGCCAAAACATTTTGGCCTTGCGGGGTGACCCTCCTTTGGACGGCTCGGAGTCCACGGGCGACTTCCGGTATGCCAAAGATTTGATTGCGTACATCAGAAAAAACTACGGCGACCACTTCAACATTGGTATCGCCGCTTACCCCGAGGGCCACCCTGAGGAAAACGACAACGGCAAGTTGTTGCAATACTTGAAGGAGAAAACTGACGCTGGTGCGGACTTCATCATCACGCAGATGTTCTACGATGTTGACAATTTCATTGGCTGGTGTCGCAAAATTAGGGACTACGGTATCAACATTCCGATCATTCCCGGAATCATGCCCATCTCAACCTACTCCGCTTTCATCAGAAGAGCCAACTGGTCGCAGGTGGCAGTTCCGCAGCACTTTTTGGATGCATTGGACCCCATCAAGGAGGACGATTTCGCTGTCAGAGAACTTGGTTCGCAGCTCGTGGCCGACTTGTGCCAAAAACTCATCGACTCCGGCTTCGTCAACCACTTGCATTTTTATACCATGAACTTGGAGAAATCTACAATCATGTTGTTGGAGAAATTGAACTTGGTTGAGTGCGTGAAGGAAATCGATGCAGTGGGCGAAGATCTTCCTTGGAGAAAATCCTTGCACCCAAACAGATCAAAGGAGGCCATCAGACCAATCTTCTGGCAGAACAGGAAGTACTCATACATCAGCCGGACGTCTGGGTGGGACGAGTTCCCCAACGGTAGATGGGGTGACTCGAGATCTCCAGCTTTTGGAGACATTGATCTCTCTGCGTCCGAGCTTTTGAGACAGTCGCCAAAAAGGGCTTTGGAGTTGTGGGGCTGTCCACAAGAACTCAAGGACTTGGCCAACATTGTGATCAGGTACTTGAATAACGAAGTCAAGGCCTTACCCTGGAGTGACGGGCCCATTGGCACCGACACGAACGTGTTGAAAGAATCCTTGATCAAACTCAATGAAAATGGGTTTATCACTTTAAACTCTCAGACCGCGCTCAACTCCGTGAGATCCAACGACAAGGTCCATGGCTGGGGCCCCAAAAACGGCTTTGTCTACCAGAAACAGTACTTGGAGTTCATGGTTCATAAAGATGTCGCCTCTCGTCTAGTGACCGCAGTAGAGACACACAACCAAGCAGACCCAACTGGACTCATCTCGTTCTACATGGTGGACAAAGAAGGCAACCTCACCACCAACGCCCATGACGACGATATCAATGCAGTCACATGGGGCGTGTTTCCTGGCGAAGAGATCTTGCAGCCTACCATTGTGGAGAAGGTGTCGTTCTTGGCCTGGAAAGACGAAGTGTTCTCTTTGATCAAAGAATGGGACACGATTTTCCATTCGAAAGTCATTGGCGAGCTTGTAGAGGCGGAGAAGATTGACGCCTTCTCGCGGTTTTTGACCGGGTTCGGCAACAACTATGTGTTGTGCAACATGGTGAACAACGACTTCACCAGCGACAACAGCCACATGTTCCAGTTGTTGCACGGCCTCACCGAGGCGGCCAACTAAGGTCCTGAAAGCATTTAGCCCTTGCATCGCTGCGCATCTTCCTTCACTTCTCGACCCCCCACGCTTTACCATGAGTCATTCGACTCGGTTTTTATCTAATTCAACTTGGTGATAAAACAACTCTTTCAAGGATCATCCCGGCATCGCCGTTCAGAAGGGTGTGCCCGGGAGCAGTGCTGCCACGACCCTGTTTTATGTTTTCAACTACCCTTTCTGCATCCAGTGCCATGAACTCAAAATTTTATATAGCATCCTCAACGGCATGGTTTTACCAATACAAAAGTGAACAAGCTTGCTGGGCGCCCGTCCCCGGGTGCGCCGCACCGCCCGGGGTGGCTGCCAGCCCATTGAAGTGGCCGGCCAATTGCGTGGCATGCCGTAGTGTTCATGCCCTGCAGCGCGTCGGCGGCTTTCCCCAAACCCCAGGCATGGTCCCTCATCGCTGGGAATGGCCCGCCGTCCCATGGGTCCCTGCCCAACACAGTGTTTGCTACGCCAAGTCCCCGACCCGCCAGAGCTCCAAGTTGATGATCTTGAACTTGCCGAACTTGTGCCCCGTGCACCCGTGCTCGTTGAGAATCTCGTTGCCGAACGTGTCGCACGGGTACGACACCCCCAGGTAGAGCGACTTGTCGATCCAGAGCCCGTTGTTGCCGGCCGACAGCCCCACCGCTATGAAGTCGTGGTTTGAGTAGACGACATTGTCGTTGACGCCCGTGTACACAAACGCCTTGAACCGCTGGCGGCGGCGCGGGTCCAGCCCGTGGGCCGGGCCCAACTGGTGGCGGTCGAACCACTCGCACTTCCAGAGGAAACACTCGCCGTTGCCGTAGTAGCGACGGTGGTCGTGCGGCCGCAAGTGCTCGTTGAGAAAGCAGCCGAACTTGTTGCGTTTCTCGTCCTCGATCACCAAGACATAGCCGTGCGGCCGCGTGCCTCGCGCGGCATCCACGCCCGGGGTTTGGAACAGCACCATGGCCTTGACCACGTTTTCCGCGTACCCGTGGTTCTGCTGTTTTTGCCGCTGCGCACGCTGGTGCTCCGGGCTGCTGTGGCGGTAGAGCGTGTTGAGCGAAATCCCGTCCTGCTCGAGCGAGTAGAGTAAGTGCCAGTCGTCGTATAGCTGGAGGCGGGCCGGCATTAGCGAGCGGAGATTGGCCGCCAACTCCGCGTCCATGAGCCGGCGGTGTGTGCCGGACGCGTACCCATGCAAGCCGAGGTCCAGAAGCGGCGGGAGTGGGTTTGTGTTTGTGTCGCTGGCCTCGCTTCCAGCTTCTGAGGGCGTTGCCATAGTGGACGAGGTCTCGGAGCCCTGGCCGCGAATCATCTTCTCAAAAAAAGCACGCACTTTGCGTGGCTGCTCGCGCGGCGCGCCGGGGTCTGGGGCTGTACTGTCCATTGGTAACAACGGCGGCTTTTCTGGACGTATTCTGTGCTTTTCTGTGCTTTTTCTGTGCTTTTTTGGTGTTTTTGGCACGGCTCCTAGACGAGAAGAGGGTAGTATCGGGCGGCTAAGTTGAGTTTTCGTGGGGAGACCGGAGGGGCGCGCGTGTGCAGGACGCGCGGCGATCTGGGGAAGCTTGACGGGGTGCAATTAGTGGTTAGACATCGTACATGTGCCATGGACTTGTAGGGCCTTTTGTTCCCTTTGTAATTTTTGGCTGTTTGAAGGGTGGTGTGGCTTTTTGTAAGTTTTCGAAACAGCCGTATTTCTTTGGGGGACTAGCTAATTTTTTTCTTCGCTTCTAGCCTGAGCAAGGTAGGTTATGAAAGCGAGAGCTTTGGGAACGAATCTGTGAAGTCATTCCCACGTTGCTTTCACAACACCAGACAATCCGTTTGATGACACGAATTTCTATTTTGTGAGGAGAAAATTGGGCTCGTAATTGAATAAGCCATAAAGCAGAAACTATACTCTACCTTGTTGCCTTAAATGCATATTCCTTAATTTGGAATGTACATGGAATGAAGACGTGCCGCAAGGGCAATTCACCCTGTGGAGAGTGTTGAACACAGAAAAGTAATGTTGCCTCAAAATCTCCATTAGTAATCATAACCGCCTTATTAGTCGCATAATGCTTCGAGCCTGTCCAAACTCAATTATGTATATACTCACTTAGTTATATTATTCCGACGCAAGTGTTGTCGGGCAGAGTGCTTCTCATTGTTGACTTTGCAATGCTTTGTCGACTCTGCTGAATGGACTGTGATATTTAGTTTGCACACTGATTCGTAATATCATTTAGGCTCAAGCCCATTTAAAATCAAAAAGCAGGCTTTCTCTTGATTGCATCAATCAACCAATTTTCATAGATATATTTGATACTGGACATCGCCTGGCCTCGCGCTTGATATCGCCGAACCATGGGTTCCTCGTTGGACAAATACTGGATTTTTCGTCATCAAATATTGAAATATTCAATTACAACTGATTAATAGTATAGCTAGAGTATAGAACGCTGCCAGTATAAATTTAATGTTGAATTATATGTCGTACAGCCTGAATTACATAGAGAAATGCATATCATGAGTTTCATTTCAAGTAAGATGAACAGGTCAGCACAGACGTCAAGATTCCCAGATGTGGTTCTTTAGAGGCATGTTTGCGCAAAATGACATCAATCACCGTCACTGTTTTAAATGTCTTTCATAATTGGCTCATCAAAAAGGCTTCTCCAGAGCTTTTGGCCACAGCGTATTTATTGGAAGGGCAACGGGTGTATTTACCGGCGGTTCTCATTTTCCTCATGATTCTTCTGGTGGATATTAGTTTTAAGGAAGAAACTTCTTGATGATTTGTATTTGGTAGATTCACTCGATTAAAGGAGCGAAACTATACAAATAATATATACAAAAACCCTTAACCCAGCTCCCAGAGACGTACCAAGTGTCGGAACTCGGCCCCCCTCCTGCCGTTATCCACGACCTGGACGGTCTTTTCAGCCCCTTTCTGTTGACGTATTGCAAATCACGTGATTGGCTCCTAGGATGAGTTACCTGTAGTAGTAGCTTCAATTCAGATGGTTGGAGAGGACGTATGGGGCTTCTCCCTGCGACTGTCCGCGTCTTCGAGTAAATATCTACTAACAAAAAGCTATGAAGAGAAAACCTTTAATCGATAGCCACATTGGCTCAGGCGAGATGACGTGGGCACTTATTCACCAAATCTCCCAAAGAGGATGTGAATCTCCTCCAAAGGATGTCTGCTCATAACGAATGGCAACCACTTGGACATCGCGGTGACAAATCAATTCATATTTAGTCCAGACACCAAAATACAATCTAGCGCAACTCAAATTAAATTTGAGTTTATAAACCTTTTTTCTTTGCATTATTAGCCGTTGTTGACAAAATTAGATCAGACTTGTGACGACAGGCTTGTTTTGATATGCAGGTGCAACAAATTTTGCGGCTAATTAGTATTTCTGCATTAATAAATTCACATCGTACAATATTCCATCGGAGGCTCTGTGGCCGAGCGGTCTAAGGCGGCAGACTCAAGTTCTGTTATCGTAAGATGCGCGTGTTCGAATCACGCCGGAGTCAATATTTTTTAAATATTATTTGATTGGCACAAGATTTCTGACAATTGTGTAATAAACTAGTCTTTATTGTAAAAAGAAGTTTCTCTCTGCTACAATTACCATGAAGAATTCACACTGTGAAGTGGGCTTAACCCCTCATGGTTCAGAAACTAACCTTCCTCCCGATCACCGCATTAATCGCCATAAACTCGATCCGGACTGATATTCACAGTCCTCAAGATGGGCGATGGAGACAATGAACTCTGACTACGAGTAAGTATTCCAGTCTTTGAATTCGAGAGTCACCAACCAACAATGGATAAAGAGTAATCATCGAAACATCAGCCCTCTCACAGAAGTCAAACGAAAGACCCATGGGGCTCAAAAGACAGCCCAAATGAATCTTTTCATACAGCCAGTCCTGGCGTCCTCCAGCAAATACTATGTATTCTTACTCGCCAGAAGCATAGTTCTATATAAACTGCTCAAACAGAAGGTCCTACTTGGCAAACGACATGAGACTCACAAGAAATGCCACGCCGGCCTTGCAGCTATCGACAAACTCGATGTGCGGGTACATGGCAGAAAGCTTGTCGTCTAAGCCCGCCATTCCCGCACAGCCCAACAAAACACAGTCAATGTGGTCGTCCTTGTACTCCTGCAAAAAGAAGTCAAGGCGGTCCGAGATTTTCTTGAATTCCGCAGGGTCGGCTAAACTCAAGACAGACACGTCAAGAGCACGCGTCTTTTGGAACTTGTGCAGTGGGAACACACCGGTCCCAGCAAAGGCCGTAATTCCTTCGTCCAAAAGCGGGTTCCAGCCGCTGGTGCTGGTCAAAACAAACAGCTTCTGGAGGCGGGCATTGGCATAGCTGTAGAGCAATGTGGCCTGCATAATCCCCAACACAGGCAGCCGTGTGATCTGTGCTAGACTGTTTACTAGCGGGTGGTCCGAGTAGCAACATACAAGATAGCCATCGTGGGCAGTATGGAGGTTTTTTTTCACTAGATCCGGAAGCGTGGCCTGCTCCGAGAGAACCAGCGATTGTGCACCATCGATTTCCCGTGGCGACGACGCCGGCGCCGTGTAGAACTCAAGGGTGATTCCTGCAGGTGCATTCAAGATCGCCCGGAGACCGTCGGTTACTTTTGTGGACGAGTTGGGGTTGATGACAAGAATGGATGGCATTGGGTGCAAATGTGCTTGAACTTGCGGGAAACGGCGCCAGACTCGACCGTATTTGCAAATATGGTCCGGGTAGAGAAATGAGGAGAATATAAGATGTTTTCTACTGCGATGGGTGGGGGTTGGTAGCGCTATGTGATGTCTTTCCGGGGAAGTATGGAGAAATAGTGATTGGCTTGCTTCGCTTCGATAAGCTGCGGGCCGGGCCTGTCGCCGAGCGCCGATACCGGACGCACCGCAGGGCCGAATCACGATTTTATAAACAGTTTCGCCCGTTTCAAATTCTGGAAAAAGAGCTGACAATGAACTGACAGCCGGCACTCGCCAGTATGGGAGCAGTAGATGAACAGGCCTGTGATGGGCGTACGATTCGGCAGGCCGTTGGAGATAAGGGTCACGTGACGTGCGGCGGGTTCGGAGCCCGGGTGCATTGATGATCAAAGATCTCAACTGGGTTCTAGCTCACTTCGGTGTTCTTTCAGACTTTTGGTACGGACCGTTTCGTTGTCATCATGTGGGATCTCTCCGGCTTCTATTAGTGGCGATATTCTATGCTAGACTGAGATCGTGTTTCCCACCCTGCTTCAGCCTGATTTTCGATGCAGGCAGCCGAGAATTGCAAAAACATCGCGAGTCAAGCCCATCAACTGGCTTAGAACTGCCCAATATGGTTTTCTGTATTAGTGAGAATGTGCTGGTGATGTGCCTAGTCTGAGGGTCCATGACCGGTAGTTAACAACACCACAGAACCACTTGGACAAGTACCACCCAGGATACCTCGGCACGGTTGATATGAAATACTTCGCAAGCATATATTTCTGAAAAGCCACATAGCAACTTCGAGAGATTGTGGTCTCTGGCTGAGAAGGAGAAGCGTGGCCAGAACCGCAAGTCTGCTTCTGCCTGTGCTGCCCCAGGCCCATGACCGCCTGTATGCACTCCTGCTGTGATGCCAAATATCATGTCTAGTAGCTCTAAAGAAACCTTCTATTCCCGCCTTTTTGTTACACCACGTGCTCATTTTGTGAGTGGCGCCGTGAGTTTTGCCATGAAGTCAGTGGTGTAAAAGTACAGCCGCTTATGTATCCCGTTTCTACATGCCGCGTCCTTCCGGAACAGTTTTGCTTACTGATCCGATGTATTGCCGATATGAAAGAGGTGTGCATTCGCCATGTTGTGTAATAATACATACGCCAATTGCTTGCGCAAGCGTGTTGGCTGTACCTATGTAATGCTTTAGCCGACTGCAATCGCCAGCTTTCCACGATCTTTAGCAGTCGGCAAACTTCAGTTTTCCACAATCTTTAGCAGTCGGCAATCTTCAGTTTTCCACAATACTTAGCTCTCTACATACTCCAATTTTCTTCAATCCTTAGCTGCCCCCAACCTCTAGTTTTCCACGTTACCCAGGTATCTACAATCTTTAGCTATACACCAACTCCAGCTTCGGACAATACTAGCTTTCTACAATATTTAGCTTGCTACAATCTGCAGCTTTCCAGAGTCTCCTGCTTTTTACAATCTTCAGCTTTTTACACTCAGCAGTCCACAATCTCCAGCTTTCCACAATCTTTAGCAGTCCACAATCTTTAGCTGTCCACAAATTACAGTTTCCACATTATCCTGATTTCTACAATCTGCAGCTGGCCACAATCTCCAGATTCCTACATTTTAGCTTCCCACAATCCCAGCTTTCTACAATCTTCGAACTTGCATAATATGTAGCGGTCCACGATCTTTAGCTTTGCTGAATCTCCAGCTTTCTACAACTTTAACCTTTTCACAATTTCCAGCTTCCCACAATCTTTCGCTTCCCACAATCTCTAGATTTCTACAATCTTTAGCTTTCCACAATTTCTAGCTTCCCACAATCCCAGTTATCTATAATTCCACCTTTCCACAATCCCAGCTTTCCACAATCCCAGATTTCTACAATCTTTAGCAGTCCACAATCTTCAGCTTCCCACAATCTTTAGCAGACCACAATCTTTAGCTTTTTATAATCTTTAGCAGTCCACAATCTTTAGCTTTTTATAATCTTTAGCAGTCCACAATTTTTAGTTGCCCACAATATTTAGCTTTCTACCATCTCCAGCTTCCCAGAATCTCCAACTCTCCACAATCTCCAGCTTCCCACAATCTTTAGCTTTCCACAATCCCAGCTTTCCACAACCCCAGCTTTCCACAATCCCAGATTTCTACAATTTAGCTTTCCACAATTTCCAGCTTCCCACAATCTTCAACAGTCCACAATCTCCAGTTTTCCACAATCTCCCCACAATCCCAGCTTTCCAAATTCATTAACAGTCCACAATTTTCAGGCTTCCACAATACTTAGCTTTCTACAATCTTTAGCAGTCCGCAATCATCAGATTTGTACGATCTCCAGTTTGCCACAATATTTGGCTTTCCAGAGTCTCCAGTTTTTCACATTTTCCAACTTCCCTCCATTCCAGCTTTCTACAATCATTAGCTTTCCACAATTTCCAGCTTTCTACAATCCCCAGCTTCCCACAATCTTTAGCAGTCGACAATCTTCAGCTTCCCACAATTTTTAGCAGTCGATTCTTCAGCTTTTTATAATCTTCAGCAATTCACAATATTTAGCTTTATACGATCTCCAGCTTCCCACAATCCCCGCTTTCCACAATCCCCGCTTTCCACAATCCCCGCTTTTCACAATATTTGGCTTTCGACAATCCCAACCTCCCCACCCATCACGCTCCCCGATGCCGGCCAGACACCGCGCGCTTCCGGATGGGTGCGCGCGGCCTGGCCACGTGACCCGGGCATCAGCGCCCGTCTTCAAAGCACGAACCAAGCACGCCGCTCTTTCGGCCCATGTCGTTCGTTGCCGCCATCAGCGACGCCGCCCGGATCGGCACGTGGTCACGTGCCTGCGTGGCCTTGGCCGGGGTCGCCGACCAGATCGCCTTCACCGTGCGCGCAACCTCGCTCTCGATGCTCGCAGTGAACTCCAGCAAAACCACCCACGGCGAGGTGCACTTTGAGCAGGGCTTTTTCAACGAGATTGCGTTCAGCGCCGCCGGCGTGCTTGAGGACGGCTATTGCAGGGCCGCAGGCGCATACTCGTTTGTGGTGTCGTCGAAACACCTCGTGATGCTCTTGAAGAACTCGGACGCGGCCAGCCTCAACTACGTGTGTCTCCAGGTAGAGTGCAGCACGCACACGCCGGCCGTACGCCGGTACAAGCTCGGCGTGGAGATCTTGACCAAGAAGTTGGTGCTCAAAAAGTACCAGATCGGGTTCCAGCCCGTGGAAGTGGCGCCCACGGACATCCCAGCACGGTACGAGACCCGGGCCCGCGGCAACGACGTGTTCCAGTACCTGGTCCCGGCCGCGACCTTCAAGCAGTTTTTGGACACGGCGCACGCGGCGGCCGAGGACTTTGGCGTCGAGGCCAAGGCCGGCCGGATCGCGTTTGAGGCCTACACCAAGCTGGTGCTCCGGGACCGCGACTGCCTCAAGCAGCCCATGCTGGTGACCATGCAGATGGCGGTGGCAGACTTGGCCCGCTGCAACTTGGCGGATGCGGGCCTCGCGTTCACCTTCCGCTTGCGCGATTTCCGCATCTTCGTGGGGCTCGTGTCCGGCCGCCCGGGCCTGGCCGTGGACACGTTGTGCCCGGGCGCCGGGCTGCCGGCGTTGTTCCAGCACAGAGGCACGGATGTCACGGTCAACTTCATCCAGATGACCACGGGCGCCCGCCTGCAGGAGCGGCCCCCGGCCGCCCACGGCTACGCCCTCCATGCGCCCGTGGTGCAGAAAAAACGGCCGCTCGCCGAGGGCCCAGGGGCCGGTGCCGGCAGCGCGGCCCGGGCTAAGAAAACGCGCCCGGCCCGGGAGGGATCTTTGGACGTGTTTGAGCCGCGCGTGTCGTACGGGGCGCCGGGGCCCGGGCTGGCCTCAGACACCCCCGCCGAGTCCGGGCCAGACTTGGACGCCCCCGCCGGGCCCGACGACACGGAGTACAGCAGTTCCGCCGAGGAGCCCGAGTTGGAGTACGGCCCGACGCAGGCGCGCGACAGGCCCGAGCCGTTGTTCCAGTGAGCACGCCGGAGCCGCCGCGAGGGCACGAGGGGAGAGAGGGGGAGGGGAGGAATATCGATTAATGCTAAAGACGGGCGGGTTCCAGAAGAACGGCCGGGGGCAGCGGCGCCCGCCTAGGCCTCCTTGGGCGGGAGCTGTTTGTCCAGAAAGTGGTGCCTGGTCCACCGGAAGCCCTGCGCCAACTGCGCGCACTCGTTGACAAAGTGGCAGCCAAACAACAAGTAGTTCTTGGGCGCGATGGCCAAGGAGTAGCGCATGAACACCAACGAGTACAAGATGAGCGAGCCGGTCATGGGCCCGCTGATGATTTCCGGGTCTTTCTTCAAGTCCAACACCGCGGCCACGGGGATCCCGAAGTTGGACACGGGGCCCCAGAAGTGCGACGTGAGGAGATACTTGAGATTCTGCTTGCTGAATAAGTTCCGGAAAGACATGGTGTGGAGAAGAGAGGTGGAGGGCGGGTGCTGTTTTGTCGGTGGCATGGGGCCCGTGGCGTGTGTGCAGGACGCGCCGCGCGCCGGCCTCGTTTTCAGTATCAGACTTCTCGATTCACGTATGTACGGTACTTGGGGTCCTTAGAGGACTACCCCTACCAACCCTTGGAGGAGAAAGAAGAACGGAAAACCCCCGTCTCTGTACGGAGGTTCTTCCCTCTTTTTTTGCCTCATGGGTTTTGAGAAAATAGTAGTATTCTAGGACCCTAAGTACCGCACATACTTGAACTGAGCAATCTGATACTGAAAGTCACGAGGCACCGCTTGTGCGGGGACATGCAGGCGCAGGGTGCGGGAGAGCTGTCCATGACTGTTTAGGCATGAGTTGGTCTTGGGTCAGTCGTGGTATGGTGAGCCGGCTCGATGGCTTTTGGCCAGGGTTTCTTGCAGCTTTAGCAATGAGCAGATGTCCGATGTATAGCTTCTTGATAGATAGAGCTTGATGACTTTTGAATCGGGTGCAGGTATGAGCAGGGCTTCAATGAATAGCTTTTTATGAACGGATTAGATCAGTGGTGTCATAATGAGCTGCGCTTGATGGACTGTTTGAGTGGGGTGCTGTTATGAGCAAACTTTATTGAGTATTGGTGAACAGATTTAAATCAGTAGTGTTATTATGAGCTGAGCTTAATGTGAGCAGGATTTCAATGAATAGCTTTTTATTGAACGGATTTGAATCAGTAGGTGTTATGATTAACTGAGCTTAAAGGACTGTTTGAGTGAGGTGCGTTTATTGCGCAGGGGTTTTAACAGCTTTAGTAATGAGAATATTTTAATGAGTTCTGTTATGATGAGCAGGGCTTGATGACTTTTGAATGAGGTGCGGGTATAAGCAGGGTTTGAGAATCAGTTGTATTAATGAACAGATCTCTGATGTATAGCTTGTTGATGAACAGAGCCTAATGACTTTCAAATGATGTGCGCTTACTGAGCAGAGCTTAAATGAATAGCCTCTTGGTGAACAGATTCAAATGAGTAGCGTCTTGATGAACTGAGCTTAATGGACTGTTGGAGTGAGGAACATTTATTGAGCAGGGTTTTGAAAATTAGCTTTATTAATGAACAGATTAAAATAAGTAGTGTTATGATGAACAGAGCTTCATGAAAGTTTGTAGAGGTGCATTTATGAGCCGGGCTTCAATGAATAGCTTCTTAATAAACGGGTTTAAATTAGAAGTGTTATAATGAGCAACGCTTGATGACTTTTTGAGTGAGATGCATGTACTAAGTAGGGTTTGGAAAATCAGTTTTATCAATGAACAGTTTCAAATGGCGATGTGACAAGCAGATACTAACGTTTTGAATGAGGTGCATTCCATGGAATAGTATAAGAACAGCTTCTTATTCAACAGGCTTAAATCAGTAGCGCCTTGATGGATAAAGAATTTTCATTGACTGGAGCGTTAATGGGCAGCTGTTTGATACGCAGATATTCAATGTATAGCGCTTTGGATAACAGAGCCTACTAAACAGCATTCAAGGAATTTTATTTCTTTTAGCAGATGAGAATAAACTGCTTCTAGATAAACAGACGGTTATGATCAATTATCATGAAAATTGCAATGATTAGAGTTTAAGGAAACAGCCTCAATAAAAATAACCTCTGAATAGTGTTTTACTGAAAAGAGTCTAAAAGTGTTTTAGTGTGTTGACACAGAGTTTAAATGAATAGCCTTTTAATACAGAAACTTATAATGAATCGTGTTTTCAACAAGAGCGCTATGATTTCGCTTTACTCAACTGCGTATAAACCAGCAGGGTTTTGATAAAAGCACTCTAATAAACAACACCCGATAAATAGCACCCAATAAAGACCACTCAACACAGCCCACCCTTTTAGGAAGCACTCCACTTACACCACCAAAGTAAAATACACTACTGTGATCAAAACATTGCTTCAATATATCCGCATTATGATTCGACCAGCGGTTCAATGATAGACTTTGGCAAGACCTATAAAGCACTGTAGCAACGAGCACCGCCGCAGCACTGCTGGAAAAACAAGACCACTCTAATATAACACTACGTTGTAACTCTGCCTCGATGTAAGAAGCCGTTGAAAAGAGTGGCGTTGTTTTAGCAACGGGGTAAGCCTTGCCTTGGCAAAACTTTGTCATAATATGACACCGGCATGAATTATAACAGCACTATCAACATCCCAAAACCATCGCCATGTAGCACCGCAATAAAACGGCCCCGCTGAGATAGCACAATAAGACAGCAACATAAAACTCGTTGGAACAGAACTTGATGATATGGAGCCGCACCTCATTGGAGCTGCGCCGTGATCAAGAAGAACAAGTTCATAAACCGCACCATAACCAAACACCATAACCAAACACCATAACCAAACACCAGAATCAAACACCATAGAATTGCGGCTCCAGAAGAGGCTCATTAATAAACGCCTATGGTAAAAATTCGAATAATTGTGTCTGGAAGAAACAGGACCATGACAAAGAGCACTTTTGATGAAGCAGCTCTCCAACCAACCCCTCATTCACCCCTCCTACAGCCCTGCCGTCAGAGCATGTGCGGGTTGTGCGAGTTCCCAAGGGTCTCGCCGCCGTCCGCATCAATGTCAATGACCCCCACCATGTCCGCCTCTGTCTGGATCAGGCTGTACTCGGTGTCGTGGCCCACGATTGGGCCCGGGCCGAAAAGCTGCCCTTGCAGACCGGGAATGTAGCCCGGCACACGCAGCTTGGGGCCAGGCGCCGCACCAAGCCCGGCCAGAATTCCCAAAAAGTGCGGCGAGTTCTCGGGGCTGCCCACCCAGAACGGATCGCGCATGTTGATGCCGAGCATCTCGCCGATCTGCGGGTCGTAGTCAAAGCCGCTGAAGGTGGGCAGCGCGCCGCTGCCGGCGCGGGCCTTGGAGGCCTGCTTCATGATGGCGATGTTGTCGAGGATCTTGCGCATCAAAATGAGGTTGCTACGAGACCAGAGGTGGATGTTCTCGCGCACGAGCTTAGCGATGGACGAGTGCAAGCCCAAGAGCGTGTGGAGCAGGGCCTCGAGCTGGTCCACGAAGGCACCGCTGCTCTCCTGGATGAAATAGTGCGCTTTGGTGCTGATCAAGATGTACGTGACCACCATGCCCTGGTAGATGAACGACGCAAAAAACGGGTCGCGGAAGACAAACACCTTGTCGAGGCGGATGTCCTCGGCATTGGCGGCGGCGGCGCCCGCGGCGTCGGCACACTCGAGGATGCGCGGGACCTCGTCCTTGACGAACTCCGACACGAGCTCGCACGTGTGCTCGTAGAACAAGAGGATGGAGCCCATGATGTAGTTGAGCGCGTCGTTGTGCGGCACGGGGCGGGCCACGGACGGCTGCAACAACTTGACGCGGTTGACGTGCAACACGACCAAGTCCACGAGCACGTCGCGCCGCGTGACCGTGGCGGGCATGTCCGTGAGCGGGTCGATCTTCTTGACCACGCCGTCGATGTGCGCCTGGTACAGCAGGCCCAAGTAGTACGAGAGCTTGTCGATCTCCGCGCCGAACTGCGCGTTGATGGCCCACACGCTGTCCATGGAGAGCTGGGCCAAGAAGCTGTCGATCATGTTGGAGTTGCTGAGGCGCACGCACTCGCTCAAGCCCAGCTTCAAGAGCGTGCTGGTCAACGAGTCGAGTGCCCGCGCGTCCTCCACGTTGCAGGTGCTGGCCACGGGCAACGACACGTGGTTGACCTGCACCATGATGGGGTTGGGCCGGCCCAAGATCAGGCACATCTGCGAGCAGAGGTTGCGCAACGCAAACCACACGCGGAGCTTGGGCAACTCGTCCGCGTAGAAGTCGTCGTAGCCGTCTTTGGACCGCGTGGCGGGCAGCCCGCGCGCCGGCGGGGCCTGCTTGTCACCATACGCCTGCGGCTCGTAGAGCAGCGACGTGGCCTTGGACACCACGTGCAACCCGAGCGCGTACGCGATGGCGCAGCAGTGGAACATCATGGCCCACGCCTCCTCGTAGCGCTGCTCGACGAACTCCCACTCGGCACAGAGGATGTACGCCTGCACCGTGACGTAAGACTCGTTGGCGAGGTTGTGGCGGAGTCGTGAGAAGCCACGGAAGAGCCGCTTCTGCACGGACCGAGTCGCCCGCCACATCGGCGCGAAGCCCGCCACGGCCGGTCGGAAGAGCCCGTTGTACTGCGCCAGGCCGAGCCGCTGGAGCGCCAACATCAACACCATGTGCAAGAGGAGCAAGTCGCCGCCGCCGTCGCCGTCGCCAGCACCGTCCAGGTGCGTCCCGCACGCGTGCTCGTCCACGGCCCGCACCACCCGCGCTTCGGAGATAAAGTAGTCGTACGCCTTGGTCTCGAAAAAGCTGTGCACGAGCGCCTTGATGACCCGCACGTTGGCGGCCGGGTGCGCGGCCGGGTCCACGAGCCACGGTAATGGCTGGGTGTGGGCATTGTGCGGGCGGCTGCCCGAGCTGGCGTCCGAGTCGCCGTCGCCGTCGCTGTCCGCGATCCGGAACGGGTCGCTGGTCCAGCGGTGGTGCTGGAGCGGCACGCCGGGGTCCCCACCGCTGGCGCCGCTGGCGATCTTGTCGAAGTCTTCGGTCATGTTGTTGGCCAGGAGCGGACCGTAGTACTTCTCGCCGTTCTCCGTGGTCTCGCCGCGGATGTGGAACGGGTGTGCGGGCGACAGGGCCCAGTCCGAGACCGGGCCCGGGTCCAGGTCCGAGTCCCCGGGCCGCTGTGTGTGGCGCTGGAACTCCTCGCGGATATACTGGTTTTCCAACTGCAAGCGGCGCACCTGCTGCTCCAACTCGCACACGCTGGCGGGCAGCGCGGGGTTGGCGGCGCCGGCCGGATCCGCGGTGCAGGGCCCGTTAAGGCTAGCCTCCGGGCCCTCGTCGAAAGACACGTTGCGAAACTTGGAGGGGAACTGGCACGGCACGCCGTGCTTAACGCACTGGTTGCAGGGCTTGCGCTTGTTGCACTTGATTTTGCGGCGGCGACACCGGACGCACGAGATGGGGAGCTCGCTCATGCGGGCTTGCTTCTGTGGGGGCGGGCGCGTGCCGGTCTGGCGCCTGGGTGTGGGTGTGGCCTGTGTGTGGATGGGGCCAGTGTCTGAGTGAGACCAGTGTCTGAGTATTGACTTCTATGTCTGCCTGCCGACTTTGAAGGCCTGCTTTCTCCGTCTACCTGCTGACTTTCTAGGCCTGCCTGCTGACTTTGTAGGCTTGCCTGCTGACTTTTAGATCTGCCCGCTGACTTTCTAGATGTACTTTCCTGGTCGGTCTGCTGACTTTCTTCGTCTGTCTGCTGACTTTGAAGGTCTGCTGATTTTCTAGGCCTGCCCGCTGACTTTTTGGATCTACTTTCTAGGATGGTCTGCCGACTTTTTAGATCTGCTTTCTTCGTCTGTCTGCCGACTTTTTAGATCTGTGTGCTGCCTTTTTAGATCTACCTGTTGACTTTGTAGATCTGCTTTCTGAGTCTGCCCGCTGACTTTCAGGCTCTGCTTTCTGTGTCTACCCGCTGACTTTGTGTGCGGACTTGTATATCTACCCGCTGACGTTCTCGGTCTGCCTGTTGACTTCTACCCACCTCAGCAATTGGTACAACACTGACTGCTATAACTACCAGGATTTTTCCCGTGGTGTTGGCTAAACGCCTCTGCAGACCTCCGCCAGGATAGTCAATCAGCACTGGGGTCGTGCACCGTCTGCTAATGCAATCTGGTTTAAATGAGCGGCAAGTCCGACCGCGAGTGTCTCACTTGATTTCTGGGCTCAAGCTTCCAAGCACCCCTGGCTAGTCGTCCAAAGAATTATATAGAGATGCCTGTTCTGGGGCAAGTGTATGCTGTTGAGTGCTTGGTGGTGTCTCTGTCCCAAGTACCCCTGTCTCATTAGAGATCCAGATTCCTTATTCGGACACCGGAATTAGAAAGCGCAGATGAAGCGACCGCCTTGTGCAGACCGCTGCCGACGCGTGCCTGCAGCGGGCGTCGGGGCCTCACCCTGGAACTGCACATAGGTGGAACACCTGCCGGGGGCGCGGACTTCCGACAGCTGTGTCGAGCCGGAACAAAGTGCCCTCGGTTTGTGGGCGCTGAAGGTCGGGCACAGAAAACCCTTCGAATCAGCTGGCTGGCTGCGTCGATTGAGGCGCCTTTTAATGTGGTGCAGAGTATCGGTTTTTTTCACGCCCTGCTTTCATGCACACAGGTCAAAAAGCAACGGTAGCCCTGCTTGTTGTTCCAGATGCAAAATCCCAGATCCGTTCTTGGCATATGGGACGAAGCATCTATCGTAAGGAGAAGTAGAGAAGGGGAATTGTATTAAGCTTTGTCAGTCATGCTGGAATACTGGCCGTGTTTCGTATTTTGTTTTGGGGACCAGCTCGTTTTTTTCGGGGTGATCTTCGGATATGGATCTCGTATTTCAGGGTTTTCTGCGAGCTGCTATGAGTTGTCATATGACAAGCTGACAGGCCAAGAAATCAACCACGAGACATTCCGACTACAGAATGCGTTTTGTGTGTTGCTTCATGGAATTGTTGGGAAATTCCAGAAGAAACGAGTCCATAATGTCGAATCAAAAGAGAATATCATGCAGTGACATGAACAGGTCTAGGGTGCACCGGGAACAGATGACAGCAATAATTTCCATACAAAGTAGAGACGACTTGGAGATGAGACAGAATCAGAGTGCACGTGAAGATTCCCTTAGATATAGTTAGGGGCCGGCTTTGGCTGATTTTGGTATCGCCTTGGAATGACTCCCTCTCGTGGATCACCGCTTCAACACGACAAAAACAACAACATAATGTAAACAAAGTTTGACATAACCAACTTGATACAAAGACCGGCAGTCGCATCACCATAATCAGACGTGAGTCGCTCCCCAGGCATGGCCTCTCAATACTCCGTCAAATGTTTAATTAGCTAGCGGCTTGAGCATAATTGAACTACATCCTGCTCCATCAGATACACCACCAGCTGGTGACTGCTACAATATTAAATCATACCCTGCTCCCACAGATACAACCAGCTGGCGACTCCTACATAATTACGCCATACCCCGCATCTATGGAGAATGATAAGCACCTTGATAAGAATGTGAAGAACACGTGAAGCTGCTAAAGGAAATGGCCCGCAGACGCCTCCAGGCAACTTAAAGTAAACGAAAAAAAGATTAGTAGTTCCGGGGTATTATGGACGTTTTCCGCAACGTCCTTCCCATCAGGCCTGCAGAATTCTCATTACTAGGCTGCTGGAATGTTCATCGAGAGTGACGACCGCAGCACGTCACAGATCTGTAGACCACCCGGAGATGGGGGCGCATAAAGACTTGTCTTTTCCAACAAAGCCGACACATGTCACCAAAGCCGACACATATCATCAAAAGGCCAGAAACACCCAGCATCGAAAGGCCAGAAACACCCAGCATCGAAAGTGCCCCCAGCATCACACCAAAGTGCCACCGGCCCCACTACGCCGTCGCCGCACCACACCTCCCATCAATAGATTCTGTTTCTTTCCTAACACAGGCTGAATATACTATACACGGGTCCCCAAGGGCACCTAACGACGGTCCGCACCGAAACTTCTCTTGCCACTGAACAAATGCTTGGGCATGGCCGCGGCCGTGTGCCGGTCGCCCTCGCCCTGGCGGGCCATTCTGTTTCTCTCCCTTCTGTGCAACTTGGCCACGCGCTCGGCCTGGGAACGCACGGCGCCGTCCGCCACACCGTCGTTGTACCGGTCGGGCTGGTTGAGCGGCGCACGCTTGCGCTGGATCTTCTTCTGGATGCCCTGGTTGCGCTTCAAGATGTCCACGCCGCTCAACTCCTTCTTGGCAGGACGCGCCCTGCTCCTCAACGCGGCCGGGTCGTGGCCCAAGGCCTCCATGTGCTCCTCCATCTGGCCGTAGGTCTTGCGGATGTGCTCGCGCGGCATCATGGCCCTGTTCTTGAGCGCCTTCTTGTTCATCGAGTCCTGCACCATGACCTTGTGTTTGTTGCGGATCCACTCGGCCTTCTCGCCAACGTCCGCTGCGTCCTCGTCGTCCAAGTCCGAGTCCGAGTTGTAGAAGCCCTCGGCCTCCAAGCGCTCCTCCTCGTCCTCCAAGGCCTGCAACTTGGCCGCGATGTCCGCGTCCAAGAAGTCGTACACGTTCTTGCCGTCCAACACCTCCGGCATGGTGTCCTGCTTCCACTCGTCGTCCTCCAACATGTAGAAGTCCTTGAGGTTGATGTTGAACACACCGGCCCCGCCGTTGTCGAGCTCGATGTCCTTGGCCAAGAGCCTGCGGTTGGGGTCCTCCGGGTCGTACTTGTCCAAGGCCTTGGCGCCCTCGGGAATGTGCGCGGGCCTGTCGAGCTCGTCACGCAGCTGCGGTCTGGCCACGTGGATCTTGTTCAACACGTTGGACACGCGGGCCAGGCCCTTCAACTTCTGCTCGATGCGTGCGGTCAACAACTTCTCGCACGCCTGGTTGCGCACCTGCATCACGTTCTCCTCCTCGTAGCACGACGTGTGCATGATGTCCACGCCGGCCACGGCGGCCACCGAGGCCAAGAGCTCCTGCTTCTCGGGCGCCAAGTCCTCGGTCTTGAGGATGTCGCTCTTGTTCATCACCACCATCACGGACTTGTTGGCGAACAACGGCTTGATCAGGTGGAAGAGCTTGACCTGCTGCTCGATGGAAAAGCCGCACTGCTCGGACAAGTCCATGAAGTACAACACGCACGAGCGCAAGTGCGCAATGGCGTAGATGGACTGCATCTCGATGTTGTTCATTTCCTCCGTGGGGCGGTCCAAGATGCCGGGCGTGTCGATGGCCTGGAAACGCAAGTACTTGTAGTCAAAGTGGCCCACGTACAACGACTTGGTGGTGAACGCGTACGGCTGCACCTCCACGTCCGCCTTGGTGATGCACCGCAAGAACGACGACTTGCCCACGTTGGGGTACCCGCAGATAAGCAAAGTGCGCGTGTTGGGGTCGATGGACGGCAACCGGCCCAAGTGCTGCCGTACCTGTTCCAAGTACACAAACGGGTCCTTCAACTTCTTGATGATCGTGGCCATGCGGCCCAACGCCGCGCGCTTCAACTGCTTGCACTGGTACAAAGACTGGCCGAACTTCAACAAGCGCACGTAGTCACGCGACACCTGCTCAATCAAGGTTTTGGCCTTGGACACGGCGGCCAACGACACCTTGTAGTGGTTTTTCTCGTACAACGTGTCCATCAAGTCTCGGTGGAAGGGGTGCACGTCGTTGATGTTGGGGAACCCGGAGATCATGTCCGTCAACTTCTCGGCAAACCCGTCGGATGTGAACTTGACCTTTCTCATGTAAAATGCCCGGATACGGGTGATCTTAAAACCGGCCCGGATCACCGTGGGCGTCTTTCTCTGCGTTCTGTTGAGCACGATGTCCAACATGTCGTTGGCCGTGGGCACCGTGGGGATGTCCTTCCAGGTGAGCTGCATTTTCTAGGGGGGTGGGGAAAAAGGGACGAAGGGTGCTGAAGGAAATGTGCACTGGCAGGTCGAAGAGTTTTGCACTTGAGATTTTGGTGCGATAGCTAGCGAAGGGCATCGCGACTTTTTTTTTTTTGGATGGGCCGCCTGCATCTGGCAGAGCCGATGGGGCCTGTGGGAAAGGGCGGAGGGAATATTAGGACTGGGCTATTTTTTTGGTTTTTTGATAGGCACGCGACATTTCCGGGGAGCTCGAAAAAGGGGGGTTTTGTTTTTATTTGTTAGTTTCTCTTTTGGGGCGGGGTTTGTATGGGCTTGGGGTGTGCTATATTGGTGGCCCGGCCTAATTTGGCCCCGCGCCATGGGGCCGGGCGCAACAATTAGTGATTATTAGCTTCACACAGGCAGCTTCCGATAAAGAAGCAAAATGGAACGGCGGGGGTCTTTTTTGAAGCTCTTTGGAATTACACGAAGAAAATGAATCAGCTTGGATGTGCTCGTTTGAACAAATTCACAGTTGTCATTTGGAGCCAATCTAACAACCACACCCACTGTCATGGAGCCCTGTGCTCTCGGTATATATGCAACCTACGTTGAATTTGGTTCGGAACCTTGCGCTCTGAACCTCGTCAAACGAATCAAGGTTTGTTTGTCAGTTTTCTGTATCAAAAAAAAAGTTGACTTTAGGGAGTTTTTTGTGGGTGCCGAGGGCAGAAACCTAGAAGCCGGCTTCATTATAGACATGAATAAGTAGGTGTCGAATGGACTCGGAATTCGCGAGCTTCCGAAGAACAATGACTATGTAGCCTATGTGAATAGTATTGACTAAAAAACGTTCGATTCTCAGATTGTCGGCACCAAGGCTTTCCATGGTTTTGGGTATACACTCAGACAAAACACCTTGCATTTTATGAGCTTTTACAATCTAAGCAATGATAACTCACGAACGAGAGCTAACCAATGGTTACGAGGTTCAAGAATTGCAAATTTTGTTGTGCACGGAGACTTATTCAATTTCGAGAGATTTCAGTAAATGAAGGGGCTTGTAGCTTTCCTTTAACACTTTTCTTCGGAAGCAGATAACTCCAAGGATTTGCCGCAGGATGAAAACCTATCATATCACAGAAACCATACAAGCCAGTCACAAGTAGTGGCTGGACCAAAGTAGATATGACGTCCTCTAAAAAATGTGACCGGCTTCAATGCTCTTTTCCAAAGTAAGTGCTTCATGACCTGAATCGACTATTGTACCGGAGACAGCGTGGCCTCTCCATCAACGGTGTGACAGCATTCAATTTCCTCGGATATTCAGTGGGATCATTTATTGAGATGTTTGCCTACATGCTAGTGCATCCATGCAACATTCCCTTTTTCTATTTGAATAATTCATCTAAGGTCATCCTTAAGGGCGGATCTAGAGTGTCTTTGTCCGTGGTGTAGAATACAACGCTGCGTATACCTCTAAGGTGTAACAGTCCTCAAAAGAAAGCAGGAAGAAGTCTAATATATAGGAAAGTCAGTCCTAGTTTTCTTTTACGCCATGGACATCACTTTAGTTTTCTTTGTTTCAAGATGAACAAATGATTGTGAAGCGGGACAAATGTTTCCCACACAAGGATGGGGAAACCCGGGGTCTTGACAGTCTGAATCAACAAAGAATCTAGCTGGTTTGCCTTAACTCACCATAGTTTTGACTAAAGTGAGGTCAAGATGACTATAAAGTTCGACCTCTCTCACAAATATATAACAAAGAACAAACGTACACAGATCAACTGGTAGTCGAAGGCTTCGCTTGACTGCAAACAAAAGCTTAGAATAAGTATGCTAATATTTCAAATGACCAAAAGATAACGACCGGCGGAATTTGAAAGCAATCACTGAGTACCTTGCTCATGTACCGACCTCTGGTACTTGAAGCCAGGCACAGATTTGTCTGCAATTCAGACCCCACTATTTGACGAGAATCGACTTTACTCTTGGTCACCTCTTCATTTTCTTTACCTTTTATTCTTCAAATAAAACGAAGAGTAGACTAACCATTGCATCTTTAGTATGAACTTTCAGCATGTATTTGAAAGATTGCTTGGTGGCACTCTGGCTGGATAAAGCGTCTCAGGATACCCATCGCGTCTTGAGCTGTGAACCAGGCAACTGATGTGAGAGACACTCAGTAAAACTTCCTGTCTATCATGAAAGGTGGCATTTCAGAGCTCCTTCAGATTTTGCTTTAGGGATTATCTTGTGTTTTGCCTTAACTGTTGTTCAAGTAGACTTTTGGGATATCATGAAGCGGCCGAAGGCGAAAACTGAGATTCCTCACAGATACCCTGGGTTGCAGATTCCACGATGAAAACATATCGACTATCTCAAGTTCCTTTTGGTGTTCAAAGCGGCAAAATTGGCAATTCGACTTTCGCAGAGTCCCCTCGACAAGATGACCTTCAGAGTAGGGCAATAATCAAAGACTTCTCATGAAAGTCTGTTTTCTGTCCAAAGACAATCCCAAGTCTTTACGTAGGTTGATGCCTTAAATTGCAATACCCAGAAATCGTTTGCCCCATTGATCAAGCAACAATAGAATATCGGCGATAATCCACTGGAGTCTAAAAGACCACAAATCCAAAATGACATATTTGGTTGCTTCTTTCATCCAAGGAAGCCCAGGTCATATTCTAGTGATGGTAACTTCTCAAGCATTCCATCATATTTACAAATCATCCTCATGCATTGTCTCGCTGCTTATTCACAACACTTTCAGGGGCTCTAGAAACATGATTTTGCACTCTTTTCTCTCCAATTTTCTACATGACTCAAGGGATCAAGTCTAGGGATCAAGTTTTGGGGTCATAGAAAACGTTTTAGGAGTCTTGTTATTATGGCATGTATCACTATCTTCCGCTGTACCCTGTAAACTCAATCTGTGCTCTCAAAGCCATGAGAGCTTGCCTTTTTCTTCTCATTTCCAATTGTTGATTCTATTTTGCCGAATGGATTTGAGAGCAGAAATAAATACCAAGTCTCAAGATCATATATTATTTCACTTGACATGCAAACCCCAACCAGAAACCCCATTGTTCCTGCTGCATGAAACAGAAAGGTCAGACGTAGATCCTGAAACTCTTTCCCCGGCACAATATGTGGTGAAGCTTAACACAAAATCATCCACAAGCATCCTTTTCAGCCCAAGGCTTCATGGACTCTGCTCTCGTAAGCCATAACCTTAGTCTGGATTAACAAAGAGGAAACCAGTTTATGCACGAGCACGAGTGGCTGAATGTGACTATGACGACGTTCTTGTCTCTAGGATCTGGACCGATGAAATGACCTGGACGGAGAGTTCGGCTGGAAATCAGCACGACATCAATCGAAACAGACAAGGAGTTACCACAGTCACTCTTCTCTTCATTCGGTAGATTGATGGCAATCATGAGTGCGGCCTTTCCCTTTTCGGGAAAGAAGCCTTGTTTACATTGAGAAATCTACTTCAGTCTACTCCATCGACCATGGCCTAGCAAAGCTGCAAAGACATCGCAGTGTCCTGCAAAAGCGGCGGCCACTCGCGGCCATGTCGCCCAAGCGTCTGTGGCTAGCCTCGCCGCCTTTCGGCAGTGGTGAAAGAAGGCACGCAGCTTCTTTTGGCGGACAGACCCGGGCGCCGGGCTCCGCCACTTGCAGGCAGACGCGGCAGGATCGCGGCACCCATGCGGCCTCGCAAGAGCGCAGGCAAGGGTGTTCGTGCTCTTGGGTCCCCCCAGAAAACACCGGCCTACTCGTTGTAGTGGTAGACCAAATAGTTTGGCAAGCCAAAGACCTCGTAGCCGAGCCTCTTGGCCATCTTGGCAAAGCCCTCGGTCTCGATCAAGTGGTAAAACGGGAACGACGGAAACATGGCGCCGTCGCGGTGCACGTCGGCGTTCACGAGCACGGCGCCCCCGCCCACGCCGTCCAAGGGCATTTCGACCGAGGCGTCGCCTTTCTCGTCGTAGAAGTGCGCCATCAAGGGCCGGAAGGTGGCGATCTCGCTGTAGCCCTCGACTATGATGTCGTCGTCCGGCATCTCGCCCGCCAAGCGGAGGCCCTCCTCGGACTCCACCCAGTTGTTGAAGTCGTAGGGCCGGATGGCCGGCTGGCCGTCCTTGGTGTACCGCTGGTAGACGTTGGCGCTGAGCACCGGCTTGTTGTGGGCCATCATGTCCTCGAGGATCGACGGCGGCGTCTCCACAATGTCCGCGTCCATCCACATGACCCAGCGCGTGGCCGGCGCGAGCGTGGTGAACACCAAGGAGTTGCGGGCCAACGCCATCATGGAGCGCCGCTCCTTCTGCACCAGCAACGCGTGGCGCGCCTTCTCCGTCTGCGACTCCAACGACGGCGAGTCCTGCCGCAACATGGTGATTTTCTTGAACCGGCCGGCGCCCCGCTGCGTCGCCTTCACGTGCTTCTCCAACTGCTTCATGGCGTGGTCGCCCTCCGCGGTGCGCGGGAAAATGAAGCCCAACGACACCAACTTGTGGTCGTACGTGAGCGCGTTCAAGTTGGCCCAGTACTCGGGAACAAACTTGGACATGGGCGTCAAGATCAACACCTCGGCGGCGTGCGCTTTGTCGGGCGCCGCGTGCAACTTGTTCAAGTCGTAGTGGGAAATGTGGTTTTTCGGCAAGTTGACCAAAATCGGCAGGTCCCGGCTGCCCAGCGAAAACCACCCGCCGCTCTTTTTTGTGTACGAGTACTTGGTGCTCAGCGCCGAGTGCAACTGGGGAGGCGCCGACGCCGAGAACACAAGCCAGTACACCGCCAAGAAAAACGCCGCTGCGCCCACGAGCACAAGCGGTTTCCTTCGTATGCCACGCATGATCTGGGCTTTCGTGTACATGTTTTTTTTGGTGGCCAGAAGAAGACCGCCAGAAGGAACCGGGTTTTGGTGGCTCGCTCTTGGGCGCGGCGCTGCGTGCAGGTCCCAGGACGACGCGGAGGTTTGGCGGGTCACGTGGGGGGTTGGCCATGGAATGATGCCTTAATATCTGGTCTTACATGTGTAATCAAATTCATGTATAAAGTTATATATAAACATGTGAGTAGTAACCTAGAAAAATATTTGGGCACTTAATTCAAACCCATGAAACTTAGACTACAGTGCCCCTTCCATCTGTATTGGATGGGTCCCAAAACTTACTTCATATGTACCAATATCCTAGCCTGGAATAATAATGGCTTGAAGAAATATGCGGGTTGCCAGGTACTCATGAGATGGGGGTTCATGTAATTTACATGAAGTATCATAGATTCTGTATGCTATGATTTGAATTAACCTCATGTTCATCATATTATCTACCTATTAATATCGGGTTCCGGCTGCACCGCCAACAAATACCGGGCATTCAGCGGGTCCACTTGTGTTCATTTGGGCCCCGTTTCTTTCTTGTGCCTGTTCAACGGTGTGTGGACCGCCTCTCCTCCGCCTAGTAATAATGAAGCTGGACTAAGTTATTAGGAGCGCGCCTCCAGTCTAATAACCCATTGGCTTTCTCTAGTCAGTTGCAACCTGGCGTTTGCAACCAACCTCTGAACGTAGAAAAAGGAGCCTTTGGGGCTTCTGCATCTTTGAACGTAGAAAGGAGCTTTTGGGGCTTGCACGTCATCAGGGGCCTGATGCGGTGTGGCTTGGTTTGAGCACCAGCTTCTCAAAGACCTTTTGAAGCCGCGGGCTACTTTTGCTATTTCTGGCCATGTACCTCGGAAGGCCAGAACGACAAGGGTGAAGGATTTAGCGAGGACAGAAAACTGCGACAGTATACCGTGGAATTCGCTAGGTTTTATTCTCGCCAATAGCATATCTAAAGAGGGAGATGGTATGTTCACATGCTTAAGTTAGACTTTGCAAACAGTGGGCTTTTTGCCACCAAAGCTGATTGGTCTTGCTCGTCTCGATCATTCAAGATTTCATGAAACCACTCGCGGAGATGCAATGTGAGGAGTGTTTGGAAAATTGACCAAGTGCGGACGAGCATGAGCAAGTACTGATACCCCTCGTGGACTGCTGGTCTCAACAACCTGAGAAATAGCGTGAGTGAGAAGTTATGGGCAATCCTGAGAATAGCTCTTGCATGGGCTATTGTTCTCGGCAGGGGTTATGAGCGAGTGCCTCTAGTCAAAATGCCCTTTCCATGTTCGGTGCCAATTGCCCTCTCCTGGCTTCATTCTGGTAGCTTGTGGCTTCTGTATGTCTGACAGACCGCTTACCTATCTAACGGCGACGCAGGCTTTGCAAGATTCGAACCATCAATCAAGGCTGAACGCCCAGAAACTAAATAGGAGGGAAGACCCCATGCCTGAAATCGGGATACAAATCTTGCTCATATACCAAGGACGTGATTCAAATTAATTAAAAGATGTGCTAAATAATTGATATAAGAATATCCCTTATGGTCTTGTAGATGGTTGACGTCAGCGGAGACCTTGGAGTTTCAGCCATCTTGAAATGTCTGGCCTTTCAAATCTAATGAGCCCTAAACTTCAATTCGCATGTGGTGCCGAAACATGTAAGAAAGAAAAAATCCAATATCAAGAGCTGAAGATGTAAATAAATTAACAGATCCATACGTATTACGAAATATGAAATATAAATAAGGTATAGGTAGTAGAATAAGACCCCTCGGAGGTCATGAATCAAAATCATGATATTGAGGTAATTATTAGATTAAATTAATAACATATATAATATAATACTGGGTTATTGTTAGGAAAAGCAGCACGCTGTGCCCGGTGCTATCTCGATGCAGGCACTAAACGGATTGTCTGTGCTTTAGCAACTGTTCGGAAGTGGCATCCAATTCCCCTGTTCCACCACTAGATCTTTTCTACATGCCAATGAAAAAGAAACATGAACATTATTTTCGTAAGATTCGATCACATTAGCTAAGCAGACGCAATCAAACAAGGTACAAACCTATGTGAAATCAATCCCGAAATGCTCTTCTGTGTACGTCCGTTTCCACCCCTTCTAGGAGATCAAACGGGTCCAAAAGAGCAGATCACAAAGGAGCGCATCTACAATAACACGGCCAGCAGGACGTCGGCCGGAATACATAACCAGTCGCATCAAAAAGCCTACAAAGCATGCAAAGAAATTCGTATATTCGTCAGCGATACAGCCACAACGTCCGGAGAACGCTTACTTGAAGACCTTACCGTCAGCAATCTCAACCTTCTCACCGTTGACCTCAACAGGCTCGTCCCAAGCAAGCATGTTGTCGACGAACTTTCTGACGTTCTCGTCGGAGCCGTCAAGCTTAGTGTAAGCGTAAGACTCCCAGTCTGGAGCAACATCGAAGGCTGGGGCAAAGTCCTGGCCTCTCACCAAGAAGAAACCAGTGATACCGTTGTTGTTGTTCTCTCCGTAGACAACCATGCAACCAAACATGTACTTGGTAGAGGCAGACAATCTGTTGAAGAAACCGCCAACCAAGTTGTTGGACATGAAGGTCAAGGTCAACTCGTCGTTGTACTTGTAGTCAACCTTGTACAAAGACCACTCCGATGGGTCGTACATGTTCTTCCAGAACCATGGAATGGCAGTCTCTCTGGTCTCCTCGTTGGAGTAAATTCTCTTCCACTCGTCAAGAGCTTGCTTGGGCTTGCCCAACAACTCCAATGGGTGCTTGGGCTTAGGAGCCTCGGTTGGGGCAGCCTCAGCTGGGGCAGCCTCCTTCTTTGGGGCCTCCTTCTTGGCAGCTGGGGCAGCAGCCTTCTTCTCCTTCTTTGGTGGGACGTACTCGATTGGCTTGGCGCACATCTCGACCTCTGGGAGGGCGGCCTTGAACAAAGCCTGCGAGCTCACGGTCTTGAACCATCTGGTGATGGATGGGTTTTGCTTTCTCCACTCGGAACCGAACAAGAACTTGAAGGCAACCACGTAGAGGAAGGCAGCGAAGTAGTCGGCAAAGGTCAATCTCTCACCAACAAGGAAGGTGTACTTGGACAATCTGTCCTCGAAGATACCGGTGACCTTGTCCAAGAGAGCTCTGCTCTCGTCGACTTGCTTCTTGTTGTATGGCATCAAACCCTTCAATGGCTTGAAGACATTGGCGGCGGCAGGCAAGAACTCAGAGTTGGTCATGGACAACCACTTGAAGATCTCGGCGTACTCGGTGTTGTTCTTGCCCCACAACTTGTGGTCCTCAACAAGAGAGAGCACTGGAATGTTAGTATTCGGTTTAGAATCTGGAGTCACGTGACTCAGCGCGTACGGATTCTTTCAGAGTAGAAAATCTCGACATAATGTGTTAAGACAGGGATAACTGTAATAATAAAAGATTTCTCATCATTGAAACGACGCGAGGCATATCAAAGAAAAACATACAGTAAACAGAGATGGCAATGACCTCGTTCAACTTCACACCCTTAGGGCCAATGAAGCCTGGCACCTTGGCCAAAGGGAAGGACTTCTTGAAAGCGGCAGAAGACTCTGGCTCGACAATCTCGACATCCAAGTTAAAGTGCTTGATCAAAGCAGTAGGAATGGCTCCCCTGATTTTAGAGTCGGCGAAAAGAGTTCCTTGGGACATTTTTATAAAGATGAGGAGTTGGGAGAAGCTTGAAAATATTTTGCGCTTCTCTTGAGTTCTTTGCTGGGTCACGTGCTGCGCGAGGGGCGGGTAATCTTTGCACCATGGACTTCGCGCAGCAGTGTAGAGGTTTCTGGGGCCCTTGATAGACATCAGAAAAACTTTGAAGAGTAATAAACCAAATTTTGATAAACACTCACATATTCAGCTATCGTTTCGTTTATCTGGCTGCTTTATTATCGGTGTTGGTGATCTATAAAATAAATACGTACGCGGTAATAAAAAACGAATTTTGCCCATTGTACGTTTGAAAGCTTCCAAGGCAGTAGATGTAAGAACCAAGGGAAGAAGCCTGAGCCAATAATACAATTCACTATAAAAGAAAGCATATTGTCATTTTCTGGTGAATACTTAGAGGTGGATGGAGATCCATACAACAGAGCAGTATAAGAGATGAGACTTGACAATAGGGAGCAAATGACAATAAAACACAACTCAACAATAAGGGGCAGCTGAATAATTTTGAAGCGCTCTTCACATGTCAGTCTGGGGAAATATCCGGTATCTACAAGCGCTAGACCATTCTCCAACTCGCTTCGGGTTTTGAAAAATATGAATGTTCGAATGCGTGTCAACATTGAAGCCATGATGTCGTTCAATGGCTTGAACAAATTCTTCTCGGGTGCAAATCACTATTCAAATAGGATAGAGAAACCGTACCATTCACACAAATGAGCCTCATACATACATGATCAATAGAATGTTAGTTTTCAAATGTTGGTGGCATCATGAAACTGACCGCGATGAGACAGACGAAGCTCGTGTACCCAAGGAACAAATCTTTAGTAGGCTTCCCTCCAGAAAGTGGTTCAGCAAGATCCGATGTTCCTCCACTCCTCAAAATTCTCAACGCTATGGTTTGCTCTACTTTCGAGGCTAAAGAGAAGCGCTGTTTAATGTATCATATATCCCGACCGGAGAATCGGAAACTTAGTTCTTATTTTGATCTTTTTGGCAAAAAGACATTCCTGTGGATTTATCATACGACAACATAGCCTTCTTGGATGATAAACCACCCCGGATAAAAGATGTTTGGATGCCAATGCATATCTTTTTCATCTGCCCTGACTCGCTTCAATCCTCGAGAATACGAAGCTAGAAATTCAGAAAAGGAGTGTCTAAGTCATTAGTGAGCGAAACTGAGCTTCTTCAAAACCCATTGGATGAGGCTCTCACTTTTTGAAATGTCACAAACAATTGATTCATCTCGGAAGTTTTCGCTGATTAGCCCCATAGTCCCAATGCAGGCCACTTTTACCATCTGAATTTAGCTATCCTTCATGTTCGACCAATGTAGTACGAAATTCACATTCGAGTCCATAACAAATGCGATTTAAAAATAAAAACTTGTAAAATAAGCAACCCCTATTTCAGAAAAGATTTTGCCACGTATCGCTTAAATCGATGCGGCATACCGAATCTTGCAAGCGACATCGGCAACGCATTGTCCAAAACGGTCCAAAACTATTTTCTGCCGCCATCCCGGATCCACACACAAGGAACCAAAACAGCAATTGTCTGTGTTCACAAGACTATGAAGAGAAGTTTAGGCCTTGGCAATTTTGGTAAAGAGCTTCAATTGTTCAAATTTAGAGCAACCTTCATACTAACGACATTGTTGTCTGCCAAAAAACTTTATTTTCCTGGTGGCGACCTGCATCGAAAATATCGGCGCAGGCGGATGTAAATGTGTGAAATACTGCATGAATTTCCTACATCACGATACCCACGTTTTGACGTACACTGATGTCCTCTTAATTTGCAGGCTACCAATTCATTCTATCCACCGGCTGATAACATTTTTAATAAGAGAAATTGATTCTTGCTTTCAAAATACCACCGTCTCTGCTCTTTATTCGCCAACGCATGCATGCTCACGGGACTAAAACGTTTTACCAAAACCTTTTAAGGAGGCCCTCGTTGACGCGCCTGGTTACGAAAACTACATGCATGAAAAGTCAAAAACCGTTGTCTCTACTTCGCGCGCATCCTTGAAACCCAACATTCTCGGAACCCTGATGCCGGATTGCATGTGGAGATCGTTTCTTATGTTGTAACTACTACCATGACATTCTTCTAAATTCTTATTATCATACAAGCATCAAGACCCCAGCCTAACGAGGCGTGTTTCTCTAATTTCTTGCCACAGGAGCACCAAAATTTGGTACTAAGTCTGCTTGAGGACGTTTGTATCTCAAAGAGTGGCTTAGAAAAAGGGACAGATCTGGACTCGCATACATGAATGTTCAGCAAATGCCCTGTGCACATTTCTTATAAGCATTTACACAGTCGAGAACAGGCTGTTATTGTACAGTAATGGAATAATAACAATAGCCTATCAGAGCAATAAATTAACAATTGGAAAGCCCACGGCCATCAGCCGAAATGCTCAGCTTCTCTTCCCAATTGGGTATTCCGAGCTGTATCACAGAATCGTGCGAATGTTGCGTCCGGGGTCGCGTCCGCGTATGAAGGCGCATTGTGATTGTATTACCTGATCTGGACAGAACAAAACCTCCAGGCGCGTTCTTCATCCTAGTTGCCATAGAGCCACACACAATATTCACCTGGCAATCGACCAGTCGAAGTTCAGGATCCATTTAATTTTTGTGTCTCTGGACATGGCAGACTCCTGTATTTTCTTGAATAGTTCCAGGAGCAAAGTGAAAGAAGATTCGCGCACATCTGAAGCTCCCGATATGCTTTGGTGATGTAGTTTTAAAATCCGCAATGCCAAGCATCTTGGGTTTGGTATTAGTGCAGTCGTGTCCTCAGACAATAACACCTCAGATTGTACATCTGTCTCTAAGTCCGATGGGTTGCTCATTCGCTGCTCGGCTAAAGTCTGATAATCACAAAGCACCAATTCCCAGAATTGAGCTCTTAGTTTTTTGGAATCTGACATCGACTTTCCCTGTACGAGATCGAGCCCATGGTAGTCATTGCATAGTAAAGATACCTCTGACTCATTCAACGTGAAAAATTCGGAAATCTCATGGCTGTCCTCGATGACAAAGGAGAAATTCGAGTCAAAGGAAGCAAGTTCCTCCGCCGATAGGTGGCGACCAGTTTGAATACCTAATTTGCGGAACGTCATTTTCAAAAAAAACCTGAGGACCACAATGGCCTGAAAAGATGCAACTGTGAATGTTGTGCTCCCTAATCTCTTAAGTATAGAGACAGGTACTCGGTTGTAGCGGGCTGTGGCCCTATGTATGAGTTTTCCCTGGTTGGCCAAAATCATTATAATTTGCGGGTCGGCTATGAAATCGGGTTGCATGGCTTTAACCAACACCGACTGTACGATGAGAACAGTAGAAATAATGACTTTCTCGAACGCTGGAAATGTTGAGAAAGTAACATCCTTCTTTTCGAATTCTCGCCACCGCTGAACCTGCAATTGGGTCATTTTTATCATGTTCTTTGTGCTAGTTCTCTCATCGCTCAACAATAGACAACTGAACAAGAACTTGTCATCCGGATCCTGTCTCACACTAGTAATTTTTGAGGCTTGGTATAGTCGAACACAGTAACTGGGGACACACGATTCCCAAATGCGTAGTTCGTTGAATAGATCAAGAAGCCAGAAGTACTTCTGTCGATGAATGAGATTGATAAACCCATCGGCATCTTCCGGTAGCATTTGGAGTTCCGGGGCGGTTGCCGCAGCAAACAGGGGCTTCCTACGTGATGACTTCTCAGGCCCCTCAGACATCTTTTGGTTGAAGTCTGCCTGCATCACCCCACCTAGCTGTTTGTCGTGGAGTTCAGGGTTCATCAAAATGCGCTTGATGTCGACGTTTTCTTGGATCCTGTTACGTATCATTTGCGAGGAATTGAGGTCAGTGGTCTCGCCGGAAAATAGCCATGTATCGAAAAATTGAGACAAATCCTCCTGCTGAAGAATTAGATCCGCATTTCCTGGGCCGTTTGTCAAAAGATCGAGATTTGGAGGGTGAGAAGTGCTGCTCTGCAAGTCGCTTCGGAGAACTTGCTCTGCCTCCGCCAAATCCTTGGCCATGTGTAAATTTCTATACTGCTTGTAACCACTGTACCCGTTTTTGTATAGCTTTGCAATTGCGATGGACTGATCCAAGATCCTATAGTATCCAGGGACAAGCATCTCATTCCAGAATCCCGAGGACTTGGGATTGTATATCACATACTGACTGAAATTTAGCCGGATGCCACGATAACACTTGCGCTTTGAATTGATGCAGTTTTGACATACCGGGAGTTGCTCGTCACATTTCATGTGACGATCACGACATGTGAAGCATCCCGATCGTGTCCGGGACTTCTTCGCCTTCAGTGCCGGTCTTGCTGATCGTTTCCTCATCCGAAAAACGCGGTAGAGAAGATCTCAGCTGTGGGTTTTGGAACAGCACCTGGGATCTTGATACAATGTGAAGAGATATGGGTGAAGGACTCACAAACAAAAGCCACCTCTAAGCGTGGGAATGGGTTCGAGTCAGGGCTCAATTGGATGAGGACCGGTGGGTTGTAGATGCAGATCAAGAATAGACCGTAGTATATACGAAGGCTTTTACCACCTAGACATATAGCAGATCAAGACCTCCAGGGTTGGATGACTGCCGCGCTGCGTTGAGAGTGCGAGACAGGTTGCTCAAGCGATGAGAAAGAATAGACGAAAATTTTAAGTGAGCACGAAGCGCGCAATTAAGGGCGTGCTCTAACTCAAGCAAATATTTTTTTTTCTTAATCAACCCCAGGGAGTCACTTCAATGGTTGATGTAGCCCTTTGGGAGCGTGTCATGAATCAGGGAATATTTTGGCTGCGGCCTAAACGGAGCTGAGAGAACATTTTCCTTGAGAAATGCGCATCAAAAGGTGCGATCGAAGTTCAGTGCTTATATGCACGTCGCTGCATGCGGATGATCTGATCTGAAATTCATTCCACTCCTGTGCAAAATTAAAAAAGCCACCAGACGCATGAAGTAAATTTTTTTGTACACAACTCGCATCACGCACCAGCCTGTTGTTTGCGCGGCATCCTCTAACCAACACATTGCAAATATCATTTTACAAGTTTGCTCTAATGAGTGAGCCAAGAATATAGCAGCCGCTTGAGGTGCTTTTCATACTAACAGACATATAGAAATAGTGCACCATGTTTGAAAAAAAGGTCATTACTTTTATAGCCCTCCTTTATCTTCGAATTCTCTCGGGTCTATGGGGTAGGCCGTACTGTGCAGATGAAAATGGGGAAACAAAAACGGTTAAAATTTGCGAAGCTTTTCCCGCCTTGGAAAATAACAGAGATCTGGACATGAGATGCATGACCACAGAGCTCAAGTTTTTCACTCTCGTCTGAGTGTACACATTCTGCCAGAGAAATTGTTGTGAGCGAAAGACTTGATTTCTCGGCTACCAAAAAAAAAGAAAAACGGCCTCGTAAGTGCATCAAGAGGTTTTCTCTACGCTCGGAGCAAAACATTCCATTTTGCTACAAAATCCCCTTTCGATTGTATCGTAGCATTTTATTCAAATAATTTGAGATTTGGTATATCAGTCCCGTGTGTCCTCATCGTTCGAGTAATTCTTATGAGTCGCCCAAATCAGAACAACCGTGAAAAACAAAAAAATGTACATGGCTCCAAGTCCCAATTGATCCACCAAAAGTGGAAACAATGAAACAACAAGAACGTTAGTAGCCCACCCACAAATGACGGCGCAGTTTAAGATTCTCTCGTCAGCCTGTGAAATCTCCATGCTTATCACGGCAGTACATGGTCCCCAGGACATGGCAAACACGAACAAGATAAAACAAGAAGCTACAAGCATAGGGATTCCTAGTTTACTTGTTCCCGATCTCAAAGAAATTGTCCCCATGGAAGCAAACGCAAAAAGAAGTAGCGACAAAGTGATCAGGCCATAGAATAATGGTTTCCTCGAACCCCTCAGGCACACTAAAAAGCAAAATAGTATTATTCCCGCTAGATTGCATAGACTGAGAAGAAGTCCTGAAAATTTCACGGAGTTATTCACAACAATGAGTTGATCAAACATTGTTTTTCCAAAATAGAAAAAAAAATTAGCACCGGTCATCTGTTGAAGAAACAGAAGGATACAACATACTGACAAGCGTCTGAAATTCATTTTCCTGTCTTCCATATATGCCTTTTCTTCCATGTGTTGTGTTTTCAAATTTTGCAATGCACCGAGCCAGATGTCTTCTTTTTCGGAGTCTTGCAATATTTTGTCCAATGATTTCCGAAAACGTTGAGGGTCAGAAAGTACCCAAGGCTCAAGAGGTGATTCAGGTAGGATCGCCAGACAAGCCCACGCAATTATTGGCATTGCCACCGAAGCAATTAGAAAGACAAGCTCCGAGTATTTTCCAGTGTAGATGAAGAAGCAGTTTCCAAGAAATACAAAAACTCCAACGACAATCTGAAAAAGGGCAAGGAAAAAAATACTCATCTCGGAGAATGTGCACAAATGACTGATGAAGACCGGGCCAATTACACACAGAGCTCCGGCACTAATCCCCTGCACGAACCTTCCAGTTGAAAAAAGATATATATTGCTTGACCCTTCTCCGAGGCAGCAAAAGGTAAGACATGCTCCGAAAAAGAATATAAGAAGGCAAAGCCTGAGCATCAATAAGTGACCCAATTTGCGAGATGCCTTCGTCATAAAAAGTAGAATGCATGCGCAGATACAGCCTATATTGAAGGTTGAAATCAACACACCCAACACCGGTGCAGAAACACCTAGCCTGGCTCGAAAGGAAGGGAGATCCATGAGGTTGCCCGTGGTTCCTAAATCCCAGCCGAGGGGGAATGCACAAAATGAAATGATGAGAATGTGGGGGAGAAGAGGCTTGGACTTCAATGCTGCTGGCGATAGATCTTCGTCTATGGACGGCATATGAGCCGCCAAATGTTTGTGTGGAGACTCCATAGTCAAGTTGTGCTGATGGATATTAAAATTACAAGGCTTTGTAATACTTGGCGGAAATAATTAGCCTGGATCACTGCGCGGGCCGAATTTAAAGATGGTACACAAAATCAAAATGCACTATAATTGAGATTACAGGGTCTGAACATCAGGACTTGCAGACCTGGATGATAGTGAAGCCTCATGGACTATAATGATGCTTATCCAAGAACGGGCTGGTTTCATTTTATCCATAAAACAAATCGAAGACAATGCGACGCGCAGGCTACGTAACGGCTCGCCCATCCCGGCGAGCATATGTTGACCCAAAAAGGGCCCTCCCGTTGCCTGTTTTAAAGCTTGGGAACAAACTGGTGAAAAGCTGTAGTAGATTGGGATATCTTGAAACGAAAGTAACATAGATCTCGTTTTTCTATTGCGGCATTTTGGCGTAAGCTGTCAAGTTGCTGCTGCAAAGAAAATATGTACAGTTCGCGCAACTCAATGCACCCCGCATGTGGCCATCTCTATTTCTGACTAACACTAGAGACATATTGGCATTTGTTCCAGATTGCCGACTTGCTTCAGAGCACCGCAGTTTATCTAGTTGAAATTTCTGGAAATAGAGGCAGCTCTACTTATCTCCGAAAGGGTGGATTGTAACTGGAGAGTGACATACTTACTCGGCTCGCCAAGCCTCATCGGGAACTTTATATATGTCGCCCAAAGTTTAAACTAGGTTCACGCCGTCAGAGTGCACATGTATGTCGGTTGACTGAAGTGCGCTGATTTTTATCTGGACGAACTTCTTTTGCCTACTTTCAAATTGCTTTTTTGCAGGAGGATACCTCGAGCGCCGGAATTTGCAATGGGGTTCACGGAGCTGGTGGCACCCGAGTAGTGTACCGGAATATGGGGAGTCTGAGAAATCCGCCTACGAGCCTTTGGGGGAGGTCAGCCGGTACCAATATTGTTTGGATTTGAATGGTGATAACTTCTATGTTCAACTCCAGAAATGTACGAAGTGCCAGGTGATAAAAGCGGAAAATGGAAAGCGCCACATCACAGAAAGTATCAGGTAATAAAAGCAGAAGATAGAAAGTGCCCCACTACACAGAGGGCCGGGTGTTGAAAAGTGCCAGAATTATCATGCGTGTCCCACTGGACTGAACTTCTGGTGAGGCAATGCAGTTTGAACTTTTCCGGACAGCCCCAAAAAATACCTAATCCTAAAGCGAGACCAGCAGCCAGGCGTATAATTACCCAAATGCGATGCGCACGATGCCCCGATATGGTTCACCAAATTCTGAGACCAGTCACCCAGACGGCAAGTCGTGTGCGGCACAACTCTGCCCCCGCGCTCGCTCCACTAGCCTGAACCAAATTACTAATCTGAAGCAACACCGTCAGGAAATAACACCCCGAGCGGCCTCGTCAAAACGCACAATCACAACGGCAACAATAGCTGCCCCCGCTTTCCCCTTGTGTCGCTTGCTGCCGTTCCGCTGCTCCTTGCTGTTTTTGCCTGCGCCCTCCCCCGTTTCCCTGACGGCTGCACCCTAGTTTTGCGTCACAACCGCCAGCCGCGCACGTGACCAGGGATATCCGCGCTCCCTGTCGCCAGCCCCTCTCACGGTATCGTTTTTTTTTATTCGTCTTCCCATTAACCGTGTGCGAAAGGCTACACCAGCTAGCTCCCCTCCCACGTTTTTGGCTCTGCGACCCCAAAAAAAAACACCCCGCCACCCCCTGAATCCTTTCTGGTTTTCTGCCGCCCACCATGCCTGAAGACGCAACCCTTGTTAAACAGGATCGAGCCGGGCCGGCGGCGCAAACACCAAGCTCGCCGCAGGCTACAGAAATCCCGCCGGCCGTCCAGGCGATCTCAAACTTGCGGTGCCCCTCGCCCCCGCCGATTCTCACTAATTCGCGGAGCACGTCTTGCTCGACGCCGCGGCTCCTGTTGGTGTCTCCAGGGGCGCCTGAAAGCTTCTCTGACTCACACTTGTCGGCCGCAGAGATCACCCATGGATCACCCGCCGTGTTTTCCGAACGGGCCACCGGCTCGCCTGCGCTCGTGGTTCCCGGTGTGGGGTCCAGCCTGGGTGCCGATGTTACAACGGCCAACATCAGGGATTCTGCTCTCGACGTCAAGCTCGACTACACGCAGAACCCGCCCAGCCAGAGCATCCACCACAAGTCTCCGTCTGTCCACGCCCATTTCTTTGTTGACGAAACGCAAAAACCACTGAAATCCGGCAACAGGTCACGCAGCGGATCTGCGTCCGCCTCTGGCTCTGAATATCTGGCTGGTCCGATGAAAAGAGATGAGAGACTCCAGCTGCCATCTGCTGAGCAAAACACCAACATCGATCCTCGCTTGCCCCAGGACGATAACAAGCTCCACATCTTGTTCGGAGTCTGTGGGGCTATTTCCACCATGAAAATCAAACTCATCATCAACAAGCTATATGAGATCTACTCCCTGGATAAGATTGCGATCCAGCTTATATTGACTAAAGCGTCAGAGAACTTCATCTCGAGCGAAACCTTGCAACACTTGGAATCCAACAAGAAGGTGCGTATTTGGAGAGACAGTGATGAGTGGACAACGTGGAGCAGTAGGTCCGATCCTGTTTTGCACATTGAGTTGCGTCGCTGGGCGGACATGCTTGTCGTGTGTCCTCTAACTGCCAACACTCTTTCAAAGATTTCTTTGGGTCTTTGCGATAATCTCTTGACGAGCGTAATCCGTGCCTGGAACTCTGCCTACCCCATTCTCCTTGCGCCTGCCATGGTGAGCAACGCTTATAATGCAGCTACGACGAAGCGTCAGTTGAGACTCATATCTGAAGAAATGCCATGGATGGAGGTTTTGAAGCCCGTTGAGAAGGTTGTTGGCTCGTATGGTGATATCGGCATGGGAGGCATGATGGATTGGAATGAAATCGTGAATAAGATTGTCATGAAGAACGGAGGATATCCGGAAGAAGATGAAGAGGAAGATTGCAAATCGAATGATAACGATCATGCCATCATCGATGATAACAACAATGACGACGATGATGACGACGATGATGACGATGATGATGACGATGATGACGATGACGATGACGATGACGATGACGATGACGATGACGATGATGACGACGACGATGATGACGACATGCTGACAGGGAATGGCGGGGAGAATGGTACTATCAAGAAAGTTGAAGGCACGCAACAATCGAGCGAACGCGTCAAGTCAGAACAAGAAAGTGGCAGTGTTTCTAGCAGGATGTCATCATTGAGAATAGAATAGTCAGAGTATATCGTGGAGGGAATGACACAGCATTAGCACAAGCAAAGAGCTCGGGCCGAAGCAATTACGGGGGTAAGTGAGAACCAAAAGTGTTTATTCTATGCGAGATATACAAAAAACTTAGTAGATTCTGAAAGATGGACCCATGGTGGACTTGATGACCAAAGAGCCGACGTTCTGCCAGTTCTTCTTCAACAAAGAGACCAAGAAGTTGGAAGCCATCATGATTTGGTTGGCAATAACCTCCTCCTCCATCTCCACGTGGCCAACGGCAACAGCCAAACACAAGACCTTCTTCAACTGGAACTTGATGGTGGACTTGACATCCTGCACCTTGGCGTACAAGTCGTCGTTGTGCGACACTGGAGTTGGGAACTTACCAGCCTTGGACAACTGAGGACCCAACAATCTTGGGACCTGCTTGATCAAAACCTCGGAAGCGATGAAAGCGTTGTACTTCTTGGCCAACTTCTTGATCAACTTCTTGTTCTTGTTCAACTTCTTCAAGTCGTCAACAGACATGGCGTCGACACCAACAGACTTGGCTCTGTCACAGTCGAAAGCATCACCGAAAATACAGAGGGTCATGTTTGGTCTTGGGACTTGAGGCAACTTCAAGGTACCAGAGAAACGCTTGTCTCTTTGAGGGTCGTAGTTCTTCAAGCCAACTTGCAACTCGACGGTCTCCAAGAAGTTTCTCTTCTTGGTCTCGTTGGAGTGCTCCAACAATTTCTTGACGTTCTCACGAACGTGAGAGGTGGTGATCTTAGACATTGTTTAAATGTTCGTCTCCCAAAGAAATTTGGTAAATTATTGATTCGACGAGGATGAAGAAAAAAGTAGACTAAGATTTTTTTTTCGGCTTTTTGAGAGCGTGCGATGCGCGCTGATGGGGGCTGGAGCCCTAGACGAGGCGCGCGTGTGTGGTTTTCACGTGACCATACGGGCAGTTTTCTGGGTGCTATTCTGGGTGCTATTCTGGGTGCTATTCTAAGAGGGGATTTCTGAATGTGAGTTTTTCTAATAGTCCTCACAGGAGTTATCCTGCAACAGTTTTGTTTTGCGAGTTCTAGCGAAGCACTTTTGCGGTTGATGGCCAGACTTGCCATGGCGCGGCTGGGGACCAATTTGCACCCATTCAACTTAAGTATTGAGATTCTGTCTCAGCCCCAACTGTTTCTGCTTCGACTGTTTAAAATTTTAAGATCTGAGCCAAGATTACTTAAAGAGATTCACAAGTAATTGCTTGATATTGGTCTGGCCCGCAGTGCTATTCAGGAAGTAATTTTAGAAAACCAGTGCCTTGTCAAATGACATGGACAATTGGCATGGAAAGATGTAATAGAGAACAAGGCAGAAAATGGAACTGCTGTTTCAGATATTATTTTTCGAGGCAAAGCATGTGCTTTGTTGGTTTCTTCACGCCTGGATCAAAAAGAAGACGGGGCCTTAGTCTTTCAACGTGAAGAGTGCATTATTCAACATGATAAGAGACAAACCCAGACCTCACGACATACACACTAAATTTCTTTTCTAATAAAATAAAGTCGGAATGCTGTATTCTTCTGGTGCTTTGAGGAAATTTCTGAAGAATGTCAATCGCGATCTTAACCTCGGTGCTATGTGTTGACTCTTCTTGAAATTCTCACTGTTTTAAGAAGCTCCATCCCGACAATCACGAAATTGCGAGGAACGCAGTTCTTCTCGCTCACATATTTACCAAACACAAAAGAAAGTTTTCTGCTTTCCGATTTAGCTATTTGTTCTTGTCTTAGATTGTATTCAGGACTGCGCCAGGTTCTGAACAACAGGTGAGCACATGTATATGTGTTAAGGGTCACTAGGTACGTTCTGGGGACTTCTCTTTCATGATCTCGTGCTTGTATTTATCAACCTAGTATGATGATGAGAGCGTCCGAGAAATGTGTTGACTTGCAAAGCGCCTGATCAATCGCCTACTTTCTTTTCACTCAAGTGAACTTGTGCACTTTGATTTACAAGTATTTTTAGACTTGATGAGATCCCTGTCCCTCACTTTGGTTGCCAATATGTTTGGACGTGGGTGTTTGTGAGGAACAGCGGAATCTGATCGCTGTGGTCTCGGTTCTCGTATCCATAGTAGTTGTGTGCAGCGATGCAACCAGCCTTCATGATTCATACCACAACAAGCAAGTAATTTCACATCAATTGAATAGCCCTGGTTCAATGCTGTCATAAGTAAGCTGATAAATGCTCGAACAGTTTATTTGCTGGCTGTTGTTTTTTTAATCCAACTCTTTGTACTTTTTTGAAAGTGCCGCGTAATATTCACTTGAACAAAAAATTGCAATGGACTAAAACATTTGAAAAATCGTCGAAGCGGCGCCATAAAAAAGTCCCGTTCTTAAACCACAACTGGTTTGTCCAAGACCTTAACTAGAGAAATCTGATTACCCATTTATATTAGTTTCCTACTAATCCTGAATATATGTCTGGCTATTTCTCATTACTTAGCGAGAAGCATAATGTGCCTCTTGCCACAAAATCCACACAACTTCTAGCCACATCACCAAATTTGCTGGAGGTCCCCACACACCTGAAAATCGCCTTAATTCAAACACCCAGCCCATGCTTTACAATTAATGGGAGCCAGAGTACCTGTCCAGTTCCCCGAGTCACGTGACTTCAACATGGTCGCAACCACCCCCGTTTCTTCACGGCACGCGAGTTTTACGAGGGACAATTTAATCATCAGTGCTTAGCGTAAATGTCTCCGATGGTCTCGGCCAATTTTTGGCCTTTTTCGGCCAAAAGAAACGCGTGTCTAAAGCTTGTCCTACCCTACTGCTCATATCAAAGGTGCCGGTTTACGCGGCGGTTTCACCTGCCTGGTTCAAGTATATACGCAGATATCAGTAGGTCAGATATACAGCGTGGAGACTTGGCACCATATTCGGAAGCCTCGCTATATCAAAAAAGCCCCAGGAAAATTTCAGGCCTGTGTGTCGCTTCTATATTGCCAATAAGAACGTACGCGTCTCGCAGATTCACACGGCAAGAACGCATAGACGAAGCCCGCTATACGTCCCAGCTGAATCTCGATAAGATTGACGAGATCTTTGGGGTCTATGGCCGAAACTTGACCAAAGTCGTTGATTTGGGCTCTGCGCCCGGCACGTGGCTCAGGCACACGCGGGATCGGCTTCTGGGCTTGCACGGCTTGAAGCCCGAGAAGATTTATGAGAAATGTACCGTGATAGGTGTAGACTTGTTATTCTGCCAACCTCCCCGCGGCACGTTTTTCACCCAGGGAAACATGTACTCGCAAAACACACACACGCAGATCGAGACGTTGCTCAAAGAGGCCGCGTTTCGTATAGCCAGGCCAAAGAGAAGAGACATCGGAACAGAATTTGACGTCTCGTACATTCTGAGGGAGCTCAATCAAGTCCAGCTTGAAGCAAACATCGCAACGGAAAAGACAGCCCAGCTGACTAAAGCCACAAAACAAACCAGCGACTGTTACGATTTGCCTCCATATGCTCACCAGGCAGATGTTGTGCTATCGGATTTGGGCACTCCTCCACTCCAGGAGTCCGGCTTTCATATCAATACTTTAAGCAAGCCGTTCATACGCAGCAGTCTGAATAATATGCTTCGCCAGCCTTGGGATAACCCCGAAAAGTCGTCGATTGATTTGGCGGAGGCGGCGTTGCTTTTGAGTGGGAATATTTTGGCCAAAGGGGGCACCTTTGTGGTCCGGTTGAGCATGGTGAATTTGGCGGACCCAGAATTAGAGTTGCTCGAGGCCAGACTCCGAATGGTTTTCCACAGGGTCACCAGGTGGAGCGACAATGGCCGCACAACCTCGACGGAGCACAGACAACAGAACTTGTTCATGGTGTGCAAGGACAAGAAGGACCACCTCATGGATAAGTATGCGGTTTTTGGCGTTCCCAGAGACTAGCAGCAAGCAAGGTAAGTAGACATAGAACGAAGCCGCTGAGCTCACGCCTGTTCGCTCTATTTGGTCAAAATGTATTGTTGTGTCGATGTATCTACGGCAATCAGTCTTCCGTGTGCTGATTTCAGTTTTGGTGGGGTGGTTGTTTGGTCCAATGTGCTGGAGCTCCTGATCAGTCTAATAGCAGAGGCTCCTCTGGCTCCTCACTTGTCTTTTGGGTATCTTCGAGGTCGATCAACGCATCCCCGTTGCTACCGTTGCTGATCCCCACCTTGGCAAAGTCAAAGATCAACCGATCGCCGATGTTCTTCTTGCCCTTGGCGGCCAACTGCAGCTTCCAGGACTCCGCGATGTTTTCAAGCTTCTCGGCGGCGATGCCGTAGGTGCGTCCCAAGAACAAGGCTTCCACGTACCTTTCAGTTTTGATCAACAAATCCACACAGCTGGTCTTGTCACCGCACAACCACAATGCCTGGAAGGCAATGTTGTACTTGCCCTCCTGCGCTGCGCTGTCCGCAAGCCGTTTCAACAGGCTTTTGTGGTTTGAAGACGAGAGAAGCAACAACAACGAAGAGTGGTCGTTGGCCAACCAGTAACAGTCCTCGGCCATTTTTATCTGCCACTTGGCCATGGCCAAGTCGCCCAACTTTTTCCATTTCTGGACCTGTGCCTGCGCCGCAGACGGGCTGTCTTCTTGGTTTTCGGACAACAACGCGTAAGCCTGCTGCAAGTCGCCGGTGGTCAAAGCAATCTGGAACTTGGAGTCCAAGTCCTGGGACAAGGAGAAGGACAACGTCAAGTAGCCCAACTTTTCGAAGAACCTGGCCAACTGGTTCAACTCGGTCTTGGACAAGCCGACCAAGAACGCGGAGTACTCCTCGGACAACATGTCTTGGGAGATCATGGCCACGTCTGGAATCTCCTCGCCGGACTCTTCGTCCACGACGTTCGTCGCGGCGAACTGTTCCAAGTCACCGCGCATGACCAAGGTCTGCAACTCCAAGACGGCCGCGTTGACGTACCAGGAGATGATGTTGAAGGCCTTGTCGATAAGATAGACCCTGCCCTCGGCGGCGCGGTAACCGACGATGTAGTACTTGTGGTCGAAGTGGCTCAAGTTGATGACCTCTCCCCCCACGAAGTAATTGAGTCTGTTTGTCGAGCCGGTGGTGTAAACGAAGACGTCTCCAATAAATTTCCCGGACAGGATCAGCTCGGAGGTGGGCAAGGTGAACAAGACGTCGAACGCGGCGTCGGCGCCCTCAGAGATGCTGATGGTGCAGTTGGCGGCGGCTTCGTGGTAGAGCGCGGCGTCGTAGCTCAAGAAGTAGGCCTCGTGGGACTTCCCGCCCGCGGCGGTGGTGCCGTCGCTGGTTTCGGCGGAGGCGCTCAGGGTCAACACGGCCACGAGCTCGCCGCTGTCGGACCACACGACGTCGTCGATGTCGTCGTCAATGTCGACGCGGCGCACGAGCGAGCCCGTTTCCCAGTCGTAAAAGCACAAGAGGCCCGCGGACTTGACGCCGAGCAAGGCGCCCGGGAACAACTTCTCGGCCTCGTACAAGAGGTCCACGGCCACGTGCTCGCGGAAGTTCTTGTGCACGGAGACGGCCAACTTGGACTCGCGCACGGCGAAGGTGGTGGCGGTGGAGAAGTCGTGCGTGTGCCAGGCAAAGTCCAAGGCCTTGCCGAAGGCCTTGGAGCGCCAGGCCAAGGCCGTGTAGACGAGGTACTCGCCGTCGCCGCACACGGCCGCGTACTTGCCGTTGGGCGAGTGGGCCAAGGACTGCGGGTAGACCTCGACGGAGCCGAGGTCCTTCAGCAGCACCGGCACGGGGTCGCCGTCGCGCACGGCGCCGCCCGCGGAGGGCCGCACCACGGCCAGGAACACGTCGGAGTTCTTGGCGTAGACCAACTTGGCGTTGGCGTCCATGGAGAACAAGGGCTCCTCGCTGCCGACGCGGATGGCCACGTGGCCGGAGTCGCAGCCCACGGCCACCACGTTGGAGCGCGGCAACACGCTGACGCACCACACGCGCTCGAGGCCGTAGTTGACGGTGCGCACCAACTTGAAGGTGGTGGCGCTCCAGAAGCGCACGGTGCCGTCCTCCGCGCCGGACACGATGAGCGGCAAGTCCGGGTGGAAGATGGCGAAGGACACGTTGGCCGCGTGGCCCTCGAGCGTGGCCACGCACAGCTTGGTCTGGTAGTCCCACACCTTGATGGAGCGGTCGTCGGAGCACGTGATGAGGTACGGCTTGTCGGCCTGCGGGTAGTAGCCCACGTAGTTGACGCCCTTGGCGTCGTGCGCCACCAACGTGTAGTTGGGCACGGCCAGCGTCAACAGCCACACCTTGACGGTGCGGTCGAGGCACGCGGACGCGAACGTGTTGGGGTCCTTGGGGTTGAAGCACACGCTCATGACGAAGTGCTGGTGGCCCTCGAACGTGCGCTCGAGGCGCCAGTTGTTTTCCCAGTTCCACATCTTGATGGTCAGGTCGTCGGACGCCGTCAACACGTAGGGCATCAGCGCGTGCACGGCGATGCTGCGGATGTAGTCGGGGTGTGCCTCGAAGTGGGCCACCTTTTCGCCGGTGTTGTAGTTGTACACGCGCACCTGGAAGTCGTCCAGGCCCACCACGATCCACGACTTGCGGGCCACGAAGCACCCGGCACGCACGGGCAGCTCCGTGACCTGGAACGACTTGACGAGCGTGTTTGTGGCGTACGACCAGATCTCCACTTTGCCGCTGTAGAGGGTGGTCAAGATCCAGGGCTCGGAGGGGTGGCAGTCGATGCCCTTGACGCGCTCCGAGCGCACGGCGAATTGCTTGGTCACGTCCAATTTCATGGGGCCGGGGAGCGGGGATGTAGGGGGCGGCGGGCTGAAAAGAACGGGTGGTTGGAAGCCTATGTTGGATGTTTAGTTGAGGCCAAGTGTCGTTGCGCGGGGCGGTGCGCGCACGACGCTTAGTATGGAGGCCGGGTAGTTGTGTCGTGGGTTTGTGAGTTGTGCTGGTTGGCATGTTGTTTTTTTTGAAATGGGTATGTTGTTTTTGAATTGTGTATGTTGTTTTTGAATTGGGTATGTTGTTTTTTTGAATTGTGTTTCTTGAATTGTGTATGTTGTGTTGTAGTGCGTTGAATGGATTGGATCGCATGGTATTTGCACTGGTATTAGCACTGGTCGCACTGGTAGCACTGGTATTAGTATTAGGATTGGAATTAGGATTGGGATTGTTTTTGGGCTTGGAATCGGCACCGAGTGTGAGGTATGCGAAAAACCGGGAAAAGACCAAGGTGTGTAATATTCCCGGGTACTCGGCGATCTGGGCTGCCATGGGGATGTGGTTTGATTTGGGGTTCTTGTCGGGTCTGTCGTCCCGCGTGGTGCAGGGCCAGCAGGGTGCGTCTTGCATTGGTGGTATTGGCAGGGCACTGGGATACATACGTTATTTTGGAGTGCTGCGGTTGCTTTGGATTCCGGCTGATGTTTCTGGTCTGCCGTTTTTCTTTTTTCTCTCTTTTCTTTTTTTCCGATTTTTGTTGTATGAGGGAGGCATTGGGTATCGAGTATTGGGTGAGGGTATTGAGTATTGGGTAGGAGTAGCGCACGAATCTCATCAATGCATACACTGCTCTCGACAATCTGGGCCTCTCACTAAAGAGACATTTTTCCTTGGGATTATTGTACGGGCTGTGATTTATATGCGGGGAGGGTGGGCTGAGATTAGTATGGTTGGACATGCTCAAGGACTTGTATACGCGAATACACACCTCTTTTGATGATAATAAGAACGTTGCCCATAGTAAAGTTTGGGAAGTGCGTGAATGTGAATCGGCGGTCCTTCACGACGGCATTCTTCTTGCCAGACGGAATTTTGCTCCAGCTTCCACCGATTTCAAGCCGGCACAGCTGATCGCACATAGCAAGAACTCATTTCCAATATCCTTCTCCAAAGAAATCTCGTAGTGGTGAGTCCCCAAAACAGGAGCCATTGTCTGCGGGTAAGACGCAAAAAGTATCGCCTTTCTAGCGTAGGAACCTGTTTCGGGCCAGTATCCAGAGCTGTTGCAGTCACGTCCTATATACCAGATTGCAACATGTCACCAACGCGAGGGACTTGAAGATTGGAGGTCTGTATTCCTGAGCAGGCTCCCTCAAATGACTTCACATTTGTGAAGCTAAGCATGGCCAGTGAGCATTCATCAGCACTTTCTGCTTCAGTTCCATGAAGACAGCTAGACCTGAACATATGGCGAAACTGCCTTTTGCGTTCCGATTCACTATTGTCATGCTGCAAAGCTGCACAACTCTGAGAAGAATCAGCTGTTTTCGCTGGGAAACTCTGGTGGTCTGAGGGTGGCTGTGGTACTTGGGTATCCAAAAAAATCCTGAAAGTTTCGACAAACAGAGACTCCCAAAAGAGGCTTTTTGAGGTGATATATTAGCAGGTGTAATATATAAGAAGTCCGAAGAGCTTATGTATTATCCTCTGTCTGAGAGTATCCGCTTTAACTCCTGTTTAATAACAGGCGTGTAAGGAACTTGACTCTCCATTGAAACATTCTCGGTTCTGGGGGTGCTGCTTTAAGTGCATTATTGTAGTAAATCATGCCATGCTCATACGAGTAATTCTCCCAGTATATCCTCCCAACACGCCTTGCTAATTGTGCAAGGCAAAGACGGTTTCCCAGGTGCGTCAACAAACATGCTGTTTGAAAATCCAGCTTTTTCTTCCATAACCTTAAAAACCTTTTACTGGATACTGTTCTACAGCCAAGAATTTCTTCCCAGAGGATCGACGTCTTCAAGCACCCAGAGACTCCGGTTTATCACAGGGGTTCTAGAGCTACTTGCAGCACATGGCTTTCCCTATACAATAAAGTGAACACCGTGAATTGTAGAGGAAGACACAATATAACAGTGAGCTTGAGAGTAGGCACCTTGCATATAGAGGCGAGAGCAGAATAAGAGAAAACAAGAAGACGACGAATTGGGTTGAATATTCCTGCTTTATTCGGGAAAAAAAAAAAACAGATAGCTCTGAGAGATCAGAACTGTGGGGTAGCCCCGTTTTGATATTCCTTCAGTTTCTGAGGCACTGAGAGGAAGAAAGCAAAAGAGAAGATCAGGCGATGAATGTATATTTGGATTCTGGGGTATTATGGGCGGCTTTTCCAGGGAAATATTTTTACTTCGGCGGCTCTGTTCGATCTTTTGTTTCTTAAGGTGTATATGGTGAAGATATGGTGGAAAGTATTGGGGTTAGGACTTAGAACGTCCCTGTGGGTCTGAGACTTTTCGATATTCTGGCTGCTTTTTTGGCAGGCCTGTAATTTATATCATGCATGTCTTAAACGCGTGAAAAGAATAGTGAATGTATGATGGAGCCTTTGGAGAGTCCGCAACATATATATGTTATTCTTGGAAGCTCATGGTTTTTGGGATGGCTAGCACACTGTAAGTTATTTGGGAGTCTCTTGAATCTGTAGCACCCTATGGTGAAAGATACATGGTGTATTGGGGTAGAAAGGGTCTGATCTGGTAGGCACCAAAATAATGATTTGCAATATTGCTTACTTTCGATGCTTCCAGATTCTGTGCTTCTAGGGCTTCTGTAATATCCTAGGCCTGCAATTTCAATGTGCGTTTGTGAAGGTATGACTGCGAGGACACCTACTTGAAGGGATGCTCGGGCAGCAAATTCGGGCAATGAGTATTTTTTTTTACCTATTAGTGTCTATTGGCTGCAAAAATCTCCCCACATCTTGTCTATTCTTTGCATTTTGTTTGAATTGTAGTTTGATTCTGTGTAGATTGGCTCGATGAACGCACTTTCATCTATTAAAATGTTTCCGAGATAAATTGGAGTTGGTGTTTATGGCCAATGATACTGTTGCAATCACAATAACAAGATATTTTAGTTAAAGGCCCTTATAATCGCAACTTATCAATAATACTGCTGAACGTCTATATATTGGGCTCGCTGATGCACACTTCATATCAAGATGACCCACTTCCCAACAACTTCCATGAATGCTTAAATACTCCCGTGGAGTATTAAAATGTCAGATAGGAATGACTTGTTGAACTGACCTGCCAGGTACAACATAGGGTTGAATTGGGTGTTGGTCAGCTTGCTATTTGAGAAAGACACTCAAGCTTTGGTTTATTCCAATTCCAGCTTTAGAATAGATCTGGGGAGGTGGAACGTAATATTCTACACAATGCAACACGAAAGTACTGGGACCACAATCAGACAAGTGGATGATGGATGCTTTTGTTGAAATAACAAGATATTTTGTAGGAGGTAAATTGCTCATGGTTGCTTGTGAAGATCCACTTGAAAAGCTTCGGCTTTTAAGATCTTTGGTTTCACCAATTAAGCCCTCAGAGGGCCACTAGCTATGTGGATTGAATATTGTACTGGTCTTTGGGCCAGTAGAGTCTCAACTTTAGGACAAAGTCAATACAAGAGATATAGGGATGTCTAAATTAATACTTCAAGGCTTTTCTGACGAAGGTAAAAAAAAACTAGCTACCAGGAGAATTGAAGATGGCAAATGGTATACAACAAACGCCTCCTTGTTTAGACTGCCGATTATAGATCAATACTCATTTCACCAATACCGCTAGGCTTCAAAGACATAATTTACTGCATGAATACACCAGAGAAACAGAAAAATGATTGATTTTAGTGCCTTGAAATGAGGATTTTAAAGAAGTTAGTCCCCAGATCGCTTTTCGAACTAGCAAATGATAATTTGTAATACCCACTGCATATCGATGCAGTGAGGGGCTATCTACGTAGAGCAAAGCAACAATAGCGTCTTCTTGATTGAGATATCCAGTTATATTTTGCAACCACAGCCATCTATAAATTAAGATCAAACCACATCTTGCTTGACTAGTGCAACATAAACCAAGGGAATACGTGATAATGACCTCAATAAAAGTTAAAGCAACGACTCGTTGAAATATACTTCAACATAGAGACTTTAAGTATGTCTCTTCTTATATTTCTGAACACCAAGATGCAAGGTGTTATTTACTCCAGCTTCCTATATATTGAATGACTGAGGAGTGCTAAATCGGGGTTTCGAGTAATAGACTTGCAAGCAATCGAGCTCAAAACCCACTTTCCAAAAGCCTCATTTTTGGAACATTTGAAAGAAAAGAGGAGTTCCTTTATGATCTGTGCTATTGCATAATCATGAAAAAAAAAAGAAAGCTCTGAAAACAACCAGCCTTAACCTATAAAACAACCAGCCTTCCTTTAAAAGCACTTCACCTTCTTTACTTGTCTGAACTGTCCTTTAATTAAAACGGAGCGGATTGAGTGACATGGATCAAAGTCAGTGTTCAAAGTGCATAGGTAGAACAGCCCCAGAACAAGTTTCAACTTCGTGAAATGTGACCAAGATTGCGAACAAATTCAACAAAAGAGTGAAAGTAGTATACAAGAACCTAGTCATGGAGGTTTGAGGGAACTCTAATCAGATCCGACTTGGATTTCAAAGATGGTAAACGCTTCAAGAGTTTACTTCGATGAACACACTCTTAGACTTGAGCTTTACTAACATCCAATTCGCTCAAACTCCGGAGTTTGTGAGTTCTTGAATCCATTAGAAGGAAGGAATCCCGACATTTGAACAGTTTCTCGGGCTTTATACCGGGATGAGAATGTTCCTTGCCGTTTGATTAAGCTTCTTAAAGAGCAACAGAATGGCAAGATTATAATTCAATGTCTCGCTATGTATTTTGCTGTGTCCCAAGCTGTCATGAAGCTTCATCACAGTACCTAAGTTTAATCTCTCGCTCTTGAATTGCCCCTGAGATTCGAAAACATAACTATTTTCAGTTCGAGCATAGAAAGAAGCTCATGAAGGCACATATAAAACATTGTTCATCAGTAAACAGCATCAACCTTATCCCTCCTTGTCTTTCTGTAATGAGCCTCCAATTGCGATATTGAGCGCAAATAGTTGGTCCAAGTTTCAGTAAACTTGTGGTTCGAGAACCTTTCCAGCAGAAGCTTCACACCCAAATCTCTCTTTTCCTGAAGCAAGGATTGAGAGCATTCCTCTGGATTTTCGATGAATAAAGTTTTGAGCAAATCCGCCAAGTTGGGGAACGAGCATTTATTTCCGCGTATGGTGAATTGAAGCATGCCGTCTTGTGTTTCGCCCTCGAAGTCCGGGTCGCTTTCGTCTTTGAAAAAATAGCCGATTTCGTTTTTCCACGTGGTGGATGGTTCAGATTCTCGAACGATATCTAAAAGCGGGCCCGCAGAAGCATGTACGAGGGGCACCACGCCAGCACTAAGATATTCCACCACGCCGATTCCAAAATGCTCATTCCACATGGCATTGAGACCAAAGGTGCACTCACTCAAAGTCAGTTTGACCTCGGCAAACGAGCAGCCCACAAGGAATTCGATGTGGTCAGTCAAGTCTAAATTGGCAGCCTGATGGCGAAGAGAGTCTAGCGTCGAAGAGTCAGTTTCTGTTCTGCAGGAGCCAAGAAACACAAGGGTGGGTAAATCTGAAAGAGGCAACTTTGAGCTGCGGAATGCCTCCACAAATTTGAGGTAGTTTTCCAATACTAGCGCATGTCTTTTTTCGGGCCGGAACTGAGCAATATATAGCAACTTGTTCTGCCTCTTGCTGGGTCCTGCCGTCTCGGCACGTACCATTTCTTCTGTGGAGCAAGGTGGATAAACAATGCTGACCACTTTAGTTTTGTTCAAGGCCCAAATGGACGAGATATGGTCGTATGTCCAGGTGCCATTTGCAAGAGTCACGTCCACACAGGAACCCAAGTACATGTACACGGAATAGAGAAGAGACCAATAGAAAAATTTGACGAGTTGCTTGGCATGCCCAAGTGTGAAGTTGAACGCGGCCAAGTCGCCCACTGTCCTGAACTTCAATTTGTTGAACATGTCTGGCTGGATTATTGGGTAGTGCACGTACGCCACCACGGGGATCTTCAAGATCCATGAAACAAGCCAGTAGCTGCCTGGAAGACCCATAGTATCAATCCACACGTCAGGGCTCAACTCATACATTGCTTCAAGCCCGAGAACCACGCATCCGAGGAGCTGGCCGGCCAATGTGAAGTGTTTCCAAGAAGAGCTGTCGATCCACGCCGCATATTTGCGCAAGTATATGAAAACAATTCTTCTGGAGTCCAAGTTTGAGATTTTGAACTTTTCCTCTGCCTTGCGCAAAATTCGGAGCGGCCCTGTGTCGTTGTTGGTGGTGTATACTGCCACTATATTTCTCTTGTCTTCCATCAACGTGGCCAGCACGGCTTGCCACAAGACCTTTTCCCCGCCTCCGCCGTTATTTGCGTACGGGTGGAAAAACCCATAAACCAACCGCCGCTTGTTGTCGTTGGGATCTCTCACTTTCATCTGAGCCATGAAACGTTCTTCATCTTTTGCGTCCTCAGGCAGGATCTTCAACTTGTCATTGACAAAATTGGTGTAGAAAGACGGTTGCGCGCTTGCCGTAACAAGCCGGCGTCTGTAGCTGGATCTCTTGACCCCAACATTTAAGTAGATGGGCTTGGGATACCGGATGACATGTAAAATCTTGTCCTGCCACTTATGTGTGGGAACAAGGAAAAACCGAGGCAAGGCCAGGACAGCAATTTGATAAAGACCTGCGATAAGAATAAGGGGAATTACCCAGAGAGGCACGGAAAACATGAGCTGTGTTTTATTGCTTTCGTGGCTCTTTCCTTGGGGGATTCGAGGTAATATGTACTAGGTGAGGTTGCGCAGCCGTTATCTCGAGGCACTGTATCACGTGACCGTGGCCGGGAAGTTCCGACAGTCGAAACGGCCCTTTAGGTAGAGCCCCCAGCTGGCGGAATTTATATTACGCGCCGACAGATGTTGATGTCTCCGATTCTGTGGGTCCAAAATGTCGTCATTTTCAGGCCTTTTAGGGCCCATAGCGAGATGTCAGGAGGGTTTTCGGAAACCGCCGAGAAATGCGAAACCACAAGCCTTATCTGCTGTCGTGGATCGGGTTATACATGATAACACTAACCGGATACGGATTGCTTCCGTAGACGCAAATTAAATTAAGATTAGGATTAGGTCTGATAGATTACATCACTGCCATGCCTGCTCCTATCACCCGCGGACGTGGATTATATGTCATTACTTATGAAGGTGACCGCTGTTGGCCACCTCGCAATTGGGCTCGGCACTACCACTACCCGTCGCGCGAGACTTGAACTGCGAGACTTTCAAGGAATGTTCTAACAACTGGACGATAAAACAAGGAACAGGAATTATGTAGACACTAGGCTGATCTCGAAGAGCAGATAATACTGACAGACGGAACCTTTCAAATTTGCGTATCAGTGAGCCTGATTGCGTCTGGCATACAGTTGCCATAAGTCCCCACATGCAGCACACCAAAGTCGGTCCCAGATTCGTCTGCAAGCACATGAGCTCAGCTCGACAAAACATAAACATCCAATTGTATTGCACTCATGTATTTATGACTATTATAGGGCAGACGGGTCAGGGAAAGTAAACTGGGCACCCTCCCCAGAACCAACATGCAGAACCCCCAAAGATCTCGGCGTCTTGCGCGTTCGAAGGCCGACAACTAGCGGGTTGAATGCGTGGGTGTCTCACTGAATTTTACTTCGTGGAAATACAACTAGGAAAAACTGACAAAGAACATTTCATGGGTAGGTGTCTGAGTGACCAGGGGGCGTTTCAATTTCAGTGATCAGGGGGCCAATATCAGTGATCCTCGCGGCATTCTATACGATCAGACCAAGCCAAGTGGCCGCGCAGCTAGCAGATTGGAAACGGGCCAGAATGCACTACTGCATGCAGCTGTTTGAGAAGCTTCAGTGCTAAAGGACGTGTGCAGAAATTATACGTCGGATCCTCAGCTATAGTTTACTATAGGGACACCCACGTTGCCCCATTGAATCGGGACAACCAGACCATCCAGGGCCCACCAGAAAAAGCATGGCATGCCGAGTCTCAATACAGGCGCTCGACTCGTAAATCACTGACAAGCGCTTGAGATGGCCAAAACGGGCTTCGACCTGCGGAACAATAGGGCCTCCCCAGCCTGCGTGTCCAGATTGTGATGATTTTTCCGCTTTGGGATGCTGACGTCTCAGGCTCCTGCCGCATCCGGCCAGGTTTCCTGCCGGACCTCGCTCTCTGCCGGACCCTCACTCTAGACGCGTCCGGTGAATTAGCTTAGGTGCCCTCTAATTGTCCCGTGTCATGACAGGATTTTGCACACACCCATCGCCCCTGATTCTGAAACACCTGGCCATTTTTCGCGGCAAGGCCTCGCCAGCACCAGGCGGGCAATACTTGTTGTGCTGCACACAGGCGTTTAACCGTTGATCCCAGTCGGGTTAATATATGATGTTCTGCACACAAGCAGCCATTCCTAGCCCCCAGTGCCTGCCCAGCACCCCGCCCACAACTTTGAAAATCACCAAAATAGAGCTTGGACATAAGCAGCAAAGGAGGCCGGGAACTGGGCCGGCTTCTGGGACGTTTTGAAGTAGTGGCCCGGCTTTGTGAAACCGGACCTGCATAATGTGTCCAGCCACCGGCTGATTGTATGGGGCATGTAGGATACACGCCGGGCCCCGTGGTTCACAACCGAAATACTAGCGCCGAAGATGCCATAAAGCCCTGGTGAACGAGCCGAGCAACCAACCTACAAAAACACAAACAACAAGGAGCAAAACAGCAAAAGACAAATAGCATCAGTCAAAAAAGAATAGAATAAAATCAACAAATTATCGGGGAGAAAAATGGCAGAGAAACCGAAACAAAAGAGAAATATATACTCTTCTCCTTGCCGGGCGATTCATACCAGGCGCCCTGTCGCAGCTTGCTCCCGTCGCGTCCTGTAAGCTATTAATCCCGATTGAGCACCGGCTCCCCATACCTTTTTGAATTCTCGCAGTGTGCACTTTTTTTTTCTCCCTTACCTGGCCTCTTCGTCCGAAACCAGGTATTTCTTTCATCAATCCGGCGGCTGCTTCTGGTTTTGTGCTCAGACCGGCGTCTCCAAAACAGACTCTTTTTTTTTTCTGACCCCCACGTTTTTTGCCGGGCCGCCGACGCTTATCTGGCCGGCGCTTACAAAAACGGCACCCCTCGCAGTTTTACTATACCCAGCCCATCCGGCAAAAACAGCACCTGGATTACCTCTTTTGACTCCCAACACGTTTGCTCTCCGGCCACAGGACAGCACCAAACAGACCAGAACACAAAAAAGCACGACAACAAAAACACAAAAAGAAAAAAAAAAAATTAGCCGCCAGCCACAAAACCGTCAGCCACAAAACCACCACGCCCCTGGCGCTAAGTCCCTTTTATGCCCCCACCCCCGCTCCCCATGAACACGCTCCAGGAAAGCCAGAGCGCCAACCAGCCCGAAAAAGACCCGTCCGCAAAAACTCCGGCGGCAGACGGCGCGGCGGCGGGCGCACGCAAACCCAAGACGCCCTTGAAAAAGGAGGAGTTGGAGAAAATCGCGCAGGAACTCAAGAAAAAGCTCTCCCGCGCGTCCGTGGCGGCCAAGCAGCTGCTCTCGGCCACGGCCACGGGCGCCGGCCGCTCCTTGCTGCCGGACTCGCCCGTTCTGCAGACGCTGCTCCCGAAACTGAGCCCCTTGAAGAACTACTACATGTGGCGGCGCCAGATCGCTGGCGCCACGGCCAAGAACGTGACGCTGCTGCCCGTGTTGTACTCGCCGGGCCGCCGGCTGCCCACGCTGACCAAGCCGTCGATCTTCTTGTCCAGCTCGCCGTTGAAGAACTTCAACGCAGGCCTCTCTCCGGCAGAGCCCTCGCCCGCGGGCGCCCTGTCGCGCAAAGCGTCCATGGACTCGGAGGCGCTCACCGAGCTCAACGACTCCCCGGTCAAGCGTCGCCGGGCCGACAGCGGCGCGGCCGTGCGGGCCCGCGAGCCGCACATGGTCTTGGAGGAGATCCACGGGCCGCAGACGCCGCCCAAGCGCGAGGCCTTGCACCCGCTGCCCGTGTTGTCGTCCAACCCCCCGAGCGGGCGGCGCACGGGCCCGAAGCCGGCGCTGACCACCCCGACGTTGGCGAAAAAACCGCTCAGCACGGGCCCAAACGCGTTGCTCAAGACGCCCACGCAGGCGGCCCGCGGCGACGCGTACAACGACGACGAGGGCGCCGACTTGCTCATGTACTTGGCCGCGTCGCCGTCGGTGCCCAAGTCCGGCGCGGCAAACACGCCGCGGGCGCCGCACAACGTGGCGTTTGCAGGCCACCCTGGCGCCTCGAAACCCCACAGCGGCAGCCTGTTCATGGCGCCGCCGCTCACGCCGAAGCGGCCCTTGATCTCGACGGCCAAGACCCCGCAGAACAGGCTCACGCCGTCCGTGTACGGCGGCTTGGCCGTGCCGGGGAGCACGCTCCCGTCCGCCGGGCTCGCGTTGACGCCCGCCGGCTTCAACATGAACGACTACGTGAACTTTTTCACGCCGTCGCCGGGCACGGCCGCCGCGGCGCACGGCGGCTTGGCGGGCCGCACGCTTCTCAAGACGCCCGACTTCCATGGCCAGGTGCAGAGCGCACACACCTCCGTAGACGGCAAGATGATCAACTTCGACAAGGCAGAGCTCTTTGGCCTGTCTGGGCCCGAGCACCCCAAGGACTAGGCAGGCCGGGTCCTCTTTTATCGCCGCGCTCCGAGACTATATACCTACAGCTTCCGTGCGGGCCGCCCGCAGACACTTGGAGAACTCCACTACATACGCTTAAACAAGGCCCAGGGCGTTCCCGCCGGCTCCTTTCCCCACGCTTTTTTTTTCGAGGTTGGAGGGTGGCGCTCGGGGCCGGTTGTGGTGATCACGCCGGCCCCGAGCGCAGGTCACATGACCGGCATGGAAGCATGCGATGTCTGGGCCGAAAAGACCCGATGTGAGGGTTTCGGTGCTTCGGACCACTACTCTACACCCGGATTTTCGTCTCTTTTCCCCAAGACATGGCCGACTCTGGAAACAACGAAGTGCAAGAACTCAAGGTGGCGCAACTAGACCTTGCGGACAAGGCAACGCCCCAGGCCGAGGCGCCATCGGCCGCAAGTGGCGGCGATGAAAAGCCCAACGCCACTGCTTCTGTGGACGCCGCAGGGGCAGAGGGCGACGAGGAGAAGAAGAAGAAAAAGAAAAAGAACAACAAGAAAAAAAAGAAAATCGTGAACATCAACAGCTCGTACCCCGACGGGGTCTTCCCCGAGGGCCAGTGGATGGAGTATCCGTTGGAAGTCAACAGCTACAGAACCACGGACGAGGAAAAACGGTACTTGGACAGGCAGCAAAACAACCACTGGCAGGACTTCCGCAAGGGCGCCGAGATCCACAGGCGTGTGCGGGCCAAGGCCAAGCAGAATATCAGGCCTGGCATGAGCATGCTTGAGATCGCCGACTTGATCGAGAACTCCATCCGCGGATACACCGGGAACGACCACACGTTGACGCAGGGCATAGGCTTCCCCACGGGGCTCTCGGTGAACCACGTGGCCGCACACTACACGCCCAACTCGTCGGACAAAATGTCCTTGAAGCAGGAGGACGTGATGAAGATCGACATCGGCGTGCACGTCAACGGGCACATCGTGGACTCGGCCTTCACGCTCACGTTTGACGACAAGTACGACAACTTGTTGACGGCCGTGCGCGAGGCCACGTACACGGGCGTCAAGGAGGCCGGCATTGATGTGCGGTTGAACGACATTGGTGCGGCCGTCCAGGAGGTGATGGAGTCCTACGAGATGGAGCTCGGCGGCAAGACCTACCCCATCAAGTGCATCCGCAACTTGAACGGCCACAACATCGGCGACTACGTGATCCACTCGGGCAAGACCGTGCCCATCGTGGCCAACGGCGACATGACCAAGATGGAGGAGGGCGAGACGTTTGCCATCGAGACTTTCGGCACCACCGGCAAGGGCTACGTGGTGACCCAGGGCGAGTGCTCGCACTACGCGTTGAACCAGAACATCGACGGCGTCAAGTTGCCCTCGCAGCGCGCCAAGGAGCTTGTCAAGTCGATCCAGTCTAACTTCGGCACCTTGCCGTGGTGTCGCCGGTACTTGGAGAGGGCAGGGGAGGATAAGTACCTTCTTGCCTTGAACCAGTTGGTGCGTGCCGGCGTGGTTGAAGACTACCCGCCATTGGTGGACACCACGGGCTCGTACACTGCGCAGTACGAGCACACGATCTTGTTGCATCCACACAAAAAGGAGGTTGTGTCGAAGGGCGACGACTACTAGTCTGTGGGTGTGCGAAGCGAGCAATGCTGTGCTTCTGGGCGAAGACTGCAGAGGGCCTTTCGCTGCCCGGTCCCGTGGTTGGCGGGGCCGATTGGGATCTAGAGCTGCCCATTCGAAGAGGGTGTGAGCGGACAGAGCGGGGCACGTGCCCAGCCCCAAACTCCCGGGTCTGCTAGATACTAACTACGTATTCTAAGAGCATCGCTTGATCGCTTTGATGTAGACTCAGGGCATCTTGGCGGCCTGTATGGGATATATTGGCTGTGTTGTTGTATTGTATGGAGGCTTTGGCTTGTGTCATCGGTGCGTCTCGTTTTTCGTGCATCTTGTTGCTTGTTGCTTGTTGCTTGTATTGCTTGTTGCTTGTGTTGCTTGTTGCTTGTGTAGTTTGTGTTGTTTGTGTAGTTTGTATTGCTTGTGTAGTTTGTATTGCTTGTATTGCTTGTATTGCTTGTATTGCTTGTATTGCTTGTATTGCTTGTATTGCTTGTATTGCTTGTATTGCTTGTATTGCTTGTATTGCTTGTATTGCTTGTATTACTTGTACTGATTGTACTGCTTGTACTGCTTGTACTGCTTATACTGCTTGTACTGCTTGTACTACTTGTACTGCTTGTACTGCTTGTACTGCTTGTACTGCTTGTACTGCTTGTACTGCTTGTACTGCTTGTACTGCTTGTACTGCTTGTATTTCGTATGACTTTCTCAAATCCCATCTACTTTGATCCTAAGCTTCGCTACACAACATTAATTCGATGGCCTAGCCCAAAAATAATCCGACCCAGAACCAGCCCGAACAACCAGACCTAGATACACGTCAGCACACCCACCATGCAAACTCAAATCTTATTAATTGTCACTGTACATGTTTTGTAATCTCTAAAACAAAATCCTTGATTTCTTTTAATGTTTCAAGCAAGCTCCACACAATAAATCCGACAATTTTGGGTCATAATCTAAAGGTGGCCATCAGTTCTGCTCGTGGTCGCCAGTCCATGCTGGCAGTCAACAAAACCATTCCCTCCAGAAATAAAAATACTCCATATCAATATTTTTTTCAGATTCCTTCCCTAAACTAAACTGTCAAGTTGTCACATAACCAACTAGAAAAATGGCGTAAGGCTGATTTCGAATGGCTCATCAATGAGGGTGGAGACGTGAGCATAAACACACTTATTGAAAGCAGCTTTAAGTGATGTTTTCGTGAGACGGCTGTTGTTCAGCATCTCAAGCAATTGCTTTCTAAGCGAAATACACAGCCCGGTTTTTAATTCGAAACAGGTCTACATTTCACTGTCAGCTTGGAGGAGCAATGCAAACTGCAAAGCACGCCGTCTACCCTACTTTCAGGCTCGTGCAAGATTAGTTCTTTCGTCGAACTTCGTCGTTCACACCGTAAATCCAGAAATCGACGAAAACTCATGCGCCATGCCTTTTGACTTTCCAGAGACTTTGTGATACTGTCGTATCGTGACCGCCGCATGATAGGAAAGAGATCTAATGCCGGAGATCAAAGCAAGCACTTGTAAACAAAATCACACATATCTTATAACAAGGTACTAATTGAAATCGCCCGTAATGCGAGCTGGGTACCACGACATTGAAGATTTACCTTTTTTTTTCTTTGATAGATTCATCTGATGACTTGGCGGCTGATCAGCTGGAAACATCGCAAATTAGGAGGACCAAGGGCACAAGGCTCTTCATTCCAAAGTACTAATATAAAGGGGAAAGAATTGACTATAAAATTCAAAAAACTGACTTCATTCAAAGACCTGATTTAATTCAAAAACTGATGTAGTTCAAAAACGCTGATAATTCAAATCAATGTTGATATAATCAAACTCAGCGCTGACTGCTATAAAGGACAGCTCACTAGACAAGGTGCAAACTGCCCTGAAGATCTGGTCCACTGCCAAAAACCGTCGTATATAGCCATTAAACCTGCACACACTGCCAATGGTGGAAAACGCTTCACTACATATTCAACACCCTCCACTGCTGTCCTGCATACCCGCCAAACCCTACTCACTGGACAGAAGATCCCAGTATTCAAAGGCCCCAGTCAGAAAAAAGCTTCGTCATCCCGAGTGCTTTTCTCCCAGCTATCGATCCAGCTTAATCGTGCGCATCGCCAGAAATGCATATTTGTTTTGTTCTCCTCTTGGTGCGCGCACTGCACACACACTCCCTAGAAACTCAACACTCAACTCACATTTATTCCTGGTCTTCCAACCAATACCCCCAACAAACTCAAAATGGAAATCCAACCTGCTGTGTTGACATATAGAGGTATGTGTACCGACGAGCACGTGACCTCCCGGCGCTCCGTGGTCTTGGAAAAGCTGGCTGGTGTCGGCGGCTAATGCCCCTTGTTCCTCCTATCTGAGGATATAAACACTGAATGACGCCGTGCTCCCCATGAAAACAGAATCGAGCGAATTCGCCCTAAAAATAACAGCAATCATTTGTAGCAGAGCGGCGGAACATGACAACGGGCAATTTCAATTCTGCCCGCCGTGGACCCCGAGTCTGGAACTGTGCATGTGCCCGGGCTCAAAGTTGCTCAGCCTCAAAGTTGTGTTTTTCTTTGCGCTGTCATCTTTGCCTCTGCTGTCGCTTTTCTCCAGCCCAAAAGTGAGGATTTTAGCCTGTTTCCACCGGCAAACGGGCTGTCCCATTCTGTTCCTTGCTCGTACTCAAATTTGGGCCACGTCACGCAACCTTGCATTTTCCCACGCCGCCATCGATAACAAACATGACATCGGCCATTTCAGACCGCTTTTTCTCGCTTCCACTTGTGACCGGTGCCGCAAGGCCGTTTCCGGGCCAATTTCGTCGTCTTCATGACATACTAACGCATCCAGGCACTTTTGCAGAGCCGCTCACCGAGTACTTGACCTTGACCAACACCACCCCTGAGCCCTTGGCGTTCAAAGTCAAGACCACCGCTCCCAAGTTGTACTGTGTCAGACCCAATGCCAACATCGTGGCCCCCGGCGAGAGCATGAAAATCTCCGTCATCTTGCAAGGTTACACGACGCCTTTGCCCAAGGACTTCAAGTGCAAGGACAAGTTCTTGATTGTGTCCTGCCCCTGCCCCGGGTTCGAGGACGCCTCCAAGGTCGCGGAGAACTGGGCAGCGTTGTACCAGGAGCATGGCCAACAGGGCGTGCAGAAGAAGTTGAGGGTCAACTTCATCATCGAGGAGGACGTGAGGGACGACACCCAGATCAACGAGACCAGCTTCGCCAACGCCACACAAAACACCATGATTCGCGACACCCTGGTGATCAACAACGAGGCAGACACCACTGCCGTGCACGACAGATCAATAAATCCGGCCAACGTCTCTGCCATCAACCAAGACCACACGTTGCAGGACACCCACATCTTGCCCCTCGATGAGCAGAGCACGGTTCCAGAGCACCAGAGCGAATTGGATGACTCTGCCACCAAGATCAATGACTTGACGAAGAAATTGGACTCGAACGAGAAGGACAGCGAGCTCGCGGAGGCCGCGTCCCAAGACACCGTGAGCGGCGTGTCGCTTCCCTTTGCCGCCATGTTGGTTCTTATCGCGTTGTTGATGGGGTGGTACATCTTCTGATTCGAGAGACGTGCAGCGCGGAGTGACTCTCGTGCAATGACCAATGCCAACCCTCGCTGCAGTCCGGCGGGGACTCTGTATCTTCCAGTAGTGAGTATGTACCATTTGATTAATAATACCAACGAATTCGAGCCGCCCGCCAGTGCTGGGCTCCGCGATGCGAGGCTTTGTACGACGGTGCGTGTCCCCTCCAGCTGGAGTGTGGATGGAAATCAAAATTGGATAGATATGGCCAGGAATGTTATTCCTAGGGAATCCTCATCTGATCAACTGATTGAAGGATGGTGGAAAATTGGTCGTTTGCCTTGCTGACCAGGCAATTAATCTGGGCAATTCTCCCGCGACGCGACCGGCTGCAATGGCTCTGATGATGCCGTTGATCCTGAAGGAGATCATGTGTTCGGAATGAGGCCATGGCAGTCGCCCCAACAGAACATTGGTGCCAAAAATTGCCAAGGGATGCGTTTTTTGGACAGTCATAAGACATTCCGACCCGTTCAGCCAAAATCCCGCCTTTTTTTGCGGGCCTCGAATTGGTTCGCCTCCAAGCCTAGCTATCGGATCGAGTGTATAATGGAGCCGCACCGGGGCTCGGCGCACTCGAGATTATTATCGAGCGGACCGAAAAAAGAGGACCTGAGCCTCCGCACAGAGCCTATATTAGGAGACCCGAAACGGCAGTGCCAGAGCCACGCATTCCACTTTATGCGGCCATCTGCGTATTCTGTCTTGCTGTTTCAAGCTGCCTGCACAGTCCAGGTTTTCCGACGCCGCTGTCCAGCCCGGACGTCTGTGTGGCCTGGCTGTGCCGGTATTGATTTCAGGGTTTTGGCACTGCCGCGGCCGTCGGCACGGGCCCCAGGTTGTGGGCCTGCATACGCGCGCGCGGCCCTGGGCTTTGTTCGCGTAACTCCTCCTCAGGCTCCCAGGACCACCCAGCACAACTTCACAGACCGTCTGAACACACACCTCCTAGCCTAAAATGGGTACAGCGACGGTGCGGTCTGGGTCCATCAACCTCCTCAACACAATCATCGGCGCCGGCATCCTCGCCATGCCCTACGGGCTCCGGCGCAACGGGCTTCTTTTCGGCACGGGCCTCATAGTGTGGAGCGCCCTCACCTCCGCTTTCGGGCTCTATTTGCAAAACAAGGTGGCCAAGTACACGCAGCAGCAGGGCGCTGTGTCGTACTTCAGTCTCTGCCAGTTGACGTACCCGCAGCTCCTGGTGATTTTCGACGGCGCCATAGCCGTCAAGTGCTTCGGCGTGGGCGTGCTGTACTTGGTGGTGATTGGCGACTTGATGCCCAAGATCGCCGAGAGCGCCGGCGCGCCCGCGGGCTCCGTCTTGCTTGCGCGCAACTTCTGGATCTCCGTGTTCATGGCCGCGGTGGTGGCGCCGCTCAGCTTCCTCAAGAAGTTGGATTCCTTGAAGTACACCAGCGTGGTGGCTTTGGTCAGCGTGGTGTACCTCATATGCCTCGTGGTGGAGCACTATTTCGCCGACGGAGGGGCCGCGGACGCGCGTGAAATCGACTGGGTGGGCCCCGTGTCCTGGCGCCTGACGTTGACGTCCTTCTCCATCTTCGTCTTCGCGTACACGTGCCACCAGAACATGTTTGCCATCATCAACGAGCTCCAGCCCAGCGAGAAGCTCGGCCTGCCAACACGCCAGCTGAACCTCATCATCCGCAACGCCATCTCCGTGGCGTGCCTGTCGTACTTGGTCGTGGGTGTCTTGGGCTACTTGACCTTCGGCAACGCCGTGAACGCCAACATCATCAGCATGTACCCGCGCGACTCCGTGGCCTCGCTCGTGGGCCGCTTGGCCATCGTGGTCATGGTGCTGTTGTCGTTCCCGCTCCAGTGCCACCCGTGCCGCGGCTCCGTCAACCACGTGATCCACTTCCTCCGCCATGGCGTATCCTCCGGCTGGAAGCTCCGCGCCCCTGTGGCTGCGGCTGAGTACACGCCGATTCCGGGCGACACGGACTCCGCCGACGTTCTGTTCGACCCCTCGTTCGTCAGCACCACGCCCATGGAGGGCGCCCAGGACACCGACGGACATGCGCCCATCGTCGTGCCCTTGACCGCGTTCCGCTTCTACGTGATCACGGCCGTGATTGTTGTGGCCGCGTACCTCGTGGCCATCTCCGTGCAGTCGTTGGCGCTGGTGCTCGCGTTTGTGGGCGCCACGGGCTCGACTCTGATCTCGTTCATCTTGCCCGGGCTATTCAGCTTTTCGTTGATCAAGCCGCTCGACGGCGCTGCGGTGTTGACGCCGCTCGAGAGGTTCTGCAAGTACGGCGGCTTGGCGCTCTCCATCTGGGGTGCGGTGGTCATGGCCGTGTGCTTGAGCGCCACCCTCTTCCTTGCGCCCGAACACTAGGCCACAGGACCGGCCATCAGGAGTCGTGGAAAATCATCATGTATTTGTCACCCGTGTATAATTCTATGTATGCATGTGAGTCAGGGCACAGACGCTCACAAAATCAAATCTTTCTTGTCCCAGCCGACCTTGTTCTCGCCCTTCAATCCATATTCGGGTTGTGGCTTGTCCACACCCTCAATCTTCATGGCGTATGGGTTGCGGTCGCACTTCTGGTCCAAGTTGGCCAACGTGTGGTTCACCTCTCTGTGCTTGGACTCGTCGGCCCTGACTCTCTGCACCAAGTCCAAGAAGGTCGACTTCTCGTCAAGCTCGGGCCAGTAGTCCTGCGCGATCTTGGGCACGGACACCGTGTCGAACTTGGGCAAGCGCTTGGCGGACAAGTCACCAATGAGATGCGTGTACGTGCTGACGGCCTCTTCCTCCAAGTAGCCGACGAATCTGTGGCAGTAGCGGGGCGACAACAAGTAGAGGAAGAAAAAGATGTTGCAGAACACTCCTTGTCCCATGTACACGAAGAAGCGCATGAAGCGTGAGGGCTGGCCGATCTTGATGAACGTCAACAAGTGCATTCTCTCATTGTAGGCCTCGTCGAGCAAGGTCTCGATCCAGGCCTTGTCGCGCTTCAACAAGCGCAACGAGTGCAAGTGACGGAGGAAGGCCGCCACCATTCCCGGCACGCCGGCGACCGACTCCAAGAAAATGACTCGCGTGAGCCACTTGTTTTCCGTCATCTCCCAGCGCGTGCCTTTGAATCTGTGCTGCAACTCCGCGTCGGTCTTGGGCTTCTTGTACCCGGTGACGATGTTGAATAGCGACTTGCACGTCGCCATACTGTTGAAGGCAATGCGGTCCAATCTCGACTTGGGGGGCCGGTGCAAGTACTCCACCTGGGCGCAGTCCTCGTCGGACCATCTTTCGTGGGGGAAGGCCGGGTGGGTGATGAATTTGAGGTCGTTGTTTTTCTCCAAGCTGTCGTTCTCCAACACCTTCGTGCGCACGTCAAAGATCAGGGACGACTTGCACCGGGTGAAGGTGAGGCCCAACTTCATGACGGGCACGGTCTGGCGCGAACGGAGCATGGCAATTCCCGAGTGCATGGTGGGTGTTCAGCTATTGGGTCTGGTTCTTGTTTTGTTGGTGTGGTTGTGTTTCAGCCTGGGCAGAAAGAATTGGCGTTTGTGATGGAAAAGGGAAACCCGGCGTTGTGACGGCACATCCCTGCAACTTATATATCCCAGACTGATACGAACATGCAGCGCAGCCCCACCAAAACGGAAGCCCAGGAAGGAAAGCTAAACTCGAGGCACGCCTGTCTCCCGAGCCTACCCGCGCGTCCGAGTGCGTCGTGGTTCCGCGCTCATACTTCTTGGCTTACTCAGCAATCCAAGACACGGCATTAAGTGTCTGCGCAGCTGAGCATATTAACTTTCCGAGAGGTCATCGACACCTGCCTAATCGGGGCATGCCCCCGACGTCCGTTTCAAGGCGCGCGCCCAGCGGAGCCGAACCGCGGAATCGGTTGGCCGGCGGCTATCGCCCGCCCCTTGTTTTGAACACACCGCTACCCGAAAAATACGGGGATCTGGGTGTTGTCATGATGCTCCCGAGACATATATTAAAGGACGCCGGCAAAATCCCGCAATTGGCGGCACAAACGATTTTGGGCGAGGGAAGAAAAAAAGGTAGTGGCAGAAGCTGCGCGGCGCAAATGGCCCACGGCTGGAATCGGGACGGCCGCCGCAGAACACCCGTGCACCTCCGGCCGGGGCTTAATCTCCGGAACATCGGCGCGGCTCGCCGGAACATGCTCGTACTGGAGAGCTGTGGCCAGCCTCACGCCATAAATGCCTTCAATTTCTTTTTTTTATCTTTTTTTATTGATGCTATTCGCTGCGTTTTTGCCAGGTGCTGGCCCGGTTCTTCCCTGCACGGGCGGTGACCGTGGGCGTGTATGCAGGAGCCACATTGGGCCAATCTGCCTCGGCGGCCCGCTGATTATGAGCAAATAGGGCGCCCGTTTTTCGCTCGCGTAATGTGCCCACTGCTTATTGGCTACAGGCGGTCACGTGCCGCCGCTTCTGGACGTACCGAAGAGTGCCGTGCCCTGTTTTGCCCGGGTGCATCTGCTTGTTTCAAAATAGCGGAATATTATCATACGATCTGACGGAGCGCCCGTCTGATAGGCCGGAACCACGCCTGTCTTTGCAAGTACGAGGTTTTTCCCCGCTGCTCCTGAAGTTCACTTTTAGGCTTTAGACAGCCTGGGCTTCTCTGTGCAGGCCGGGCTTACCATGCACGAGTCTTTTCAGGATCCGTCAATATATTTTGCTCGAGGATTTTCATCCTGCTGTCCGTGGCGAGTTGCTATAATCCACCCCAGGGCTCGATTTTCAAGCTGTTTTTGGCGCAGAAAGTCCCAATCAGGTACTTGGGATACTAGCTGAAATGAGGGCGCGGGCCTATTGCTTGAGGCTATTCTCGAGCCTGGCCCACTGCCAGAAATCCGCTGTTTTTCGACAGAACATGTAAGCATACAGGTGAGATTGGGCTCGTTGGAAGGTTACATCAGTGGCCGCGTTGCACCCATAAATGGAGTAGCTCCAAGTGGCCCACTGAATGTCGGCTTGGGAAGAGCAAGAGCGTCGTTCCAATTTGTCGATTTGATTTCAGTTACATCGATCTTCGTGTTTTTAGTGGTCGTATGTTTCTGAGATTGACTTATTTCTTTTCTATTGGTCCTATGTTTCTAAGATTTACATACCTGTTTTCTGGTCGTCTTGCATTTATTAGACATAGTTCCTAGCGGTCTCATGTTTATAAATTGATCTTCATGTATTCTAGTGGTCTTACATTTATAAGACTGTCATCCCAGTAAGTGGCTGTCTTGTCTTTACTAGACCCTCATTTCTGGACTCCAGCAATTACTAGGTTCTCCTATTATCTAAGGTTGACTTTGAATTCCCCGCACCTTTTCTAGTGGTTGGCTTCTCAACTATTCGGTTGCAGCTTCTAATTTCCACTAGTTGACTCTTCGTGTATTCCACTATCTCTCTTAGTTCTCTATTTGCTTCTATTTTTTCCATGGTCTCCTTGGTTTTTCAAAAGTCGCCTGTATATTTTTAAAATGGTTTTGATTTTTCAAAAGCCGACTTTTTTCTACGATTTACTTTCATATTTCCCAAAAGTCGGCTTTTCATCTATACAATTATCCCTTCGAATTTTCAAAAGATGGCGTCCCATTTTCTTACAGTTTACCATTTCCCAATAAACGTCACAATAATCTAACTGACCCTCCAACGCCTTCTTGACGTATTTCTTAGGCCGACCCTGCCAGTTCTCATTTTGGTTCATCCAACTTCTGTTAGATGCGCGGCCCCAATACCCATTGCTTCTCCATACAAAAACATCAAATCCATAAATCAAAAATAGGCAGACAATAAACCGGACCCATGGCAACACCAGCCCCACCGTCAGAAACTGTACGGGGCTTGCCCAGGAATTTCGCCTGGACAGCCGGCACCGGGGGTTCGAGCCACACCTGCCTGAAATGGACATGTTTACATACTGCACACAGTAACAATGGCGGTCCTCCTATTGCCCCAACAACAATCCCTCCTGGGCGTAGCCGAACAAACGAAGGCGCAATGGCCCGGCGGCACATGATGCCGAAATCACAAAACCCGGTTTGGCGAGGCAGAAAACACCGCCCAGGGGCGGGTCACGTGACCACACAAGGCGTAGGCCGGGTGGCCAGACCCGGCCCCAGAGCCCCGGCTATTTGCTGACTTTATTCATCTGGCTTTGGCTGACAGCCCCACTTGCCCCATATTTTACATGGCCCGCAGCATCAAACCTGGCCGGGAAGACCATACCATATTCAGTGGGGCCACCCCTGTATCCACCCAGCCTAAAGGATTGGTCGGGCCGACCCTGCATTTGGCCCGGCCAATAATTACTGCAGCTGGAACGAACAACAGTGCTTCCCCGAAATTATGCTACATTTCGCTGTGTTTGCAGATTCTCGCATCCATGGATCGTCTCGCAAGACGGGCAAACCGAGCACCGCATTTCGCGAGATTAGACCAGACAGAGCTAATAGACCAAGATTCAATGACCCACTCATTTTGTTTATCTAAAAAAAGAAAGCCCCGCCAGCGCCGGCCCGTGTTCCAGGATCGTTCTCTCTGGCTTTTTTGAATCAGCCCAGAAAGCATGTATACAGACTGGCATCCTATCTGGACGGGACACCTCGGAAACACTCATCCACCAGTTTCCGATGACATGGCGCAGTCCTGCACACACGCCGGCTCCCCGAAGGCGTACAGAATACCCTGTATCCTGAAAACACCGTGTCTGCCGGAACCGGCCCCAGAAATGAGGCTTCTTTGTACAAGCCCAAAGCCCGCCGGCACAGGAAGCGAATTGCCGCCACCCGCCAGGGCATTCGCGTGGCCCGTCGCGTCGCCAGGCCTAGACCGCGTGGCCCACGAGCTCCTGCATACAGACGCGCGACCCCAAACAAGCGGCTCACATTTTTTCGCTCCTGGTGATTTCTGTTGTGATCTAAAAACGGCCTGGCAGACACCCGTTTTTATCCACGCTTCTAGAAGACAACAAAACACAAAGGAACCACGCTGGTCCCAGTACTAACAAACTATACACATCACTTCCACAACACCTTGCTTTTGTGCCCGTCGCTGCACATCCCGATTTTCTGCCCCCGCTTCCAGATCATCACGTCACTACCCGAGACTCCCGGCCCACAGACCGAACCCACAAAAGACCAACCCAGGACAACCACCCAACAAAGAAAAAGCGCAACCCCGGCCCGCATTAGGCAGACTCGTTTTTGCAGCCGTTTTTTTTGCTTTCCCAAGTCCTGCCAGAACACAGCCAGGCCCCTCGGCTCCCCGCTTTTCCGTGCTTAGCCGCCGACCCTCCCTACTCAACACCCCCCACCATGGGCCTCAAACTCTCTAACTTTTTGAGCGATCCCTTCGCCATCACCACCGTGTGCTTCGGCGTCATTGCCTGGATCATCGCCATAGCCGGGGCCGGCGCCAGCGGCTCGGCCACGTATCTCCGCTTCACGTGGTGGGGCCTTGTCTACGAGATTCTCTTGATCATAGGCATATTCCTCTTGTACCTCAACAACAACATCGAGTTGTACAAGTTCACGCTCGTGGGGCTCTTGTCCGTGGCCATCGTGTACACCACCAACTCGACCAACACGCTTGTCTACAACCTGAGCTCGGCGGCAAACTTGACCTGCGCCGCCGGCTGCATCTTGCTCCTGATGTTGAACATCTTGTGGGTGGTGTACTTCGGCGGCCACCCCGAGTCGCCCACAAACCAGTTCATCGACTCGTTCTCCACGAAGAACAACACCTACTCGCACGGCCAGCTCCCCTCGGCCACCACCAAAGTCGACGACAACGACAACGAATTCACCATGCCCACCTCCACCTCGCAGGCGTTCGCCGGCGACTCGAGGCAGTCGCATGCCACGCACAACAACAAGTCCGCGTACATGGCGTCGTCGCACTTGAACGGCTTGGAAAACTTCTCCAACTCCCACTTGAACAGCCAGAGCGCAAGAAACACCGTGTACAACACGGGCACTGGCGCCGCCAGCCGCATGGACGACGGCACTCTCGCGGCCCCCGTGACCACGTTCAGCTACAAGGCCAAGGCCCTCTACAGCTACGACGCGAGCCCCGAGGATGCCAACGAGATCTCCTTTGTCAAGGGCGAGATCTTGGAGGTGGATGACATTGGCGGCAAGTGGTGGCAGGCCAAGAAGGCCGACGGGCAGGTCGGCATATGCCCCTCGAACTACGTGAAACTTTTGGAGTAGGGCGCTGTATAGTAATTGGATTTATATTGAGGCACGCCGCGCCGCGGCACCCGCACGTGACAGGACGCAATCGACGGATGTCTGCCGACACAACTAGGCGAGACGCTCGAAGAATAGCACATTTGCTTCGCGGTGGATACAGTCCGAAAGTGCTCGCTGCATTCTGGCGCATGCTTGCTCCATAGCCCCTTAGCGCCGCGCACTGCAATGCCCAGAACATTCGGTGGTGGAGCGAGCAAAGCTTAAGCCAGAAAAAAGGAACTTTCTTGGTGAACATCAGTGACATGTTGTGCAGTGAACGGTTCGTTGCTCGCGTCAGCCTCCGCTGCCCCTGACCGCACCCCCGGATCTCCACCCTCGATGACGCGCCGTACTGCACCGTGCCCCGGAATGGCAACTCTACGTCAACGCGTCCTGCGTGTAGCGCCCACAGTGCAGCAAGGCTTCATGTAGCAACAACTTTTGCACCCAGCAGTTGCTTGGGAGCTGGGTATAAAAAGGGCCAGGTGGTAACGGGGTCTGAAGATTGATCCACTATCTATACAATTTGATCTCCATCCAATTGTTCTCAGTTGAAACTACTCACAATGGGCCTCACAGACAAAATCCACTCCAAATTCTCCAACCACAAGGATACCGATACGGACAAAAACGCCGGTGGGTTCGCTCACAAGCGCACTCCCTCGGGCCAGTTTACTGATTTGAGACTGGACCTGGCCGTCAAAGAGAGAGCTGCTCTCTACGGAGACGAGCTTGATGTAAAAGCGGGCCGGTCGATGGCCAACGATAACTTGATGAACCCGAAAGACGGAACTCGGTCTTTTGACGCGGGAAACCAAACTTCCTCGTTTGGAAAGGACTCGTATGGCAAGGACTCGTATGGTAACAAGCCCACTAGCACCACTGGCCACAATTCGGCAGCCTTTGGCACGGCAGCAGCTGGACCTGCTGATGTGGCGGGCGTCGCAGCCTCTGACCAGAAATTCGGAGATACCGAATACACGTCATCACACGCTAGATCTCATGACACTGGAGCTGCTGTCACAGGTGACCACAGCTCGACGGCGCGGGGCACGGACCTTCCCGGCTCAAGCTTTTCAGTTAGATCCCACGACCATGGCTCTGGCTTTGGAGCCCCCAAAACCACGTCGGCGCATCACTCTGGTGCCACCCCCCGGTCGAGTCTCCATGGTAGCTTTTCCACAGGAGACCATTCCTTGGACCAGAAGATATCTGAGTTGGACCCCAAGGACCAGACCAAGGCCAAGGAGGCGTTTGAAAGAGGATATAAGGAAGCCATCAAGAACCATGGCAAGTAACGCGCTAAGTTTATGTACGACTGTCAATGTATGTTAATGTTTTGGATAGACACTAGATGTTGTGGTCCTTTCTGACCGAGCACAGACAGACGCCGAAAGCGACTTTTGGAGTATGTGCTTGTTGATTAAAGTTCCTGTAGACACTATTCTGTTCGCACTTAAAAGGCTTTCATGGAGCCTGTAGAGGGCATAAATCAAATCAACATATTCTGAATTGATTTGCTGTCGACGTGTGGAATTTTGGGGATAAAATCTAGCAGGGTGTCAATCAATTCAACACGTTTGTATCGAATGTTTTGGCTGGCTCGCCCGAGCATACTTGTTGTACATATTCCACCGTGCATGTTTTGAGCCATCCGAATATTTCACTAGCATCTCAATCTAGAATTTTAGTTTTATGGTATCAGGTTTTTGAAAAAGAGGAACGAACTCTGCTCGCTGAAATGTTCTGTATTTGGCGCACTGAAATTAATTATATACATTGTATTTTTCGTTTGCTACAAGCGGGGAAGCCGGTCATGGGGGCTTTTTTGAGTTGGTTGCCGCATCTGGGTTCATACTTGAGCCCATCTTGCGATCGAACGTAAAGATGAAACTGAATGAGAGTTTCCGTATGTCATAACAAAGTATGTTGAGCTATTTAACTCCTTGACAAATGTTGTCCAAAGTTGTACCAACTGTCGCCAAAAAAACATGATCTGAAAAGTCACCTCAATCAAGAAAATTGGGAATTGAGGTAGAATATGGAGAAAACCTTACTATTCTCTAATTAAATCAGTGTCTTTCTCGCCTTCCTTGCGCCGTTGCCGGCATCGTTTTAAATGCGTTACTTTGTCATCACATAGAACCTATACCAAGTGTCCACTGTCAATGCAGCCAGTGCCCCAAGCCTCAAGGCAAAGTGGAATCGCCCGAGACAGAAGCGGATTGTGATGCGAAGCTGAAAGATTCATTTGCCTGGTTACACCCGGCAAATTCAAATACGGCCACTTTATTGTCTGGTTTTGCCGAGAAGGCCAAAGGAAGAGTTCATCGGTGGGCACCCGGGAATTGGGAAAGAGTCGCAAACGACCAGCTTTCCCAAGGCATCCACACAATTCGCAGAACAGTCCATTTTGAAACTGACGTCTCCAGGAGAGGGTTTTAGCCTGCGCTCACGAGGAACAGCTGCACTGCAACATGGTTTTGTCCTCGTCCACATCGCCCTGCACCATCCATCTCGCCTCGACGTCCTTCAACTCGGGCCCCCATTTCGAGGGGTCGTATGGATTGAAGGCCATCTTCTGGAGTTTGTGGAGGTATGCCAAGTCCTGGCCGTCGCTCTCCTCGGTCTTCTGGATGACCTCGCTCAAGATCCAGCTTCTGGGGAGGAACTGCGGGTTGAAGCGCAGGCTGACAGCTCTGTCGAGCCCGTGCTCCAAGGCGTACTCGCGGTACTTCGCGAGCCAGGCCTTGATGTCGGCCACCAAGTTCTCCGCGTCATGCGCGGATAGCTCGGCGGGCGAGTCCAGCAATAGGGAGCGGGCCAATGCGTCCGCGTCGAAGCCGGCGTCGGCTACGCCGGCGTCCTGCAAGGTGAGGAAGAACTTGTTGTAGTCGCACTGGACTTTCTCGAGCACGTCGAGCAAGGGCACGAGCAAGGCGTCGTTGAGCGCGTCCGGATCCGCCAGGGACACAAGCAGCGGGCGCAAGCCGAGGCGCAGGAAGAGCACCTCGACGTATTTCTTTGTGAACGCGTACTGGTAGATATCCGCGCCGACCTCGATGATCTTGGTGGCGCGCTTGACGATGCGCTCCTCGTCGTCCTTGGAGTAGGCGCCCCGCATCAACGCGTCGTCGTTGATCATGTGCTCGCCCGCGCCAAGGAGGTGGGCCATGTCCTCGCCCAAGCGCGTCAAGTTCCACCAGATGGCCGTGGGCGTGTTGGCGTAGCTGTAGCGCAGCATGTGGTCCTCGGAGTTGGGTGTGAACTTGCGGTCGAGGCGGTCCATGATGGCGAACGGCCCGAAGTCCATCAGGAGCCCGAGCACTGACGTGTTGTCCGTGTTGAGCACGCCGTTGAGGAAGCCGTACGCCTGCCACATGGCCGTGGTGGTCGCGTTGCGCACGACGGTCTCGTAGTACATGCGGTCGAAGTCCGTCAAGCTGCCCACCGAGCCGGCCGCGGCGAAGAAGTCGGGTTTGTGCGCCAAGAGCGCCGAGAAGCACGGGAAGCGTGCGCCGCCCGGCACCGTGAAGAGCTCGTCAATCACGTACTGGCTAAGCCGGCGCACGCCCTGCACGTCGTGGCGCCAGCGGTGCAAGTCAAACAGGCCGAGCCGCACCCACAGCTCGGCAAAGCGCGCCACCACCGCACACTTCTCCGCGCCGTGCCGCTGCGCGTACGTCTCGGGGAGATACGTCAACGCCAAGGCCCGCGTGGATGGGATGCCCACCGCGTGCAAGTGCTCGGAGATAATGTACTCGCGAATGGACGAGCGCACGACTGCCTTGCCGTCGGCGAACCGCGAGTACGGCGTCTTGCCCAGGCCTTTCAACTGCACCTCGTACGTGCCACGGTTGACGGCGGTGGCGCGCGCCGCGCCCGCGGGCTGGGGCTTGGGCACCTCGAACAAGTTGTGCACGCGGCCGTCGCCCAACTGGCCCGCAAACTGGCCGAACTGCCACCCGGCGTACGCCTGCGCGTACGGCACCGGCAAGCCGAGCTCCCGGAAGTTGCCGCCGTAGATCTCGCCGCTGACGATCTGCCGGAACTCCGGGTTCTGCGGCTCCAGCGCAGCGAGGCCCAAGTCCGCGAGCGCCTGCGGCGACGACGCCATGTACACGTACCGCTTGCGGGGCTCGGGCAAGGACCACGAGAACGCGCCGTCCTGGAGAATGCGGGGGGTGCGGCCCGCCTTGCCGCCGTTTTCGGCGGCGGCTTCGGGCGTGCGGATCTGGTCGTCCGCGGCCACGGCGCCCACGTAAGAGCACAGCTTGGGCAAGTCGCGGAGCGTTGTCATGAATCGGCCAGACGTCAACAAGAGAGCACGGTTTCTGGACATGAAGTGGTGCTGGCGAGGGGCGGTTTGGGTCGCCGGCGCGTGCACAAATATACGGGGAGGGATGCTGGTGGGGCTTGCCTAATGGTAGTCGAGGCGCCTAAATCGAGAGGAGCGCCGGAGGCAAAAAGAGTGGTTTTTGGATGGAAAAGAGGTGGTTTTTTGATGGAAAAAGGGGCGGCAGTAGGGCAGCAAGATGGGTGGTTTTTGGAGAGCAAATGGGTGGTTTTTGAATGGGCGAGATGGGCGTGTTTTGAAAGGGCAAGATGCGTGATTTTTGGGTGGAAAAATGGGTGGTTTTTGGGTGGAAGAATGGGTGGTTCTGGATGGAAAAAGAAGTGGTTGCAAGGCGGCAAAAGAGGTGGTTGTAAGGATCCTATGTATGTCTGGGGTGGTGCGCGTTAGTAGTGCGCGGACGGGCCGCGAAGTATGGAGCAATATTTGTTTGTATTTCTGCTTGAGTACAGGATATTCCAACTCAATGTCCTGTCCACAAGTGGTTCCCAACTGGTACAGTTGAGATATCGGATTCGACATGATGTACTAGCGTGTGGAAATAAACCTTTATTTAGGAAAAACTAAAACCACTTTTGTGTCAACTGACCTTCTAAAAAGATCTCTAGAGGGAATTCTCTTCCCTTCATATACTCGTCGTGCTATTTGGTTCCGGGTAAGTGGTGCGAACTTTAATGTCTCATTTGTCACATGATTAATTAGGGCTAAGCGTCTAGTTCTCACAATATTTTCAGTATCAGATTTCTCAATTCAAGTATGTACGATACTTAGGATCCTTAGAATACTATTATTCTCTAAAAACCCTTAAGGAAAAAAAGAGAAGGAAAAAACTCTCTCTTACGGAAGTTCATTTTCCCTTGCCACGTGAGGGGTGGCTACATGGTGAATACCACGTGACACATGGAGCAATATGGCGGGAATTGTTGCAGTCTATTTTGCACCAGGCGGGCGTTGGAACCATACGCAGTATGCGTACCAAGATCAATACCGTAGACAGGCCCTCTGTGAGTATAAGGACCCGAGTTGTAGGACCCACAAGTGTGGGAGTAAGGACAGAACGGGTGGTGAGGTCGCTGGAAAAACGGATGGGATCTGACCCGACTTCTCTGTCTCCTTGAGGAGCATACGAGTGCGGGTCCTAGTAGTGGTGGTCCATCCAGTCACTTTAGGAACGACCAAAGCAGATTTATAAATTTGGATGGGCGAAAACACAAGGGCAAAATTAGATGGGTGAAAACCCCACAAGAAAAACCAGTGAAGGAAGAAACCTGTCTTCCGTTAAATTAGCTGCACCATAGACGGCTTCGCACCAGACGCAGTACCCTGGCCGGGATATTAGGGCCACTGCGAACCCATAGAAATGGCGGGGTTCGGGCGTGGGCTGTTCTGGGCTGGAATTGCGGTTTTGGAACGCTGCTTGGGGCCGACCGCACGAAACCAGTCGTTGTTAGTTTTGTCTTTTGAATCCCACCAAAAAAAGGGAAATGGAGTGTCCTGCGTGGGCTATAGAGCTGGGAAGCAGGAACACCCGCACTGCAGAGGCCAGTATGACCATCTGCTCCTAGCCACCTCGACAACAAACGGGCATTTGTAAGGTGTCTACAAACCACTGCGGCTTTCCGAATGGGGTCTGACGGAATATAAGAAGCCAGGCCAAACAACTCCTCGTAATCTCTTGCCAAACGCCACTTATCTTCTTGAAACATGTAAGGGACTTCACGGGACATAGGATGTATTACTAATTGATCACTACTTTCTCCAAAACTCCACTGGAGTTCTATCCCACCGTTGTATACTTTTACTTGAAGTCACGTGATAGTAACCCTTGAAACTCGAGAGAATATTCTATGAAATGTTCAAAGTGATTTCTGACGGAACCCAGAATAATAGAAGGGCATATAGTCATACATGCGCTTACAGGGACCATCAGTGTCAAGCTGATACCGGGGTCCTTACAAAACGCCACTTAGTATCTTCTTGCCAAGTGCCACTTCGTATCTTGGTATTTTGGGCTTTGCAAACGCATTGTAAACTTCCAGAAACAGGTGCTTTTGCACTGCCAAAAAAATATAAGTAGAGCTTTGGCTGGGCCATGCGGCTGGCCGAGAGCGGTGGAGAGCAAGCGTCTTCTGCACCCACCGCAGCCAGTCTTTTTGAAAATCAGGGCATGTCTTCAAATGCCGTTTTGGGACATGCTCTGTTCTACATGGAATATGGCTGATACGCTGGTGCCACGCTCCTATATCCCTAGACCTGCGCCTACTATCTACAATGCTAGATAGCGTCCACTGTATCAGAGGTAGCTCGCGACTGCCAATGTCGTTCACGCAGAGCATTCCGCAAGCTTCGGCCGTCAGTGGCTATGTTTTACTGCTCTATTTATATCGAACAAATTCCAAAATCTGGTCCAGAAAAGCCTGCTGCGGCCCTGTACTTGAAATAGAACCATATGCCTTTTGTTTGCTGAAGTGGCGATTTGTTATGGGTGGTTTGATCCATGACTGATACCAGACGTACTCACCGTTCTAATAAAAAATGCGCTTATATTAAGCTGGTTCAGGCGGTGGTCTATGCCTAGCCAGGCTGAACTTGCTGACTGTAAAACCATTTGTATTCTTGGCGCTGGCCACCCTCAGAATTGTCCGACTGTTTTGTGTCGAAGAAATCACCAGCCAAAGGTGAAAGATTGTTTGCGCTTGAAATCATTCTTCAACTGCGTTCAGATGAACGCTACAGTCTATCGCCACGAAGGAGTCTGATTTTATGACCTCTCGAGATCCTTCACTGCTGGGAATCCACGTGCACGTCTCTCGACCCACAAGGGCCTTTGATACATGCAATATTTCCCGAAAGGCGAAAAGCACCGACTTGGCACTGTGAAATACAAATCCCAAGTCACACTTTGGCACAGCTAGACGAATACGACAATGCAGCATTCTGGAGAGTGTAATAAGTCAAAAAGCTGCGTGAATCTCTAGCCCAAACACGCCGTTGCATGTAGGGAGAATTAAGACTCAGATCAGAAATTATTAAGTTCTTGTCTCAATAAAGCCCCTCCTGCTGAAATCTGGCACATTCTTATATGGACTCCCTGTTATCTCAGAAAATAAATGGCCAAGCCGTAATTAACAAATAATAAAAAAAGAACATAAATATGATGCACGTTTTGAAAAAAAGTTTACTAGGTTTGTGTACGGAACCTCTATTACAAACACGTGAAATAACCCCTAACTACTCAGCCCATCAGGATTCTCACATGCAAAGAAAGACTCGCTCACAGGTACAATCAGTTATTTACAGTCTCTCCATCGACTTCCCGGCCCACTTTTCCAAATGTATGGCCCACTGCTTGCCCTCAGCTGATGAATGTATGCGCCGCAATATCGCATATGCTAACAACACTTGATACAATGAAAAATGAAGCTTTTACTTTTCTCACACCCGCAGCTTCAAGTAGGAAAAAGTATCGGGCTTGTTCGACCTTCAAAAAAGTCTTCCTACGGTTCTATGTATGGCGCTGGCGGGGAAAGTAGAGCAGGGCCTGCACACGTTCTGCCAGACCCAGCCGCAAAACACGCGTACTGACTGACCTCAGGCGTATCTTTTCAGTGTAGTCGATATCACGCCAGCACCACAAAACAAGCGGGGCTCGAATATATTGTATACATATAGACACATGATCACACGCCGAAGCAACTTAGCCAAATTGGCCGTGGCCACGACCATTGCGGTTCTTGTTTTTCTTCACGTGTCGCTGCCTGGACTGGTATACCCAGCAAGATTGTTCTCTGCCACGGGCGGTAGAAAGAGAGTTGCCTATGCCCGTTTTTTCGAAGACCTAGATAAATACGCCATAGAGGCACCACTGATCAAGCAAAAATACAAAGCAGAGCCGGCGTTGCAACACGCTAGCAATAATGCGGATTTCCTCTTTTCCAAGAAATATCTCGAAAATGTGCTTGACATCCCCCCGGAGACCGTGGAGGCGTTTAAGAAATCACACCACGGGGTCGTGCATGAGTTCATTCCCAACTTGCTCAAAAACGAAAAGATCGACACGTTCGGCGACATGCGGCGCCTGGACCGCGACTGGAATAGTTATGTTTCCTCGAAAGGCTATGTTTTGATTGGGGGCGGCAAATACTCCTGGCTCTCGTATCTTGTCATTCAACAGATTCGTGCTGCAGGCGGCCAGTTGCCCGCGGAACTCTTCATCCCTTCCTGGGACGAGTATGAGCCTAGGTTCTGTGAGGAAATCTTGCCTAGGTACAACGCCAGATGTAATGTGCTCGACACCGATGTGGCAACCACTCTAAAGAAGAAGTTCAATCTCGGCGGCTACCAGTTCAAAATGCTTGCCGTGCTCACCCTGAGATTTGGCAACGTCTTGTACTTGGACTCGGACCTTTTTCCCACCCAGAATGTGGAGTATCTCTTTGAGTCAAGGCTTTTCAAAAGCAAGGGGCTTATCTTGTGGCCAGACCACTGGTCGCGGACTACAAACCCAAAGTTTCACGAGATTGCCGAACTCCCCGTGGGAGAAAACAAGTTTAGATACTCGGAGTACGACAAAAAACACCCCGACGAGTCGGGGAAGTTGAGACCCTTGACTCTGTATACATTTGCAGACTCCAATTTTCATGACTTTGAAAACACGTTGCCCAACCCATCGTCCGAAGCAGGTGTGCTCTTGATCAATAAGACTTCGCACGTGCGCACGATGCTTCTTGCTTTATACTACAACATATATAGACCGGAGTACTACTACCCATTGATGACACAGGGAGGTGCTGGCGAGGGTGACAAAGAGACATTCATTGCTGCCGCAGCTGTTCTCGGCGAGCCATACTACCAGACGAAGAAACAGTTTAAATGGGTGGGGTATCACAGCCAAGACGAGAACAAGTTTGTTTCGAAAGGCTTGGGGCACTACGATCCCGTGACTGCTACTGAAAACAGCGAGGATGCTCCCATTGTGTTCATGCACTGCTCTTATCCAAAATACTACACGGACTGGATTTATAACAACCATGACCTTATCTACAAGGACGAGAAGACGCACATTCGTATGTACGAGTCTATCTACGAGAACTTGGGCTACGACTTTGACCTAAGGCTCCAGCAGATTTTCGTACAGGGTGTGTGCAAAGATTACTACAAGGATGGCAAGGCGTCTGATTCAGGCTTGTTGCAGGAAGACGAATGGGCAGGTGCATTTTTGGCATACATTGGGTCGGACTCAGAGAACAATGAAAAGAGGTGCAGGGAAGTGTTCATCCCTCATTTAGAGTGGTTGAAAAAGACCACGCCTGTCTTTGCTAAGAAAGAAACCATTTAAACTGCGAGAAAAGGGGATGCATATACTGTGAGGGACTTCTCTACATAGCTCCCCGGCTGACAAAAGAAGGGCTCTCGCCTTTTGAAGGGCTCCCGAGACACTTGAATAGATCCCCGTGTGAGGAAACTGTACCCATAAATACAAGGGCTGGCCCAAAACTTGCTTTTACTTAGACATTTAAGCTTTCTCCCCAGTGCATGTCTGTTAGTTTGCCAAATCGTTGTGATCTGTCCAAAATGAGCGGTCAAATTCCAAACTGGAAATTTGCGAGCTTAGCCCAATTCAGTCCGATTTCAACCACAGACACATCCATCTTGCAAGCGCCATTTTGAATTCAGGCCAGCAAGCTATCGATTCTATGTTGAAGTCTTCATCTCCAGAAAGTGAGTCACGTGCGACCCCACAAGCGTGCGCACGGCCCACTGTCATATTCCATCTTATCGCGAGCCACGAGTCGCTATCAACAGCAAATCATATCCAAAAATGTCGGTATTGAAATCGCCCCTTGCGCAGAACTTGAAAATTGCTTTGATTCAATTGAAGGCCAGCGCCGACAAGGCAGCCAACTTGGCCAAAGTCGCCCGCTACATTGACACTGCCGTGGCGGAGTCCAAAATCGGTAAGTTGGACGTGGTCATGTTGCCCGAATGTTTCAATTCCCCCTACGCCGTGGACAAATTCCGCGAGTATGCCGAGCAAATTCCAGGCGGCGAAACCACTACTTTCTTGGCAGACTTGGCTAGAAAGCATGGACTCTTCATCGTGGGAGGCTCAATTCCAGAGCAGGTGACATCCACCGACCAGATCTTCAACACTTCTTTGACCTTTGATCCCCTGGGCGCCATTGTTGCTGTGCACAGAAAGGCGCATTTGTTTGACATTGATATTCCAAACGGAATCACGTTCAAGGAGTCCCTCACGTTGAGTGCCGGAGACAAGGCCACGGTCTTCAAGATGGGGGACTTTGGCAATGTTGGCTTGGGAATATGCTACGATATCCGGTTTCCGGAGTTAGCCATGGGCGCGTCCAGGGCGCCCAACAACGCGTTTGCCATGTTTTATCCGGGCGCTTTCAACACCACCACGGGCCCCTTGCATTGGCACCTTCTTGCACGTGCCCGTGCCGTGGACAACGAGGTGTTCACTGTGTTGTGCTCACCTGCACGTGACGTCGGCGGCTCTGGGTACCAGGCTTATGGCCACTCCTTGGTTGTGGATCCTTCTGGAAGAATTGTGGCCGAGGCAGGGGAGGGGGAGGAGGTGTTGTATGCGGAGCTTGACAAGGAATTGCTTCCTGCGGCCCGCTCAGGCATCCCCGTGCATTACCAGAGAAGATACGATATTTACGACGATGTCACAAAGAGCTTGAAGGTCTCGGACAAGTAGGAGAGTGCAAAGCGGGGCAGGTTTGTGCCACTCCGTTCGGGAATCAAGTGCCGAAATATACGCTGTGTAACAACTGTTGAGGATGTGAACTTTCTTCATGCGCTGGACTTTAAAGAGAATTCTTAGTTTGCGGGCTCGACGATGCGGGGAGCAAACATGAAAGACTATTTTTTGCTATGATGACCCCGCAAGAGTTCCATTTCCGCCAACTACAAAAGCGGGTGTTCTTCCTGGTGACAATCTATTCTTTATCCTGAATTCTTGTATCATCTTATAGTTCCGTATAGTGAATGTGCATCAATCGTCCAGCTAAGAAGCTCCGTAATATCATGTGTTTTGAATGGACAATGGCCGTTCTAGGAGATGCGTATCACTAATCTGGTGTTGTCAGTGAATGATTCGAGGACAGTGGTGTTCGGGTCATCGGGAAACTTCTTTTCAAGTCTCATAGACAAAAACATATCCAGAGCTCCTGGGTGACGGTGGCAAGCAGAACAATGATAAGCCACGCCCCATTTGGATCTCATACATCAGGGTAAAATGGGCATCATGATCCACCAGGGAAGTATATCGTCGTGTCTTGTGTCAATATAACAATCGTCGAAAAACAAAAGAGCAAGAAGCAGTACCCAGGCCCAAGTCCCAAACAGTCAAACGAACTTGCACCCAACAACACTGGTCTCAGTAGACTCGATCTTTGGCTGATACGAATGCTGTGTGGTTCCAGTACCATACACTTCATATCAGGCTCCTCATACTAGTACCCCAATTAAGCCCTGCCATTACCGGCTCAGAGAACTGGCACATGCCATGTCTTCTCAGCCCATGCTGCGCGGTACGAACCGGCTCTCGATGAATTGTATCAGTCTAAATTTCATCTACACACGTGGGATTTACGACAAAAACGAGTCGAGCTCCATCTCGCCGTCCTCCTTCCGCTCCACAAACTCCTGCAAGACATCCATGAACTCAGCCGGCTTTTCGCTAATCACCCAGTGGCCAGCCTCGATGTCCCTGACCTCGAACTGCGGGAAGTAGTTGGCAATGTCTGCAATTGCCTCGTCCGGCACGTAGGGTGAGTTGGTGCCTCGAATGAACAAGGCAGGCCCCTTTGTCCACTTGGCCACGTGATGGTCGTAGGGCCAGTTAGCTATGTTCCCCTTGACCACGGCATTGGCGATGGTTTCAAGCGGGATTTTCGACCGACACACATCGGTGCGCAGCCCCGACCTCACGTTCTTCAAGATGAACTGGCGGATTTCCTTGGTGGGCTCGACCTGCGCCAAGTCCGCGTCCACGTCGCTCATTTTCGTGCGTTTTTCCACCTCGAGCGAATGCCTGAGCTGGCGGATGTACTTGGGAAACAGCAGCTGCACAGCAAGCGTGGCCACAGGCACGTTGTCTACAGAAACAACCATTTTAGGAAGGTCGGGCCGGCGCAAGGCCACGGCCATGGCGGTTTTGGCACCCATGGAATGGCCCACCAAGACGGGCTTGTGTTCGAACTTCTGCTCGTCCACAAAGCGCTCCACGTCGGCGGCTAGCGCCGGGTAGTCGAGTCTGTCAAAATGGGGCGAGTCGCCAAAATTACGGAGGTCGAGACAGAAGACATCCCGGCCCATGCTGTTTGCTAGTTGCCTAGCTACGGTCCTAGTGTTGGAACGCAGCCCAAAAATGCCATGGAGAAAGACTAGGGGCGATTTCGAAGATTCCGGCTTGTTCTGCGGCTCGTGCTTATCGAACTCTAGGGGCACGGTTTTGATTTCGAGGGAGAGAGCGTCGCCTAGATAGTCGCCCTCGTTCACCGAAAACTGGTACGAGCGGGCCCAGGCCCTTGGCCGTAACACCGCCCGGTGCACGTGGCTGGAAATCCCTGCTAGTCTATTGAAATACATGCCTTTGTATGTGGATCTTCTATCACGGTCTGTGGTGGCGAAATGAGAGACGAGGTGGTTGAGTATGTAATTATGTAGTAGATGAAGCGCGCGCCTCGTACTAGGCCTACCAATACCATTCATTGGTGTAAGTATGGGAACTCCATGACAAAATATGTTTAAATTGAGTCAATTATAATTTATGAAGAAAGAGCGAGGGTTGAAAATCTGAAGTTTGGGGGAATTGGAAAATGCTAGTGCTGGTCCTTCCCAAGGCGTCAGTTGATTCTATTTCGCTGTGAAATCGAAGTGCTCAGTTCGCTTCTGAACTACTGAGGACCGCTGTCTTAGCCAGAAATAAAGTATATTCGTCAGAAAGATGTGTTTGAGCGGAACCGCGATTTGGGTTGCCAAAAGAACACACCCACCAAGGACACAAGGCTGCGAGCTGATGAACGCATATACAGATACAAAGATATCGGACTACATATTCTCGAATTGAATCATATTCTTGCCTATGATAAATATGAAGCCAATGCTGTTTGGAGATCTCTCGAGACTTATCAGCAGGGGCAAGCACAAGGTAGCTACCTCCAGCTTCTGTTTCATGCATTTATAGGACACTATCGAGTATGTCCTTTCAAGATATAGCTTTTGTGGCTGATAATTGCTGAAAGTCTGTAGGGCGAAGAATGCTTAGCCATCGATAGTTCTACAGAGTTGGAATCTTCAGGTCTCCGGCTCATAAAGCTTGCACTACAGAGCCAAAGCAGGAAACTATTCGCGTTATTCTGGATTTGGGAGTTCTGAAAAGCCGCGATACTCGAGTCGCCAATGATAATTTCAAAGAGCAGTTTGGAAAAGCAGGATTGTCTTGCCAACCGAAGCAGAAGAAGCCATTACCATGCGTGGTTAGAAAGCTTTGTAAGAGGCTCAAATATTGAAAAACTCATGATTATTAAAACTGTTCCGAGCAGTTTGGAGGTCGGCGCTGAACCGTTAGGTCTGGAGAACTATCTTGAGAGGCAACGATGTTTTTATTGGTTCTTTAATACTGGAGTGTCAACGTGAATGAGATACAAGTAGCTCTTGAATCAAGAGGTGCCCCAAAACCTACGAACTGATTGGCAGCCCAATAAATGGTCAGGTGAATAGACGCATGAAAAGATCTTACCTACTCTAAACTAGAAGCTTGGGTATTTGCTTGGAGCCTACTCAATTTCATAAGAAAAAATGGGAATGAAATGAAAGACAGTGACTCCAAGGATTTTTGTAAGAAAAACATGAAGGGTGTAAGAAAGATCACGAATAAGCTAGCATTGGGTCTTGGAGAATAGACACAAAAAACAAGAGACGACGAGGTTGAAATGAAGTGAGAGGGATAGCCATCATTTTCATTCCAATATCCACTGCATTAATCTTCCCAATTACCTGTTAGGGAAGGTCAAGACAGAATTGGCTATATTTCCTGCCTGGGTTCCTAACCTAATCTACTGATCACTTTAGAGGCATCAAGTCTGAACATCTCTAGACCCAATACACGATGCTAATGGAATCATGGAGCTGAGACTTGTGTTACCCAACGTATGAGACATATTATAACTTTCATTGTGCAAAGTATTCGATGTAAAAGGGCAAGCGACAAAGAAGAAGTTCAAGACTGACATACCTTGAAGGCTTATATTCACAAGCCCTGTTCACAAAAGTTTGACTGAGTTCCGCTCACTCTAATGAAAAAGACGAACAGAAATCCTAGTTTGTGACAGCCGCAGCCTCTACCCTAGATTGCCCTCTGGTAAACTAGAGCAGTGCACGATTTGGGGATGGCGCAGCAGGCTTGTTTGAAACTGAGGCAAATTTGGTTAAGTTTATAGTCCAGCTGGGAAGCTGTCTTTTCTGCCAGACCTCTTTTTTCCTTCTACTTTAGATGCGGAAACCGGGCTCTTCTGCCCACTCCTGCTTTGTGACTCCTTTCGTTCTCTTTCAATCCTGTTTCATCCATTCACCACTTCTTTTCCACGTCTTCTTTACTTCCGCTTCGTTTTCGCTAAGAAAATGTCTCATTCTATAATACTCAAGATCCTAACTAGTTTAGTACATTCTTCTTGCTGTCTGGCTGAGAGTGTCGAATACGAACCAGCCACCCTTGGTTTCTGAGTGCTCAAAGTTTTGATGCAGCAGAGAACGTCTTTCGCCCACTTCCCCAGTCGAGACCATATTCGAGCCTATTGAGGCACGTCGGCATTCGACCGATTAATGAAAATAGCACACAACGCCTTCAGGGCATAGATCAAGACTGGCTTCATGCTGCAAGACTGGCAAAAGAACAAAAGCATCGGATTGACCAGCAGAGCGGAAAGCCGGGTATGTGCCCCAAATCACAACCATGGAGTGGTGAAGATACAGTGTGTTTTTCTCCCAGCTGGGGTGTGAAGCAGGCAGTAGCCACCATGTCGCATGCACGCCCACAGTAATGGGGCGAAGCATGGGCCAGTCCAAGATGCTCACGAGCCAGGCGAATGGAGTACAATACAGGTGAGATTCGACAGGGCCTTGGCCTGCTGGCTTCGCAAGCAGATATTCAAGTAACCAGCACAACGGGGGAAACGCCGCACCTTCTGCCTTGCTCCCCCAGCGCCGCTCCTCACACCCAGGACCTCCAAGCTCGCCGGCTACAGGGCCTGCAGGGCGTCCGGCCCGTCCTTCTTGTCCTCGTGGATCACGCCCCAGCCTAGGCGCAGGTTCAACCTCTCGTACCTGGCGCGGTCCTTGTCACTCACACTCGGGGTGATGGTCGAGAGCGCGGCCAGGAAGTCCGCGGCCGTGACCACTATGTGGTCGTCGCTGGCGTTGTCCACGTAGAAGCCCAGGTCGTCCAACTCCTGCACCTGCTGGCCGAAGAAGAACTTCTTCTTCAAGGCCGACACGCCGGCCTCGCGCACCAACAGCGAGAGGTCTGCGCCGGAGAAGTTGCGGCAGCGGGCGTCCGCGGCCACGGCACGCAAGTCCACGTCCGGCGCAAGCGGCGTGTGGTTGGCGGCGGTGAGCGTGCGGAGGATCTCCAGGCGCTCGTCCGCGTCGGGCAACTCGATGTAGAGCGTCTTGTCGAGCCTGCCCGGGCGGAGCATGGCCGGGTCGATCATGTCCGGGCGGTTGGTGGCGCCCACCACGAAGATGCCCAGGCGGTCGTTCAAGCCGTCGAGCTCGGTCAAGAGCGTGTTGACCACGCGGGCACTGGACTCCGAGAGCGAGGCCGTGCGGCGCGGCACCAACGCGTCCAACTCGTCGAAGAAGATGATGCACGGGGCCAGGGCCCGGGCCCGCAGAAACACCTGGCGCACGGCGCGCTCGGACTCGCCCACGTACTTGTTCAAGAGCTCGGGGCCCTTGACGGAGATGAAGTTGGCGCGGGACTCGTTGGCCACGGCCTTGGCGAGGAGCGTCTTGCCGCAGCCGGGCGGGCCCCACATGAGCACGCCGGCGGGCGCGCTGATGCCCACCTTCTGGTAGAGCTCGGGCTTCTTGATGGGCTGGACGACGCACATGTGCAACTCCATGCGCACGCGGGCCAAGGCCCCGACGTGTTTCCAGGTGACGTCCGGCACCGTGGCGAAGCCCTCGCGCTTGGCCGTGGGCTGCACGGTGGGGAGCGCGGTCTTGAAGTCCTGGTAGGTGATGCTGAGCGGCGCGAGCTGCGCAGCCGAGAGCGGGCCCGGGTGCCGGGCCAAGAAGCGCTGGATGGTCGAGAGCTGCTGCTGCTGGGGCTGGCGCTGGAACACGTGCAAGACGTCGGGCGGGGTGTCCACGTCCATGGCCTCAGGATGGGGCTCGTCATTAGGCATGGCCTCAGAATGGGTATCCTGATTAGGCATGGCCTCAGAATGGGTATCGTCATTAGGCATGGTCTCAGATTGGGTATCCTGATTAGGCATGGCCTCAGAATGGGTATCCTGATTAGGCATGGCCTCAGAATGGGTATCGTCATTAGGCATGGTCTCAGATTGGGTATCCCGACCAGACATGGCCCAAGATTGGGTATCCCGACCAGACATGGCCCAAGATTGGGTATCCCGACCAGACACGACCCCCGATTGGGCATCGAGATTGGACACGACCCCCGAATGCACATCCCCACCAGCAACGGCCGCACCCCCCCTGGCGCCCGCCTCCTCCTCGCTCATGCCCTCGAAAATGCGCTTGATGGCCGCGATGCCCGCCGCCGTGACCAAGCTCTTCAAGTCCGCGCCCACAAAGCCCGGCGTCATCTTGGCCAACTCCCAGTAGTTGAAGGCGTCGCCCGCCTGGAGCTTCAAGCCGGCGGTCATGGTGCGCAAGATGGCGCAGCGCTGGGCCTCGTCCGGCACGTTCAAGAGGATCTCGCGGTCGAAGCGCCCCGCGCGGCGCAACGCCGAGTCCAACGCGTCCGGGCGGTTGGTGGCGCCCACCACCACCACGGGCTTGCCGCCGGTGTTGCTGAGCGTCAACTCGTCCATGGACGTGAGGAGCTGCGCCACGATGCGCCGCTCCATCTCGCGCTGCGCGCCGCCGTCGCGCTTGGGCGTGATGGCGTCGATCTCGTCGAGAAACACGATGCACGGCGCCAACGCCCGCGCCTCCTCGAAGATGTCGCGGAGCTTCTTCTCGGACTCGCCGGACATGCCGGACACCACGGACGGCGCGGACACGCTGATGAACGGCACGCGGAGCTCGCCGGCCAACGCGTGGGCGATCGTGGTCTTGCCGCACCCGGGCGGGCCGTAGAGCAAGATGCCGCGCGGCGGCTCCACGCCCGTGGCCACGTAGATTTCCGGATGTAGGATGGGCAAGCCCACGAGCTCCATGAGCTGCGTGGTCACGGCCTGGAGCCCGCCCAACGCCGCGAGCGTGGTGCTGGGCGTGCAGTGCTCGACCTTGGGTTTCTTGGTTTTGCCGGGCGCCTTGGCGTCGCGGGCCCGTTTGCGTGCCTCGGGGTGGGCAGGCGTTTCGTGGGACGTTTGATGGGACTTCCCAAGGGCAGAATTTTCATGGCCAGACGTGTGCCCCCCCAGCGGATGGTCCGCTGCCCCAACCACATTGTCTCCAACTGCACTGTCTCCAACCACATTGTCTCCAACCACACTGTCTCCAACCACACTGTCTCCAACCACACTGTCTCCAACCACACTGTCTCCAACCACATTGACCCCTGCCCGGCCACTGCCAGACCGGCCCCACATGGCCACCACCAGCCGGTTCAAGTCGTTGGAGTCCACCACGTCCATGAGCCTGCTCTCGGCCTCCGGGTCGGCGCCGAGCTCGGCCTCCGGGTCGGCGCCGAGCTCGGCCGCCCGTTGCATGGCATGCTCGTGCTGCACGCGAATCACCTCCGCCAACTCCTCGGCCTCGTCCTGGCGGCACATCCTCAACACCACGTCCACGGACCTCTCCAACACCGCGCGCTTGGTGCGCCGGAGCAGGGCGTCGTGGGATTGCACGTACAGCATCACGTCCAGGGCCCGGAGATCTCGGGCCAAGGCGATGTGGAGAAGCAGCTCCGGCAGGCCCGGGGCACCCGCCCGGTTCTGCTCCGTTTGTTCCTGGAGAAGCTCGTGGAGCAAGTCGTACACTTTCTGGTCGACGGCCTGCGACAGCGCCGCTGCGGATTTGGGCATGCTGGTGCTTTTTGTGGTTTGGAGGGAGCCGGTGCAAAATGCGCCGGAAGATGGGCATCGCCGCAGTCACGTGCGGCGGCGGGCGCGTCACGTGACGCCGGCCGGGCCACGGGTCTTGCCGGCTTGGGGTTCGGCTTTTGGTTCGGTTTTTGAGTCGGCTTTTGGTTCGGTTTTCGAGTCGGCTTTTGGTTCGGTTTTCGAGTCGGTTTTTGGTTCTGTAGGTCCGATTTGTGGATCTGCAAGGGTTTTGGCGGGTTTGGCTATGGTGGGGCGCTTCTGGTTTGGTGGATCGGGCGCTTCTGGAGGTCGCGCCTGGGACGCATGGTTCATGAATCATGTCACTTATTTTCTATTTGAATATGATAGAAGTTTTATTTTAATCCTTGTAGACACCTATTAGAACATGTGTGTAATAGGTGTTTTCTGACCGTAAGGGGGGCATACTATAAAATGTTAATGATAATTGTAATGGATTAATTCATAACTATTAGTGTTGATAAGGATTGTATTATATAATAAATGGGATTTATAGGTCATGAATAACCACAGATATGCACAGACATACCCATATAAATAATGACAAATGACAAACAATAAAATTGACAAATGGAATGGAATGGAAAGGAATGCACAAATAAAATCAAAATTAGATTTAAATCTAAAAACCTGTTTCCGGCTCAATGCTTGTAGATGTTTGAAACCCCCTCTTTAGGAAGTCCTCTATTAGCAAATATTATCTTCGATAAACTCGATAAATTCCTAGAAAAATACTGCGAAAGCTCAAGAAAGGAGAATACCGAAAGAAACCCGGAGTATAACAAAGTCTCCGAGAGTATGCTTTTATAATAAGCTAATTATTCACTGGATTAACAACGAAACTTATTTCCAAAATAAAATTACTATTAATTTACCATGCCGTTTTCTGTTTTAGATGCAATATAATTTGAAAGTCTAGCTATATCTGAATTATTATATCACCTCTATGAAATAAGACGTGATGGCACGTCCTTTCTTTTATAAGCGCTACTGGCATTTCAAGAAGCATTACCTGTTCTAAGCTTATGTCTAACTTCAGAATCTTACGAATGTGATGCATTTCGATATTGGTAGTAGACTTACAAACTCTGTTGAAAAAGCCAAAAGTTAGGATCATACACCTGAAGAATCTTATAATTTATAAGTTCTAGAAGTAGCCTTAGTGGCATATTGATGTAGATTTGTAGCTATCTTAAGTTTGATACCAGTTACGGGATCCTTTAGGTCAAAACCAAATTCACCGAAAGCTTTTTTCATGAATCTAAGTTTAAACTTGTTTAATGTTAAAGCACAGCATTGTCTGAGTATTCAAAATACTCGATGTAAACTAGAATTACTTAAAAATCCCTGTATCACGAAATTAGGTATTCATTCAATATAAAAAGGAGCCTTACCTGAACGGATTAACATCATTTTAAATGAAGCAGAACCTATAGCCCCAGTAATATTATAAGAATTCATAATACAAGTTTCAATATCCTATGAACCTATAGAGAGAGTATTAGACAAACATTTACTAAATACGGTTGTTCATTAAATCTAATAATAGTTAAGACATATGTGAAATTAATAACAGAAGACAAACCTAAATTACCTACAACTTTTAATAATAAGCCCCCCTATATCCTCCATCGTATTAGATAGTCTTTCGGGTTTTAGTTTTATAAATATTCGTATGATATTATGGTTGTGTTATTATATACCCTCCAGGGGTAATAAAAGTATATGATATATAATTTGTATTCATTTACATATGATATGCATAAATATAGATATAGATTAATAAATAGGTAATATATTAATATAGGTTAATTATGATACAAGTTAAACCAAAGTAATGTAAAGATAAACAAAGACATTTAGAACACTTTGCCCTCTTGTTATTTATTATCGGTTATTTAAATTAAAAGTATGTATAGTACATACTTGCATGGCTTTAAAATCCCTCGGTGACAGCTTTTCGATTTGTGTCGAAGGGTGTGTGGAATGTGGAAATTATCTCAGTGTATGGACCTGGCCTAGGCTTGGCTTAGTGGTCTAGGCTTGGCCGTAGTAATTTTATTCAGTTGAACAAAGGTGAATTATGAATGAGAGCGGTGCATGTATAGTTCGGACTCTTGTGATTTAGCTTTATTATCGTCACTGTCCCGCTTATTAGATATGTATTTTTGTTGTCCCGCCTTTACTGTCACGCTTTTTGAAGTACATGATCTAAACTGTCACGCCTTTTGAAGTACATCATGTTGACCGTTTAGCTCTTGAAGCTATACATTTTTGCTCACCGCCTTTCGAAGTACAGCATCTTTGCTGTCCCGCTTTTAAGCTATACATCATCTTTTTTTATGGCTGCTAGATTGACAACACAGTCTTCCATCAAGATATGCCTACACTTGGGGAATCGACATCTTCAATCATCTGTTCAGAGGAGCAAAACTTTACAATGTATACCTTCAAGATCGTGCCAAGTGTCGAAACTCGGCCCCCTTCTGTTAGTCACGGCCGAGACGGTCCTCTTAGCCCGTGCCTGTTTACGTACTGGAAATCACGTCACCGATTCCTATAAGTCTCCTGTAGTAGTCGCTTCTACTCGGATGGTCGGAGCAGACATAAAGAACTTTCTGCGACTCGCCACGCCTTCAAGTCTTTACCTTGAAAATCGTGGTGCTGAACCGATTCAATTTCTCCTAAGAGTTGTCGGCCGGAGCCAACATTGCACTCAAACCCATGGGCTTGGCTAATATCAGCCCTTGCCACCAGCTATTGGATGCTTCGCAGATGGTCTAGATATAAATGTTTCGCAGCTGTAGTAAATATGGACTAGCAAAGCGTCTGTGGCATCTCCGTTGTTGTGGATTTGGTGTGCAAAAATGACATCCAATATTTTGCGTGGTAGAGTCCAGGGGAAACATGTTCCGTAGTTAAGGTGTTGAATGGACGATGGATCATATCGCTTCAACCATTCTTCCGTATACAAGGCTTTCCAAAAGTCTTTCCACGGGTTATTTTGGCGGATCCCGGGACATGAGCGAGCAAAGCGCTGTGGCACTATCGAAAGTTGCTTTTCTTGCTTTCTGTGGCTCAAGTATTTGAACGTCTCCTTAATAATGGCATTTTTGTTTGTACCAGCCGTGGTGTCTTTGCTAGCATATACTGGATCTGCTCATGCTTGTATCTTGAGCTGTCTCCAGGTGTCAGTATTGCCCTTGTCCTAGGGACGCTTCTTTCCACACTTCGAAATAAGCGATTTTGGTTTTGAGAGTCCAATCCAAGTGTGTGAAAAATTGACCTGTTTTGTCAAGCAAGAAGCTATACCATTCTGATGTGGCTATATTTCGTAGCCTGGCTTGCTCGTTGCTTGATATTTTATTCATTTGAGGAAGCATTTGTATTCTAAACTAGTGAACCAGCTATCGCTGTTCTGAAGGGTATCTGTCAACACCATTGCCCGAAGCACTCTAAGTTGTGTAGTTCAATATGGCCATAACCTCTGTTGCGAGGTCTCGCAGTTTTGACTCGTGGATTCCTGGGAACATTGCTTGATTTTCGAAATCATTTTTGACAAGTTCTTGAGTGGTCATACAATGAATGAAAATTTTGTATACCGTTTTGGAACTGACATAGATGTTCGTCCCTAATACTCGGCTAAACAAGTCAAGGCCCTGATTCCCCAGCTGTCAGGTTTATTGGGTGCATCATGGCTTTGAGCATGGCTTCAGAACATCTCTGCCGGTGGTGGCGTTTTTGCTTTATGTCAAAGGCTGTGTGGAAGGTGAAAACTAATTGATAATATTATTAGCAAATGGATAAAGTAGCCTAGGCTTAGTTTTAGTGGTTATATCCAGGTAAACAAACAATTATGAATGAACGCCTGGCTTATATAGGTTCAGGCTCTTATCATTTAGCTGTATATCACCGGTACTATCACCCCTTTTTTGAAACTACATATCATCTTTACTCTTTTTGAAGCTAGACAACGTCTTTACTGTGACACCTTTTTGTAGCTTCATTATTTATGGCTGCTGGATTGACAATACATTTGTTTTGGTAACAGAAACTCAAGATATGCGTAAATTCGAAAACCATTTTGCTGTTTACCGTTTAGTTTTACTACATTCGTATAGCTTCATTACATATTACTACTTCAATTCAACCGTTGTAAAACACAAATCCTCAAATGCCAATCAAACGAACGCTCTTGTATAAATTTGATAGCAGTTATTGGTCTGCCTTTTAGACGATCTATTTTGAGCGGTTGGGAATACTCATCAGTCACGTAAATTCGACTATATTTTGCGTAAGAAACTCGCTTATTTCTCGGAAAATAGAGATCTAAGCACATCAAAAGATCAGACTCGTTTACTCCTAAAAATCCCAAAATGAAAGTTCCGAGGTTGTCTCGCGGTAACACCAAGCCAAGGCAGGGTACTCAGAATGCTGCAAATAGCCAGCTTTGCCCACAAGAAATTATAGGTCCATCTTGGAGGCAGCCGATTCGGCATAATAGACAGGACCCCATCGATACTGCAAGAGTTCAGCGCAAATTCACGGTCCTAGTCCAAAGAGGACCCTCACTAATTTTAGATTTGGCTTTCGCGTTCTCGAAATTGGTCTTGCCCCAGCACGCACGCCCCAGCACAACATTGCTTTTTGATTTCTTCCAGCAGCAGAGTGTTCCAGAAGATCCGCCACCCGGCCCATAACTGAGACAACAGTTGCTTTTTCGTCATCGCTGTGTGTGTTTCAACAGTCTACGTGAAGCTTAAACGTCATAGTAGACGATTGCTCTTGCAGGGCCATGACGAGTGCATGCGCCACGCGCAGCAGTGCCGTGCTACATGCACACCGTACAGAGAATGCTTGCTACCGGCCCATGTATAAAAGGCTGGACAGTCCCGTGCAATTCCACCTCTTCATTAACACAAATATTACAAATAACACAATTAACACATCATGTCTGACACCGGTAGAAAATCTTTCACTGACAAGGCCCAAGAGGCCATGAAGCCCGAGTCTGAGAAATCGTACTTGGAGAAGGCCAAGGAGGGTGTCACCAATGCTGTGGATGGTTTCGCAGCCAAGAACGTTCCTGACTCCGAGAAGTCTTTTGGTCAAACCGTGGCTGACAATGCCAAACAAGGCAAGGACGACGCGAAAGACTCCGTGGACCAACAAGGCGCCACTATTGGCGAGACTGCACAAGAGTACGTGGCAGTTGCCAAGGAACAAGTTGCCAATGCTGCCAACTACGTCTCTGGAGTTGTCACCGGTGCTACGGAAGGTGCCAAGCAGGTGGACTCCGAGAAGAAGTAAACATGGAAGCTGGGCTTCTGCAACTTATATAAGCAAATGCAAATGTGATAGATAATTTGTGTACGCGCAACTGTAGACTGAAAGTGTTTTTTATCTCTTCGTGGTTCGAAGCCGCTTTCGATTGGCCCCGTATGAGAGTGCCTCGGTTGTACACGCATCAATATAGACAAACGACGGATTTTTTATGGAGTGTTTCACGGAGGCAAAACCCTTTAATTCTGAAACCAAAGATTATAGATTACGGCAATCACGAAACCCACGTGCTATGAACTTAGCCGTTGAGTGCTTCGCAACCATGCAGACGCAGCGAAATAGGTAATACGCGTTCCACTCAAATTCTTCAGGCAGTGTGAGTGTAATTCAGCCAGTGCCAATGCAGTTCAGCGAAGCTAAGGCTGAATCTACTCTTGCCTGATCGGGAAATTCATTCCGTTTTAGTATACCGGTTTTTGCTATTCACAGCAACGAGCATCGGGGGATCAGAAAGCAACCGAAAACCACTTCTGCAGAGATAGCCATTGGGCGAGTAAGCAGCCTCTTTGTAATGGGGGGTCTGATTTATGGGACGATCGCTCTAGCATTGCTTCTAAACTGTTCCTCCAAGAAAGATTTTCTTATCCGTTCTCTGTGCCTTGAGAAAAGACACTGAATTACTTCTCTGACCTGCCCCCATAGCAAAGTGGAATCTGCCAAATCTGGGGACTAATGCTGAAACTGTTCTTCTTTGCTTTGGTCCACAAATGAGATCAATCATAGCTGCCCCGCCTTTTTTACCACGCCAGAGTCTTTTTTATAAACAAAATGGATTGCAAATTGCGCTCTTCTCGGTATGTCCGGTGTCTCACTGTGATTTGAGATCATACAAAAAAAAAATATCGCATCAGAGATCTCATTCCCAGAGTCAACGAAAAAAACAAAATACACAACTATCGGTCTCAGCATTTTTTATGCTATCCGTTGGCAGTATCCTCGAGGCATTCAGATTGTACCATTGTGCTGCTCGGAATGACATCGTACGCAATACCAAGTGCCCACACCACAGATACCAAAATCACATTCATTCCCGTCTTTACAAGTGAACGTACCAAAATTCAAATTATTCACCATTCGAGAAATCTGCTGTTTCTGGAGAAGCGTGCCATTTCTAGCCATTGCCTCGCGAGCTATCCGATTGCAATGTGCCTGTCCTGCAGGTGCACTCAACTCACCTTCGAAGCCCATCTCTCATTCCAACCCCAAAAAGTGAAATGGTCAAAACCGCAGCCCTAAAAGGTCTAAATCCTCCCTCAGACAGTTCTGACAATGAGCTGGATGTATCTTCGACGCATGTAGAAAAATCTACTCAAAAGTCGACCGCAGGGCTTGTATCCTTGGACGATGACTTCAGTTCTGATGACGAGGAACAGTCCATTTTCCAGACTACCAAGAAAAAGGCCGACCACCGATTCGAGGCCCAACAGGATTCAGAAAGTGATGCTCTGGATGCCGAGGACGAACCTGAGTCCGTATCCAAAACAGAAAGTGGACCAAAACCAAAGCTAGATGAAACCTCCGCAATGGTCGAGGAGCAACATAGTCGGGCCAACAAGCTCAAACGCCTTACACCTGAACAGCTTGCCAAAGAACAAAAGAAAATCAAGCGCACGGGTGTGTGCTACTTATCGTCAATTCCGCCATACATGAAACCAGTCAAGTTGCGGTCTGTCTTGAGCAAATTTGGCAAGTTGGACCGTATTTTCTTGAAGCCCGAGGACCCCACATCATATCATAGAAGAGTCAAATATGGTGGCAACAAGAAAAAGCGGTTCACCGAAGGCTGGGTTGAGTTTACTAAGAAAACCGACGCCAAGTTATGCGCGGAGACCATGAACGGGAACATTTTGGGAGGAAAAAAGTCCTCGTACTATCACGACGACATCATCAACATCAAGTATCTCCCTGGATTCAAGTGGTTTGACTTGACCCAGCAGATTTCGAAGGAGAACGAAATCAGACAGGCCAAATTGGCATTGGAGATCTCGCAACAGGCCAAACTCGACAAGAGTTTCGTCAACAATGTCGAGAGATCCAAGCACTATGAGCGCAAGAGAAAAGCTCAGGGTGACGATGTGGAGGAGCCCAAATTCAAGCGTGACTTTAGCCAGCATGCTATTGCCAGTACCCGGGCAGATGCGAAGCAAAAGTTCAAGAAAGAGAAGAACTCGGACAATCTTGAGAGCGTGCTCTCGAAGGTCTTCTAAGTGGCTCTGGCACTCGCATCTACTACTACCACTCGTCACACTGGGGGCTAGCTGTGGATTTCAACTACTGAATAAATGGGCTCTGAGCCATTTTTTATAGTACACAAATTGGGAAAGTCGCATATGGTCTCGTCACTTTTGCGCCCTTGCCTTTCCTTGGTTTTCAAGAAACTTCACTCTTAATGCAAGCTCCTGCTTATTAGTACAGTTTAATTCTCTCATCACAATGTAGCTGTTTGCCACCACACTGTTGGGCACCGACAGATCTAAAAGCCTTCGTAGTTTATCCCATTGGTCTGCCAGCCAGTCTCCGTATTTCTTTTTGGACACTTTTTGTCTTGTATCCTTGATTTTTTTGCGGGCATATTTTCCGGACAATTTGCCTGTTCTTCGAGTCCGGCTTCTCTTGACTCGGTGCAACGCATCATTTTTCGGTAGTAAATGTGCTGTCAAACTGTCGGCCGGCGGCAGATTTTGTTCCACTGTCTTCGTGCTCTGGTCTTCAGATACACTAGGCGCATGTTCAGTCGGTTTGCGCTTTTCGACGGAGGGAATGTACTGGCCCAAATGATCCAAGAAGTCGTCCTCGTCCGAATCGTCCTCATCCGAATCGTCCTCGCTCTCTGACAAGCTTGAACTATCTTGACTTTCAGAGGTCAGATCTGACTGCTCCAACTGACGGAGACTAGAGTTGATCTGATCCTGGATCTCTCTAGCGGTGCGAGGCTGCAATGCACCACTGTTCCGGATCTCTTCTAGCATGGTAGAGGGCGATGACCTGCTACCTGAAGATGGAATAAGAACGTTTTTAAGTGGAGACAGTCTTCGCGGCGTACGGTCTGCATTATGAGGTGGGTTTGGAAGATTATAAGAGGGGACCGAGGAAATTTGTGGTCTCTTTCTGACAGACTCGTCAAGGGCATATGGACGGGGCAGAACGGTTTTCTGCATTCCTCGGTTGCTGCTTAACGCATGCATGCTTTTCTCTGGCAGCTCATAGTCTGATGGGTCAAACTCCATACGATTCAGATCGCGTTCAAACCCCGAGAGGTGTTTTTGGGGCGGTGATAGAGAGGTGGGGTGTGTTGTCAAATTGTTGTTTTCATCCACCAATACTTCCTTCGGTGGCAGTTCTGGATAACCTACGGGATCCATGCCAGCATGCAGTAACCTAGGTTCGTTTCCGTCGATTCCATCTGCAACAATGTCATTTCTGGAGTTTCTTTCCTTTATAGGCGTTTCAAGAAAGTCGGCAGCCTCGGAGCGCCTGACAAAAACGGAAGAGCTGCTTTTCGACAGCAATACATTTGAGCAATATGGTCTGCTGGCCTCTCGTATAGCATGAGGCGTGTTCATCTCAGCATCATCATCAAATTCGTCTGCGGGAATCGAGGATGTCCCATTGTCAGTTTTTCTCCGTTCTGATGACTGCGTTCCCCGTGTTGAGTTTCGCTCAGTTGGCAGAAGCCGGAATGGATCTTGGCGAAGCAAGGAAGACATGCGTGGAGTGAATAGACACGATTGTTTGGGTTAAGTTTGGGCTCGATTGTCCTGTCTGCCTGAAGATTGAGCCTCGCGTTGACAGGTGCGCGCTATCGCATTTCCTGCCGCGTGCAACGAGAAGAGTTGCCAATTTAAGATAGGCCAACTTCAATAGAAGCCACTCCTTTCAGAGATATTTTCGTATACCCCTTTACTGTAATCATGTACATGAAACATTCCAATTGAGCATCATTTTCCAAAGTACTAAGCCCAATGCTTTCCTAAATCTTGGAATAAGTCCTTCTCGCATGCGTCAAGATCCGGCTCGGTAAGTCCATAAGATCGCTCGAAATTAATATAGCCCAACAGTCCAAAGAACTTTTTCAAATTCGCAATGTTCTTGATTTCCAGAACGCCCAACAAAAGAGGCTTTGATTTTTCGTTTTCACGGGGGCCCTGAACATTGAGAGGGTCTTCTTTTGTCAAAAGCGACTCCGACTTCAAGGCAAGGCGGTCAATAAGGGAGCTGGAACACTCATCATTCACAACAGATCCCCTCGACACAAAGAGCCATGATGTTAAGTTTATTTCATCAAACTGAATGAGAAGCAATTGATCAAGCAATTTGCATGCCGACAAAATAAGCGCCAACTCTTCAGCCTCAATCCCGCTGAAATGCTTGCTATTCTTGGCAAGAGCTGCCGAAAACACCTCGACCAAACTTTGAACAACCAATGACCAGTATGGAAGTAGGTGGCCCTCGCTAAATTTCAAAGAGAGAGCACGGAAGACTGACAATGCCTCGCTCTTGTACAATGGAGGGCACGTACTGTTCAATGCCGTGGACAAGCGTCCCATAATTCCATCCAAGTTTTTGACAAAGAAGTCTTTAGGCTGAACCAAGATGAGATAAGAAATTCTGCGCAATACCATGGCTCGGTCCTCTACCTCAGAATTGTCGTTCCATATGAATATGTTTGCAGCGCTTGATTGTACAGGAGGCGTGATTTTGTTCACCAATTCGCTCATTCGCTCCTTGTCACTTTTTATCCAGACTCCAATAATTGTCCTCCACTGATCAAGGTTGTGCTTGCCATTTTGGAAAAAAGAATTGTCCACAAATGTCTCAAAAACAACTTGCTTCCACGCTTTGATCGGGTGATGCTTTCCGATTTGTAGGATCAACTTCAAAATACTTGATGGAACGGCGATAGCTTTCAGCTTGACCTGCGGAGCAATGACTGTGCTGGTGATATTTGTCACCGCGGTTACAATTCTATCTTGGTCCTGAATTATATCTCCAAATGACCCAATAAGCAGGGCAAGTTCTTCGACCTGGCTCTCTTCTTCATCATCATTCTTTTTGGATTTGACTTTTAGGTCAGAAGAAGCCATTGCAGACTTTTTGCTGATGGCTGCATTAAGAATTGAAAGAAAGTAATTGGATAAGTCTCGAGCACTGCGCTTGTCGTCATTGAGTTTGCGAGCTTGAACCTTGTGCGATACAACTTGTACGACCTGAAGGATTGTTAACAAAAAGTGCTTGAAGTTTCCGGGGTTGAGTGATACTTCTTTGATAAACCCAAGAGTCATCTCCCAGATTTCGTCCATGGTGTCGAAGTCAATTGAATTGTAGTAAGGAACCAAGAACTGAGCCAAATTGATCTCATTAATACTCGAATACATCGTTGATTTCTGTCTATCGGAAAGATTCTGGGGCAGACATCTCGTCAAAATGGAGTTCAATATGTGTGGAAGGCTCAATTGACTGTGACCGCTGTCAAGAACATGTATAATCTTGATCTTTGTATCTGTGGCTTCGTCAGTTTCAAGAATTGTCTCAATGGTCTCTTGCCGTTCGAGTTCACTCAAATTCCCCAAAAGCTTCTTGGCTCTAAATTTGAGCTTGTTGGACATATAGATGATTGATTTCTGAGAATAGAAATCCGATGTCATGCCTTCCGCAACAGGCTTACTATTTGCCCAGCTCCAAATGGCAAATGCTGCTTTGATCGCATCTTGGAATGCAATGATAACTGAATACACGCGCTGTTCTACTTCGGACTTGACCTGCGGTGACTCAATTTGGAAAACACCCAGAATAACATTTCCAAAAAACCCGTTTTCGCCTTGTTGCGCTTTAGTCGTTGAACTAGGTGCTGGTGTCATCAAGTACGAATGACAAATAGATAATAAATCCTCAAGACCAGTAAGACAAATGCTTAAAAACGACTCAGAATCGCAACAGTTATCGAAATTCTCAAATTTCTTTATGGCGGAAAAACATGAGTTCATTTTTTCAATAATGGTTTGATTAAAGATTAACATCTCACCGTAAATCGAATTATCAAGCAAGTATAATGTAGATTTCATTAGCGATAGCCATTTTTCGAGCAATGTTGGAGATGTACAAGTCGTGATACCACGATTAATGAACGTAACGAATGATGGTGAGCCAGAATTGCTGTCAGTTTGAGGTTGAAGCACATTTGCATTCATGGATTTGGCAATGTCTAAGAATTCACGAATGTGCTTAATGAACATTGACTCAATAACTTCAAGATCCATGTCTCTCATCCTGGATTCCGACACGTAGTACAGACATGATCGAATAAGCAAATCGAAATGCTTCAAGAAGTCAGTCTCTGAACCGGTGAGGAGCAAAGAATATAACTCAAGAACTTTCGAGATACAGGAAGTGAAGTTTCTCAAAACATTATTTTCCTCTACCGAGTCCTCGGGGAATTTCAACGTTAAGCATTTCTGGATTATGTTCAACAAAAGAGTCTTATAGTTTGACACATCCCATTCGTTTGAAGTAAATAGCTCAACCCTTCCTGCATTTTCGGCGGGCACAAACTCGTGAGCCAAACTTTCTTTCAACTCTTTATCATTGCTGTGAAGTAAATTGAGAATTGTTTCGAGGTAATAAGCAAAAAGCTTAAAGTCATCGTGAGGACCGATCGTTGTTCTTTGTTTCTGCACAATGGGAAATGTCAAGAGGGGGCCAGTCACAATTTTCAAAAGCCTGTTAGCTGAACCATCATTGCAGACGTTGTAAACAAATTTTTGTGCATCAACCAGACTTCCAGGGCTCATATCGCGAAAAGAGTCCAACACAACAAAAAGAGGGTTTGAGAGCAACATTTCTGACTCGTTGACATCTTGGGATAAACTCCAAAGCTTGTAGAAACAGTGGAATCGGATTTTTTCTGAGGTTTGCAAGAGCAAGTAGGAAATTCCTGCTTCAATCTCGTGTACTTCGAAATATATTCTTAAATCGAAAATGCATCTGACCGCTTCAACCTGGTAGTTTGCCGGATACAGTGATATGAGTGTTTCCCAAAGGTTTGATAAGATGATTTTGAGCATTTTGGACTTTTCGAAAAATGACATGGATTTGATCAAGAATTGGTATAGTTTGACGATGCCAAACATAGCTGGTGCGCCGCAATTGCTCTCACGACTGACACAGTCAAATTCAGGGTACTGGAGGAACGTGGTTTTTAAAAGATCTTCATCGAGATAAGAGACACCTTTTTGGTGTGGCACCGACGCTAATAAATCGCACAACAATGAAGCCAATCGGTCGCTAAGCGTGCCTTGAGACATGCTCTGAATATACCAGTGTTCAATACTTGTCATGAGGACATGAGATATTTCAAGCGCATTAATGGGAGCCAGCTCATTCCCACTTTGCAGCCCTGATGCGTAATAATCAGAAATAGTACGAAGCAAATTATCTTTGGATCGGAAAGCAGGCTTTTCCAATTCACCTGTCGAGAAAAGAGTTCTAAGCAGTACAAGCTCAACCAAGAGTTCAAGCGTGGAGACTGTTGGCTCTGAGGCCTCGTTTCTCAGAATAAAGGCAATAACCGCCAATGGCGCATGTACGTTGTCTTCATCCTCGGGAAAAGTGAAATTTTTCAAGAGAAAATCAATGACGTGTAACCTGCTTTCCCCCTCAGGCTGAAGAATCAAGTCGTGGGTCACGAAGTGCCAGATGTGACACGCTTCGACTTGGTCAAAGAACCGCTTGCCTGCAGCCAATAGTTCTGGTGCTCTGGCGTCATTTGTCTGAACAGCCTTGAAACACGATTCAATAATGGGCTTGAAAACCAGTGCCGTGATGTACTGGCTGATTTCCCATCTGTCCATGATCATCGCTAGCGAGATGTTGTATGCGTCAAGTTTTTGTTGTGTGTCTCCGCTGGATATAAGCAACTTGAGAGCGTAGTCTATAGTTTGCAATGCGTGTTTGGAGAAGTACGTTTTGCCATCTTCCAGCTGGATCGATTCTTCGCCATTATCCGGGCCAAGAAGCCATTTCCAAAGCCGGCGGTTTAGACTCATGTCTTTTTTGAGGGTCACACGGCAGCACGCCATGATCAAAAGCTCTTTATCTTGGACTGAAATGACTTGGGTGACCACAGGCGAATCTAGCGGCAAATGAGAGAGCAAAAGGTCGAAGAAGCCGCGCATCACGATTATATCGTTGGCTTGGTTGAAGCTGGAACGCGTATTCAACGCAGAAGCGAAGGCTCGGATCAAAAGCCCAGACTCGGAGGATAAACAGGCTTGGGCCTCGGCAGAAAACTTCAGTTCGGCACCCAGCTCAATGGCCGAGAAAACAGGGAGCCTAGCGGAGCACCAGTTCAAGGCGCCAAGGCGTTTTTCGGGGCTAGTGATGACACAGACAAAGAAATTCTGCCAGAAGTGAGCGCTGCTTGCCATCTTGGCCTTGAAAGAATCGAGCAAACTCATCACGTCACCAAAAACCTCGGAGTTCTCGTCGTCGAGCCCACAGAGAAGAGACAAGAGCACAGGCTTTGTGATTTTCTTCAAGGTGGCCGGCGTCAAGTGGATGATCAAACTGTTTTTGTATAGGGAAATGACCTGCGGCTTGACTTGCATGGAGCCGAAGGAGACCACGGGCAAGATGCCAGGAAGCCATACTGCAATGTCTCTGTTGAGCAGGTTTATGTCCAACGCATCGAAAATGTTCTCGTACAACTCGAGTGTTTTGCTATGCACGCCATTGGGGAGCAGTGGGGAGAGGCAGAGGGCCAATTTGGCCAGCACTTGATCAGCCAAAGGAAGCCACGGAATCAGGTGAGGACTCTCGGCTGGGAGCAGCAACAGTTTCTTCAAGCGGGCGAGAAAAGCAATGTAGTCAGCCCATTCATCAAGATCGCCGAAACTGGCAAGAGTTTTTTCTACTTGGCTGTAAATCCGCTTGTCCCGGGGCGTCATTTCGGAGGACATGGTCGCCAGAGAGCCAAACCCGGGTATTGCGCGGAGAAAGCCTGAGCCAGACAGGTCCATCTTTGGGGTGGGGGAGAATTTGCAGGTCCAATTGACTTTGTGATCGCTGGAAGATACTCTATGGAGAGTTTTGGTGTGTTTAAGGCAGTGTGAAGCTGATTGCAGGGTATCTCCAGTAGCCGTCTTGAAGGCTTGGTGTCCGGTTTGTATGGTGGAGTTGCATCCGTACACCGCGCCGTGCCAGCCGGTACCAATAAATTGCCAAAGATAGCCATGTGTTTCGAGTCAGGGGGAGGATTTTTTTGCGGGAGAAGACGGCGTGGTATTTATGTAGTGATCCACGTGTCATGGTATAGTACTTGATTTATTAGGTGGTTGTGAAAGGCCGCCAGCGCTGGCTGCAAATGGCCAGTTTGACCTAACTCAGAGCATATACATAGGCTCACGTGGACCGCTCCACGGTTAAGTGGGGGTGCCATTTAGCTTGGAATGCCAGATTCATTAAAACGGGGGTTTGGAGAGACGTGTTTTTTGATGCTGTGTTTTTGGATGTTGTGTTTTTGGATGCTGTGTTTTTGGATGCTGTGTTTTTGAATGCTGTGTTTTTGAATGCTGTGTTCTTGAATGGTATGCTTTGAGGTGTTCGAACGTTGTGTTCACGAGGGGAGTCTTCTCTGGACATGGATCGTGGTTTGCCGTGAGGACAGAATTGCAGTAGGTTAGACAAAAGATACAAAGAGCAGATGGTACGCACAAACACCAATATAGCTAAATTAAGGCCACAGTATTCATTTCGTTCATCAGAACACAGCTATGGTTGATGGCCTGGACAAGTATCCGAGATTTCAGGCCTGGCTTCAAGGCACTTCCTGTTGGTGGGTGAGCGAGAAGGTGGGAAATAAACTAGTCAGGAGATGGTCTGGAAAGTATTTCTGGGATGTCTTCTGTGGCATGTGTTCTGGCGACAATGGATTCACTCGCTACTTTCAAATTGTAGACAGAAGTGCCAGCTCTACGTGTCTCCTCTTTGGGTGTTGTATGCTTTACGTATAATGCAGAATCCGCAGGATTGCAGTGAAGTTGACAACTCTTTAATTGAGTCGGTTGTATAGTCCAGGCAAAAGTGTAATTAAGTTGGCAAACTTTCGATGAAGTCAGCAACGGTATACTCAGTCGGCAAATTTGCAGTCGGCTCAGCAAATGCATAGTTGGCTCAGCAAATGCATAGTTGGCTTAGCAAATCATAGTCGACCCGACAGGACTAGACCCGCATGCAACGTACATGCCACGGCTCGGCCCATCCCACCTGACCTACAAGATTGATGCAAAGAAGCTTATGAATACGCATAAAACCTGCGCTAGCCCAAAACCATCCTGGCATGTTTCTATACACTATCTACTTGTCGAGAACCAGCGAGATGAACTTGATGGCGTCCACCAACTCCTGCTCGTTCGTGCTGTGCGCCACACCTCGGTAAGTGTTGAACGTCCAGTTCTTGAACCCCAAGTCCTGGTAGAACTTGCTAGCATCCTGCCCCACCGAGTGGCCAATGATGGGGTCCTCGTCCCCGTGGCCCTGGAACACCGGGGTTTCGAAATTGACGCCGTTTTTGTTGTGAAGTTCCTTGATGGCCTCGGGAATGGGACAAAATCCAGAGAGAGCCACCACGCCTCCAATCTTGATGTCGAGCAAAGCCAACGCAGCCATCGAGAGCGCGGAGCCTTGCGAAAAGCCACCGATGATGATGTTTTCCGGCGCAATGCTGAACGTGTCCATCTGCTCCTGAATCAAAGCCTTCACCACGTCGCATGACTTGAGAAACCCTTCTCTATCTTGTTTGGGCGAAGACCCACCAAACTGGTAGATGTCAAACCAGCCGGGCATCCTGTATCCATTGTTGACTGAGATTGGGATTTCCGGTGCGTTCGGAAACACAAAGTTCACCTCATCCTGCGACTTCAAAAGCCCCGTCTGTTTCATCACCTGAGGAAACCACGACCAGCCCTGGCCCGAGTCGCCGAGCCCATGGAGAAAGATAATGGCCTTTTTGGCCGTCTTTGATGCAGGCAAGCGGACACTGGTCACGGACATACTGGACAATTCGAGTTCTGTTTTGATTGAATGAATTTAAAATCGCAGGGGTATAGATAAAAAGCTTCGGTTTGAGACTCTAGCCGTGCGTGAAAGCGAGTCGCGTTTCCTGTGACTTATTCGTACTAATTAGCAGTGCGATGCTAAATCCAAAATCGGCAAACACTTATCAGGAAAAGGTTGTTTTTTTTTTTTTTTCATAGGCTTCACAGAGCCGATTGCAGCAGAGACCCAAAGGTTGGGAATACATTGACAGTATAACGTCTCGCTGCGTAGCAAAACGCACTGTCTCTGTAGTTGAAAAACGTGCTGTTAACAGAATACGAACTATGAACAGAATACGTACTGAAAAGAATACATAATATGAGCAGAGTACGAACTGTGAAAAGAAAACAGACTGTCAACAGAAAGCTTATTGTGAAAAGAAAGCGAAGTGTGAACAGATGCGGCCCGGGAAAATAATACAAACCGTGATTCCGCGTTAGTTTATGATCTCACTACAGAAAATCTGATCAGATCATAGGGTGATATTTCTACGCATATTCCACACAGGTATCAAAGTTGGCACTTTTCATACCGATACTTGAGACTGATGGAACCCTTATTCGGGTACAAATACGGATGGAGGCTCAACATTTAGTATCAGAGAGTGATCGGTATGTTTGGAGATTCTTCCACGAGGCAGCCCGAACAGCTAGTCAAAAAATCTCACGATTGTGCTGCTCCGCTGTCTTAACATACGGGGAGAGCATTTGATGCAAACTGCACCGAGCAAATTCCCCATGTACCAAGTACCCGCAATTTGTCTATACGTTCGAAAGCCTGAGTAGCGAGCCACGCCCCAGAAATGGCATAAAGGGGCCGTGCTACAAATACTTGTGGCTCCTCTGTTGGAATTCCCAATAATCTGCAATGTGTAAATGAAAATGACCATTAAAACTTAGACCCCTTGTTCCGTCTCCTTGGCTCTCTTTGCCTCTGCGCCCGCCTCGTCGTCTGCGGCCCGCTTTTTCTCATCCTCCTGTTGAGGCTTGCCACCAGTGTTTTCCGACACCTCGTCGCTGGCAGCCACTTTGAGTGTCCGGGCGTTCTGCTTCTCGCCATTCACAACACGGAAGTATGGCTGGCATCTCCAGTAAGGCACATTCTTGTACTTGCCGCCCCATGGCTGGAGCTCGCTTTCCGTGATGACGTCGAGTTCCTGGATGTCCGGCTTTGCGTATATTTCCTCCACGATCTTTTCGACCTTCTCAACAATCGACTCCCATACCTCGAAATCGGCATGCACGCTGGTCTTGCCAATCACCGGGCGTAGCTCGGTATGCACACGCAAGAAAGCATGCAATAGCTTGAAAAAATGGGCCTTCATTGCCACACGGGAGGCCTCCCCAGGACACGACTTCACAATCTCGAAATACTCGCGAAGCATCTTGTCCACACGCGCAAACACTTTGTCGTTGTCTGCGTTTTCCGTCCAAAACACACCTGGATTGTACAAATTGCCTTCTGCAGACATCACGGCATCGCACTGTACCTCAGACATGCACCGGGCCAAGTCCGACGGGTAGAGAATATTTCCGTTGGCAAAAAAGACCTGGTCCTTCGGCAAGTTTTCGCGCAAGTAGCGCAAGACTTTCCAGTTGGCCAAGCCCGTGGCCTGGCCCTTCATCTCACGTGTCCTGCCATGGACGGTGATAAATTGTGCCCCAGCACTAAGCACCATTCTGGCATACTCAAGCGTCTTCTCCCAGTCGTCGTAGACTCTGATCTTCGCCGTCACGGGGCACTTCAAGTTCTCGTGAAGCTTGCGAATCAACTTGTACACAAGGTCCCAGTCGTCCATCAAAAACGCACCGTAGTTGCCCTTGCGGGCAATTCCCTGGGGGCATCCCAAGTTCAAGTCTACGGCATCGCACTGTGTTTCGATGTGCTGGGCGGCCTGGAGCAAATATTCGGGATCGTTTGCACAGAACTGCACAATCAACGGGCGATCTTTATCGCCGCCATCCCACGGCGACCACATTTTGCGACGGTAATTTTCGTCCGTGGCGAAAAGTTTAGCATGGAACATTGGAGTATAACAAAGCTGCGCACCATACCGTCTCAGCAATATGCGCCATGCGAGCTCCAGCTGGTCTACCATAGGCGCCACAATGGTTTTCGGTTGCCCGATGGCATTGAAGAGATCACGTCCTGTGAGCTTGGGCACGGTCATATGCGGGGCTGATTTGCCAAAGAATTTGCGGAGGAAAGTCACTTTTGGGTTTGGGATCCGAGGAATGAGATGCGCTTCTGGTATCTTTTTTCTCGCGTGTGGTTTCTTTTTCATGCGCGCGCCTGCGGTCAAAGTCCGAAACCGACGCGGCCAATGTTGTTCCACGACTTGGTAGTAGCTTTACAGCTTGACCATGCCAGAGAGTTGGCGTTGTTCAAATGCAGTCCCACAATCGGACATAAAGTGTTTGAAAGGGAAGACATTAACATCAATCATTCATGCAAGTATATTGTGTTGTTGACGTGTGTTCATGGGTACCTGTGAATTAGTATAACCAATAAATAAATGACGGGGGAACTTCCCCTCGTATACAGTTCCTGTTTAAAAGTTCAATGAAACATAAATCATAAGATGTCACTTGAGAGTACTCAAGCAAGTGAATGGGTCAGATTACAAGTCGTTGCCATTCTTTTCCAGAGGCCTGCTCCCCACTTTCGCTCACACCTTCCCATTAATCTCTTTCGCCATATGCTCGAGCGCCTCAGCAAATCGCATGGCAAGAGGCCAGAGAGGAGCGTCTGCCAAAATCCGGATACCCATCCCAAGAGCATGCGTCAGAAGCTTGCAATCCTTGATCGAATTCACTTTCAACGTTTTATCTTTCAATACGGCATCCACGTTTTTCTGGTACGTTTTACTTTGGGTAAAGTCAAAAATGCCACCTGATTGCCGGTTTAAGAACTCCGAGTAGGAAGACGGTTCGTGAGAACTAAGCGTGGTTTCGATGCTCCCAAGCGTCTTTTTACACTTGAGCCACAATACTCTGTCAAGAACGCTAAGAGACGTCCCGCTTTCAATAAGATCGAGTGTCTTCCCTAGCACCATCACGGATATGAACACTGCTGATAAGAAAAACACAGGAGTGCGCACCGAGGTCTGTTTCGCATCATTAACCACTGAGATATTGTGGATCCACAAATCCAATATATCCAAAGCCGGGTTCGCAGCCTCTTTCAATCCTTCCACATCCTTTTCGAGCTCTACAACAAAGTGACTCATTTCAGCCCAGTCCCTATGAAGAACTGTAGCCGTGAGAGGAGAGAAGTTCACGCTGAGACGAATTTTGGCAAGCAACAGCAAAGGTAAGATCAACTTAAGCTCGGCGCTGCTGTTGAAATCCATCTCGTTCTGATTGTTGACGATTGCTGAACCACCGTTTCGCACAAAGTACTCCTCCCAAGAATTTATCAAGTACTCTAGTCTCGGACGAAAGTCAACACGCCACAAATACGGGTCAAAGTTTCCGCCACAGCTTGTGTAGCTTGTCAGTATCTGCTCGTGAACGTACATAAGAAGGGCCAATGCCTTGTGAAAAGTACTTCTCTCAGTCACAACTTGTGCACCGTTCAACTGTTCCGCAAGCTCTTGCAAGTTTTGGTTGTTGCTTACTTCAACAATACTCTTGTCCTTGTACTCTGCAAACTTTGCAAACCATTCGGCAGAGTCTCCGGCTCTCCACAATTCTTCATTGTTACAATGAAGTCCACTTCGAATTTCGGATCCACTCATTGCCAATGGATTGCCAAGCAAGATGCTGCGAATGACATCCAACTGATAGAAAGTAAGAATTGTCCGGATTCTTGTCTGTGCCATGATAAAGTAGCCGAAATTGTTTTGCAAATTGCTCTGGTCGTTGGGGTTTGATATGGCCGGGGGCGGAATCAAAAACTGCTCGAGAGGCCCTTGAAAATTAGTAGACTTGATGAGACCAACCATGGACTTCATCTGTCGCGATGTTATTTCGACCATGTCTGGCTCGTTCAAAAACATTGAGATGAAGATGTGGAGGACGAGACACTGATGAGCCATGATTGGCACTTTCTTCAACTGTAATTTATTTGGCGTGACCTCATTCTCAAAAAACTTGTGAATGTGGAATTTTGACAAATTGAATAGAAGAAGCGTGTTGGAGTCATGATACGAATAGAGAGCTCCTATCGCACACATGGCCAAAATCATCGGAATATTTTCGAAGTTGTCCACCATTGGATTTTTCAAGGTCGGCAAATGAATGAACAGGAAATACTTGTTGAATTCCTCGCCGTAAAGGTTCATATAGGCGTTCAAATCTTCCTTGGGCGGGAAATGGTCTTCGTCAACGTGACTCGCATGTATTATTTTCGCCCTCAATTCATCCGAGATAAACTCCTTCGGGTCACCAATCGTAAACATGGCACGGGAAGGGCGTTTTGCCCCCACGGCAGAAGGTCTTGACTCGTTGGCAGACATGGACTTAGCTGCATCAAGGTTCACCATACTTCTCTGGCGTGCAAGGTCGTCCTGCTTGAATTTGAAGAGAGAAAACACTTCGTCGCCTTGGAACTCATCATTCACAAACGGCATACCCACAAATCCTGTATCGGTAGATGCAAGGGGAAGATTGTTGGGCAACGGGATACCTTTGAACTGCTCGAGCCAGCTGAGATCATCAATTTCATTGACGAACCCAAGTTTGCGATGGTTTTCAGTTGGAGTCTGCACTCGTGCAGGTTTTTTGGCAGGGCTGGGTTGGGCCAGCGGTTTGGTCGCCTCGTGCTCTTGCAAGTACAAAAGGTCTTGTGAAAGCTGGGTGAAGCCAGATCCGTACTGTATTTTGGAGAAATCGTTAGTTTGAAGAGGGTCGTCTGCAAGTGGGAACCCAAACTCCATAGGGGAGGTTCCCGGAATATGATGTGGGTGTTCTGGGTTTTGAAACTGGTGGTTTGCAATGATGTGGTTCAGAGCGTTTTCCCCAAGAAAGGTGTTCGCGAGCTGAGTCTCTGATGGGATAGTGTTGAGGCTCATCTTGAAGCCAGCTTTCTGCTTGCCTAGTAAAGGGTCTGTGGTCTCCAAGCCTTCAATTGCATTGTCTTGGGTCTGACCCCGGCCCGGATCATGGTAGTTGATATCACACCAGTCCATGTTGGCCCCGTGCAAGTCTGGGACATGCATGTCGGCATAGTCGAGGTCGGTCGATGTGAATTGCGGTGTGTTGAACCCCACATGCTCTGGGGTATGGATGATCTGGTTGTTCCGAATGGCAAGCGCGTCCTGGAGGTTTGTATAGGAAAGGCCCGATACCGCCGAGAAGGACGAGTGACGCGGGTTCGCCGCGGGGTTGCCTCCTTGGGAGCCGTGCGGGGCACCCGCATGCACGTGGCCCAGGGCACCAAGCCTCTTGTTTTCCAAGGACGGCTTGAACTCGAGTTGGTAGCTCGAAAAATCCCGTCTGGCCGCCTCCTTGAGCAACTTCTGCTTGTCTTTCAAATCGGGAGAGTCTCCTGTTAGCGGCGAGGGCTGCTGGGTGTAGTTCGGGGCACCCATGTTGTGGCTCTGGAGCAAATCGAGGTCCAGAAAACTGGACCCGTCGATCTGGTGTGCCCCCGAGTTTGTCGGCGTGTTGTGGTAGGAGTTCGTGTTCGGGGACGGTATAAGGCTGTTGCCCTTCAAGTGTGGCTGGGGCTGCAGCAAAGCGCCGCCAAAATCATCGCCTACAAAGCCGGCATTCTCGGCCAGCGGGTGGCCCGTGGATAGGGAGTTTGTTTGTGGCGACTCCTGCGACGGAGACGACTCGCCCAGATCCAGATACGCGGGCGCCAGGCCCGCGCCTGGAAAGGCCAGCAGGTCCGGAAGCGGCGCCTTGGCCCGGGTGTTGTTGCGGAGCACGATCACGTTTTCCTGGGCCACTTTGGCCGTTGTGGCCGCGTCCGGCTCGGACGCCCCGCCCAACGTGGCGGGCAACAGCCCACGGCGGGCCACCTGGAAGATGCTCAGATGGAGTTTTTGCTGGTGGCGGAGCACCAAGTCTCGGCGGGCAAAACAGCGGCCGCAGGCCGCACATTGGTATGGCTTCTCGTTGGTGTGCGCCCGCTCGTGCCGCTTGAGGTGCTCTAGGCGGGCAAAGCCACGGGTGCAAATGGCACACAAGTGGGGGCGGGGCTTGTTGGTGCGGATCTGGAGCGACTTTTTGGGGATCGGCTGCGTGACGCCGTTGGCCCCTGAGTCCAGAAGCCGGCGTTTTGTGTTTGGCGACAGGACCGCTGACATGAGCGCGCGTGTTTGTGGTCTGACACCAAAACCAACTAGGGATGGAGGTGAAGGCGGCTAGCAAAATACGCTCAGTTGCTGGCTTTGGAGGTGCTGGGCTCGGCGGCTAGCACTGTTTTTCTAGGCTACCAAAGGCAGGACTCTCGCTGCGGAGCTCGGAGCTTGTTGACAAAAAAAAAGGCTCGAGGAATCGAGACACGTGGATTGGAATGTGTCTGTGAAACGCCGATGATGGTCCCCCAAGGTGGATTTTGTGGAGGCGGCAAAGCAGGTAGTCCGAAGCACCGGTGAAAAAGAGACAGCGGCTCGAGCAAGAAAAAAAGCAATTCGGGCTGTTCGAGCGAGGTGTCGACGTGCGCAAGGCAATAAATAGATAGCCGTTGTTTTGAGTCCAGAAGGAAAAAAAAAACGGGGTTTGAGCTAATGTTCTTGTGCTGTGATGATGGATTGAGTTTTTCTTTGCAGGAGGTCGTGGACTGTTGGGTAGCCAGGGAGTGCGCGGGCGTCGAGTCCGGGGAAAAAGTCATAAAAAAAGGAAAGACATGTTGCCGCATGCACCCTGCAGCTGGGTCTGCGCAGTGTGTATATGCCCGGGTAGGCAAGGTACGGCACGGAAGCTCTGGGGCCCGGTGCGTGAAATCACGCACAACTCTAAAACCGGTTTGGGCGTGGCATGATGGTGTGATGGAGTGAAGGTAGGATGCGACAGGTTTTGCTGGGTTTTGCTGTGCCGTCCCACGGGTCCCTCTGGAAGCTTCTGCCAGAGTTTTGTGTGTCGTAGCCTGCAATGGAGTTTCATATCGCGGTCTGCAGATAGGGCCAGATCGCCCGTGCGCGAATCAGGCGTCCACCACGCGGTCGCTACCCGGACCTGGATTTGATGCGAAAAAAGTTGCGCTCTTAGCCAAACGCCGCAGATCATCCTCGCCCGGGGTGCTACAAAATATTGGGGGATGTGGAACGGCCGGATAGACGAAAATACCGAATCTCCGCAGACGGCAGAACTCGTCTTGCAGAGCAGCACGCGTTCCCCAGGCTCGTACGCCCACTTGGTGCAGTGCAGTCGCATTCCCTCCAGCGCCAAGGCTGCATGCAGAGCGTCGCATTCGTAAATGGTCACTCAGCGCCACGGGCACCATGCACGCGTCCCCGGATTTGTGCGCTGCGCCAGTATTGGCCGGCGCCCATACATCCTGTTTCGGCCCCTCCACACGCGCAAATGAGCTGAGTCAGCAGGAATAGCAAGGGGAAGCGACAGCGGCCCGGCTATATGCAGCACGTACTTCGGGCCTCATTTTGTGAGTTGTTTCGTGTCATCACAGGGCTGCAACTGCATACGCATTCCCAGCCGAGTCTGCTTGCGGTCACGGGATTCATCCTTCTTGGGGACCTAGCGTCACACCACGGGAAGTTTCCTGCTTGCTGCTTGCTGCTGCAGGTTAGGAGGGCCCGAACCTTTATTGGATCAGGACCTGATAATGCATGGCCAGCGACTTGTCGTCCGATATTGCCCTGGACCACCCTTTGGACGTGCACCTAGCCGTGGTGCTATGATGTCATGACTGGCCGGAGTTCGCGCGGAGTTCGGTACACAAGAAATAAGCCTTAGCCCCTCGCGCGTGAAGTATGCAGCCTGTTGGTTCTGACTAAAGGAGACTCCATTGTCCTGGAAGTCGCTTATGTGCAATGTGCACGTTTCCATAGCAGACGCTGCCCTTTGGTAGCGATTCGCCTTTTGACGACCCCGATCACATGGTCCAGGCAGCAAGCGCTTTGAGACGCACGGCAGTTGGGGTCTCAAACTTCTGGATAAGCTTCGAAAGCTAATTTCCGGCCCGACTTCCGGGGGTCCAGTCACCCAATGTTCTGGCGAAGTGCGAACTCCGAGTCTGCCTAGTTGGTTTCATATAACCTGCGAATCCGGGTCCCCCTCATGATGAAGCTTCTTTTCGAATTGCCGCCGGAGGATAGGAATCTGGGAAAGAAGGTAGTGAAACCCAGCCCATTGTTTTGGAGCGTCTGGTCCATGGTGCACGGCGGCAGCGAAATAAGCTTCGCGCCGAAGATGCAATAGCAATTGTTCTTCAGCCCAATGGGGATGGATTGTGGGCTCTGTTTATTTTTCGTATTCTGTGAATGATCGAACAACTGCGGCGCGCTTGCCGAAGCGTGTTTCTTATGGTCCGGCCCCTTCTTTCTACTCAAAACCAGGAGGTACGTCAATCTTCAGGTTTACATTCCGATTATGCTTTGAAAATGCCTTTCGGAATTTGAAGTTTGAGTTTGACATTCTTGCACCCCCACCTGCTGGCCCGGTGGCATCTGCGCTGACCTTGCTAAGCTGGAACCCCAGGGAAACACGGCCATCGTTCTTTATCGCCAGTCGATAATACACCCCGCCTTTCGCGGTCACGTGTCCTGCTCATGATCGAGTCAAGTCACCATGCAAGCAACGAGCATTCGAAGGCCACGATCATGTCCATCTTGTTCACGTCGGGAGCAACCGTGACTTTTCGTCCGTTTTTGGACGAGATTGTCACTGTGTCTTTTCTCCTGTCTCTTCAGAAATCGGGCTTCTCCACGGTGGCACTCCAGTATGGCAACGAGACAAACCCAGACACCGGCTCCAAGGTAAGCAAGGAGTATTTTAGCCAGCTTTTGGCCGACAGGCAAATCGTGCAGCACTTGGACTTTGAGCTTGTCAACGAGACTAATGACAAGTCCGTGACGGTGTTCCGCAGCCCGACTCTCACTTTGCAGGTTTTTGGCTTTTCGGACGACATCGGATCGTACATCCGGTCGGCGGATCTTGTGGTTTCACATGCCGGCACCGGGTCTATTCTCGATACGCTCCGGCTCAAAAAGCCTTTGATTGTCGTAACAAACGAATCCTTGATGGACAACCACCAGGCCGAAATCGCCGCTCGCTTCGAGAAGGAAAAGTACTTGGCCAAAGTCAGTGTGCTGGAATTGGCCCAGGGCATGCTCCGAGACAAAATCGGGCGGTGGAAAAACGGCGACTTGCACTTCGAGTTACTTCCGGAGCCACCGGCGGGTGTCTTGGGCCACGTGATTTCCGAGGAGCTTTGCGGGCTGTAGAGAACGGAAAACGTACAGTCTCAAGAGGGCGGTCTTTGAATTGATTGGTTTTTCCCGGCACTCTCGGGATGCACGTCTATGTAGGATACCCGATCCGCTATGAACTTAGGCTTGAATGGCAATGTCTGAATAACTCCAGTAGGCATCGTTTTGTCTTGATTCTCCGTCATATGTGCCCGTAATTAAAGATATTGCTACGCATTCAGAATCCGGTGACTATGTGGGCTCGCTCCTATGGCAAGCAACATGTTGGCGGACAAAAGGACGCCTGGCCATTGCCACAGCAGTCAAGCATCCCCCAGCTACATTACCTATTTACTTCTTCTATGCATTTGGTTTTGTAATAATTAAGTTGTGCTGACATAGTCAGCGAATATTGCACTGCCTGTCCTTGTCGGAACCTGCGTAGTGCACTACACGAAATTCTAGCCGCACCGCTCGCACGTCACCGTTCAGCTTTTCAGATCCGAGCCAGAACTTAGGAGGTTGCATGTCTTTCCAGCCACACATGTATCCATACAGAACAATCCCCAGTCAGCACACGCGCCGGCGGAGAAGGCCGAGGCTCTTCACAAAGGACATCGAAACGCTATTGTACAGTATGGGTGATGGCCCTGTCTCTCTAGATTCCACCGTTAACTGCTTGGAGGATTGTCTCGTGGAGTTTCTCACGGACATTTCCCACGAGTCCCTCCAGTTTGCGCGGCTGCACGGCCGTCTGAGAATAAAGGTGGATGATGTCCCCTTTGCCTTGAGGAATGACCCTCTGAAGCTAGGCAGGATGAACTATATCAGGGAACAGCTTGCGAAGATCGAAAAGGCCAAGAAACTTTACGACACAAACAATGTCAACGAGAGAGAATACTTTGCAGACGAGGACGACGAAGACGATGACAATGACGGTTCCCGCCCCCTGAAAAAGGCAAAAAAGAAAGAGCGTGGCCGCAAAAAGAAAACAGATCACACTGCAAATGAAAGCGATTGATCATGAAATGTTTAGGACACAACGCGTCCTCGTAATTCATTCTTGTACTCACTAATTGTCTGCTCCTTCGACGTTCTGCACCGCCGTTCCCCGCACGTACTTCTCTGTCTTGATCTGTTCCGAAATGTCTCGGAGTAGTCTGCGTGTACTCATGATGCCGCGAATGGCCAAGACCAGGCCGAAAATGGCCAAGTCCACGTACTTGGCCGTGTTCCCAACGAGATTTCCGTACAAAGTTTCATACACCGAATGCGCTAAGACGAGTACGGATCCCAAAAGAAGCGGTATGAGGCCAACTTGGTTCATCCAAAGTCTAAGTGACTGAATCTCAGGCATGCCCGACGCAAGGGATGTGAACATGGGTATAACCGTGACAAGGGCCATGACAGAGTGCATTACAAAACCAGCCCGCGTAAACTGAAAAAAAATCTGGTCTTCATCCACCGAAATTAGACTAGTGCCGAATATCTTGCTTTCGACCAGATTCACGTAGTAGAAATGCATTTCCGCAAACAACCAGACTTGTAGAAGCTTCTGCGCCATAAACAATCCAGCCCTGAGTAGAAGCCCGCGTACGTTGGCGGCGGGTTCGGCCAAGCGTCGCCTCTGATTGGCAGCAAAGTCACGAAGGACCGATCCCTCGGTGTCTGAATCAAACATCAAAAGACAAACCAATTGGGTCAATAGACCGACGCAGAGGGAGTTCACGTCAGCAAAAGACCAATCAGTCGTTTCGGAATATTTCAAATTGATACCCAAAGCAGCCGCGTTGAACTCCGTGAAGGTAAGCCACGCCCTGAATATTGGTCTTCCGATTATCAAGGCGAGAAGCAGGATCACGATAAAGAGAAGCGCACCAAATATAGAGACCATACCGACCAATGCGAGGGATCTCGTCCGGAAGTTAGGAGGGCTGTACACGACAGTATATGTATCCTCGCATACGACTTCCTCGTCCCACCAGTCTGTGTCATCTTCGAGGTCTTCTTCGCGGATCGGAGTGAGGAGCTGGTCAGATTTGGTCACGGGAACAAATAACTCTCGCAAGAACTTGCGTGAGTTATCATCGCTGCTTGGTACACGAAGATATGAGCCGTCAGGCACAAAGCAGGCAGTCACCGACGAGTCGTTTTTGAAAAGGTTCATTGCTTCGGAGTAGCTCACGGGCTTGGTATAATCAGGCTCGCCGACTTTAAAGAAACCACTGATGAAGTTTTTGTACAAGATATGGCCTCTTTCCTGAGGGACGAGCGTACCAAGTAAGAAGTGCGACAAGCGGAGCCTGTGACACAACACAGCGAACGCTCTTTTCCAAAAGATGCGGCAATATTTTGTGATCACCGGCTCCGCCTTAAAGATGGACATTCCGGTGATGAGTGCGAACTGCCATGTAAAAATAGAAAACTGTTTTATGGGAAGCAAGGCGCCATTTGAGGCAGGCGCATTGACCAAGAACCGGAGCCCCCACGTCACGACTCCGATTCCAAACACGACAAAAGCGCTGTAAACCTTCGCGCTAAGAAGAATGCGCAGCATCTGGAGGAAAAACGGTTTCACCACCGCATCATGAATGAGCCTGGCGTTGGGGTCCTCGGGGCTTTTGATGAAATAGAGCACGCCGGAGCGCAAGATGTGGTTTCTCGTCATGCTGACAAACAAAGCGATGCAGAACATGTACGCGGTCCCCCACATCCAATACAAAAATGTCCGCATGATGAAGTTCAGTGTCCATGAGTAAGCTGACGTCAAGAAGATGTGATAAACAGGCCCCGCCTCGGTGGCCTGGACAATGTCGGACACGAGTAGGGGCGCAAGACAGAAGTCGATGAGCCAGCCACAGTATGCGGGGAAGAAGACGATCTCGATGGCGAAAATGACAAACACTTTAGAAGTGGCGGTCATCTGGAACAACACCTTGTACAACCTGCGGGCGTTGCCCGTGATGGGAGTGCCGCCGGAAGTCAATGCGGCCATGAGCTGGCAGATGGCAAAACACACCACCGCATAGCCAATGGCAAGGAACGCGAAGCGCCCCGTGTGGTCCGGGGGAGTGGCCCTGTCGAGCGCAAAGACCTGGCCCAAAAGCGTCCGGGCGGGTTCCACGAACAGCTGGCGGACAACGCCGCCCACCAGGCCAAGCACGCCGCCCTTGACGAGGGGCAGGTCCGCCACCGCCACATAGGCCCGGTGAGCCCTGGACGTGGGTACGTGGCGGAGCACAGGCGCAATGAAGCCGCCGTGGAGCCCCACGAGCGCGTACAGCACGACGAGGGCCACGAAGCTGCCCATCATGTGCGGGAGGAAGTACAACGTGAACAAAAGCACGAGCACGGCCAAGTTGACCACGAAAGTCAACTGGATCGGCGTGGCGATCTGCAAGCGGAGCCCCAAGACCTCGAAGATGTTGCCGTTGTTGTTGGCGGCCTCCGCCACGGCCATCTCGTCCTCGGCGAGGTTGCGCCGGCGCTCGAGCTCCTCCGCGGTTTCCTCGTCAGAGTCGTCGAGCTCGAGCGCCGCCGGAGCCGGCCGGGCGCCTCCAATGTCGCCGGGCAGGCCCTCACTAGGAGGCACGTGCGCAATGTCGTCGGGCGTGGCGGCCGTGTCGCCGTCACTCTCGACCCCCGGCAGGCCAAGAGCCGGGCCGGACCCGGTCGCCAGCGCGGGGCGGCGGCGCACCAACTCGTCGAGCTGCCCGTTCGCCAACGCGTCGTGTAGCGGGCTGTCGGCAAGCGGCTCGAGCGCGTCCTGCTGGAGATACTCCAAGGCACGCGCGGCCATGAGCTCGCGGGAGGGGCCGTTGCCGGCCTCGGGCGGCAGGGCGTCCGCGCCGTCCGCGGCAAGCAGGCCGAGCAAGTCCGCCAACTTGGTCTTGGGCTCGCGGCCCACGTGCCGCAAGAGCAGCTTCGTGTAGCCCTCCTCACGCACGACCCACTCGTGCTCGACAAACACGACAAAGAGCACAAACACGCACAACACAACCTGGAGCGCGCCGCCCACGTACGTGTGGGAGAAGAACGTCTGCGCCCGTTCCCAGAGCAGGGCGTGCGGGCTCGTGAACGCCTGCCCGTAGGCCACCACGTGGAGCAACGAGAGGCCGGCCGCCGGCATGCGCCCGTCCGCCGCGTACGTGCAGAGCCGCCCGACAAGCTTCCAGTACACGGGCACCTGGCACACGCACGCCACGTAGAGCGCCGCGGAGATGTACTTGACCACGGCCTCCTTGGCCAGCAGCACGAGCCGCGTGCCGATCTCGCGCATGGGCATGCGCCGCGGCATGGCGGGGTCGTAGAGCGTCACAAAGCGGTACGGCGTGGCGCAGATGTCGCATTTCTTGGTGCTGCCGCTGGCGTGCTCGAGCCACTCCAAAAGGCAGTCCTGGTGGATGTACTTGATCAGCCCGCGGCACTTGCACGGATGCATCAACGGCTGGGCGGGCGTGGCCTCGCCGCGGCAGATGCGGCACGTGGCGTCGGCGTCGGCCATGGGCTCGAAAACTGCAAAAAAAACGGCCGTTTCAAAGGCGTATTGGCCGAGAAACGGGGGTACGGATTAGCCGCCGGGGTGGGGTTTCAGGCGCCGGGAAAAGCGGCAGGTTGCGCACAAAAACAGGCCGCACGGGGATAGGGAGTATCCGGGAGTATGCGCTGCAGACTGCTGGCGCTGGATGGGGGAAAAGTGGGGTTTTTGCCCAGAATGCCGGGGGATGAAAGTAGTATGCTTAGTGGTACGGGGTTTGGTGTGCTTGATTCGTGAGTTCGCGGGCCTGGTGTACGGATGTCAGGCTTGCGGAATACAGTGGTTTGGGCCCGGGTCCTCTGGATGTCGGAGCAGCAGTGTTTTCGGTTTGCTTTTGTTTGTTTTTGTTTGTTTTCGTTTTGTTTGATTTTGGTTTGATTTTGGTTTGATTCTGTTATTATTTTGTTTTAATTTTGTTTTGATTTTGTTTTTTCGTTTTCATTCTGTTTCTTGTTTGGCTGTTTTTGATTGGGCTCTTCGGTCCGGGCTGGTGATCTGGGCTTCGGAGTATGTGCGGTTATCGGTTTTTGGTGTCGAGTAATCTGGCGTAATCTTGGACGGTCCCAAGACTGGTGAGAATATGGTGAATGTGGAGGGGCGGCTGGACCTGGACTGCCCGGTGAATCTGGTGCCGGACAAATAGAACGCTTGCCTCCATTAACCTGTAGTTCTGAAGGGGGTATTTTTTCTGTTTGTTTTTTGTTGTATAAAGTGTTCGGTCTATGGTGATTGTCCCAGAACAGGTTTGGGGCTCTGGGAAGTTCCAATTCAATGTCGCGGGGAGAAATTGCAATGTAAATTATATGATGCATATGTTGCAATGTCGGTATGGGGTATCTATTTGGAATGTAGTATCAACAATGCAATGTCAATATTACAATTCCTATAGTGCAATGTCGATATTACAATTCGTATAGTGCAATGTGCGATACTGCAATGTATCGATATTGCAATTCCTCTAGTGCAATGCATCGATATTGCGATATAATACAGTCTATCATTCTTTTGACGTGTCAATATCGCAATGTGTCTACAATGTGGAGTATCAATATTGGTATGGTATGTATCTATATTGATATGTATTCATATTTTAATGTATCAATACTGCAATGTATCAATACTGCAATGTATCAATAATGCAATGCATCAATAATGCAATGCATCAATAATGCAATGCATCTATAATACAGAGTTTCTATATTCCAATGTATCTATATTGCGCAGTGTATATACTGCTATGTATCTATTATGTATCTATATTTCAATGTATCAACAACGAAATGTGTCCCTATTTCAATGTGCGATATTGCAATATCTATAGTGCAATGTGTGATATGGCATTGTGTGATATTGCAATGTATCTATATTGTAGAGTCATTCTGCAGCGTATCTATATTTCAATATAGCTATGATACAGAATATCTTCCTTTCAATGTGTCGATAGAGCAATGTGATCATTTCGCAGCCAATCTAGATTTCAATACATTTATAATGCATATTTTATATTTCAATCTATAATGCAGAGCATCATCATTTCAATGCGTCGATATTGCAGTGGGCCTGTTGCGCAAGGTATCTATGATCTCAATGTATCTACAATACGATGCATCGATAGTGAAATGCATCAATTGTGTACTTTTATTTTGCTATCTGACTATACTGCAATCCGTAGTTGCTCCTTTATAATTTGATGAAAATACTGGAACTTTCTTCAGAACATTCATGCTGTGGAGTCTGGGCTTGCCAACCTTGTCAATAGCACTTCAGTGTGCATTGTCGTTAAGGTTCTCAAGTGAAATATCCCTACATGAATACCACGCTCAAATAGTTCAATTAAAAGTTTACCCGAGGAAATCAAGGCAGCCGTAATTGGGGTTAAATGAATAACCGTTGGCGTTTGGAATCTATCGTCCTTTTATGTTCGATGTTCGGCAGGTCACTCTGGATCTTCTTCTTGGGGAAGTTGGGCTGAACCGTAATGATTCTCCTTCTTCAAAGTTGAGGATGAGATGGTTCGAACTATGAATACCCAGCTAAAATTGACGAATATGAACCACGTATGTTTTGCTTCGCAGCACTTGTCTTTACCGCAATAGTTTCCAATAAATACTTAGTCATCATAGTTCTTCGCTTCGTATTAGAACAAACTGGTTCCGGGAAGAGAGAGCCGACCCATGAGTATCTCATATCAATCGCCATTTACAGGGGTCTCACAATTTAGCAGAAGAACCTGCGACCTGTCGTCCAATCTATACAAGTATGAAATACTTCGTGTTATTGAAGCTAATTCTAGGCTTGCTGAGTTTCTCTTGCCTAAGTAGGCCTCTGGCTTAAAAGTAGTGGGCTTAGGGATATACTTGGAATCAGTTCTCTTGCATGGGCTCTCCAAATCTAGCAATTTTAAAATGTGTATATTAATGCCACGTATTATATAAATAATGAGTAAGTATCAAGCCGGAAGAACTGCAAGTCAGGAACTACACTTTCACCTTTTCCACAAAAGTTATGCAGTTGATATTATGAGCTTGGATGGTGTTTGAAACATTTCGGAGATCCAATTCTAATCGAGCTCATTATATGTAAGTTGGAACTACAGTCGTGCTCTTCCACCAGTTTATTTCTTGGTCAGGCTCGAAATCTCACGGTGCATTGAACTTTGTTTCAAATTCTGGGGAAATAATCCCATGCTCTGCGTTATCGACGAAGCTCGATAATGCAATATAAATTGGAAGTGATTGTAATCAAGAAATCCATTCCAGAGAAACAGCACTTATGGCTGGCTCATGAAATTTTCTAATTAGCTCACATAATAATGCTGCATCAAAGAAATGCCAGGAAAGATTTGCAACTCAATGAAATATGGGTGCGGGTTCCAGAGGTTTGTAGACAAGTTTTGAGATACTATGGGTAATCAAATTAAATGTAAGCTACTGATGACTACACATTAACTCCTTGTGCCTGAAAATTTTGTTCGCATAAAAATTTTATTGATGTACTGACGTATAATGCTTGGAGTCTCACTCTGTATACTAATAAATTTGTGGGGTCAAAACAAGTTATCGAACACCTTGGTTTTGGAGGACCAGAGAGCTAAAAATGTTCAAGTTCTTCAGTAAACGATGAAAGGCTGAGCTTTTCTCTCGAATGTCAGCGAATGAAAGTACTCACCTCCAATTCTAAGTGCAGCCGAGTTCAGAAGAACATATAAAGCTGTACGACATCTTAAAAACGCTGAGCAATCGTGACTTTACAGGATCACCCGGCGACGAACCTGACATTTTTTGGCCTTTCGTAGTAATTTCTAAAGACTCTATGTATCTCAGGGGACGAAACTAGTCGCCACCTAGGTATTGCTGCTCAGTTGGATGTGAGCGCGTTGTTTAATCCTGTTCCTCTTGCTGTTCCTTAGCACCTTGTGGGTTGGCCTCTGGTTGAGAGTCTGGAATTGGCGTTTCGTGCTCAATTTGCACGTGCTCTGGAAGGGATTCTGCCTCAGGCTCCGCTCTTGCAATGGGATCTTCATGCGCAACGGATTGAGGTTTAATAGGGGCATCGCCTTCTTCAGCGATGGGCGCAGCCTCAGAAGGTACTTGTTGAGCAATGGATTCCACCTCTGCTTCTTCTTGTTGAGCAATAGATTCTGCCTCTGTTGGTTCTTGTTCTGCAGCGGATTCAGCATTATCGAGCGCAGCTGGTTCGTCCACGGTTTCAGCGATGTTTGCTTGAGGAGCAGCATCTCCATCTTTTCCTGTTGTAGCCTCATCGAAGAGCTCGCCTTGCGGAGCTTCTTCCTGTGCAGCACTACGTTTGAATGGCCACTCGCCAAGATGAGTTTCGGGTGCGGGAGGCTCTTCGTGAACGCTGTTGCTTGGAGGCTGCATTTTTGGCTCCAAGTCAACAACTAAGGGAGTTTCCTTAGCTTCGTTGATCACACTAGCAGAAGTAGTTGGTGTTACATCCTTACTGGTAGAGCTCAAGAGGAATCTCTCATAATCTTTCTCGGAGCGGAAGTGCGTGTTGCAGTCATAGTCCCAAGTACCAACAAGCTTCGACGAAAGGCATTTCAGTTTAGTCCAAACCGTTCCCGAAGTCAATGGAGAAAAGGTGTGATAAGCGACTGCCGTGACAGTCAAGAACAAAACTAAGAAAGTATAAGCGTACTTTCTGTATCTTTGGGACAGTGTTACCAAGAGGTCAAAGAAGTGACCAAGACCCAAAATTGCGAAATAATGAGCAGGCAAGTAGTGGTGCAAGAAGAGTTGTCTTCCCATGACAAAGAAAGGGAAATAATGAATGGCCCAACCAACAAAATATGTGAACATCTGGTAGTTGTAGTTAAACGCAGCTTTTTGGAAGTTCAAGTTTGAGCCACTCTGCCATTTGAGAAGTGTAATGGAGACGTGAACAAGGAAACCAAACAAACACGCAGAAGCAGTCCACCAGACAACAGGATTACCAATGAAGTAGACTTGAGTATGGTCTCTTGCCCAGTAGTTGATGCCACGCAACAAAAGCGGCCATTCGTATGGACTAGATTGATAGTCGTGGTACGAAGTCAAAGCGTTGTTGACCTTCCACATGACTTTGTGTGCTTCAATGAACTTTTGCAAAAACGTCAATTTAGCGTAAAAGGCCCTGTCTCTGCCAACGAATTTTTCGTTGTTGTTCGACTCAATGTACCAATGGGTCAAAGGTCTCGCGCCTTGCCCAGCACTGGTGACCTCCTGTTGACGGAAACCCCATTCCTCGGGCAACTTGACATCGCTGGAAAACAAATAGTGGCCAGACATAGCATGTTTCAAGCGGAATACAGAGTCTATGGCCCTCAAGTTCTCCTTGGCGTTCTCAGTGGATTTATGTTGCACAATTTCAACAATCCAGTCATCGTTGGGGTCACCGGCAAAGCCTTTGTAGCCATAGCACGAAGCCTCCTTCTGCCAGTCGCGGTCAGACACCGGGGGCTTCTCGTCGTGCGAGTGCAATCTCAACCCAGTTCTAACGTGCTGCAACCTTATCTTGTCGCCGTTCTTGATGGGCACGAACTCGTCAGGGATAGACATGTTGTAAGGTTCAATCAACCAGTCGTTGTTTGGATCAAGATGTGGGTACAAGGTGATTTGCTGCTGCTTAGAGCCTGCGGGATAATAATGTTCGTGCGAGTGCAAGTAACCACCTTTGGTGTTGATGTGGCGGATGGTGACCACGGAGCCGTATCCAACGGGTCCTGTAGTGGACTCTGGCACTGTAGAGCCAGACAATCCTTTACGGAACGCGCTGGACATAAATGCAGAGCCCTCGGCGTCCCGGGACAAAATCGAGAAGTGAACGCTGAAGAACGCTAAATACAAGACAAGCGGTACACCGAGCAAAAACGAAGCCCGGGTAATGGCATTACGAACAATCAGGCTGGTCTTAACCAGCAAATCGCCGATGAGGAACCACATTTGTATCACGCATAAGACGCCGACCCAGGCAACGGTGAACAAGCCAACCCATTTGGACAGCAAGGCCAAGCCGAGAGAGACCAGACAGGAAAGAAGGGCGCGATACCAGCCCCAGGAGAACGGACGCTGAACCTCAAATTTCTTGAATGCGTAGACGGCAGATGCGACGAAGAAGACCAACGGCGCGTCGAGCAAGATGTACTTGGAGATCGTGACGAACGAGTTTTCCACAAGAAGACAAGCGGCAGTCACAAACGCCACAGCAGGGCGCACACCCAGCGACCGCAACGTCAAGTAACAGAGGAACACAGTAAGCAAGCCGAGCACGGCCGCAAACAGGCGCATCAACACGTAGGGCACGTTCTCCGGGTACACGTCGCCAATGGTTGTGAAGTCAAAGTCACCCTTGAACCCACCCAAGTACAGCACGGCTGCAAAGAGCATCTTGGCCAATGGCGGGTGCACGTCCATGAAAAAGTTGCCGAGCACGTAGAACTTGGAGAATTTGCCAAAGTGCACCTCGTCAAAGACAACAGACCTGGGCACGGAAATGTTGCTCAAGCGCACCCAGATTCCAGCAACAAACAACACAGCCAAGAACGGCCACTCGGCCGCGGTCACGGTGCGTGAAGCGGTCACAGAGGGTGGGACCTCGGTCACAAGATATGGTCTCGCGACACCCTGCTCAAAACGGGGCTCTGCCACGGGATCAACGTCCCACAATGAAGGCTTCTGTGGGGGCGTGGGCTGAGGAGCCTTCAGCGTTGATTTTTTCGCCATTTTAGGGGTGGGAAAACAGGAGTGTTGCGGCTGGGTCAGGGGTTTGGAAAGAATAGCGTTGTTTTTTTAAGCTTGGTGGTAATGTCGCGGCCAGTCGCGCGGCCTGAGGACACGTCAGCCACACGCGCCGAGGGGGTGTCACGTGAGGGCCTTCAGGGTGTAGTTGTCACGTGTCATGAATACAAACAGGAGATTTTCCTGTGTTTTCTAGTCATCAGATGAACCAGGCTTTCTTTGAATACCATGGCGCTTCGACCTGTATGTGAAATGGAAATAGGAAGAAAAACATGGATTGGGGGCTGAGTGTGTAACCTGTTCGATCACAGACACAAATAAGCGCTGAGTCGCCAGCTAAGCCATTGGCCCAGCTGTAAGAGAACTAAATTACCCAACTTCCTATCATATAGCCGGGAAATGAGTGTATTTTAGAGACATTAGAAAAGAAAGCGTTAGGCGGCTAAGATTTAAGTTGTTGCGAAATTAATTGCAAATGCTACCGGGGGAGTTTGCATCCGTACACCCGAATTATTAGCCTCGATCCCGGGTATCCTAACTCGTGTTTTGGTGCTGGAGTTTCAAACGCTAGTCAGACATTTGAAGAGGATTCACGGGCTGGAGTGTCTGGAAGCATAGGTAATTCTAGGACCATGCTTTATTTGCTGTTTTTTTTTTGTTTTGTTTATCTCTTGAGGACTCTGGCCTTCGAGAGTTCCACAAGCTGTGCATACTAATATACGGTAATTTGCAACCATTACTTGCGAACGGGTTGCTCTGTCATACGATAGGTGGAGGGCTCAGAGCTTGAGTGTAAGTAAAAGTCTTGAATTTTGTGCTTTCAATGCTTACTAGTTCCGGGATTTTCTTTTTTTTTTTGCCCATTTTGGATAACAACGTCCGTGTGATAATTAAGCATGATGAGAGAAAATTTGAGAATTTATGCTTGTTCTCAAATGCTGCTCTCATCGACAGTAATCTAGATAGGTCCAGGCACTTTGCATCACTGCATCTCTTATTTTAGTTCTTTCTTTGTAACAAATACTCGTACCTTGTAGTGGAATCCGATATTTCCAAAAGGCTTGACGGCTTGCACGTCTGATTTGTTCTCAAATTCAGGTATAGTTACACCCCTAAATTCACCCCCCAATTAAGGAACAATGAGCCTCAGAGCCAGTCCTCGTTTTTCTGTCCCTTTTTATCTCCTTCATGTGCTCTTTTTTGAAAGGAAACTTTTACTTTTCAAAAAAAAGAGACAGTAACTGGACACACTGAAAACATGACCAGTACTTGTGAGTTCCACGGAAAGTTTGTAGTTTTGACAAACCAGTTCCATGGCTCGTCAGGTGGAAAAAGCCACGATCATAAGTTTTGACGATATCTCAGGAGTTTAAGTAGTTGGGTGCAAGACCTAACTCAGAAACGCACTTTACTAATTGTCCTGGGCCTTGGCCCTGGAATTAGTGCCGATGTTTCGCGCAATCCAGGGCGTCCATCATCGAATATTAGTAGACTCCCAGCCAACAGGAAAACAAAAGAACAAGCACATGGTATTATCTCCAAACCTCCAGCGGCTATTTCGTACATTGCTTTACTATCTCCATCCTTATATCTACATCCTTATATCTTCCTCATATCTCTATCCTCTTATCTCCATTCTCATATCTCCATTCTCATATCTCCCTTCCATACCCCCTCTCATTCCTCCCTCTCATACGGACCAGTGCCTCTGATCTCCAAATAATTTTGCAGCCGCGCGGCCTCCCAAGCCCACGTAGAATCATGGCCCCAAAACCATGGGCCTGTACTCCACGCCCTCACAGCCGCCCCAAATCTTCCCTTTTCTACTTCACCTTTTTTCGTGCAAAATGAAGAATCCAAATGGTGCTGTATTTTCTGTTCCGCCGTGGAATCCTGGATGCGCCGCTGTTGGGAGAAGTTGGATATCCGTCCATGGCGGTTCTACAAGTTTGGCCACGAGTAATTTGTGCTCCTTTCCATGACAGTTTTTGCCCCCTTCCCTGGCTTTTTTGTGCTCCTTTCTCAGGCTTTTTGTGCCGCTCCCTCAGCCATTTCTTGTCCCTTTTCATGGCTGTTTTTTTTTTCGGCCTGGGCGACGGGGCCGGCTCGCGCCAGGCTGCGGGTTCCACGGCTCGCGCTTTCGGCCCCAGGCTGCTGTTCCGGGACTCGCGCTTTCGGCCCCAGGCCCGGCTGCCGCGCCGCCTCGCGTGGCGCCTGCAAACACGCCAAAACATCGGCCCCAGCGCGGGCCACCCAGACGTGGCGGGCGCCGCGGGCCAGGGCCAAGCCGCCAAATTAGCCGCGAGCAATCTCCCCCAAAACACAGTCAGTTTCGCCTTTAAAGCCACCAAACCAGATCTGCAGATCCCGTGACAACGCAGAAATTTCACCTCATTTTTTTAGGGATATGTGCGCCAGGTTTGCCATGTATGGTGCCCCCATTATGGCACGCTCGCGTGAGCCGTGCTCTGGGGCCGGCCTCCATCACGGGCCCTCAAATATGCCCATGCGCGTGCACTACTCATCACCAACGAACAAAAAAAAAAACACAGGGTTTGGGATATCTCTCCTGACATGTGGCCCGCAAAGAAAACCTTGGGTACGCGGTTGACATACGGCCTCCACGGCCCGCCCGTGATGTTGCCGGCGCCCGTTCCCGCGGGCTCCGAGGCGGGCCGGCCAGTCGTGCACCCTCGACTACCTGATCTGGGCCCGAAGTTCCACGAGATCGTCCATTCGGCCGTGGAAATCTCACCCGAAGCATCACCAACTCATGTCCGCCTACGACGTGTGGAGCCCGCCTTGCTGGCCAATCTCCACGACGAACTTGCCGCCCCGACGCCGCTTCTTGATGCCGCCGACGCCGCGGCAGAACCGTTCCATCAGCCCCAAGCCCAATACCCGATCAAAGGCCCGCTTGCCGCCTCGCTCTTCCTCGGCACGGGGGCCTACTCGGAGCCCGTCATTCTTGGAGGTAGGCCCTACTATCCCAAGGCAAAAAACAGTGTGGTTTCGGTGCGCTGCCTAGCCTTCGCCAGCAGTGCTTATACGCTCAAGGTAGTCCCCTTGATGCCCAAAAGGAAGAACTTCTTCGATAGAAAGAACCCCCAGAACTCACAGAAGGCCCTATTCCGCATCCCACATATCTCCGAGCATGCCGTTGAGTGCACGTTCCCCTTTGAAATCCTCCAGATCGAAGCGTGCCTGGACAATAAGGTTCTCCTAGCACGCGGACTCCAGCACATCGCAGTTCTCACCATCAGCTGGTCCAACGACCCCGGCGAAAAACGAGTCCGCCTAAAAAATGCATTCACTATTTCCCATCATGGCGGCAACATCGTGCACCTGGCCCTTGGTCACGAAAGACTTGTGTTCCTAGACTCCGAAGGTACATACTCTGCATACTCTTTCGGGCTCCGGGAAGTTTGGGAGTACCAAAAAACCGCCGGCGGCAAGGTGCCTAACTTTGATCCGAGCGATACGTCCGCATGGAGACGGCTCTGCTGGCCATCCGCATCTGAATACATGTACTATTTCACTCGCAAGAGCGTCGCCCGGGTCCACATCAAAACAGCCGTTGCACGCAAACTCATCACCTTTCATGTATGGCTGCGAGCGCAGGACTTCACGATCTTCGGATCTGACTTGTTTCTCCTCACCTCGCAAGAAATTGTGTGGGTGCGCCTCACGAAGAACGGCGGGTTTTCACGGCTCCTATCCTGGAAACACTATCTCGATAACAAAGATAAAACACTCAAAATGACTGCATGCTACTGCAAGACTGGTGACATGTATGTGTGTTTGGTATATTCATCGATCACCCCTTTGGCGGTCATGTATACCTTCGGTACCCGCAACGAATACCCCAGCATTCTCAGGGATCCGTACATTTTCTGCCGTGACTTGAAAGATACCATGTATCTCTTCTTAATGGAGACCCCGAGCATTCTGTGTTCGCAAAGCCCTATTTTGGCGTTAGCAGAAATGACCAACCAATACCGGCTGACATATAAGCTCTATTCAAGCCAACCACACCGTGAATTCCGGATACATAATCAAGAGCCAACGAGACATCCCATGCTTGAGACCTGGTCTTCCAAACTTCACCCGCTGGAGGCAAAATGGTTGTTTCAGTTATTCGACGGCAAAGTGCTGAATGCCAAACCGTCGCCTGAAACGACGCCTCTCCTTGCATATGAAGATCGCCAGGGCCAACGCTTTCTCCCAGAAAATGAAGAAACGGCTGGATTTTCCTCCCATAGCCCATCACTCAACTCAAACAAAGTCGCAGATACAAATGACGAAAAAGAAGTCAACATTGTACAAGACTACGCCTTCAAACTAGGTGCAGATATCCGACAGTTTTTTTACCCCGAAAACCAGCTGCCCGCAGAAGCGATCACTTTAACAGCCCACCGTTCTTTAGCAACGATTGCAGAGGCAGTACCCTTGGAAGTGAACGACCTTGAAGAATTTGAATCCATGTTGACACAACTTGGCGAATACTATGCCTCGCAAGGTTTGACTCTTCTTCCTTTTGCCTCCGAGGCCCTTGGATGCTGTGGCACGGCGTTCTTACATATAGATCATTTGATTCAGGAGATCACACGGGCCATGGGCGAATTTGCCCCAGAAGGTGTGCCAAAAGCGGCTGCGATTCTCGCGACCAGTTTGATAAAAGCACACGGTGATTTTCCTGTGAACTACATTGACTGTATCGACGAGGAAACGGAAGGCTTTCCAGATCAGCTCCTAGATACTCTTGGGGAATGGGAGGTCGCGCTGCCATCGTCTGCGCAAAATGGCAAAACGCACCATCTGTTACCCAAATCAAGTGGTTCCAGGCGTGATGGCATCTCTCAAAGCCAAAGTCTACTTCGGCGTGCTCTCACTCAGAATTCACAGCGAGAAGAGGTGACTCCACTTTCGGACCCGAAGTGGAGTTCAGACTCAGATTCAGACAATCTGGTAGATTCACGCTCCGATGCAGAATCTTCGAACTCTCCAGCACCATCTCAACGTCCTTCTACTGAAAGCCAACCCAGTGTACAACTCTCGCTGCCTCCATCTACTCTTTTGATGGCTGACCACGAGCCAGATTTTCCCTCCTTAAGCCAACCGAAGAGCGAGCCGCAGATCCAACACAGCCAGCGTCTGCCAGATGGCAAGCCCAAAAAGACATCTAAAAGCCAGCCCTCTTCTCAATCTTCGCTGTCGCTCAAACGACCAGGGTCGCAGTCTCTGCTTATTAGAAAAAAGAAGAAGACCAAAGGAGGTTTTGCTTGAAGGACATTTCTGTGCATCGCTCTTCTTCCCCGCGAATACACCGTTCATTTGCTTGGCTACATAATGGAGCCGGTAAGCTCATGCATGGCGCAGCTCTCCAATGAGACTCTTAGGCCCCTCCTGAGCGACGCGATGATCCCGCTTGGACAGGTTGCCATCGTCGAACAAGGACGCATCTTCAACTTCATAGACATGCTCGGAGCATGGACTCGGGCCCATAATTGCATACATTTAATAAATGACTCCAGAAAGACTATTGAGCGAAAACACGTTGTACTTTGATTGCCGATACACCTATTTCGATGGGTCTTCCTCGAACCTCAAGTCCCACCCAATCTTCTCGCCCAACACAGGCAACACATTGGCAACAGACTGCACGTCCTTGTCTCCTCTGCCCGACACATTGATGATAATGTGCTGGTCGGGAGTCATGGTCTTGGCAAGTCTGAGTGCACCAATGATGGCATGCGAGGACTCCAACGCAGGGATGATTCCTTCCAACTGCGACAACAAGCGGAAGCCCTCCAACGCCTCGGCGTCAGTAACAGCCACAAACTCTGCTCTTCCAGAAGCCTTCCAGAACGCCAACTCAGGGCCCACGCCCGGGTAGTCCAAGCCGGCAGACACCGAGTGGGTGTCGTGGACCTGGCCGTCGTCATCCTGCAAAACAAATGTCTTCACACCGTGAAACACACCTGGGCTTCCGGCAGTCAAGGTGGCGGAGTGGCGCGCAGTGTCCACGCCGTCACCACCGGCCTCCACGCCCAACATTTTCACGGAGGTGTCCTTCTCGAAAGGCGAGAACAAACCCGTCGAGTTCGAGCCTCCTCCCACGCAGGCCACCACAGCGTCGGGCAACTTGCCGTCGTTCAATTCCATGAACTGTTCCTTTGCCTCCTGGCCAATCACACTTTGGAATGTTCTCACAAGCGTGGGGTATGGGTGGGGCCCGATGGCCGAGCCCACGACGTAATGCGTGGAGTCCAAGTTCGACACCCAGTAGCGGAACGCCTCGGACGTGGCGTCTCTCAAAGTAGCAGTGCCGTTGGTGACGGCCACGACCTTGGCGCCCAAGATTCTGATCCGGAACACGTTCAACGCCTGGCGCTTCACGTCCTCGGCACCCATGAACACACAGCACTCCAAGCCAAACTTGGCGCATGCGGTGGCAGTGGCCACGCCGTGCTGGCCGGCGCCGGTCTCGGCAATGATTCTCTTCTTGCCCAAGCGCTTGGCAATCAAGACCTGTGCCAACGCGTTGTTGATCTTGTGCGAGCCCGTGTGGTTCAAGTCCTCTCTCTTCAACCAGATCTGCGCTCCCCCGGCGTGCTCCGTCAACCGGTCGGCCTTGTGGAAACTCGAGGGCCGGCCAATGTACAGGTACAAGGACTTGAACTCCTTCCAGAACTCCGGGTCTGCAGTGGCGCTCTCAAACCCCCTTTCCAACTCGGCCAAGCACGCGTGCATGGCCTCCGGCACGTACTGGCCGCCGAAATCACCGAAAGTGGGGGAGTACTTGCGCACTTCCTCCGTCAAGGCCTCGGGCACCACGTGGCTGGCCGGCTGTGTGTACTCCTTGTACGCTGGCGGCGCAATGGGGGTGTACTCGTCGCCCAAAATGGCCTTGACGAAGTCACGTGCCACCTGCCTTCTCTGGCCCGGCTCGGACTCGCCCAAAAGCGTGATGATCTTGGATCCAATCACCACGCCGTCGGCCGCCTTGCCCACGGTCAAAAAGTGGTCTCTGTTGGAAACGCCAAACCCGACAGCCAACGGCGTGTCGCCGGCGAATTTGCGCACACGCGCACACAAGGCTGCGATCCCGTTGGACACCTCTGTGGAGGCTCCCGTGGTGCCCATACGCGACACCACGTATATGAACGAGTCGGCGATTTTACCCAAGGTCTGCAAGCGGGCGTCCGACGTGACGGGCGCCACCAAAGGCACGTATGAGAGGCCGTACTTCAGGCACGTGCCGCGGAACTTCACGGCCTCCTCGGGAGGCAAGTCCACCACGATGTAGCCGTTGGCGCCGGCCTTGGCCGAGTCCTCAACCATTTTCTCCTCACCGTACATCAAAATCGGGTTGTAGTAGCCCATCAAAATGATGGGCACGGACACGCCCAGCTTTCTGGCCTGCGACACCAACTCGAGGCACCTCTTCACCGTGGTGCCGTTTTTCAATGCTACCGTGTTGGCGGCCTGGATGGTGGGGCCATCTGCGATCGGGTCCGAGAACGGGATTCCCAACTCGATGACATCGACCCCGCCCTCCTGCATTCCTTGCAAAATAGGCACGGTGTCCTCGATGGTGGGGAACCCGGCGGTGATGAAGTTCACCAAGGCGTTTCTGCCCTCGTCCTTGCAGCGCTGGAAAGTCTCTCTCAAATGCTGCGACATGGTTTGCGGTCTTTTTCTCCCCGGCTGAACTGTCTGTTTTTTGGGATGCTGGGTGTGTTTTTCGATCTGCTATCGAAAAGATGGGTGCTTTGGGCTGAGAAATATCACTTTGGGCTGAGAATTTTCGCAGTGCCGCTCGCCCATATATATATGGCGATATGGGGCGTGTTCTTGCAGTGCGGAAATGTTCTTGCAGTGCGGGAATGAGTCAGTTCAGGGTAACCCTCCGGCTGCACGACGTACCACAAAAAACAAGAAAATAAAAATGACAAAGTACCCGGAGGACCGAATACCAGCAGGTTTGTTCTAAAGCGAAGGGCCCTTCTCATTTCAAAGGCACTTATTGTGGGTTTCGGTGTTTTTGCTGGTCCTGTTCGTGGCTTCGGGGAGTGCGTGGATCAGATGGCTCAGTAAGCCAAATCCCGAGGCGTGCGGCTGCAAGGCCAGAGCAATGGAAAGTTTGCCACCAGACTGGCGGCCTTCCCAGAATGGCAACGAAAAGAAATCCTGGGAAAGGAAAGAAAACGAAGAAAACGAAGTCTCGAGTTAGTATAACCACTGGAATGCAATGCGTGAAGCGATGGAATTTCCAGGAAAAAAAGAAGTAATATCCTTTTTCGGGTATTGCCTGGAGGGTGCTGGGGACGGTCTTGGGACGCTGAGTCGCACGTCTGGCTAATATCAATGAGAGCCAGCTCGGGCGTGTTTTCGGCATGTTTTTGGCGTGTTTTCGGCATGTTTTTGGCGTGTTTTTGGCATGTTTTTGGCGTGTTTTCGGCATGTTTTTGGCATGTTTTTTGTGTGTTTTTGGCATATTTTTTTGTGTTTTGGCATGTTTTTGGAACGTTTATTGCATGTTTCTTTTGTTTTTTGGGATGTTTCTTGCTCGTTTTTTGCATGATTTTGGCATGCTTGTTGCACGTTTCTTGCATGTTTCTTGTACATTCCTTGCACGTTTTTTGCAAGTTTCTAGCACATATCTTGCACGTTTCTTGTACGTCTCTTGCGCCATGTCTTTGTTTTGTATGCTCTCTGAACTTTTCCGGTTGCATTTGGCCTTTCTCGAAATTTGGAACTCCTCTCTTTCGAATCCCGTGCCGTCCCTTTGGTGGGCCAATCGCTGCTGAGTCCTAATCCAAGAACCTCGCCTGGGCTTCATTATATGGCTTGCGCCTCGGCAGAAGTAGCGGTGTCTATGCTCCGTCTCTGAACCTCCCTTGTCTGTCTTCTCCGTTCTCTCTTCCCGTCATCTTCCACGACTGTCAAGCAGTCTCTGGTTCTCTAGTCCCCTTCACGCCGTACTCCTTGATCTCTTTTTTTTTTTTGGACACGATCATACACCTCTCAAAACCCAGAAATCGAACTTTCCCAGACAAACCTCCAGCATATTTGGACAGCACCATTGCGGCTCCGTTGGCCTCGTCTACGCCTGTGAAAGCACGATTCCAGGCACTTTCTCCAATCATCAACCCAAATCTACATGACCCCGGCGATGCTTGAGTTGCTACTTGCCTTGCCATTGGTGGTGCCATTGGACAGGCCACTCAGCACCTCGACCTCGTGGCCCAACTTGATCTGGGTCAAATTGATGATGGGCAAAAGCCGGTTGTACTGGGCACAGAAACCCTTGATATCCAGGCGGATAGTCAGCACTTTGGCCAGCAAATTGTCGTAGTACACCTGCTGGCTCTGGCTCTCAGGAATGGTGGCCAAGGCCTTTAGAAACACCGACATGTCGCTGCGAAGTATGTTGATCTCGCTTTTGAGATGCTCGAGCTCGGCGTAGATGACCTGCGGGTCGACGCGGCCCGACGTGATGTCGTCGATTTTGATTTGCTCCGGGAGAGTGGCCATTTCGTTCTTATTTTGCAGGGCCATACTGAAATTGCCGGGTGGTTTTTTAAGCGTTGGAGCGACGCGCACTGCGTGGTTCCAAGTATCTGGGCCTAAAGCACATAGGACAATGAAGCGGGACATCGGGATTTTTAGTATGTGGAATTGGCATGTAAAAGGAAGCCTTGGGCTGTGCCTGCTTTTATTTTGGTTCCGCTCAGATCATGCCTCTTGGACCATGTGGCTCGGCATATTTCTCTTAGCTGCTCGTGGCCTGCTGGCCCTGCAAACCGAGCGGCCTAATAAAGAGGTCTCTGCTGAGCCCTCATATTCCCATCGCATACCGGCTTCAGGCTTCTTTCTTCCGGCCAGGTTGTTTATGTTTTCAGTAGTGAGGTCTTGGGTACATCTTCTATTTTTGATTGTGTTTTTTAGCTGCCCCGATTCCAACCATGTTTATTGCCAGAGGTCGTATGCTGCAGGAACTCGTTGGGTCGTGGAACCAGAACTCTCCGAAGATTCTCTGACTGGCCCTGATAAAAGGGGTGATTTCCGAGACATTTCTGGATGAAGGTTGAACATATGATAATCAGCATGAGCATCACCGCCATCCATCACCCGAATAAAGTCGGTATATACAACACCATTAAACATCGTATAAATAGTGTCAGCATAATGACATCTACATTTCCATCAAAATGGCTAGTGTCATCATCGCCATAGAAAAACACCATAGATATAGCTCGTGCGTACATCATCGCCATGGAAACAACGCCATAAACAAAGCCATAAACAAAGCCATAAACAAAGCCATAAACAAAGCCATAAACAAAGCCATAAACAAAGCCATAAACAAAGCCAGTGGATGCAAAATCATTCACCTCGTCATAAATAGTGTAATGCATACTCACATCTACATTATCATTAATATGGTCAGTGTATACATCATCGCCATAGAAAAAACACCATAGATATAGTCGGTGTGCAGATATAACTACACCCATCACATAAATATAGTCAGGTACCATCACCTAAATATAGTCAGGTACCATCACATGAATATAGTCAGGTACCATCACATAAATACAGTCAGGTACCATCACCTAAATATAGTCAGGTACCATCACCTAAATATAGTCAGATACCACCACCTAAATATGTATATTCTTCACCATCATGATTCCCTTCACCATTAACATTCAGTGCATACATAGTCACCTCTATAATACCACCACAAATATAGTCAGTACATACATTATCATCATCAAGACCATGCCATCAAGACCATGTCATCACGACCATCACCATCAAGACCATATCATCACGACCATCACCATCACGACCATGTCATCACCATATGCCCTCGTTTCTACTGATCCGCCCCAGACACAGCCCCCGGGCCCCCCTTTGGCCCCGCCTCCCGCAACGGCCGGGCGTCGCCTCGCAGACCACCGCCGCCTTTCTCGGCATTGTCCACTCTCTTGCCGCGGACCTGCCTCCTCCGGATATGCACAGTGTTGTCCTCAAGCTCCCACGGCACGTTGTACCTTTCTCGGAACTCGGCCCACGTGACTCCCTTGGGCAAGCACCTCTCCAAGTCCTCGAGACTGTACGTGTAGTACGCGCCATTGAAGCACTCGATCATGTGGCGCATCATCGTCGCGAGTCCCATGGTCATGATGGCGAACACCGAGTGGTCGCTCTCGGAGTTGTAGAGCTCCATCCACGCGTGATAGTCGCCCTGCGCCCACGCCACTATGGCCTGCAAAATGCGGCACTCCTTGTGCGGGTTCAAGTACTGGAAAAAGAGCCGGAACCCTTCGCTGGTGTCGCCCGTCCGGTGCGTCACGTGAAGCACCAAAATGCTGGCCATCTCTTTTCTCTCGGTCCGGGTGAGCAAGCTCCTGCCGTCCGCTAGCAAGTACTGGATGCTGGGCACATATGTCTGGTAGTGGCCCACTGCCGAGCTGACCCTGACAGAGAACAAATGCACTTTTTTCGAGAACTCGCTGGGCGGGCTGTGGAGCAACGCCTCACGCAACTTGCGCAAGCTCGGCAAGACCTGCTCGGAGCTGGCGCTGCTGCCTTTGATGCCCAGGTCCGCGGACATTTTCTCCGCACATTCCGCGACGGCGGCCAGCCCGCTGTTTTCCACCTGCCTGAAAGTCTCGAGAATCCAGTCGAAATACTCCCGCTGTGCCGTTTCGCTATGCTGGAGCCGGCTGTCCTCGCCCCTGCTGATGTATCCATACAGCGCTGGGTCCACCAGTTTGCCGTCGCTATTCGAGCGGCCTGCGCCGGGATTTCCGGCATAAAACCGCATTTTCCGTCTCTCCCGCTTTTGCTGTTCACTGGCGGATTCGGAGTCTTCGCCCCGGTGTCTTGTTTGTAGTGAGTTTTGAGGGCACAGGGCCACCCGGCGAGCCGAAGAAAACGTGTTCATCTCTTGCTGAGCCTGCCCTATTGAAGCTGATGAACTTATATACCGCGAAGTTCGACGCTTACAAAAAACGATGGCCTGGAGCTGCGGTGTACTTCGTCGAAAATGCCTGTGCTTTCGTTGCAGACTAGATATCCATTGATCGGGTGCAAATATGCGCGACTGATGCCTATGATACCTCTGGGCCAATACAACGCAATTTGCCCATGGCACGTCATCTTTACACACAGGCCTCGAGGTAGACCAACCGAGGATCTCGCTTTGGAACTGGGTTGACCAGGGGCTTCGTTGGGTGGGTTGCGTGCATCAGATACAAGCAAATAGAAATACTTCGCGTCACGTGACCGAGGGCGCCTTGCTTGTACGGAGGCTGTTGGAGGTACGCCAGGGTGTCTCCTGAGGTGGAGACCTGTATAAATTTGCTTGCCGGCTCAGACGGGAAAGGGGTTGATTTGAATTAACGTTCTGTACGCACGGGAGAACCGAAAAGTCCTACCTATGATGATATACATGTAGTTAATGTTTCTAACAGCTTTGAGATCTCAATGTCCATTTCTCAACTTTTTTGAGAACTTCTAGAACAGGTCTCATTTCGCTTCGACTTCGTCACCTGAAGCGGCTGGGCAGCATACAGGGCACCAAAGAAAACATGTTGAAAAGTGGAGGCAGGCAGCAACATTGTACCTTCTTATTGGTGAAGATCTTCAATCTTTCTCCGGACTTTCATCCGGTCTGGATGTAATGAGCTTTCTCCAACTGGGTGGTCATGGCAGATGACGACAGGCAACCAATAACTTGAAATACGTGCTCATGACTCGGGGTGGACGGACGCGCGTTGTTTAACTGTAAGCTCTCAAATGTAAGCATACAGTGCATGCGTCACTGTGGACAGTAGCTGATAGTATGTTATCAAGTACTCACTTTCGCATAAACTGAGATGCATGGTCTTGGGTGCGTATACCGCCCGGAAATTAGTGGATGTCATTGACTCTTTGGGAGAATTGAATGGCCTTTGGAGTTGTAGTGAGAGAGCAGGTCGGATGCGACCTCAGTCCGGGTGATGCTATAATTATACCACAACAACACATGCGGGCAGTGTCGCCTGTAGCGGGTAAAAGTCCTGGATTGAATGCTCATGATACCGGGTTACTGCGAATAGCAGCACTTTTTTGGTATCTCTTGTAAAGTTTGAAGCACGGCAAAAATGGCAAGCGTCTGTTCTAACCCAGAGTCATCAGCTCGGGTAAGGCGCGTCTTTCTCGTGACCTTGAATTAGGGAAGACACCCTGTTATGAGACGTATTGGTCCCAGCTCGAGCTCGTGGTGTCCCTTCTGAGGAGGCTCGCACCAGTCTAACCCGCAAGTTTCCCCTTTGTCGCCAACGCCCTACTGGTGTAGTATCGGTCACCGAAATTAAGCACCCCCACCACTAGTAAGGCCAAGATCGACACACCCAGGCTCAAGTTGAACACCAGCGAGTAGCAGCGGCTCCCCAACGTGCAGGTATACACGCCATCGACGCCCGCGGCCGATTTCGAGTCGTAGACCTTGCCAAAGAGGTTTGTCAAGACGAAACTGGGCACGACCGGCGCAAGCCCCACAAGCCCCCAGTTGCCTGAAAAGTTGGCGATTCCAAACGCATCGCCTACGATTGTGGGCATGATACATAGCGTGTAGCCGTAGAAAAAGCCCGAGAGCATCGACGCAACACCCAAATACTCGTGGCTGGTGATGGCATGGCCCAAGACCTGTGTGCACACAAGGCCCACGCCGGGTACAAAGAGAAGCCAGGCGCGCAGCTTGCGGAACGTTTGGGAGATGATGTCGCCCATCACGCCCGCGACGAGCCGGCCCACGCAGTTGGTCATGGAGAGGAGCGCGACCTGCACCTGCTGTTGGTTCTGGATCACCATGTCCACAGACAGGCTGGTGGCCGCAGCCGCATCGATGTCGAAGTTGCGGATCACAAGCGCCTTGACCATGTAGCCTACCGAGTAGATGTACATCTGGCCCAAGGAGGCCATGGCGCCCGTGATGAGGAAGAGGAGCCAGAAGCGCGGCAGGCGAAGGAGCGCGAGACCGTGCAAGTCTGCAGGCCCGCTTGTGGGAGTGGCGCATGGCGAGAGCGCCCCTTTCATCTCCGAAAGCCCGCGGAGATTGACCATCTCGATGGAGTCGGCGAGCCGCACGGTGCGGCCGGACAGGCAGGGCCTGCGGTCGCAGAGCATGACACAGGGGCTGCAGAGCGCAAAAAGAGCGGCCACGGACGCCATCAAGAAGCGCAAGAAGCCCGCAGTGTCGCCCGCGTAGAACACCAGCGCCACCACCAGGTAGAACATCGCCGAGAGCCCGTAGAGCGCCAAGGGCAACGACGTGGCCACGCCGCGGAGGCTCGGGAACGTCACGGCACAGCACTTGAGGCACGCCAGGTTGATCAACGTGGACCCGGCGCCCACGGAGAAGAGACAGAGGCACGACAACGCCACGTTCAGGTACGTGTGCGTGTACTGGCGGCGAAGCACGAAGTAGCCCAACACAATGAGCGAGCCGCCGGCGCAGAGCGCGCCCGTGTACCCCTTTCTGTCCACGGCGAGCCCCGCCATGGGGCCCGACACGGCCACGCCGAGACTGCCCACCAAGGCTATGGACAGCGCGTTAGTGGCCAGGTACTGGAGCCGCTGCGCCAATTGCGGGCTGTACGACAGGTAGAGGTAGAGCGTGCCGCAGATGAGGCCCAAGAACGTGCACGAAAGCAAAACGAGTGTTTTGTGGACGGAAGAGGGGATCATGGCGAGGGCGCTGGCGGGTGGTAGCGTTGGCAGATGTAGAAAGACGTGTCTTTTTTTTTTGTTGTTTTGGGCGCGGCGCGGCGCTGTTTATGGGGCCGAGCTTGGTGACAGGTGTCAGGCCCAGCGCCGCGGCCGCGGGCAGTGTGGCTCTATTTTCTAGCGCCGCAAAAGAATGGGGCCTCGAGTTGAAGTGCCACGCGGGAGGTGCGGGTTTGTGAGACCTAGCGATTTTGGCCCTGTGATTTTGGCCCTGTGATTTTGGCTTGCGGCTTTCTATTTGTGGTTAATCTTGTCTTGACTTCAAAGGCCTTGTATTCTTGGGCCTCAATTCGTAGTCCTGTGTTTCTTAGAGTGTAACGTGACCTTGTAGCCCTGTGTTCCAAGCGCCCTGTGAAGCGCCTTGTTTTCAGCGCGTGGTGCTATTCCTTGTATCTAGACGCTTTGGGCATGAAGGGCCCGAAGGAAAAGACAAGGGGTTCGAACGGCTAGTCAGCAGGCCAATAATATCAAGACAAATTCGGTACAGTTTCACGCGTCATGCCCAATCTTGGAGCAGTTGAAAAAGGACGTGTGTTGTGAATTGCATCTATACTGAATATGTCAGAAGCTTGTTTTGTAGTGGAGAAAAGGTCGCGGGCAGTTAGGGCCGCGGGGCTCGGTGCGCGCCAAGGCTTGGATAATACAATTTTTTTTTAATTTTAGTTAATGGATATTTCCGTCTTTTGGTATTTGATTGTATGGCTATTGGTTTAGTGGTTTTTGCTCCCTGCACTGTTCGTGCAGCTCAGATTTTTCTTTGTCCTCGCCTTTTTTTCTCTTTTCCTTTTTTACTTCTCCTTCCTTTCTTCTTTTTTCTTATCTTCCCTTCTCTTACCTACTCTTACCTTCTCTTCCCCTTTCTTCTTTTCTTCTTTTCTTCTTTTCTTCCTTTCTTCCTTTCGTCTGTTATAACTTACCAGAGCACCCATAAACACACACTGATTTAGAGTGTTCGAAAGATCACAAGCACTACATCTTCCATGGTAATACTATAACATCAATTGTTTGCGGCCACGACTCACAATCTCCATATAAACTCGTGTCCATCCTACCAACAATAACAGCAACAAAAAACAGCAAAACATACATGAACTCAAACTACCTCATCAATGTACCCAAGCAATAACTGCGAATCCATCCTACATGACAAAATAAAAATCTCTCCACTTCCGTCCTCATACCCCGGGGCGGCCTGTCTCTAGGCTGCCCGAATCACAACGCGCACATCGCGCACCTGACCGCATCACCGTCCCAGTCCAAACGAAAATCCACCGCCAGCACTCTGCTCCAGCACTCTTGTAAACACGTAGATCCGTCCCCCTCACTTCTAGCCATGCCGTCGGGTCTCCGCATAGCTTTTTTTGGCCTGGACCTATTCAGCGTGGCCTCACTCCGCAAGCTCGCCGAGCTCCATCGCTCCAGGCCCGGGCTCATCTCTAGTTTGGATGTCTATACCAGGTCGATAAAACCCACAGGCAGAAATCTCAAGCAATTCGTGGACTTGCCCATCGGCACATATGCACTTGGCAATGGCTTGCGCGTGTTCCGCGTAGACTCCTCGGCGGAAATCGTGGCCTCTGCATTGCCGCAAAATTACGATCTTGCCGTGGCGGTGTCTTACGGCAAACTCATTCCAGGCAAGTTTTTGGCCTCATTGCGCTACGGAGGACTCAATGTCCACCCGTCGCTTCTCCCCAAATTCAGCGGCTCGTCGCCCATCCAGCATGCGCTCATGGAAGACTGTAAGTCCACCGGTGTCACCGTTCAAACGTTGCATCCGACCAAATTTGACCATGGCGACATCATCTGCCAATCCGAGGAGGTGGAGATTCTCAACGACGACAAATTTGTCTCTTTACAGGAAAAACTCGCCACTGTTGGGGCCGACCTCTTGGCGGACGTCGTGTACAGTGGCTCATACACGAACCCGCCGCATTTCCAAAGTTTGGAGCAATACTCTTTGGCTCCAAAATTATCCCCTGCAAAGTCAGAGGTCAAATGGGGACAAATGTCCTCCAGGCAGGTGCGCCGTTTGAACGACGCCTTGGGGCCTTTGCACTCGTACAAGTACGTGGATATATTGAAGAAAAAAAAGCCCCTCCAGGGCAATTTCAAAGTCATCCTTGACGATATTCATGAGCTCCTGACTTGTGCTGAACTCGACTCGCTTTCCACGCCAGGTACCTTCACTCTTAGCGCAGATGGTCTAGTGGTGAAAACCTCAGATTCGTACGTGTCCGTCAAGAAACTCAAATTTCAATATTGCGGCTTGGAGTCGCCCGCAGAGTTCATGAAGAATCTCAAGAAGAGGTCTGGCACCACTGCATGTCAATTCATCTCATCTGACGCATCAAGTCTCTGATCACAACTCAACCTGACATGTCTTGTTATACCTATCCACGGCGACTTTCATCTTGTTGTACAAGAACATCCTGCTCTTTTTCTCCGGGACGGGCAAGAATGGCCCTCTTCTGTTCTGTAGGATTAAGCTCACACCTGTCGTTTCTAGCGACACGCTCTTCACTTGGCTGAAGGCGACAATCCAAGACGTCTTCAAAGAATTCATTTCGAACAAAACAATCTTTTTGAACGTAATCAACACAGCCTTTTCTTCGCCTGGCATGATCAAGTGTGCAACGTAAGTTTCGTCAAACAATGAACCTCCATCTATAGTTTTGAGCCAGAACTGGCCTTGGGCTTCTCTCGCAGAGTATGGTCGGATCACATTGTCATAGGAAATGTACCTTGGAAGTCTAATTTTCTCCAAGCCATCCGCGTCAAAGACTGTGGTTGTGTTTCGGATTCCTTCACTGACGTTGGAAGCAAGATCGAAGATTCCAATGGCAGTCTTTGTTGGCAAGCCAATCACACCTTTGCCTAGCCCCTTAAAAAAGCCACCCGCACCTTCTTTCGTGGCACCTTCGAATGGTGCTTGGGCAATACCTGTCACACCTGATGAAATAGAGTCGAAGAAAGAGTTCGCACCTGAGGTGAATCCATAGAGCGCATGTTTAGGTCTATTTCTTCGTTGGTTGAGTCTCCGCCTTTCCTGAAACTTTCGGTCCATTGTGGCAACTGACAAGCCCTTTGCAAGCGATCCAGTCACCTTCGCAAACGAGTCGGAGAATCCGAAAACAGACTTTTTAAGGAAACTCAACCCTCCTTTTGCTATGCCGATTCCGATCTCTTGAGGTCGATCGTTGATGACAAACCCCTGATAAGGCTCGTAGAATATATCAAGAACTCCTGAGGAGAGGTTGTTGAACAAACCAACTGGATTTCCCAAGAAATCTGCAGAGCCTAAGATTTTGTGCAATTGGTAAAAGAACGATTGCCCATAATGGGTCCGGATAGACTCCATAAGAATTGGTATTGGCACTCGAATATTCTCAATGAACAATGCATTGAGCTTGATTGGTGCATCATTGATGTTTCCGATAGCCATAGTCAACATGTTCACGAAGAACATCAAGGTATTTTGTGACGTAGATCTATCTTCGGCATTAACTCTCTCGGTCCGCACAAATGATAAGTTCGTAAGAGCTGGCTGCAAATGAAGTGCCTCGAAATAAATGTCACTTGCCTCTGCCAATTTCTTTGGCTCGGGTATCTCAAGGTTCTCATCACATAACTTGTCTTCAATCTCTATATTCCAACTTGCTCCTGGGAATTTGGCAAAGTCTATCAATGCAAACAAAAAGTCTTCGTCGACCTCAATAGACATCTCTTGCAAAAGGACTGTTGCATATTTGATAAATAAAACACCATGGCTTTCGTCCTTCACTTTGCAAACCGATGCACTAAATGATGGGTGATTATTGAGTTCTTTTCCTGATCTCGGTACTAAGGTCGGGTAGATAATGATAGGAAATATTCCTCCGTATAGTTGGTTGTCCAACTGGATCCACTTCAATTTCATACTCAAGTTTTGGTATAAGTCTGACTCGTTGTATCTCAATTCAACGCCTCGGAGGGATAAGTAACACAACTCCTGAGATCTGTTGTTAATAAAAGAGAGCCCGAACCCTTCGAACCTTGTAAAAATCTTCGTGTAGTAATTTTCATCTTGCTCATTGACTTCAAAATTCAGTTGACCAACATTTGTATTGGAATTGTTCCCATCCTGTAGCTTGTACAAACTCAATGAAGGATCGTACTTCGTGATTACCAATGATTGAGTGGGGCCATCGGCAACAACATTGAGGTCAACAATAATTTGCTCTTGTTCAGATGTTTGAGGTAGCCTGAATGGTTTTAGGTTTCCTATCTCGGCTAAGTTGATGGATCTTTCGCGCCCGTGAGATCTGATGATGATTTCCTTTACGACAGCATTTGGATAATCGTAAGAATAAGGCATCACACTCTTTGCAGGCACTTTGTAGTAAATTGGTTTGTAATCCACATCTTTTTTCACAACTTCCCCGTTCAGATTTATGCTAGGATTGCCCTGGTACAAATAAAAGTCAGCATCAGTGAAATTCCTGATGGAGAATGGCCAGGCATTGTTTGCATTTTCAATCTGAATGTAAATGGTTGCATTTTCAGTGATGATGTTGACTTTGAGGAGAACCTGACCAGTCGAAGCTTTTTGTGCCTTCAAGAAAATCTGCCCAATGTCGTCAATAGCAAAAGGCGACGACCAGTGATTTCCATCTCGGGCGAACTTAAGAAGCATTGTCTTTTGCAAATTCCGTCTCAAATCATATAATGGATATAATTCTCCAGGGCCAAGTTGAAATTGCTTAGTGGAGCCGTTTTCAGCAATCACCACGGGCTCCTCCAAACAGTTTCTCATGACATATCTAGGGGCAAAAGTGATAACCTTGGTCAAATTGTACTTTCCTTCGCCTTCTGCGATAGAAACACCAAAATTCTTTTCTGTACTTTTTCCTGGTGTTTGCACGGCCATCCCAGTGACTTGTCCAATGGCATCAAAGCTTAGACGATCTGACCAAGATGAGTCTCCAATTTTGGCCAAGGCTCTGTTCAGTCTATCGTCGTCATTTTCGAATGAGAAAATGTGAGGTGTATTCTCCTCTCCCTTCGAGCCCATACTTACAGCTGGGTTATGCTTTGAATTCTCTCCAATTTGGAGGTTTTGCCCGGTTCTGTTGAGAATCACGTAGGGCGAATAAATCACAACTTTCAAACTTGTTTTAGAGGATTGATTCTTGGGATAGTACATCCTGAGTTTGACTGTCTGTCCACTCTCATTCTTGACGCTTGTGGAAGATTCACGTTTAAACTTGGTGTCTCTCCTTGAATTGATGATAGCAAACTCTGATTTTCCAAACCCACAGCCACATGGTTCGACACTCAAGAGCAATAAGCTTTCCAAAGTCACAACTTGGATAAATGAGCTCTTGCCCTTTTTCACTCTACCATTCCAATCTTTTTTCGAGCTTTTGTCATATAACCTGAAATTGAAATCAAATGGTAACAAATTTTCAATTTCCAAAGGAGCGGATATCACCACTGTCAAATGTGGATATATCTTCGCGAGGGGCTCACTCTTTTGATATTGTGCCTCTGCTTGGAAAAAGTACGATGACTCTTCTCCGCTACCAATCATAGAACATTGGAGGGACCGTCCATCTTGCATCAACGACTTCCAATCTAGACTCTCGTTTGACCAATTAAATTTTGTTTCAATATGCGGCCTGATCTTGAACTTTTCACTGTAAACCGTGTCGATAGGCAAAGCTTTCTCTTGGCCCAGATCAATCACAAGCTCGAAATCAGAGTCATTTTCTCTTTGAACCAATTTCACAGCTATGGGTATTTCTGCGCTATTTCTGATCGTCACGGTTGACCTCAAACGAATGGTTTTCACATTATCACTTCCAAGTGTAATTTCGCTTACCAACCTATTGTGAATACCATTCACCGGCGGGTAAAGTGAAAAAACTTCCTCCCCTTCCCCACTTGCACAAATTCTTCTAATAGGGTCATATTTGGAGTCTAGAAGTTTCACTCCCAAAACATCAGATGCACTATCGGTATCCAAGTTTTCACGGATGGTTCTCCAATCCTCAAACTCCCAAGGAACTTTCCCATCTAAGGGAATCACTTGTTTGTTCAGTTGCAGCTCGTCATCACGGTCGATCCAAACCTCAATATCAAAGCCTGTTTCATTTCGAACAATGTATGGTGCTAATTTTTCTCTTGTCTTTGGGGCCACGTCAGCTGTGATTGATGCGGCAATCTGGGAGAGAAGTGCCACTGATCTTGAGGATATACTCAATTGAGCAATATCCCTAGAGACAACCTCAATCATCATGCGAGGTTTGGGAGTGAGGACTTTGGATGCGTAAACAGCCATTTGCCAAGATTCTAAAAGTGGCTCCCATGTGGATTTGGCGTAGTTGTAAATGTTAACGTACGATTCAAAATGAGCTTCAGCACTTAACTCAGTGGACCAATTGAAAATTTTGACCTCAAATGGCTTTATTCCCATGTCCAATACAGGCAACTCGTGTACGTCTCCGATCAATACCAAGCGTGCACCTCCAATTCGAGACTCAAACTCCTCTCCCGCAACAGCCACTTCAGGAGTAGGATGGTCACTAGATGGTTTCTTTGCACCCCCAAAAATACTTGACACGGAACTGGGCGCGTGCTTTGCGAGTTTACGCTTGAAGTCTTCAGACATGCTGTAGTCAACATTTGTTTTTCCTTTATTCACCGCCGTCTGAGCCTGAGTGTAAAATACATTTGCTTTCTCAAAGATTCTCATGGCAAGCCGGATATCATGCAAAGATATTCTCAACAACAATGGGTCAACAGAAAGTTGCATGCTGGTCAAAAGCTCTGTGGGAGTGGAGCCCCTAGAGTCTAGAGCAAATGACATGGAAAAATCATCGATTATCCGCATTCTTTGGTCTTGAAATCTGTCCATTCGAACCACATACATTCCAACATTCTCCACCGCGAGAGAAATAATGTTTTGACTCGTAAACAAAACCTGTTCCACCTTAAAGACAAGGGCCTCAGTGTCTACCTTGGTAGAGTCAGCCAAAAGTATCACTGAAGGGTTAATAATATTAACTGACAATCCAATATTTGCAGATTTAGGTGAAACATTTGAAGTTTTAGTGGATCCATCATCCGGTAAAGTGAAGCCACTGTTTTGATCGTTCTCACTTTTCAAATAATCTCTCACCACGATTGGAGAGTCTAGTTCGAAACCTTTGTATGCGAACGCCTGTAACTCAAAGATGTGGTCAAGCGCAAGAACTGTTCTTGGCTCATCCACGGTAAGCATAAGTGTTGTTATTTTGTTATCACACTCGCCACTTGTAGATGCATTGAGAAAAAACTGTTGTCTATCGCCGTCAATAGGAGAGATGATTTCAGCAAACTTGTTTTCTGTCCCCTCTCTTACGTCACTTATGGTGAAAGAAGATACTGAAACATCAGCCTCGAAATGACTGTCCTTCCTCATCGTGAAGCTCAGTTTGAAAGAGTTAACAGCCAAAGAGCAAAGTTTCTTGGACTCAAATTCCAGAAGACACTTTGTCTTATTGTACAAGGTTAACGAAATCTTGGGAATTTCAAAGTTGAAAAAAACTGATTCCTTCTTTGGGTTAGCTTGCTTAATTTCTGTCTGCGTCTTTGCCTTCGCAATTTGCTGGGCCATAATGGAAGATCTTCTATGCCCAGAAGAGTGGTATTTCATGGCTGCATTTGCCTGATCTGCATCTTCTTCGATATCAATCAAAGAGCCTTCGTCAGAAACGCTGAAAGCTCTTGATATTGAATTCTGGAGATTGTTCATATACCGCAATTGCAATTCTGTCAATTTCATGTTGATCTCATGTGTTCTACCGACTATAACAACGTTCGGTATTTCATCTACATCTTCTTCAACATAGTCGACATTGAAGTTGACGTCCAAGTTCTCAACAATCTTTCCGTTTTGAATGACGTCATTCATAAAATTGAAGTGGGTGTTGATGTTGATGTTTCTCAAACCAGCTTCAATGATATTATGAAAAACACCACTCTTCACCTCAAAAACATTGCTCAAGTATAGCTCACCGAGCTCCGCGATTAAAACATCATGATTGTCAGTATGACCCTCAACAAATTTGGGGAAATGAACAATGGGAGCCCGAACCAAGATGTTGAGTTTTATCTTGCCTGCATTGTCGATCTGGTTTGCTTGATTGATAGCAGCTTCGCGTGCGCTATCGTATATCGCTTTCATTCTTTGAAATTTGTTCAAATAAGAGAATATCTTCACAAACGCCTCCTCTACAAAATTGACTTTTGTAGCAGCAGTTGTGAATTCAATAGAGCTCTGATAAGGTTCGTTGTGTGTTTCGGGGTCAAAAGTTTTGTAGGAAAATTCTGCTAAATTATCCCCTTCGATGCTGACAAGACTTCGGAAAACTGAATTCCTAGGCAGACCTTGATTTGATTCATCGTGCAATGTCAATGCCCCAAGCTTTCCGTTAACTTGTAATTCCACTGGAAGAACTAACACTTTGATCAAGGCAGTGCTTAACTGCAAAGTAGCCAACTTTATTCCATCTTCATTCAAAACAACAATGATACTATCAAGGTTGACAAGAACATTTATTTTCTGAGGTGCAACGGTGTCATCAGTGACATCGTTATGCTTGAGTTCATCCGCAGGTGTAGACTCGGCATTCGCATCTGTGAATGTGTTAAGAACAAAGTTCAAAAGACTCAATAACGACTTTCTAGAGACAACGCATTTCAACGCCGACATGTCCAAAGCGATGTTTTGATCAAAGATTTCAATTTCTTTACCATTGTGCTCAACGATTCTTTGAACCCTATCGTATTCGAGTTTGAAGAGTTCTGGGTTCTTTCTCGTGACCGCTTCTTCCTCGAGAAAACTATTGGAAGAGACCAAATTCTCGAACTCTTTAATACCCGATGTTTCAATGTGATCAACCAAGTTGATATCAGTCAAAGACAAGTCTAGGTGCATATTCTTTTCTGTTTTGAAGAAAGTAAAATTCAAAGAGTCCCCGATGATATCAATGAGATGTTCCGTTTCAAGTGTAATTCCGTTTATGCACCGGAACATGGCAACTACCACTTTCTCCACTCTGAAGTCGATTTCAACCAAGTGTTGGGAATCTTGCTGAGCAGAAGAGCTCGCTTTTGATGTCTTGTCGGCGTCTTCGATCTCTTCGAGTTTGCTGCTGGTACCAAAAGCATTGAATACGCTGGAGCTCTCATCTTCTTCTTCCTCCGTGTTTGGAATCAATATATCGACCAACTGCATGATGGTCTTATACTGAAAGTCACTGAGTGCAAGATTGATATTAGGAACCTCTCCGCTGACCCTGAACCTTGCTAAGTTAGTTGCACTAGAAAGGATGGAGATTCCAACAGAAAGCCTGAAGTCAAAGTTGTCTAAGATCAATGCAGAATTCTTGGATCTTTTGGTATGAAGCTGCTCCATCGTGTCCTTGATGGTAGGCCCAACCAAAAACTGAGCGTCCTGGAGATGAAGATTGAACTTATCATACATCAAGGTGTTGAGCTCTCCCCAATCCTCCTCTGTGTAGCTTTGCTTCGAGCTGAACTTTTCAATAGTGCGTTTATCAACCAAATCACTGGTCACGCTCAAGTGACCGGCATCAATGATTGCAACAGGAGATTTCCAGCTCCTTGGGTCAAGCGGTAAAATCAACAACGGGGCTTGGAGATCGAGCTTAACGTTGAGTGTCTTATGCTCTTCCAAGGCATATTGAAGCCCGATTCTGGTTTGAGAAGTAAAGCCCTCCATGGTCGCTTCTGCTGCGTTCATGATTGCGCCCACGGTATCAAGATGGATGTTGGGTGGTTTGAAAAACTTGATGATCTCTGCAACAAAAATGTGGTTGTAGAAAATAGTCATGGACTTCAACTTAGCCAAGAGCGAAGAGTCTGCCGATCCATCTAGAGGATTGTGCTCGAAAGAAAACTGGAAAAACGGATCCCTTTTCCCCTCAAGCGCCTTATTCTTGGACGAGTCCGCGTGCAACTGGGAATGGTCATGCTTCACGCTAACAATATGCTTGTAGAGCGGCTTGGTGGTGCCATCCTCGATCTTGAACTCTTGTAACTGGAAGTTTGCCAAAAAGGAGTTGGGTCTTTGGAAAAACTGGGTCTGGCACCCCTCGATGATCACCTCTGCAAGAGCAGGCGACTCCTTGTCCTGCTTGAGCGAGATGCCACCTCTCTTCAAGTTCACCAATACCTCCATGGTGACCCTATCACGGGGCGCATCAAGGTCTGCAGAAGGTTGGTTTTCGTTGTAGTCAATTGTTTCGTAGAGGGCCTTGCGTTGTTCGTCCGTCAAAGTCAAATCCAAGCCCCCCTCGTCCTCTGGGGCCTCCGTGGTTGGCTCGCTAGTCTGGGCACCGCCCCACCACGAAGAAAACCAGCCCCCGGGCATTTCTTCCAGGTTGGTTTGCGCCGGTGGGGCCACCAAGTTTTCTTTTCTCACCTCGTTCCGAGTGAGCGATCGGTAGAACTTGATGTCCTCATAAGAGAGGGCCTCTTCGAGCGCAGTGAATTCCGTCTGCTGGTCTGGCGTGAGGACCCGTTTCATCAACTTCTGCTTCCATAAGCTGATGTACGCCTTCCTCTGGTCTCTGCGCGTGCGGAAATGGTCCCAGCTCCACTTGTGGTTTTTCTCGTGGATCTCGTTCAAGACCGAGACCGCCGCATACTTGAACCATTCCTTGGGCGCATCCTCGAGGGCAAGCCGTGGGCGCAACTTTCGGAACTTCCATGTTTTCTGGTACCAGTGGAACTTCAGTGCCGTCCACAAGATGTCACGGTACTGGTGACTGTCAAAGTCGATGCCGAACTCGTCAAAGAAGAGCTCTGCTCGGATGTGCGGATGTTCATCCGTGGCACCCGCCTTGTGCATGACTAAGTGGCCCTCTCCAGACACGGGCTTCAAGAGATATTGGAACGACTCTTCTGGCTGTGTGAAGCATGCCTTGAGCAGCAGCAAAATCAAGGCTGGGTCGTCGTCGTAGATCGAGGCTGACTCCGTCGTCATGTAGCAGGCGAAATTGCGCAAAACAAGCAATTTCCGCGTGAAGCTCTGGGTGATAGCTATGAAGCTGGGCAGCCAGTTTTCATCGGTCGACGCCGCAGAGAGCTCCGAGAGCGTGAGCCCCAAAGAATAGGGGTTTTCGGTGAGCACCGCGTCATCTTCGTAGCGCACGTGGATATTCTTGATCGTCACCTGCAAATTGTCGACGATTTTGGTGACGAGGCTCTCGGTGAAGCTCTCGTTTCCCGCTGGCGAGCTGGGCAAGTTGTTGTCGTTGGAGTTGATGGCACTCTGCAACGCCTCCAAATCCTTCAACTTGTCTTGTTTGATCTGCTGCATACGCCTGTGGTCCTCGTCTGCATCGAAGTCCTCGAGGATAATTGGCAGCGCCAAAAGGTACACGTCCTCAATAATGACCTTCACGGGCTTGCCCTTCAAATTGGACCAGGGGATCTGCAAAGTAAGCTCTCCCAAATGGCCGAACTTCACGTCTAGCGGAAGCCTGAACTTATCGAGCGATTCCTTCTTGAGCCTCAAGTTCTTCAAGCGCACGTCTCCGCTCCAAATGCCGATGTTTAGCGACTTCGAGTCGAAGTTTTCGATGTATGCCCCAAGGAACCTGTTGATTAGCGTGGACACGATGGACTCGAACATTGCTGTGGGGTAGAATCAGTAAAGGCGTGGGTTTTTCTCTGGGTTTTTTCGGCTATCTGGCCCGAGTTCTCTTCTACTTTGCAATTCGGGCTGTTTCACGTGGGCTGATGAGTTTTGGGGGAAAGTTGTGGAATCTGGAATTTCAGATTTGCTTGGGTGGGGATGAGAGTAGAGCCTAATTTGCCTAGTGCGACAAGCAAAGCAAGCCAGGCCGGTGCGGCGCCATGCATGGAAACTAGCCCCAAATTATTTTGAAAGATGGGGGGTTGGCACCATTGAATCTGTGTTGCACTGTGAAAATAGAGTAGCCTCTTGAAATTTAAGGCTTAGGTTTTAGTTGGCTTCAAAACAATACGATCAAATCGAGACACACTGCCATCACTAAAACATTAACATGGGAAGCTGCCTTTCGTCATGCGACTCGAGACAATTCCATACTTTGAGCAAATTCAATCTTTGGATCACGTCAGAGACCCCGTTTCTTGATTCTCTCAAACTTTTTATGGGCCACACATATGCAAACATTTTTATGAGCGTTTCACAGAACCGGTTGGTCTCACAGATACCTTTAGAGGCTGTGGTGATTTTACTCTGTTTCGCTGTCCTAGAACCCGCAGGCTATTGCTTATTCGTTTTTTGAAGTGATGTAGTCAGCTTCTTGGAGGAGGTGTTTTTCGCCATTGATAAGAGATGGCATTTCAAAGACCTATGTATGTTTTGTTGTAAACCGCCACGGAATGTAAATTTGCAACAATCCAGACATTTTAGTTGGCGGCTCATTTTTTGGCCATGCTCAGAACTACCAAGCCGTTTTAAATCTTGCAACCTAAGCAGATAATCCTCCGATACCAGCCGAAATTTGCTGAGGTTTAAAGTATCTGCGAACTATGTGAAAGGGTCTTTCAGAACCTAAAATAAGTCACTAGCTTCGATCTATCTAGTCGCAAAATCCTCTGCATGTTGGGTTCCGAACAAACGGGTTCCAAGAATGGCCAGAAGCTTGTGAGCGTCAAATTGAACATGGGTTATTTTTCCCAACCTATACTCCGACACCTGATGTTAAATATGTGCTGGATATCCTGTGTACTTGATGGATCCCATAGAAATACAACTCATGGTGCTATAGACGTAAGGGCCCTGGTATCAGCTAAGCATTGAAGTCCCTGTAAGCGCATATATTGCTATGCGCACTTCTCATGAGTTTCGTGAGCTATCAGTCTGAATAAGTCACTGCATAAGTTTTCAGGTTTCAGGGTCTTTCTTCACGTGACTACCAAAAAAGGGATAGAAAGATAGAATAGAAATTAGAGCTCCAAAATAATCAGAGAAATAGAATTACATCTACCTTTATGCCAGCGAGTACTTCACAGGAGAGCCTCAAATTCGCTTCCAGATGCGATAGTGATTGGAAGTCTTGGAAGCGAAGTTGTTTCAAAGAGCACTTCAGAGGAACTAGCAGAAACGACGGAGTTATTTTTCCTTTTGTCGCTAATTTTCTATTTACTTGTGTAAATTATCCTGATAGCTGGATATGGATTGATGGTCCAGGCCTAGCTTTAGTAGTTATGTTCAGTTAAACGAAAGTGAATCTCAATAATAAAAATGGTTTATCTATAAGCTGCCAAAAAGAATTAGTCTTCGAGGCCATTTTGCTGTTGAGGGTACTGAAAGCTTTCGTGGCGACAGCTCTCACTAGAAGTATCTAAAGACCCGACAAGCGCGTGCGGACTTGGTAATTTAAGACTAGCCTAGCGACGAAAACTCGGCAATCGAGGCACCAACACAAAACTCACCCCAAGCGCAAAAAAAAGATCATGGCCTTTCCAGCCATATTCGAGGCACAAAAGTGGTTTCCCGAAGGCCGCGCAGCGTTTTGCAAGAGCTGATGATATACTTGACATTTTATACTTCTTCAGTCCGGACGGCTCGCTAAATGACCCTTCGCACCATTCTCATAAAGCACGCGAAAATCGAGCAAACCAAGTACGAGAAATATTGGTAACCAGGCAATTAGAAAAGAATGATAATCATGCTCAATCAATGAATGGTCGACTAATACAGGCCCAGCCGATATAGGTTCGACCAAAATAGTACCAGTCAATTTTCTCAGCCAGTATAGTGCCAATCAATAGTCAAGCAGTATAAAGCCGACCAATGCATACAAACACATGAGGCACGAGCAAAAATCACTGTAGGGAATAGAAGCGCAGTGGGCCTTGACCTCCAACGCTACACCTACAATACATCAAAATTTCACCAGCATTATTACAACAATATACCTTCAATACACCATACGAACGCTACACCTACAATCCACTAACAATACACTCCACTAACAATACACCTACAATCCACCAACAATACACCTACAATCCACCAACAATACACCTACAATCCACCAACAATACACCTACAATACACCAACAATACACCTACACTACACCTACACTACACCTACACTACCATAACATCACACCAACACTACACCTACAATAACCTAACATTACTAACAATACGAAAATTACACGAACATTACTAACATTACACCACTACACCAACACTACACATCTGCCTCGGTTCCCAGATACATCCGGCCCGCGCCCCGCCTTTCCTGCGTCTCTGCCCCAGAAGGCCCCAGCTCCCTCCCCACCCTGCCACGTGACTCTATCTTATCGCGCCTTCTACTCTAACCCCAGTCCCCGGGCTGCTACTCTTGGGATTCTTTGGCACGATAAGCAACAGTCAGCCGAGTCACTCCACATCCCGCCCTCTTTCCTATTTGTCAGGAGTGCATACCCCGTTTCTTGCTTTGCTCCCGGGCGTCTGTCTTTCAGGATCCTTTTTGTGGCTCCGCTCTGCCTCCCTCTGATCCGGCCTAGCTAGCCGCCCTGCCTCTACTTTCTTGCTGGACAAAACGCCTCAGGCTGCCGCACTGCTATTGTTCTCGGCCTCCTGGAATCTACCCCCTCACAGTACGTGCGCCGCCTGTGCACGCAGGCCCACATTTGACAGTGAGCGCTGTAGGCCCCGAGCAAAGACGATAAGGAACAGCGAGAAAAAAACCTATCTCCCCATCAAAAAAACCTGGATACCCCCCGCACACTTTTTGGTGAGCCTCTTGTCTGAACACACTGCTCGACTGGACCCCCGGCCCTTTTCCTGAACACAAGCCTCCAAAAACCACGGGAAAAAGCTAGAAAAGTGTTGAAAAAAACCCCTCGAAAAGCCCTAAAAAAATACACAGCCAATCTCCCCGAGGCCCCTGCCACGCACTCTGTGCCGGCCCCCCCCCCCCCCCCCCCCCCCATATATTCCGTGACGCCACATTTCCCTCAACCAACACCCACTCTGCGCCATACAAGGAGCCGTGTTTTTCAGATCTCCACGGCCCAATATTTGTCGCTTAGAAACTTTCTGGTGTAAGCTCCCTTCCAGACAAATATTTCAGCTCCACCATTCCCCTGAATCCTCGCCCCAAAAACCTGTGCTCACTAGGTGTTTTGCCCTCGCGTGTCTCTTCGCTCGCACCCTGATCCCAGCATCGGCTGTAGAAACACCCCTTGTTTTTTCCCAAAAACAAACCACAAAGCTCTTTGCCGTCAATGTCTCTGGATCTAGGTAGCATAGGCATCTATGAAGTGGGCCCAGAAATCGGCAAGGGCTCCTTCGCCACCGTGTACAAGTGCCGAAACCCCAACACAAACCAGGCTGTGGCCATCAAAAGCGTCGTCCGGCTGACACTCAAACTGAAGAGGCTCTTGGAGAACCTAGAGATTGAGATCTCCATCCTAAAGTCAATGAAACACCCGCACATCGTCGGCTTGTTGGACTACTTGCAAACCGCGACCTACTTCTTTTTGGTCATGGACTACTGCTCCATGGGCGACTTGTCGTATTTCATCCGGAAAAGAGGCCAGCTCATCAAAACCCACCCTGTGATTTCCTCGCTCATGCAAAGATATCCGAGTCCGGAAGACTCCCGCGGACTCAATGCCACCTTGGTTGTGCACTTCCTTCAGCAGCTCAGTTCGGCCCTACAGTTCTTGAGGAGTAAGAGCTTGGTCCACAGAGACATTAAGCCGCAAAACCTCCTACTCTGCCCTCCAGCACATTCACAGCAAGAATTTGACACCGGCAACTTCGCAGGCTTGTGGGAATTGCCCATTTTGAAGATAGCTGATTTTGGCTTTGCCCGGTTCTTGCCGTCAACCTCCATGGCAGAGACCTTGTGTGGCTCGCCGCTCTATATGGCCCCAGAGATTCTCCGGTACGAGAAGTACACGGCAAATGCTGACTTGTGGTCTGTGGGTGCTGTATTCTATGAGATGACCGTGGGTAAACCCCCGTTTAGGGCAGTTAATCATATTGAGCTCTTGAAAAATATCGAGAAATCACACGACAAAATCAAATTTTCCTCGTCCGCCCATGTGCCTGAATCGTTGAAGAGCTTGATAAGGTCTCTCTTAAAGTACAACCCCACTGAAAGGGTCTCGTTCAATGAGTTTTTTAATGACCCATTGATTGTCAACAAGCTCGAGAGTAACAACAAACCATTGGAGACATCTCATATGGACGAAAACCTCTTTATCAGCGAGTATATCTCTCCGATCAAGGACTCTGACAGAGCCAATTTCATACAGCCTATTCTGAGTGATGACAAATTCGAAGAAAAAGGTGCATCCTTTTCTAAGCCCTTCGACAATAAAGACATACACAGATCCCATGTGCTGATCCCAAGTCATACAGTTGCGCCGCGAGACGAGCAAATCATGCTGATTATCACGAAGAACAGCCCCGATCCATCTTCATCCACACGCTTCACACAACCAAGATACATGGAGAAGAGGCATGGACCTGGAACAAATAAAGAAGACATCATCTTGGAAAAAGATTACGTGGTGGTAGAAAAAAGAGCTGTTGAAGTGAATGCCATTGCCGACGAATTAGCGAAAGTCGGAACAAGAGACTTAGGGCGCCGCCGGCTGAACGCCAGCTCGGAAAGAGACGCTTTGATTGCTCGCAGAAACTCACAACGGTCAAACTCTTCTGGAAGTCAACACGGTCTTTACGGGGACCGGAAAATTTCTGTGTCCATTTCTCCCTCTAATGCATTGGGAAAAGCCATCACTTTGGCTTCCCATAGAATTTTCGGTAACACGACTGCTGAAAATACTATCCTCGAAGACGAGCAGGTTTCTGATGGATCCCGTCAAAGACAAGAGGGCTCGAGCTTGGAGTTCGAGAATAATCTTCTCCTAAATAAATTGAACTTGCCAATCTCAAGTACGATTGCTGCAAACGCGGCTCACGGAACAGAAGTGCTATTTTCAGAGGATGAGAAGTTTCTTAACAATTTGGAGTCTCTAGCAACCAAAGCACATGCAGTCAATTTATTTGCAGATGTCAAGTTCAGTCAGTTGATTCCTTCTCCACCCTCGGACAACACAGATGAGGATTTCCTTCAGCATGACGATAACCTACCACCCTCAATTGTCAAGACCATATGTGAAGAGGGTGTTGTTTTGTATGTTAAAACACTTTCATTACTTGCTAAAGGTATGGTAATTGCTAGTGAGTGGTGGGGATTATACTATGAGAAAGATGACACTACAGACACGCGGCAGCTTGTCAAATCTTTAAACTGCCAATCTTTGGTAAAAATCAACGAATTAGTGCAATGGATACGAGAGAAGTTCAACGAGTGCTTAGAGAAAGCGGAATATATCAAGTTGAGGTTGGAAGAGGCTCTTGAGAGCATTTCTCAGTCAAACGCTTCTGTTTCGTCTCCACCCTTCAATGAGAGCCGTAACATGTATATCGGAGGCTCTGGAGGCTCTGGGGACTCTGGGGTTAATGCTCATATTGTCGCAAGCAAAGTCAGCTCGGAGAAATTGATTTTTGATCGAGCTTTGGAGATATCTAGAAATGCAGCTGTCAACGAGCTTGTAAAGGAGGACTTGAAAGGATGTGAGCTCGCTTATAGTACTGCTATTTGGATGCTTGAAGCTTTACTTGATGAGGAAGGTGCCGAAGAAGAGAGGCTAGACGCCGAAGACAAAGCCACGATTGAGAGATTTATTGTCAGTATCGGCAATAGATTGTCCGTTCTCAAGAGAAAGTTGGACTTGTTTTGAGCAACATCCTTCATTTAGACCGTGTTGGAGATTCTTTTTTGTTTCCTCTCAACCCCTTCTCTAACTTTTTTTTTTATATATTATTTTTTTTCACTCACAGAGAGTGCAAAATTGGGTACATAGATCGGGGAATATCAGGATTATTACTATAATTCTTACTGCATTTCACTTTATAAAACTTTTTGGTGACAGAACTAAATAAGAAGTATTCAATGACCAATAATTAGTTCCTGATGAAGGCTACTCAAGATTGGATGGCTCGTGCTGAAGTAGCCCCAACGTGATGGAGTTTGAGCGAGTGTAGTGGGGTCTAACATGCTTTCCAATCAAACTTTTTGAGTTCAATTTTGATTGGCTCTCTTTATCAGCGTCTAGGTGCTTTGAAAATGGTAGAGGGCCTCTGACATGCTCCTTCTTGTAGTGGTTGTTGAAATAGCCTCTGTCGATGGTATAATTTCTTACTTCAGAATCTTTTCTGCTCAATTGCGCATCTAGACCCACTTGCATCATACCACCTGCCTGCGAACTATCGGGTGTACCAACTATTTCAGTTCTCAATGGAGAGCTTTGAGCTGGGTTGTTCTGGACTATTTTCGATTTCAAGAACTGACTCGCCAATGGGGGCGATCCGACTGTCACTGGGTCCTCAGTCACAGTTTCCAGTTTTGGAATAGGTTCGGGCAACGCAGGAATTGGCCCACCTCCCATCAAACTTTCTGGAACGTCCTCAAGTTCAAGAAGCAGCTCTTGGAACAGATAAGGGGTGTAGTAGTTTGTCTTTGGCAGATGCGCCAATTCTGTGAGATTTGAATCATGAGAAAACGCTCGATTTCCAAGTGTCAAAAACGGCGGCCTCAGTCTGGGAGCCACCTTCGATGGGAACTTGAGTGTGAGGTTACCTTCTTCCTCGTTCTCGCTACTACTGTTCAGAGAGCACGATGATTGAGAACTGCATGATTCCGAATCCGAGGAGTTGTGTAAATTGACAAAAGTTTTCTTAGCAGCTCGGGGCTCAACTTCGTCATGGTTCGTGCCAGCGCGAACGTCTGAAGTTTTGCTTTCTCTAGCCATCAGATACCCTAAGTTGAAATTCTTGAATTTCTCGGTTATTCCATGAGACGTGTCCATCACTTTGGCTAGCGCAGAATCGGACTGCGTCACACTGTCATTCATAAGGCTCATTGCGTGTTTCTTCTTTTTGAACTCCTGGTACTTGGAATTGAGATAGGCGTCATTGAAGCTATCTAAAGACGCAAAACTTTCCGTCAAAGGTAATGAAATAACAGATGAAGGTCTCCTATTTGAATCAATGCTTATTGGACCGACCTTAATTTTGCTCAGAGATGATTCAACATGAGAGCCAATTGGTATGGAAGCGACGTGCTGCGTCTGAGAATGACTATCATGCGAAGGGTTGTTTTGCTTGCCTGAAACTGACAAACTGGAATTGCGGCTCAAGTTAGCAAATAAGCTGGATTTTCTCCGCTTATCATCCGACTTTTGAATATCCTTGAATGCCTCGAGTGCAGACTGGGTTTTCATGTAGAGATCGCCTCCCACATTTCTCTTCGTCTCTATTCGCGGTGCCTCTAGAGAGCCCAGGCTGTCTCTTCGAAGAGTCGAGCCAAAGTCCATCACATCGTGGAGTAAAGAGTTTCCGATTGCAATTGATGCTTTGCTTGTAGACTGTATGAGTGGATTTGTATGATTTGGCTGTGAAGATGTAGTCAATATTGACCCATGGGTCAATTTTGGTGAGCATTGTGCGGATCCCAGCGCCGCCACTGGGGACGGCAGAGGAGATTTTTGGCCTTTCAAAGAAGAGGCGGTCGATCCATTAGCCATGCCCGTCTCGTCGACCAGCGTGATCATGGGGCTCTGTCCATGCTCTTTCGCCGTATGCGGAGCATCGCCATCCACAGTAGTAGCAGAGGCGGAAGCCATGCTTGGCGTACTGTATTTGGTGGAAGACTTCACAATGATACCGCCAACTCTGGTGGCAGCACCCACCGTCGGGCTGCAGTTCTGGGAACGATCTTTGCCATCCAGATCGGGGTGGGGGTGGTCGGAGTTGAGGAAGTAGAACTCGTGGAGCTTTGCAGGATCGTTCTCCAAGTCCATGAGGACAAACGCATGGCGCTTTATCTCGTCGATGTCGATTCTGCGCTTGCTGTTTTTGTCTAGCATTCTGCGGAGGAGATCCTTCGCGAGCACAAACTCTTCCTCCGCCACCTCCTGTGGGGAGCAGAACGACGAGCGGGAGTCCGGGAACTGAAGCTCCTCGTTGACAATGACGCTGAAGAGGGCGAATTCCGAGTCGGCGTTGAAAGGCACGCGCCCAAAGAGAAGACAGTAGAGGGTGACGCCCAAGGCCCAGATGTCGATCTTGTGGTCGACCTTGGGGAGACTGGGCGAGCCTCTGGCCGTGGCGGGAGAGGCCGGTTCTGGCGGGCTGGCATGCGCCGACGCCTCGGCCGGGGTGTTGCCGTCCGCTATGGAGGTCTGGCAGAGCTCCGGGGCAAAGAACGCCGGGGTGCCGACGGTCTTCGCCAACTCCATGTCACTGAAGTAGACGCCGTCCTCGGTGGAGCCGAGCGAGGACGCAAACGACACGCCGAAGTCCGAGATCTTGACGGTGTCGTCCGAGCTGACGAGCAAGTTGGCCGGCTTGATGTCGCGGTGCACAATGCCCCGCATGTGCAAGTACTCGAGCCCCAACAAGACGTCGCGGAAAATGCGCCGTGACTGGCGGAAGGAGAGGTTTGGCGAGAACTCGCGGGACAAGAGGTCGCCGTCCAGCGGGGCCTGCGGGGCCAAGCCACTGGCACGCCGCTGGCCGGCCCAGCACGGAAGCTGCTCTGGCAGCGTGCTGCCAAGCTGGCGCGGCGTGGCCACGGGCGACAGCCGCTTCCACTTGATCTCGCCGCGGTCCATGTACTCAAGCACAAGGTAGATTTTGAGCAGCGCACGGTCGTCGAGCACCTCCTTGAAGCGCACGATATGCGGGTGGTCGCAGCGCTTCATGATGGCGATCTCGCGGCGGATCCGGGCCTCATGCGCGTTGGCGGCCGGCTGCTCGGCCTCGGCGGACGGCCGGCGCATGCGGAGGCGCCGGTCCTTGGGCTTCCTGCTGACGATCTTGATGGCCACGAGCTCGTTGTTGACCAAGTTCTTGGCGAGCTTGACCTTGCCGTGCTCGCCGCTGCCGATATCACGGAGGATCTCGTATGTGTTGAGCACCTTGCGGCGCGACGCCGGGTCGTACTCGAGCGACACGTGCGAGGTTTCTTTGATGCTGGCGGAGACGGGGGGATGGTTCCAGGGCGCTGCTGGGCGGAAGCGGCCGAGCAGTTTCGGGGCCGTTTGGGGCAGTTTCGGGGCCGTTTCGGGCTGTCTAGGGACCGTTTCGGGCTGTCTAGGGACCGTTTCGGGCTGTCTAGGGACCGTTTCGAGCTGTCTAGGGACCGTTTCAAGCCGGCACAGGCTTTGCGCCCCGCTGGGCGTGCTGCCGGGCGGCGGTCTCGGCGGCTGCAGAATGGGGGCTGTTTTTGTGCCGTTTTCGCCGCAAAAAGAGCCGCCCGACATGAAGGGGTGGATCCCCGCGGGGCCGGCGTCTTCCGGCGGCTTGTGGACCGGGTTTGTGGTGCTCATGAATAGGGCAAGGCAGCGCTCAATATCGGCGCGGGAAGCGGGCGGCACGGGGCTGGCAGAATCCAGAAAAAAGCCCGGGGAAAGCAGGAGCGGGCACGGGGACACTGGGGGTGCGGCCGTGGAGACAGGGTGTGTTCTAAGGGGCGCAAACGGCGGGGAAAGCTCGGGTTTGGGGGGGTCTTTTTTGCACCTGCCGGCGGGCTCTGGAAGAGGAAACGAGTCTTGCGCCAGAATCCTGGGGCCGGAGGCGCGCGCCATGTGCTAGGGCCTAACAGACGAAAAAAGGCCCTGTGTGCGGCGGGCCTGGCACCCCAACCATTGGCCCAGGGGCTTCCAAAAGGTGTTGGCACTCGGCCTCCGCCCGGCTGTTCGGGTGCGTTTTGGTTTTCTGTCTTTTTATTTTCTTTTGTTTGTTTGGTTTTTTGTCTTTTGTCTTTTGTTTTTTGTTTTTTGTTTTTTGTTCTTTGTTTTTTGTTTTTTGTTCTTGTTTTTGTTTTTGTCTTTTGTCTTTTGTTTTTTGTTTTTTGTTCTTGTTTTTGTTTTTGTTTTTGTTTTTGTCTTTTGTATTTTGTCGTTTGTCTTTTGTCTTTTGTCTTGTTTTTTGTCTTGTTTTTTGTCTTGTTTTTTGTCTTGTTTTTTTTTTCTTGTTTTGTCTTGTTTTTTGTCTGGCGGTCTGCTTGTCCAATTTTATTTTATTTTAGTTTCTGTCGAGAATTCTTGCTTCTGTTCTTTTATTACGGCTAATCTTTTTTTTAGGGCGAAGTGAAAATAGTGGTGCGCCAGGAATCTCAGTCGATCGAGGCGAAAGACAAGACATTGCCGGTACTGTCAGGATCCGAATTAGGCTCGTCGTTGATGTCGATTCCGAAATGGAGATACTGCGTTTCTTTCAAACGTCCGCTCGCCTGTATGGTTCAATGGCCGTGCTCTGTATTGCTTCCTGGGTATTGAACCGACGGGCAGCAGCCATGTACATGGCAAGGCTTCTTGGGAGGAGCCTCTTCAGACTCTAACAGTCAAGACCTCCAACAGTCGCTTAAGCTCTTACAGTTAAGCACAGTCTTTGATTCTCACAGTCTCTAACTCTCATAGCCTCCAACTCTCACAGTCTCTAACTCTCACAGTCTCTATAAACTCTGGCAGTCTTTAACTTTTATAGTCACTATGCTGTTTTCCCCTGATATTTCGCTTTTTCAGTTTGTCTGTCTCCAGCATTATTGGTTTAATCTATCTGCTTGGTGCCTCTGTGAAGTGGGGACACATAGTGCTCGACTCGGCTTTGCACGTAGAGAATGCCCCCGGCCTCTTCCAAGAACATTCTTACCGAGACGATGTGAATTTTCTAAAGTATTATAACATAGTCCAAACAACCCACACTCCTCGTGGACTCTGCAATTGTCACACCCACCTATATTTCGATGGGTGCAAGAGGCCTGGAACACTCCTGCGACATCAAAAGACAGCCCTTCACCACGTTGTTACAAACCCTCGTCACTGAGAATGGTTTCTGAAGCTGGAAAATAACACTGCTTGATACTCATGCAGACATAGTCGCTGGCCGGTAGAAGAAAATCGGGGACCAATCTAAGTAGTGATTTTAATGCACCAGCTGGTCAAGCGATTAACTCAAGCGTATAATAAAGAGGTTCATCTATCGATTTAAAAGAAGAGAAGCTGGTATGGAATGTTCCAGGATAAGTACAATTGCTCGCAAGGTGCTCTTTCCACTTCCAGGACTCATGAGCTTGTTCCATCGAAAACAACTGCCGGATATCACCTCTTATGCTTGTATGCTCATGTTTAATCAACGTATGACCATTCATGCATTTGAGCACCAGACATATTTACTGCAACGAGCGAAGATTCTCATTATATTCTTTTGCCTTTCTTGACTAGTTCACATGAAAGAGAAGTGAGTTTCACGGAATCTCGTCTGTTTTCTTCATGGCCCTCCTCTGCTTCCGATTAAACACACACAGGAATGCTGACAATGAAGCTTTGGAAGCCGAGATGCTCGTTCACCACTCCTTGGCATCAGCATCAGGATAAATCAGTGAGATCTCTGCATAACTGCCCACCCCACTTCCAAAAAGTTTGACCAAAAAAAGAACTGCGTTTGTAGTAGTTTAATATCACGAATGTATCGCAGTGAAGCTTCGATTTGGGCAAGAAATAAGACAAACGCAGGAGCGCTACGATTATATCTTGCACGGAGCTGAAGCTTCCAGTATGTACTTTTCCGACTTAGTATAGCTTCACAATACTGAATATGCGAGTTTCAACTAGTCGAGTGTCACGGATAACATGTGCTTCCAGTGAGACAAATACATACACTGATGCTACCGCCGGCAACATCCCGTCATAATTGCAAATGTCCTAGTCGCTCATTAGATAGTAAGTTCTTTCTCGGTACATCTCTTTGACTCGTAAGTCCACGCAGGCTTTCCTGAAAAGTCTGGTGAGGTATATTTGCATGCCTTCAGAGACCACGAGGCAACGAGCGGGAATTGGAGGAAAGAAAGCCCCCATTGTCCACGATATCAGGCTCATTCCCAAACCCGAAACCTTAGTGAAGTGTGCGTTTGATGGTGTCGTGGTATTTGAGATGTGACTGACGTGCATGCACATGGGTCATCGAGAATCAATGAGCTATGCTCTCAATTTCAGCTTCGAAATAGGAGGTATGTCACCAGATAGACGCGAACGACCCCATATGTATCATTATGAAGACATCCGATCCTTTTATGCTCCATTAAGTGCTACTATATTTACCAAGGACGGGTGTTGCCGGGTTTATGTGACGGACTGATTTCATCAATGCCAGTTATTTGACGGAGCGCCACGGAACATGAGGATGAGGTCATTGCCATGAATGACCTCTTCCTCGTTTAGCCAAATTTAAATTATCAAACCAAAAACCATTCTAGGCCTCAACTGGACTCGGAAAAAGGACTATGGCTTTTCAAGAACCAAGAAAGTTTGTTTGAGCATGGCACCACTGGTGCGGCACCATGCCGAGTCTTTATGCGCTTCATGGTCAAAGGCCCAGTCTGCATTTTTGCCGTTAATCCTTTGTTGATTTCTTGACATGATAAGTCATTCGAGTCGGACGTGTGGCCCTGGAGTAATTTCCAAAACGAGAGTTGCAATAGTGAAGCCACGGTCCCTGCTCTCTATTTCTGGTCTTCTAATTTATTAGGCACTAATTTCCCATTGCGGAAGCGCTGAAATAGGTGCCAAAAATCCAGAACCACAACATCCAGCAAAATTCCGCCAAACGTTTCATCCGGGGCTTAGATAGCATACGCCCTTTGTATTTTTTCTCTATTATTTGGAATGTAGAGCTATCACATCGAGGCACAGGCAATCTCCACAAGCAGTCGCGGTCGACTACAAGTATACCAGCCAAAAACTAAAGGGTCAATATCAAAAGGCCAACAAAAAAAGGCCAATCTCAAAAAGCCAAAAACCCCAATGTATGGCTCAGACTCAATTGTGGAAGACAAAAAACGGGAGGCCCCATTGCAGCTACACTTCTAGACGGCAGTATCCATGGACATTATTCTATACACAGAGCAGCGGCGGCGGGTCTACGAGTCCTCGCGGCTTTTCTTGGCAGAGTCTCGGAGCCCCTTCAAAAAAGCATCGATGCCCTCGCCGCTGTACTCGTAGCCGAAGCTGGTGGCGAGGATCAGGCCAATGTTGTTCTCGGTCATGTTCATGCTCAACTCGGCGCTGGAGTTGCGGAAAAACTCGCTGCGCACGACGGCCATGATCTGCTCGGCAGAGGGCTCCACGGCGTCCGGGAGCATGTCCCCGTAGCGGGCCCGGAGCTCGTCGGGCAGCATGGACCGCAAGTGTTTCAGCACGAGCTCGTCGGAAAGCACGTCGGAAAGCAGCAGCACAGGGAAGAAGTCGGCTGCCGTGGACCGCGGCGGCACGGGTCTTGCGGGATGCGTTAATATGGAGGGCCAGGGAAAACGGAACGGAACGGAGGGGACCAGGCCCCCCTGGAAGTCGGATACTCACTCTTCTTTCACGGCGGCGGCGTCCGCGGCGGCTTCGTCGTCGCCGTCGTCGGCTGGGGTGATGAGCGCCTGCACGGCCGACACCAACGCCTCGTCTTTTTGTGTCCAGCGGTCTAGCTGCTCGTCGTCGCCCACGTCCTGGAGCCAGTACAAGGACTTGTCGCCCGAGCTGAGAAATGTCAAGGCCACCACGCGCCCCGTCTTGCACGACTGCACGCGGCGGAAGGTCATGTCGCCCGGAATGAGCAAAAGCTCGTCTTTCTCCAAGCCGCTGTCGGCCTTTGGCGCCCAGCAAAAATCAAAGAACCCCTCGTCTTCGTCCGAGGGCGCGATGGTGACCACGCCCCTGTGCGGCAAGGGCGTGCAGCGCTTGGTTTCGTCGTCGTACTGCACCTTGCCGGCGTTGAATCTGATGGTTTTGGTCATGAGGGGTTGGCGGGGGGAAGGTTGAAGATGGGCGGGGAGAAAGTGATATAGGACAGGGTAATTGGGTTGGAGTTGTGGGTTCGCTTGGGGGCGCGCGGGGTCACGTGACCGCGGCCGGGCTGCGGTGGCAATGCATGGAGAGGTCATATGCTAGTATGGATGTGATGTAGTGGTCATATGTCAGTATTGTGGTTGTATTAAGGTGATGGTGTAGTGTTTCTATAGTGATAGTACATTCAAATAGGTTACACATTCAAATAGGTTACAGTGAGGGAATGTAGTGATTGTAGAACGGTGATGATAATGCTGTACAGCGAGAATATAGATGCGTGGTGAGATGGTGATGATATTACAGCGATAGTTTAGTGATGGGTGATGTTATGGTAGTTTTGGGTTATTCTTGTGGTGATAAAAGACTAGGGTTGTAGTGATGTTATGGTATTATTAAAGTGATGGTATGGTGACATCATGTGGTGGTAATATAATGATGATACAGTGATGTAGGAATATATTGATTATACACCAGTTTTATGGGGTGACGCAGTTATGAAATAAGTTACAGAATGAGGACATAGATGTCGATATCGTGAAAACAGATTGCAGTAATATATAGTGATATAGCCATAATGTAGTAATAGTGCTGTAGTGATGTAGTGGTTTCATGGTGCTGTGATAGTACAGTGATGCTTTGTGCAGTGATAAGCGATGCATTACAGTGACAAATAGTGATGAGGTAGTCGTGTTACAGCAATGATATAGTTGTGATGAAATAATGATGTAGTAGTGATGTAGTAATGATAATGCGCAGTTGCAATCTAGTGATTTCGTGATGTAGTAATATGGTGATGTAGTGATGTAGTAATATGGTGATTTAGTGATGTAGTGCTAAGGTAATAAAATAGTGTAGTAATATAGTAGTGCAGTAATACAGTAGTGTAGTAATATAGTGATGTAGTGATATAGTAGTGTAGTAAAATGGTGATGCAGAGATATAGCGATGTAGTAATATAGTGATGCAGTAACATAAGAGTGTAGTAATATAATAGTGTAGTACAATAGTAATGTAGTAATACAGTAGTGTGGTAAAATGGTGATGCAATAATATAGTGCATATTGCTGTAGTGCTATGTAATGACTGTTGCCCCATTGGTCGTCTCCTGATGTACTGTATTTTCTGGGGGCTGGATCCAGCTCTCCCATGTTTGCCATTCCATTCTCAGCTTCTTCAAGATAGGTCTGACCGGCGCGGGCAACAGTCCAGGCGCACCAGGGCCTGCCCAATACAGTGGCCCTACAGGGCCTGCGCCAGCCGCATTGGTGAGCACCAGGGCCACGAGATTTGGCACCAGCCACCAGGTTTCTTCACCAAAATACAGAGAAATGCCCTCTCGAGGCACACAAAGCCCCGGCAGCCATCAATTAAAAAAAGCAAAGAAAAAAAAAGAAAAAAAAAAGTAAAATCTAGCATCTGTGTGCACTTTTCTCCTGCCGTTCATTTCGTATTGGCGAGCCGTGGACAGCCCCCGCTTGGAGCCGCGCGTCTCCGGGCCTGGCTTCCCATCGCACTCCAGGCCCTCTGTTCTACAGAAACAGGGTTTGTCATACGCAACACCTCCTCAGAAAATAGGCACAACACGGGGCTGTTATAAGCAAACACAAAGGCCCTGTAGCTCGCACAGGACCGAAATTGCATAAAAGGCCCGGAAGTTCTCACAGGCCTAGAATCTGTAGAGGCCCCAGGTTCCATTGAATTGATACCTCTCGGCGTTGCCACAAGAAGCCGTGCACCGCGCCAGACCTACATCTCCAGACCGCCTCGCACCATTCCATATCTCCCCGCCACTAGTATTAGTTTCCTCCGGTCTTGCACAATTTTTCCCGATCTTGCACAATTTTTCCCGGTCTTGCACTATTTTTCCCGGTCTTGCACAATTTTACCAGTCTTGCACAATTTTCCCCGCCTCTAGCTGTGCCCCACTTCCAGCTCCCCCAAAAACCCAAGCCCGGCTTCTGTCCACATTCCAAGTTGCACCCCGATATACATGTCTGCGTTCCCACCAGCCTCCATCAAGCTTCTTGTGGAAGAAATCGCCACCATTCTCCGAGACCGTGGCCAGACACTCGCGGTTTCCGAAGCGGCCTGCGGCGGCCTCTTGCTGGCCTACATCGTCAGTGTCAACGGCGCGTCCAACTTCTACATCGGCGGCAAGTTGGTATATCTGGTCAAACAGAGACTCAAGCTTTCCGGCTGGACGGACGACGAGATCCACTCGTACGTGGGCCCGCTGGAGCAGGTGGCCCTCAAACTAGCCCGCACCACCAAATACGAGCTCGGCTCCACCTACGTGCTTTCTGAAACGGGGTACGCAGGGCCCACCACAGACTTGCATTTGGCGGGGCACGGCGACCACGGGCAGGTTGGCACCGTGTTCTTGGGGCTCAGCGGGCCATGCGGCGATATTTCCATTCGGCACGAGACTGGCCTGGGCGACCGTTCGGCCAACATGGAGCTGTTTGCCCGGCTTGGGTTGGAGTTTTTGTTGGACCAGCTCAAGAGCCTGGCGCAATAGGTGCAGGTTCGGACGATTCGAAGACACTGCCATGTAGGAAGCCGGACTCTGGGGAAGAAATTCCCCGGCAAACCCGGGTTCTACAGGGAATAAGACGGAGAACTGCAGGAAATAACAGTGTAGGATTTTACTGTGGGGAAGAAATTACAGGACGATATTGCAGTGTAGGATTCTACTGTGAAGAGAACTACAGGGACAATATTCCAGTGTGGGGTTTTACTGTGAGGAAAGAACTACAGGAAGATAATACATTGTAGGATTCTTCTGTGAAGAAACTACAGGGAAGATATACCGTATATGATTCTACTGTAGGGAAGAAACTATAGGGATGATATTACATTGTAGGATTAAACCGCGAAGAAAACTACAGGGAAGATATTACTGTGTATGGTTCTGTTGTGAAGAGAGCTACAGGAAGATATTACAGTGCAAGATTCTGCTATACACAAGAAAACTACAGGGAAGAAAGTAGGAAGAAGTTCCACGACAAGGAAAACATTTCTCGGCAAGAAAAATACAGGAAAGACATTCTACAACAAGAATGAAAATTCTCGGCAAGAAAGAACCAGGCAAGAAACTGCAGTGTAGGAAAAAAAACCAGTAAGAACCTCTACAGTAAGCAAGAACTACGCATAAAGCGTGAGGCCACCGAGTCGTCAGCCCCCCTTCACTGGTTATTTTTGATGGTACTGTTATATGTCTGACACCGGCCACAGTTTATCAAGCACGCTTGGATTATCTGATCAGTCCATTGAGCGAGTCATAGTGGCAAACTGGTCTATTAAGCTCACACCATGGTTACTAAACTAAGTGAAATAGCTTCAAGAGTGTTTCGCCAGATCCACTTGCATGTCTGCTCAAAATCTGCTTCATCTGGTACCTTGCCTCTTTGTATGAGTAGTGCTTTATTCGTTACATTTAGGTACCATGTCTATATCGAGCACGTCGAGCACAATGTCTGATGCTTCTATTAGTATCTTACTACGATTTTGGGCAGGACTTGGTTCTAACTTCTCGTGTATTACGAGCCTTGATCTTGCCATTCTTCGGAAATTAAAGTGCACCTCTAGTGTGGCGGACATGTCAGGGCTTCTAGCTGGTTCTCCAGATACCTGCCTCGAACGCGTATCACTATAATGCTCGTGGTCCCCTTGAACTTGCGCACATAGTAGAGTACCCCAAAAAAAAAAAGAGCAAAATACAAATCCGGGGCGTCCCCCGCTTCTGGATTTACAGCTGCATGTCCCGGAAATAAATCTTGGTCCTACTAACCATCCATATCTGTTGATAGTGCCTCGCCTGGCACACGCACCCGAGGCAAAGTGCTCACGTGACGTGGAGCACGTGACTCCTGACACAGCGCCGCGGATTATGAATTTTGTGTTGACACAAATCGGAATTCTCTAGACACCCTACATTTCATTTCTACAACCTCTCCAGTGCAAACAGTACGTTCAAAAATATCGCAGCTCGTCGAGAAACAATAACATCGCAATGTATTTACCCTTTTTGTTTGTCAAATCTGTCTAGAGCTCACGCAGATTCGGCGCCGCCGTCTGACTACGAAAAAGACCACTTTCTTCGAACCGCCAGACCAAATACTAACATCGCCTCCAGCATCGAGTGCACACACTGGGAAAAAAGTAGAAAGCAGAAAAAAAAGACCAACAGTCAGGCATATTTCCGAATTCCAGGGATCATCACATATCACCACAAAGAGAATACGCATTTACCCGCGCACCATGGATCAGGAACTCAAGATCATCAGGCGCAAAGTCAACGGCTTCGTTGGTTTTGCCAACTTGCCAAAGCAGTGGCACCGCAAGTCGGTCAGAAGAGGCTTCACGTTCAACTGTATGGTGATTGGCGAGAGCGGTATGGGAAAAGCAACGTTGATCAACACGTTGTTTAACCGTGAGGTGTTGTCTTCCAGAGTCGACGACGCCAAATCAGTAGACAACGAGGGGGACGAGCCCACATTGCGAATCGAGAACACGACCTCGGAAATAGAGGAGGACGGTGTGAAGTTGAAGTTGAACATCATCACCGCGCCTGGATTCGGCGAGCACGTCAACAACACGGACTCCTGGAAGCCCATTGTCGACGAGATCAACACAAGATTCGACCACTACTTGGAGGCCGAAAGCAGAATCAACCGCTCGGCAATCACAGACAACAGAATTCACGCATTGTTGTATTTCATCGAGCCTACAGGCCACTCGTTGAAGTCGTTGGACATCCAACTCATGAAGCTGGTTCACGAAAAGGTGAACTTGATTCCAATCATCGCCAAGTCCGACACGCTCATTGACGACGAAATCGCCACCTTCAAGGCCAGAGTGTTGGCTGACATCAACTACCAAAAAATCAAGATTTTTACGCCTCAGGTGTATGAGAACGATGACGAAGATATCACGGGAAACTCACGTGCGTTGATCGCGTCATTCCCCTTTGCTGTGATTGGGTCTACCACCGATGTGCAGACTGCCGATGGCAGAAGTGTCAGGGGCCGCGCGTACCCGTGGGGTATCATCGAGGTCGACAATGAGAACCACAACGACTTTGTGCGCTTGAGGCAATTGTTGGTGCGCAATAACTTGGAAGAGTTGCGCGAAACCACATCGGATACTTTGTATGAGAAGTACAGATCCGAGAAGTTGGAGAAGATGGGAATCGAGCAAGACAACTCTGTGTTCAAGGAGTTTGACCCGTTGACCAAGCAGGAAGAAGAGAGAGCTTTGCACGAAGCCAAGTTGGCCAAGATGGAGGCCGAGATGAAGGCGGTGTTCCAGCAAAAGGTGAGCGAGAAAGAAAAGAAGCTACAGAGATCGGAGGCCGATTTGTTTGCCAGACACAAAGAGATGAAGGAGAAGTTGGCCAAGCAGATCAAGTTGTTGGAGGACAAGAAGGCCCAGTTGGAGAAGCAGAAGGCGTTGCCCGTCGAGCACGCGCCCGCTCCCGCGGCACAAAAGTCGAGAAAGGGCTTTTTGCGCTAGTCACGCCCACGCAGTGTAGAACTGCCGGAACTTTGCTATGGAAGTGGTGTAAGCTAGAATTAGAGGCACGAGAAAACCATCTTGAGCTTGAATACGAGGGCTTCGAGGAGAAGCAGTAGAACAGGGTGCGGTTGGCACTGGTTTGGCTGGTCTCCCTGCCTACAAGAGTGAGGACTAGAAGCAGCCTTGACGTGGGGTAATTTGGCCCGTAGGAGCCGAGTCGATGGTGCCACAAAAACCGAGGGCGCTCGTTTCTATTGATTATTTACCTGAATGAATTGCAAAACATATTCTTGTGTTTTTACCGGACTGCAACCAAGTCTTTAAGTGACTGGCACGAGAAGCACTGGAGCAGGTGCCCAGAATATGTTTTCTGTGGAAACTTTAGAGGCGAGAATGAAGATATCAGGTGCAACAGGAAGGCTCAGTTATACGAAAAGAGGGAGCCCTACCATGTAGAAAATGACCATGTATCGCGATTCACAAACAGTGTCCATTTTGATTGTCAAAGATATAAAGCGTGGTCGAATATGGCAGGGTATTCTTGCACCATGCAGTGGTGGGCTAGACAGACATCGAGGACATTGGTGCAAAATACGAGGCAGCAATCCAATTGCATGTATTCCAGGCTCAGCAAGGCCTGGGAAATTGCGAAAAAGCTCGCGAAAAGGACGAAGGCCAAATCGGGGGACTTGCGGCTCCAGGAAGGACAAGGGGCCAGTCCGCGGGCCCCAGTGTTTCAGAATAAAGTTTGCTTGTGACCATCAGCTCTGCAATTGCAGGCGCACGCCAAAGGGCAGGTACTATCAAATAATAGAGAAGTGCTGAAATGAGCCATTCGCAGCTTGGATGGATTGCTCATGCGTGGCCAAGCATGGGCTAATATCCGAGACAAGATGGGCTAATCTCTGAGACAAGATGGGCTAATTTTTGAGACAACACGGCTAATCTCTGAGACAACATGGGCCAAACTCTGAGATAACATGGGCCAGTGTCTGAGAAAATATGGGCTCATCTCTGAGACAATACAGGCTTATCTCTGAGACAACATGGGCCAATCTGCATGGCCTAATCTCTGAGACAAGCATATCTCTACTGGCAGGATCTACCAGATAATTACCGAAACTGATTTTTTGGACCGAAGCTGGAAAAGCCCTCCGATGCTCTCCCCCTCCTGCCAACACCCCAAGCACCGTATTATCCAGAGCCGCCCCAAAATATCCATGCCATAAAAAAAAAAAAAAGACCCCGGGGAGAAACTGGGGGCGGGCCGGCCCCAAGATTTCGCGGCCCCAAGATATCGCGGCCCCAAGATGTCGCGGCCCTATTCTTGCCTCCCGGCCCTGGCCCTGAGCAAGGCCGCCCAAAAACCAAACCCGCGCCGCGCCAGCTCCATTCTTTATAGCCCAGTCTGCTTCTGGAGCCCCTCTTCTACAGCCCACTTTCAGCCGCCGCCTCTTTCTCCAAGCCGCGGATCCAAAAGCCGTCCAACCAATCGGCCGCGTCCCAGACTACCTGCTTTTTGAAGCCGTCATTCGAGTGCCCACAGCCTCTTTCGACCAGGCGCCTGTCGCAGTAGACCGTTTCTATACACCTACAATTTTCAAGCAGACACCCACCATGACTGCCCCCAAAACCGCCGGCAGCGGCGCCCCCGACAGCGCCAGCGCCACAGGCGTGTTGCCGCTTGCCGAGCAGGTGAAAACTTTGCAATTTGCCTGGTTTGCGGGCCATGCCGTGACGGTGCTCAGCGGCGCGTTCTATCTTTTGACGTACGTCCGCGTGTTGCCCGGCGCATACAAGTTGTGGTACAAAGCGGCGTTTTTGGGCGCCGTCGAGAGCTTCGGCGTGTTGATCTACCAGCTGGCGAAGAAGCTGGGCGTCCACCCGCGCCTGTTGCTCCGGGACGACAACGTCCACTACTTGTTTTTGGCGGCGGTGCTTTTTGTGCGCAGCCCCTATGTGTTGTTGACGTTGTCCACGTTCTTGTTGTTCTCGACCTTCCACGTGTTGTCGTACGCGAGGTCCTTTTTGTTCCCGGCCTTCGACATTTCCGACTCCCACCCCTTGAGCGTGCAGGTGGGCAGCTTTGTGTCGACCAACAACCACAGCTCCATTGCTTTTGCCTCCTTGTTGGAGGTGTACACCGTGGGCTGGATGCTTGTGCGCGTGCTAACGTTGAGGCCCAACTCGCTCTTGCCCCTCGCGGCCTATGTGGTGTTCATCAAGTTGAGATTCGAGAAGTCTGCGTTCACGAGGAACGCGTTCAAGTCCGTGGAGGTGGGTGTGGAGGGCTGGGTCAACAAGTCCGGCGTGCCTGCAGCCAGAAGCGCATGGGTCAGCGTGAAGGGCGCCTTCCACCAGGCCGGCGCGTTTCTGCTAGTCAACGACCACACGAAGGAGAAGTCCATTTGAGGCTGGCGGAGCGGCCGCCGCACGGGCGCCGGTTTTCTTCTCTGCTTGGCTGTGTGCTGCAAGCGGTTTCCGGACCACGTGGCCGTATGGAACTGTGGAGGCTCTAGATGTTTTCTATGCTTTTCAGCGCAGCCGTTCGGGGGAATGCTTTGGGGTTTTTGATGCTTGGGTGTTTTTGATGCTCTGGGGTTTTTGATGCTTTGGGGTCTTTGATGCTTTGGGGCCTTTGATGCTCTGGGGTATTTGATGCTCTGGGGTTTTTGATGCTTTGAGATTTTGAATGCTTTGGCTCTGATGCTCTGGCTTCATGCTTTGACTCTACGCTTGGGCTCTGATGCTTTGTGTTTCACTGCGTTTCCTGAACGGGTCTTGTTTTCAAATAGAAGAACCGAGCCGATGCGAGACAAGTCTCTTTCACGTATTTCACGTAGTTGGCTATGCCTGGAAAGCCTCGGGCACTGGCAGACGAAGCATACCAGATCCTCATGTCCTCTATATTTCAAGCTTGCAGAATATTTACACCATCACAAGAGTTTTTCGCTCTGAGTCGGATGAATCAATGGACACAAGCACAAGAACCAAGAACCAATCATTTGGGGAGCATCAGCCGGTTTCTACTCAGAAGTGAAATGCTACGTGATACATTTTGATCTTTGCAATTGAGACACGAATGGCCTCGCTGATTCCCTCCGCGTCGCGGGGGGATCTAAAAATAAAAGTATATATATGTATATATTTTTTATTTATCTGAAGAATTGAAACAAAGGTATA